TTTATTCTTGCCACGATCAATAAACAGATCCCCTTTTCCTTTCTTTTAAATCATCTCCCTCAGTATAAGTACCAAAATCCTCAGGATGTGTCTGCCTGGCTCTATCGCTGACCAGTGATGTGTACCATTCTACAGGAAATGGATTACTTACTACACGACAAACTACCCTCCCTCCACTTCTTGATCCAGGCAGGAAATGACTCAACTGGTTGTCCCTTTAAACTTGTAAGCAATATTCCCCTTCCTTTCTCACCTTCTCTTCTTCCTTTCCTTCACCTTTTTACCTCTTGTCCCCGTAAGAGGGTTTTTAGATACTTTTTTTTCACATAATTTGAACTGACCTGGGCAATTCAATATAACAAAGATATTATGTGTTCATAAGTCGCTTTATAAATTTTAATTTATAAAAATAATAATAAAAAAAAATGTTTAATCGTATTATTTTACTTATATTTGTTTATCCCCTCTTTCCACTCTCTTTGTGTAAAACACCTTATATTGTTAAATTACCAAAACCAACATAATAGGTATACTTTCCTACTATTGTATCTATAGGTTCAATTGCTCACTTTAATAAAGTTGGTTCTATTTAATAAAATAACTGTTTAAATTCAACCACTACGTAACAGAGCTCATACCACACTCGAGCTCTTTCACTATTTTTATCATTGATCTGATAAGCAGACAACAAGACCGACAAAGGACCGCCACGGGTGATGTCCAATGGTGTATTGATAACAAAGATAATCTCACATGCAAGGCATTTGCTGAGCATCATAACTTACTGGACAAACAGTATACCATAAATCGATACCAGAGCATCATTTCTTATTACCTCCCGCAATACAAAATCAACTTAACGGAAAGCCTCAACAATTGAAAACGCATAAGTGATTTTACGCTATATTGGTTGGAAAGGAAGCAGCTTAGAGCCCGGTTAGACATACAAGAGTCCTGCTCGGACTACGCAGAAAATATATTAAAGGAACAAATAACCAACTTCCAGTCAATAGCTCTAGACGCATGCAGTTGATACATAATCTGTTGCCTCTGGTAGTGTAGAATTCACGCCTTTACCTATAACCTATAACCACTCTTCGAACACCGACGGTAGAGAGAGAAGGCGATATCCCCTATTCACCTTCACCAGTAGCTTTTACTTCCCCATTAATAGATATTAACGCCATACCAGTTGTTCCTTGGATGTTCAATGACTCAAATGTGGCAGAATTGTTTCGAATATTCCAACAAAACGTAGCGGCATTGTCAAGAGCAAACTTACTCCAAATTGAAACATCCATTCACGAGATCCTCGCTTTATCACACATCTTCCTGTCACGCCCTAGCCAGCATAGTGAACAAATGATCGATGTCTTCTCCAGGGAAACATTAAGTGACATTCATTTATCAGAGCTTTGTATAAGAATTGATAAACAAAAATATAGACATAACGTATGGAATCTGCGCAAAAGGTTACCTGTATCGTCGATTCAATTGAGTAGAAGGTTCAATCTAAAGATGAGGCAACTACCCTATTATCACAACTCTGTATCAACTTGGATGAACACGCTTCCTCTGTGATTCGTGGGATTATCAAAGCCATGACTGAGATGCCTCTGCAAGCTATCAAGGACAAAACATCAATTGGCAAATACAAATTTACCACCACCTATTTCCACCCCATATTGTCCAGTATATTATCCAACCCTGACAAACAGACTCTTTTACGGTGGACAAATATTGAAACCGATAGTAGCGTAAAAAAAAAAAAAAAAAAGTTTAGTTGGTGTTATCATTAAAACTTTAGAAAGATACATTTATATTGTGTTTACCTTAACTCCATTACTTACGTGCTTTATATAATTCGCTACTAGTCATTATAAAAGGCAAAAAGCCAACGATCCAAAGTATACAATAAAACTATTTGAGAAGAAAAAAAAAAAGATATTGATTAGAATATATAAAATATTTATTTATATATTTTTGGACAAAAAGAGTTAACCAAGTTTTTTACATATACACCGGGAATAATCAAATCATAGTAAGTTACTTATCTATCGAATTGTATGTCATTTTAAGTCATTTATCCAAAGTACTAATTTAAAAAGAAAAGAAACAAGTAAAAAGAAGTAAAGTAATTTTTTTTTTTAGAAACAAAAAGTCTTATTAAAGCATTTGTATAAGCTGGCAAATGTTATAGCTGACATCATATTAAAGCCGAACGAGAATGAATCAGAAATGATATGCTATAGAAAAGTGTCATTCATCCTGGACATTATATTATTTTACTGAAAGATTTGGATTTGAACTTGCTAGAGTAAGTAGATAACATAAAAGTTCTTTTATTAACACTTCCAGCAAACATATTTACTTGACTATTCCCTATAGTTACGAACCATCATGTAAAGCTAACAAGTCTATTGCAAAAGACCATGAAAGTATCTATGGAAATAACATACCTTTAAGTCGAGGCTTCCGTCGTCGAAACAATCTTTTCTTTGTCAACAAGACATATTGAACTATCAACTAACGAATGGAAGCGAAAGAAAGGTACTAAGGAACAATGCCCAATTCAGCAAGTAAAAAAAAAAAAAAAAAAAAAAAAAAAAAAAAAAAAAAAAAAAAAAAAAAAAAAAAAAAAAAAAATATTAGAATGAACAAAGCCATTCTTAGTAAACTTCTTGAACTACTCCTTTCTGGAACTGATTCTAAAAATGATTATGCACTTGGTATAGACTAGGCTGGTAAGTTGATTCCCTACTGCTTTCTAGCACATATATACAGACATATATCTAAATAATAAGATTGTTGACTATTTAAAAAACTTCGTAGGCCCGTGTGATTACATGTTTGCTGTAAAGAAAATCAATAATATCTACATAGCCAAACACACCAGCAACCTTTCCATACCAGAATATCTACATCAATTGCCTTCATTCATAGCCATGCTCAAAAACTTGTACATTTGGAAAAATCATCATATCGAGTTACAGGATACGATTTTAACAGGAGTGATTGCAAAAGAAAACGACTTTTTTTTTAGCATTGCTAGTGGTATTGATGATACTGGTAGTGCTTTAAAAGAACTGTCACCAAATGTATATTTAACTCATACAAAGGCTAAGAAAAAAAAACAATCAAGTCTATTAAAGTAATGCATAAAAAAGAGTGTATATTGAGTTGTTTTTTCCTTTATGTACGGACATAAGTATCATTTACTATCATTTTCTTTTCTAGCCATCACTTCATCGTATCATCCCTTTGTTTATACTTGTTTCTATAACTGTTCTAAAAGCTTTTGCCATTCAACTTCAAATAACTTACACTTCCTACAGCAATAACAGCTCAAAACAAAACAAAACAAAATTCGTTAAAAGGCAATTGCATTAGTGACGAGATTAAGGCTTATGTTGTTCATTTGGTCGATGTTCATCCTAGAAACAATGGGAGAGCTATAGTCTTAGAGCTCAAGTTGCAGCTTAGAACTGTACATAGATGGTACAAAGCTTGGAAAGAGGACTTAGACTCACTGTTCAAGACTATAGGCCGCCCAAGAAGTATTGAAACTGAAGGAGAATTAGTAGAGGGAACCAAAAATTTAGTATATGACTTCTATTACAAGTATCCCACGATTATCATAAATCAGTTGATGGATCAAATGAATAACAGCTTTGAGAACATGACCATATCGAAAAGAACGCTTTACTGTTACATGACTGACTTATGGATTTCCCCCCTTAAAAAGGTCTCATTGGAGCTGGTAGGAAAAAAAAACACTCCAGAAAGAATCCAAGTGAGAAAGCAAAGAGCGAGAAAAGGAGAAAAAGATGGATGTTGACTATATGAATAACAATGTTTTTATCGATGAGTCAGAATTTAATGCAAATCTGAGAAGAACTCAAAGCTGGGTACCAAAAGAAAGAGACTGCCAAAGTCAAAGTACTTACGGTTAGAGCCAATTCAATTTCTATCTTGAGCGCCAGTTCTGCTAAAAAGCTTGATTAAACTTAGCTTAAGAAAACCCATGCCTTCTTCATAGAAAAGAAAGCTAGCCGATGGTAGGAAGCAACAAACATAGGGCACAGTAACCAAACACTATGTCAGTTTTTATTAAAGACATTCTTGCTGAGATAGACAAATTTCCTGAAATAAAGGGACATCATCTAACATGGATAATGCGTCCATACATACAGGTAAAATAAATGGTGAGATGATCAAAGAGCGTGATTACAAATACGTTTGCCTACCACCTTACCCTCCAGAACTCAGCCTAATAGAACAATCATGGTCTGTTGTTAAGAGGAGTAGTGTAAAAAGAAAGTTTACACTCAAAAAAAAAAAAAAAAAAAAAAAAAAAAAAAAAATACTATTCCTCAAATAATTGCAGACACTGGCAAACAAGTTGCCCAATCATCTTTTGAAGGGTTTGCGCGCTAATCTACTAGACGTTTTGATGACTGCCTTGCAGGCCGTCTTATTTAATAAACAATTATATATACAGTACGACATCCTTTTTTTTTATAGAGAAAGTATGACACTCTTTTCTTGAATTGTGCAACACTGTTTTCTTTTTTTTTTTTTTTTAAAAAAAAAAAGTATGACACTCTTTCTTAAAAACATACGACACTCTTTTTTTTTTCTTTTACAAAAGCGCAACGCTTTTTTTTTTTTTTTTTTTTTTTTTTTTTTTTTGCAACATCATTTTGGCAAAAGATGTAAATGTGGGGTAAACGCAATAATTAAAGTTTAGTGTTATACAAATACAGTATCTTTTGGAATTGCAGTAAGAGAAGGTAGTACTTTATATGTATAATGAACCCAATTATAAATAGTATTTTCTTTTTATCAAGCATAACAACATCATATAAGAAGGACTGTTGTACTACTATACATTGTAGACAGTAGTAAAAAAAAAAAAAGAATTATTCACATTGATGCGAATTATTATTATCTATTATCAAAAAGTACCACAAGTGTTGTTGTACATTTTATTACACCTTTTTTTTTAACAGTAATAATAGTAATTATTAAAGAACGAAGGCCGCGGTTATCTTAAAGAAATATTGACAACCTAATTCTATTTATTTCCATTTTTTTCTATTTTTTTTTTTTTTTCATTATATTATTATAAATAAAATACTATATGTATTCATTAACTAATCGCTTTGTCCTTTTTTGGTTTCTTCGGCTTTTTTTTCCCATAGTTAAAATTGTTTGTATATTGTTGTATCTTTATTCACACGGAAATGAATTGATAATAGTAGTAGTAATAAAATAATAGTAATATGCTCATACATCTTATTGGTCGGAAGAAGAACCCAATTTGGAAATATCTCCGTCTGGAAGATCACTACTACTGCAAAATCGAATAGTAACGCGTTCGTCGTATCTAGAAAAAAAAAAGATTGTTGTCAGTTATAATACTGCTACACGAATTAAAATTTAAAGTTGTGTCATTTCTTTCTTTTCATATTTTTTATTGTTATTATTATCAGAATAAAATGTCTCTTTGTTATTATGACCATCTTTTTTTTTCTTATCTCCCCTCCTCCTCATCATCATCATTCCTCCCTCTCTTTCAACTCTCTCCTCTCCTCCTCTACCCCCCCAAAAAAAAAAGTTTAAAAAAGAAAAAAATTCTTTTACATTTACCATATATGGAAATAAGATTAATTCTCCTACCATGGTATCAAAGTTTATGTTCGTGTAACATGATTTCCTCCAATTGCAATTGTGTGCATTATTTTTTTTTTTTCTATTTTTTATTTGGATATAAAAACCCTCCAAGTTCAGAAAAATCAAATTCCCCCACATTTTCAAATTTCTTTTTTCTTTTATTAAATATGTCTACTGATATTCAAGACGTTGAATCAAAGTATCAAATTGCTCATACTACTCCTCCTCCTGTTATAGCAACATCTACCATTGCTAATCCAGGTCCTTTAGGTCTTTGTGGTTTCGCTTTAACTACATTTGTTTTATCTCTTCATAATGCAGGTGCAGGTATTAAACCAGATGGTCCTCATGGTGTCGTTACTGGACTTGCTTTCTTTTATGGTGGTCTTGTTCAGGTATTATACAAGAAACCCTTTTTTTTTGTTTTTTATTTATTTAATAAACATATATAAATAGCTTTTAGCTGGTATGTGGGAGTTCAAGACAGGAAATACTTTTGGTGCAACTGCCTTTTCTAGTTATGGTGGATTTTGGTTATCTTTTGGTTTAATGTTCATTCCTGGTGCTGCTGTGAAATCAAGTTATAATAATGACGACGCTCTTTATGCTAAATCAGTCGGCTATTATTTATTAGGTTGGACTATATTTACTGGTATCATGTTGATTGCTTCTCATCGTTCTAATGTCGGTCTTATCTCTTTGTTCTTCTTTTTGTTTATTACTTTTATTATGTTAACAGCAGGTAAACTGAATTCATCAGAACCTTGTACTGTTGCTGGTGGTGCTCTTGGTATTGTTACGGCGTTTATTGCCTGGTATAATGCTTTATCAGGTCTATTAACAAAGCAATCTTCTTACTTTACTTTACCCATTGGTCGTATCAATTAGAAGTAATGATACTTATTTCTTATACCAATCTATTTCTATAGTTACAAACTTTTGTAGGAAAACCAAAAAAAATCATTTTATATATGATGATGGTTTTTTTTTTTTCTTTTTGAACTTTAATTATTATTATAATATTTTTTTATTTTTTTTTTAATAATATTATTCCCTTATTTACTTTCTAATAAATTTTTATAATTCATTTATCCCTAATAAATAATAATGATTTTATTCTATTCATGGCTTGTCATTTCTATTATAAAAATACAATAAGCTTTTTTTTTACACTAAACTTTCTCTCCTTTTTTCTCCTTGTCTTTTTTATATCTTCCCCTTAACCCCCTTTCTTTTTACAAATCAATTTGAAAACTTTCTCCTCTCTTTTATTGATTTTTTTTTCACATACACAAAGGGAATTGTTCGTGTGTAGTTTACCTTCGTTATTCAAGTACACATTCTTAAAATAAAATAAAAAGATCCCTCCCGAACATGCTTTATCTTTATAGGATAATAGATGCGTGTTTAAAAAGAAAGTAAATTACATTATGTAAAATACATATTTTGTAAATGTCAATACATCTTTTGTTGGAAAAAAAAAACAAACAAACAAACAATACATAATTTCATCTCTCCAACACTTAACAATAATGCATTATTCAATAAGTTCCATATATCACGTTACATATGCAGTTGATTCTTTCCCTTTTTGTTTATTGTTATTAGCTAATGATGATAGACTAGGTTAATATAAACGGTTTCTTTGATATGCAGATATTATAAAGTCATGATTTCGAGTCGCGCGTTTAATTTAAGGATAGCTCTTGTAATATAAGAGAAAATAAACTGTCTCAAAATAAACAATTCGCTTTATCAAAGGGGAGAAGAAGAAAGGGAGAAGGAAAAAAAAAAGTTATATAAAAGGAGAAAGCTAAAATCATGTTTCCCTGTATTATATAAAGATATTCATTCTCCTTATACATTAGATACATATAAAAGAAGAAGTTTAATATGATTAGAAAAAAAAAAGTCTATTTGTTTGTTTATAAATGATTTTGTAAACCAAACATGACAATCCATATTCTGCTTTGTTTATTTATTATTTCTGTACGCAGAATAAATAGATTCAAAATTCGCTCTCTTTCTGAATAATAATACCACTGATAATAATCCAGGTTACTAAAAAAAGAAAACAGAAAGAATAATAATAAGCCACAACTTGTTTTTCTTTTTTTTTTTATTATTTTCTTTACTTTTTTTATTTTTTTTCTTTCTGCAATTTTATACATTTATATTTTTAAGACACAACTCGAAATGAAAATACATTGTGACCTTAATATACCATGCTCAGGTCATCTTGATCGTACAGCAATAGACAAACTAAAATTAATATTATCTCAACTAACACAATGTAAGATTCTTTTGATTCAACTTGCCTCTCCTTTTCTTTTTAATTCTTTTCGTTCTGAAAAAATATATATATATACAAATATCTATTTATATATAGTGAATGAGTGTGCAGTTGCTTTAAACTATAAGATGGAAGGATTTAATAAAAACAATGTAAGCTTGAGAGAAAGAAAGAAACAGTATCGTTTTCTTTATAAGTTCTAAAACTTAGAGTAAAAAAAATATAAATATATACCATGATATTATAGATACCCAGACTATTAGACACAAATATAATCAATCCTGCAAGTTTTAACTCCAACTATTCCTTAAAAATCTATACACGAATTACAATCGACACAAATGAGCCTATTCATAATGTAATTAATAATATGGCCTATACATATTATTTAAGCTAATAATCAAAATGTTTATAGGAAGACTTGATGATGTTAAGACAGAAATTTGATCTTATTGCACTTCGAACAAATAATTTAAAAGTTTTTCAAGATGCATGTCATATTTATAACATTGATATTATCTCGCTTCATTGTGATGAACGCTTAGCCTTCGAGTTAAAATCCATTGATATAAAACAAGCATTGAAAAGAAAGATTTACTTTGAATTATGCTATGCGCCAGCTATTAGAGGTAAATAAAAGATTGTAAAATAGAGACATGTATTTAATGACAAAAAAAAAAAAAAAAGATAATCAATCTAGATCTTTTACAATACAACTTGCAAAACAGTTGTATGAATATACTCTTGGTGATAATATGATTATATCAAGTGAAGCAGAAATTGTATCAGAAATACGTTCTCCAGGATCTATATTCTATTTGTAAATGATATTTTATACATGTGTAATTTTATTTATAAATAGGCTTATTTTTTCTTTTTTATATAGTGCAAAATCAATTGGATTGCCTAATGATAAGGCTAAATTTACTACAGAGAAGCATTGTCAACAATTATTAAACAAAATAAAGCAATAAAACAATGTAAATTTTTTTTTGTCTTCTTCTTTTTATTTATTTATACACGCAAGTACATTTTATAAGTTAAAGAATAATACGAAACACTTCAACAGGAACTTGTTCAGATTTTCTAGATTTTTTTAGATGCTTCTTTAAATGATAACAATATTGTCTCTTTCTATTAAGACTTTTATAATGTGTATCATCCTCATTTTCTTCTTCTTCTTCTTCGTCGTCGTCGTCGTCGTCTTCTTCTGATTTATCATATAAACTATCTTCATCATTCTCCTCAATTTCTACTTTATTATCATATGTATCATCATCCATGTATGTTTCCTGCTCTTTATCGTCCAAAAATTGAATAATCGAGTTTCTCAATAAAGAAGGAAACCAATGATATTCTACATCAGATTCTGATTCACTATCAGAGTCTTCATCTTCAGAATTCATTAGAGCATAAAAGTCATATTTAGTTAATCTATCATCATCTGCAATTTCATAGTTTTGTGTCGTCTCTAATGATAATCCAGAAAGCTCATTTTCTGATAATTCGCGAATAGTGACAGAAGAGTTCGTTCCTAATTCAGGTGTAGAAGTTGTTGTTCTTGTTGTTGTTCTTGTATGTGTTCGTCCTCCAGCAGATTTAGTAGTAGTCGTAGTTTCTGAATATGATGTATAATGATAACTCATAATATATGTATGAATGTATGTATTAAAATAAAATACGAAAATACGAAAATACGAAAATACGAAAATACGAAAATACGAAAATACGAAAATACGAAAATACGAAAATACGAAAATACGAAAATACGAAAATACGAAAATACGAAAATACGAAAAAAAAAATTAAAGCATGGGACAGAGAGATTTTTTTTTAATGCTAATACATAACAAGTCTCAACAAATGCATGCATGCAGAAGTTTAACCTTAAAAGCACAAATATACACTATTTTCACAAATTATTCGTGCACCTTCAGGAAAAAAATTTGTGTAGTTTAAAAATAAAAATTGATTTAGGCTCAGAAAAAAAATTCATTCAAATTAATTTTAAAAATTCATGATTTATTATTGCATGAAGTGCACGAAAAAAAAACAAGAAAACTACATTGGCTTACAGTTCAAACAGTCTTCGAATTTAGCAGCTGAGTATCTGCAGAATCCTTGAAGATCACTCAAAAGGATTCTGTTGCATGCATCCCCAATTCTAGACGACAATGTCTCTTCCTGCAAAAGCTCTTCTCTTTTAAGCTTGCTTTTACATACTGACCAAAATTGTTCAATTGGGTTGAGCTCAGGGGAGTAAGCTGGAAGATAAACACAGCCGTAGCCGCGTTGCTCAATGTATTTTCTGATATCAGCATGCTTGTGAATAGGAGCATTGTCCATAACAATGTAATTGTCCTTAAATTGCTCATGCTGATCCAAAATATCAAGGGTACTTGTAATGAAATTGAAGTAGTGCCCAGTGACAGTTCCGCCTTTGGTATTTCCAGTAGCCTGAGTACTACCTGCTGTCTTTCTCTTCTTCAAAGGGACAGGTGCTCTTGGTCTTCTTACTTTGATGTTTACTACACCATAAGGAGAGATAGCACCCAAAATAGTTGTTGTTTTGGCTTTTGTCTTGAGTACAACTACAACAGCACGGCTTCCTTTTTTTGACCATGCTACAGAGCGCTTCATGTTGATATGGAAAGCTGCCTCGTCAATAAAGACGCAGTTACTCGTGAAATCAAGGTCTGTTTCATTCCATCTTACTACCCAATCATGTCTCTCCTGAATTTTTTCAGGGCTGTTTCGCTCTACTGAGTGGAAGTGTGCTTTCTTCAAACTAATTCTGCACTTTTTGGTCACAAAGTTGTAAAGAGCAGTTTTTGAAATAGATAGGTCCTCAAACTTGCTTGTCAAATTGTCCATCATCTCCTCCAAAACTAAACTTGACTTATCATCAATAAGCTCTTTCAAGAATTGTTCATGCTCTTCTTTCAAGATAGGTGGTCTTCCCACAGGTCTGCCACTACCCTTTTTTCTTTCAATCACTTCCTCTGGATTCTGGCTTTCTTTTTTGTACCAACTTTGAGCAGTGGTCTCTGGCATTTTAAGGGCTCTAGCTGCTTCTCTTATGCCCATGTTTTTCTCATAAATAAGAAAAAAAAATCGCTCCTTATCTTCAGGTTTGTAGCGTCTGTAGGTTCTCTTGCCCTTTTCAGATGTTTGGTCATTAGTATTGGACTCCTCAGACAGCTTCTCTTCTTTTTCATGTTCCATTCTCTCAGGTGGCTTTACGTCGAAGTACTGGTTCAAATCCGTTACATTTTCAAGCGGATAAGTTTCATCATCCACTTCCATATCAATCGTAAAAACTTCATTTCCCTGGTCATCTAACATGTTTCCTTTTCCGTCTTCGTGAATAAAAGAGTCCATACTGAATTGAATATAAAGTGAGAAAGAAAGGCTCCTGATACTGCGCGAAATTTTTTTCTTTAATTGCACGAAACTATTTCCTTTTAATGGCCGAAGTTTATTCCTGAGCCTAAATCAATTTTTATTTTTAAACTGCACAGATTTTTTTCCTGAAGGTGCACGAATAATTTGTGAAAATAGTGTAGCAAGATGAATGGGCGGAGGGGAAAAAAAAAAGTCATTTTGAGATACAAAAAAGAAACATCAACTGCGGGCGTCAGTTGGCTCTTCTTCTAGAGGGAAAAATAATAATCAAAACTTAAAAGATGGGTTCTCTTCATGTCACTTTTACTCTAATATTATGTTTGACAATATAACTATTATCACTCATCATATATTAGTATTGAAAGAAGAAGAAGAAAAAAAAAAGTCATGTTTCCTTTTTATTAACGTCTAAAAATATGTTATAATGGCTGCATAGTCATAACCTATAAATAGAAAGATGATTCTTCGGGTTCAATTCTTCCTCTTACTAGGCTTATTGTATAACAATAATAAACTATTTTTATACCTGGCAATGTGGTCTAGATTTCGATATATTGCTTCTTCAAGTATTTATTACTATTCGGTATGCATGCAACCATCATAGAGATAAATTATCTGTATATAACGTTGGAACCAGGCTGTTGGAAATTTATTTCTTGGCCTTGTCTCATTGTCAAACACAGGCAACATTAACCCCTTCAAAAAGATACATGTAGGTTTAAGAAACGCGAATGTGATATATAGGAGCGCACCTATTTATATAGGGTTATCAATCGATTCATGAATGTGATTTTATTTTGTAGTAGAAAGATAAAAAAAAAACAATCGATATACTTTGCCTATTCTCATCTTGCTTGTCTCTTCATATTTATAACAATTATCGTGATAGGATTATTCTTTTCCCTATATTTTTTGATGGCAAGCGGACTAATATAGGCTTTTAGGATCAGTAGATATTCTATACAATTAAAATATGAGTTGAAATCTTGTTTTTTCTTTTGAACATGATTAATGCTAGAGTATTTAATACATATTATTAATTCAGCTTGACTTTTATAATTCCTTATAAATGATCTTTTTTTTTTTTGTATAAAATAATATAATATATAATTCACTTATAGCATGCTAAGCATTCTTACATAGTATAATAAGCCTTTCTCGTTACAATTTTATATATTTTGTTGTTATTTCAGCTATCTGAACTTTGATAAAGTCATGTTATTTAATCAAATCCCAATAGACTCAAGTTTACTGTACGATGATCCCTTATCCCCCGCTTTTTTTTTTCTTACTCAAAATTGATGCATATAAAAAATGTCAAAAAACAAGCCACATAAAATTTCCATTTTTATTCATTTTTTAAACTTTTTTTTTTTTTTTTTTTTTTATTCCATTCTTATTTTTTTTTTTGTAAGTACGATTGATCTTTTAAAATGGCATTAAAAAAATCGTTAGCCAATTCAAAAAAAGCTAGTACTGGAAAGGTTACTAAAAAGACAGCTCAAAAGAAAGATGAAGGAGCATCAAAGAAAGAAGTTTCGAATTCTAAATTAAAAAAACAGGAGTATCAGCGTAAAAAATACAACAAAGATAAAAAGAAGAAAAACAAGAATGGAGAGGATGATGATGACTCTGATTTTGAAATCGTACCCTCCACTGTGACAGAGAGTATAATGGATACTAGTGATTCAGAATTAGAAAGTGTTGCAGAAAGTGACGATGGTGATTCCGATCTCGAATTAGACATGTTTGGCAAATTCAAAAGTAAGAAACCTGCTGCTACAACTATTGCTGCACCTATTGCATCAGTAAAAAATCAAACCCCTATTTCTTTAAATGATAGTGATGATGATGATGATCAAGATGAGAAATTTATTGCATCTGAAAATATAGCTGCTAATCGTAAGAATAAGAAATCGGGTGGTTTTCAATCGATGGGTAAATGAATTTTAAAATTTTTATTTAATATGACATTATCTTATATTCTTTTCTTTTATTTAAAAAAAAAAGGGTTAAGCCATCCTATTTTTAAAGCTATTATGCATAAAGGTTTTAAAGTACCAACCCCAATTCAACGCAAGTGTATCCCTCTTATTCTTGAGGGTAATGATGTAGTTGGTATGGCCCGTACAGGTTCCGGTAAAACAGCTGCATTTTTAATTCCCATGTTGGAACGACTCAAGACCCATTCAGCCAAGACAGGTGCTCGTGGTCTTATCTTGTCACCTTCTCGTGAATTAGCCCTTCAGACACAAAAGGTATGCAAAGAATTAATGAAGTATACGGATCTTCGAAGTGTATGTGTTGTAGGTGGTGATAACTTGGACGATCAGTTTGAAATGATGGCCTCTAATCCAGATATCTTGATTGCTACACCGGGTCGTCTTTTACATTTGTCAGTCGAAATGAACCTTGATCTTCGTACAATCGAATATATTGTCTTTGATGAAGCAGATCGTCTCTTTGAAATGGGTTTTGCTGTTCAATTGCATGAAATATTATCTCGTTTACCACCTAATCGTCAAACCTTATTATTCTCTGCTACTTTACCCAAGATGCTAGTTGATTTTGCAAAGGCAGGCTTACAGGAACCCACGTTGATCCGTTTAGATGTCGATACCAAAATTTCTCGTGATTTAGAAATGGCATTCTTTTCAGTTAAAGAGAATGAAAAAGAAGGTGCTTTATTATATCTCCTCAGAAATGTCATTCAACTTCCCAAGAAGACACTTCATGAACAAGCAGTAGACGGCAAAAAAAAGGGGGGAAAGAAACAGAATCATGCTGAAACTGAACATCAAACGATTCTATTTGCAGCAACAAAGCATCATGTAGAATATTTAGCTAATTTATTAGAGATCGCTGGTTATCAAGTCTCTTATGTCTATGGTTCACTTGATCAAACGGCTCGTAATATTCAGATCAACAAGTTTAGAAATGGCGTGACAAATATTTTAGTGGTTACTGATGTCGCCGCTCGTGGTATCGATATCCCTATCCTTGAAAATGTCATCAATTATGATTTCTGTGGCTCTTCCAAGGTCTTTGTTCATCGTGTAGGTCGTGCTGCTCGTGCAGGTCGTCGTGGCTGGGCTTACTCTCTTGTTACAAATGACGAATTGCCTTATGTTATTGATCTAGAGCTTTTCTTAACACGTCCCATCGTCTTGGGTGGAGAAAAGGAAGAATATGATTACACAAGCGAATTAGTAATGGGTACAATGCCTAAGGACGCCGTCATTGATGATAAAGCATGGGCCACTGAGAGGGTCAATCAAGATGCTGGTTTAGAAGGTATTTACAAAACTGCAATGAATGCCTATAAACTCTATAATCGTACCAAGCCTCGTGCTGCTGCTGAGAGTTATAGTCGTGCTAAGGACATAATCAAGAAGAAGGCCTTCAATCATCTTCACCCATTGTTGTTGAGTGCTGAAAACACAAGTGTGGTTGAAATTGAACGTAACAATATGCTTAGCGCCATTAGTAGCTTTAGACCGTCTGAAACTATTTTTGAATTTGGTGTACGTGGTCATCGTAAGGTGACACCGGCTACGATGATGATGCGTGAACGTCGTCAGACGGTAGATAAAATTATTTCTGCACATAAATCACAAGAAGAGGCAGAGGCAATAAAGCTGAATAAACCAGTGATTGTACGTGATGAAAACAAAGTAGTCGAAAGTTTAGGTGGCCATGTAGAAGAAGATGAATTAGCAAAAGCATTTAATATACCAATCTCTAAAAAAGAAGGTAACGAAAAAAAATAAAATAAAATAAGATAAACACATACTCACAAATATAAAACAAGTAGACAAAAAGAAAGAAAAAAAGACAAACTTTCGAGATGAAGAATATTATTTATCTTATACACAAAAAGATGCTAATACAGAAAGAGGCTATTCTATGAGCAATGAGGGTAGTTTTAATGAACTTGCTACAAAGGCACAACTTGATTTGACAGGTGATGATCAAGATGCGATTAGAAAAAATAAAAATATGCTTCGTTGGGATTCAAAGAAGAGAAAGTTTATTCGTGGTACTGGTATTGGTGCAGATAATAAAAAGTTAATTCGTACTGAAAGTGGTACGTTAATCTCTGCTTCTTATAAGAGTGGCCGATTTGATGAATGGGCTAAAAAGAAGCATATTCACTTACCTCGTATTGGAGAACAAGAATTGGCTGGTGCTGCTAATATGGGTAAAAAACGTTATCTTCATACTAAGATGGAAGAAGGTAGACGTCTGGATCCTCTTGCTTATGATTATGAAAAGAAATTGAAGAAGAGAAAGATGAATGAAACAGAAACTACGGTTGAAAAGAATGGCTTGGGTAAAAGACAGGTTGGTAACCGTAAGACGGTTAAGAATGAATTGAAGAATGCAAGTCAAATTCGTAAAGATCGTATTGCTTATGAAAAGAGAAAAGAAAAGTCCACACAACCTGGTCGTAAAGGACGTAAAGGTAATGGACGTCGTCGCTAAAAAAAAAAAAAAAAAAAAAAATAATAATAATATTAGAATTTTGAAATATATTTATAAATATATGAATGTCTTTTTTTTTTTTTTTTTTTTTTTGTAACATTAATATTTTATGTACCTTTATTATTAATAAACGAGGATTTTCTTTTTCTACACGTGATTTATATTCAAACTCAGAAAGTAATTGCTACTATTTTTTTTTTTTTTTTGTGTCGAGAAAAAGGCGAGCCAAAATGACGAAGCCCGAAAGTTTTTTTTTCTCTTTTTCTTTTATTTATTTATTTATTCATATACAATTCGTTTTATAACTGAACATGTCTTGGCAAGCTTATGTAGATAACAACCTTGTTGGTACTGGTCATGTTTCTCAAGCTGCTATTTATGGTTTAAATGGTGGTGAATGGGCTAAATCAGCTGGTTTCCAAGTAAAGAGAAAAAAAAAAAAAGTTCAATTCAGAAAAAAAAAATGTTTACAAAGAAAAAAAAAACTATTATTTATTTAGGTTAAGCCTTCTGAAGTTCAAGAGATTGTTACTGCTTTCTCTAACGCTGAGAAGGTTCGTGCTAATGGTGTCCATGTTAATGGTATCAAGTACCTCCTTTTGAGAGCTGATGAACGTTCTATTTATGGCAAAAAGGTAATAAAATAAGGCAAGCAAAGGGTGATAAATTTTTATTTTATTTTTTTTGGGGGGAGGGGGAGGATATGTAACTTGCTTACTTACTTTATTTATGTATTAGGGTTCTGATGGTGTTTGTATTGTAAAGACAAATCAAGCTTTCTTGGTTGGTACTTATAAAGAAGGTATTCAACCTGGTAACTGCACCAAGATTGTTGAAGGTTTAGCTGATTATTTGATTTCCACTGGATACGTATGTATTATTATTTTTTTTTTTAAAGAAAAGTAGCATCTCATACATTAACATTTTTTTTTTATTATAGTAAAATTGTTTATCCCCACCCCCCTCTTTATATATCACAATATATACACATATAAATAACATGAAAATAAAAAAATAAAAATAAAAAATACGTGTCTTTTTATCCTTTTTTTTTTCTTTTTCTTTCTTTTTCTTTTTCTTTAATGAGGTGACATGGTTGAAAAGTTACTTTTAGAATAAAGTTCGCGTCAAATAGAATGTCTACTTTGTCGTTACAACAAATGCAAATACATGTATAAATATAGACATAGATACATTTATATGGATATAAATATAGACATAGATACACATATACATGTATAATACTCCCACCCCCAGTCTTATGAAGAGTTGAACATTCTATCCGGATAAGATTGTCACGCTTTTTTTTTTTTCAAATATGCAAGTGTTTTAAAGGCAACAAATTAATTAATAAAATTGAGACAGTATTTCTACTTCAAATTCAGACGATGTTAGTATTTTTTTTTTGGATGAATAAAAAAGGAAATTCAGATACAGATGCAAAAATGGGATAAAGGAGAAATTAAATTGAGACAGAACGTTAAATGAGATTCAGAAAAAAAAAATTGCTATTTTTTTTTTTTTTTTTTTTTTCGTAAAGACTTCTTACCTGTAGATATCTTTAAGCTGTCACCAGTGAAGGTGCAGCAACCACATTGGAGGTGGCGGTTTGTCGTTTGAAGACGGTGGAGCGATCATTGTCATTCCATATAGACTGAGCTATGTAAAACATATTTTTTGCTAGCCATTACATCTCGGTTCCAAAGGATATATTGCAAGTTTTACACTTCAATACTTGATGGATCATGGTCATCTTCCCTACACTTCAGATTTTCTATATCATTTTTAAAGTAATAATGACAGATCTATGAAGAATTGGTTTTAGCTGAAAGTGTAATATGTAAACTATGTGTTGTTTTTTTCTTAATAACCTTTGATGTATTAAATTCGTTGATGTCTAGTAACAAGAGTTCTCCAAGCCTTTGCCTTGTTTTTTAATTGTTAATATATTTTGTTAGATACGCCATAACGGGGAGACCTTTGAACTTGATATGATCCTTGTTTTTTAGTCCCTCACCAAAGACCACTAGAGGCATCTTGCTGCTGTTTCCCTTTTCAAAACAGACTTTGTTGTTTCTGCTGTAAGTTACAGATATACTAGTTAGAGTTTACTGAAATAATAATAATAATAATAATAATAATAATAATAATAATAATAATAATAATAATAATAATAATAATAATAATAATAATAATAATAATAATAATAATAATAATAATAATAATAACAATAAAGTGTATACCTTTTTGATTTTGGGATGGTGGTGAGTGCTCTTTTTTCTTGAGCAGTACGAGGCTTGTGAGTTTTCCTCCTTCTTTTTCTGTTTTCCTTTGTCTTCTTTCTCCTGCTTTTATTATACTTTTTTCCACCATTTATTAAGATGTTGACACTTTCTTGCATGGCTTTTTGGGAACTAAGGTAGTTCAACCATTTAATCTTAGAAGTTTCAAAGCTGTAGAAATTGAGCAAAGTATTCATGTGCTGCAGCATGTAAGTTATGTACAAAACAAATTGTTCCACAGACGCAGTTTTAGGCGAAGGAATGTCTGTTTCAATCTTTTCAATACCTGGTCTCTGTTTGCGCTTCTGTTGCTCTTTCATTTGTCTTACACTTCCACCCATATTGTAATATTCGATTGAGGACAAGCGACGTATGTCAGTGGCCACCGTGACAAGAGACAAAAGGATCCCGCCTTCCTGGGTTTACAGTACATGGACGGGAATGCTTATCCACCTCTTCGCTTGTAAAATCGTTCAACTCTAGACAGATATTGTCTTCTGGTGATGACAGAAGCACTTTTATAGCAAATAGAACTCTGCATGTGTAGCCATCAGTATACAGTCCATTGAGAAACATCTTTCCTTTTTGTTCAGGCAGTGCTTGAAGCTTTTCACAACTATATTTTTTTTTCATCAGCAATTTGATTTATAGATGTATGTAGTAGTAATGTATACCTTTGAATACCCAGCTTCTTAAAGTCAAACATTTGATAGAAGTATATTTCTTTATGATCGAAAAGAGATTCATTAGCTTGCTTTTTTTTTGTTTGGCATCTGGGAAAATTCCGGTTAGGTTCTGAGCATCCATCTTTATGAATCGCCAGTGCAATCCAAAATTCGGGAATAGACTAAAACGTCTTGGAAGTAGGGACTTGATCAAATCGCTTTTGTCATTTTGAGGAGTATGGGCCTTGTATATATCATCGTATTTTTTTTTTAAGGATATGCCCTTAATGCGGATAGAATTTTGAAGGGTTCATTGTTTAAGCTTTCTTTAGACACTGGAAGCTTGGACAGGCAATTGTTCACTTCTGAAATCAAAGGATTTAAGAAACTTGGAAGATTATTGGCCACATCCGGATCAAAAAAGGGCAAGAATATCATTAGGTATAGAGGATGACTAGGAATGTGTAAGCACTTGATCATATGCCAAGTTCTTGATACAGCCAATCTTCGCATTCTAGTTTATACAATTTTAGTATAAAAAATTTGAGAAACTGAACATGTATATTAAAGAGTTTGTTTTTATCTCTCGTTGCTTACCGGATACTTTGCCCTTAATGTATAGATAAAGTAGTTACATATAATGTTTTCAAAGTTTTCAACATAGTAGTTATTGTATGTTGTTGCGATAGTTTCACATGCAGTTGGCAGAAATTGTCCATAATTCTTTAATCTATTTTCTGGAACAAACAAGCTACCATTTAAAGTGGCGGATAGTTCAACAAAAGAACTTGTAAGTTGAACCATATCTAGATTCTGTTCTGCAGATATTTCCCTTTTCGTGTCTTTGTAATCCTGTAGAATTGGCCCTACATCATCTGAGCTGCCCCTAATCACTCTTGAAATAGTGTACCCAAAAATTTTGATAAAAAAAAAGTCATTTGTCAACTTGCTTGGGTGTTGCAGAATAAAAAAAGTTTATAAATAGTTGTGCTTTGAACATGACTTTACGGATAAAGCTTGATACAGCCTTGACCTTTTCCAAAGAACTGGCTTTGTTTGGGAGTATTCTTGCAGAAAGTTGCAAATGGAATAGAGAGAGAGTATATCTTTGATAAGTTGATTCCAAGTTTAATTTGTAAAAGTTCTGCTAGCTTTAGATTATAGTTTTTTGTAGTGGGGGCTTCTTGCAGAGTTATGCCCCTCCTCTTGGTAAGAACTACATTTGTTTTTACTTTTAGAGGATGACGCTACTGAAGTATTAGTTTGGCGGCTTCTCTTTGCATTCCTCTTTGCTGTTATTACAGCAGGAGAGTCTTTCCTCTTGGTAGCTTTATGTACATTAGCTTGTGAGACCTTGTAAATGCATAAAGTGTGTGTGTGTGTTTTTTTTTTTTTACTTACATGTTCTCTTAGGGTTTTGAGTGGTTGAGTTGTCCTTTTTACTTTCAGAATTGATCTTTTCTAGCTTTGCACGTTTCTTGAGGAAAATTAAATGCTCCACTTCAGGGTAAATAGGTGTGCGTGGCATTGATGAATTGAAAAAAAAAAGAAGTGGAAAGAGTTCAAGACAACATTTGTCTGCTAACTAGAAAATATACTCAGTGTAAAGCATGTCACATTGTAATGAAAGCTATGACGTGAAGTCTTGTTATTATAGTTGAAAGGGAATATATCTTTTGATTATTTAAATTTATTTTTATAACTGAGCAGAACTACTTCAGCTATCATTTAAACAATAAAGGCCTTGTTGGTTAAGTAAAAAGTTATACACAAATGAATTTTGTCTTTGACTCTTAGATCATGAAGTATTAGAATGATACGAGCGCTATAGAGGCTGGCTGTTTTTTTAGGATTACACCCTTAAATCAAGGCAATATATATATATATGTATATTTATATATTTAAATTTGTTCAGTATAGTCCCACATTTGCGTTCGTGTCCGATGTTCTCTTATGTGTGCCATTTTCATATTGGTTTCCCAATTTTGCAACCCTGTTCCAATTTATTTTGGAAATGGCCAAAAAATTTTTTATTGACCCAACCTAGTTTCTTCGACTATATAGGCTGTATCAAAATAATAATAATTATAATAGAAAGAAAAATTACAACACAAGATATATAAATATATTATATTATATAATAATAATAAAAAAGATATTCTTATTTGGTTAATTTGCGTCTTTTAATAATACGCTCAGTTTCCTCATGAAGCTCTGCAACACGTCCTGCTAAAGATAAATACATTTTACGTTGATGATCCAACACAGCTCCCAAACCATCAGGAGTGAATCGATCTTGATCTTGGAAACTAGCTATAGCTTCTTCAATACTATCAATTGTATGTGAGAATTGCTTTACTCTCTCCTCCATACTATCAATTGTATTTGTATAGAAATGCCAGTTTTCTTGTGCACCACGAGTACGCCAACTCTTTGCATCTTGATTATGAACATTACTTGCTGAAACCGCATTCAAACGTTGTTCTTTATTCTTAAGGATTAGCTCATCTAATGCTTTGCTTTGTACTTCTAAATGTTCCTTCAAAATAAGAGCATCCTAAGCAAAAAAATAAAATATATAAATACATGTTTCTTTTTTTTTTTTTAAAAAAAAAAAATAAAACTTACTGCGTTCATAGCTAAAGTGCGTACGTGCATATCCTTCAAAGTAGGGCCGAAAGATGAATTAAGTTCATCAGCAATCTTTTCGTGTTTATCGGTTTGTTCAGAAATAAAGTTGGCAAGTAAAGCCAATTCATTACGAGCATCATCTGGAAGTTCCCAAAAATGTGTCTTATATGAAATTTGACTTGCATCAGTGATATTAGAATGTAATGTTGTTGGAACAGATACATTTGAGCTAAATAATAAAAAAATATATAATATAAGTTAAAAAAATATGTGCGTATATATGCATATATAAATATATGTATATATGTGTGTATGAGTGTTTTTCTTTTTTTTTATTACAAAAAAAAACATACTCTGATGTACTCTTTTTTGAAAATGGACGTAAACCTAATGTGGAAACATTATTATCATCTTCTTTACGTGTTGTTGTACTATATGCAGCAATATTCAATTTTGGTTCTGTAGTTGATGTACTGCTGGTAGAGGTTGTAGTAGGTAGATTAAACATGACGTGCTTACCACTAGTACCCTCTTTAGAGCCCTTGTCACTTCCTTTAGAATTAGAAGCATTAGTTGTCGCTAATGCAGATTTAGATAAAGGCGACTTGCCATGAATGAACGATGTACCAGAAGCAGAAGTTTCGTTAGAGTTCGTCTTAGTAGCTGTAGCAGATTTTTCACCACTTTCTTTTGAAGAATTAGAAGTAGAGGAAGTTACTGTTGGTGATGTAGAGCCAAATGTGAATAAAGGTTTGGCAGAGGCAGTACTGGAAGAACTTGTAGAATCTGTAGTAGTAGTAGTAGTAGTATCAGGTGTTTGCGTAGATGGCGATGCTCCAAAGTTAAATGAAGTCGTCTCTGAACCTGTCTTTTCTTTATTTGTGGAAGAAGTAGGAAAAACAAAAGGTTTATTAATTGTAGTGTCATCTTTCTTTTCAGTCTTAGCAGTTGATGTTCCAAAGGTAAAATTAAGTGCTGGTGCGTTAGATTTATTAGATTCACTATCAGCTGTAGGCTTTGCGGGTTCGGAAGTAGTAGTAGATGGGGTGGATGAACCAAATGAGAAAGATTTACCAGCATCTTTATTTTCCGGAGTGCTGAAAGAAAAGCTGAAAGATTTATCAGCAGAAGTAGTAGCAGCAGTAGATGATGATGATGATGATGTTGGAGTATTAAATGAGAAAGGTTTTGATGACTGAGAGCCCATAGATCCAAATGTTCTTTTACTAGTTGGTTGATTATTATCTTCATTACTATCTCTGTCAAGTTGTCTCTTTTTGCCAAGATTTTCAGTTGATGATGATGAACCAAATGAAAAGCCTGTTGGTTTATCAGTAGTAGATGAAGAAGCAGCAGCTGCTCCAAATTTAAAGGGTTTAGAAGTATCGGCTGAACCAAAGGAGAAGGGCTTTGTTGTTACAGATGAAGTACTAGAGGATTCTGCAGGTGCATTAAACGTAAAAGGTGAAGAAGTAGTTGGCTTAGATATAGTAGATGATGATGTAGATGTAGATGTTGAAAATGAAAACGGTGATGGTTTATCAGAGGCTGAGGATAATGGTTTAAATGAAAAACCTGTAGAAGAAGGTGGTATACTGGCAGATGAGGTACCAGAAGTACTAAGGTTGAATTTTGGTGGAGATGCTACATCAGTTTTAGTTGATGAAGCAATGCTACCAAATGAAAAAGCGGGTGTAGATTTAGTGGTTCTTTCGGGAGAGGTAGTTTTTTCAATAGAAAATTCTTCATTTGTTTCTTCCTGTAATTTATCGACTTCATTTAACTTGGGTTCTGGACGAGCTGGGGAACCGGCTACTGAAGCAGTAGTTTCTGTGCCAGAACTAATAGAGACAACACTATTCTCACGCTGCTGATCTTCTGATAATGTAGTATTTTCCTCAGTAGAATTATTTTGTTTTGAATCTTGATTTAATGATGTAGTAGTAGTAGTAGTAGTAGTAGTAGTTATAGCTTCAGGTTCTGTTGTTTCTGTTGTGTTTAGCTCCTTTCCAGTTTCCGATTCAAGTGTAGAAGGGACAGGACTAGCAACAACAGCAGCGGTGGACGATGGGCTGTTTTGCTCAGATGATAAATCAGTATTAGATTTACCAAAAAGAGCATCTAAAGTTTTTTGTGAGGCATTGTTTTCTTTAGTAGCCATAAAAGATCCAAATGTAAATGGAGAAGATTTTTCTGATGGTTTTTCAGCGGGTTTATCCTCAGTAGCTTTCGTAGTTCCGAAAGAAGCAAAAGGGGAAGGCTTATCAGATGCCTTCTCAGAAGATATATCTGTAGTAGTAGTGGTGGTGGTGGTGGCTGGCTTTGTTAAGCTAAAACCTGCAAAAGGAGAAGGCTTATCTGATGATTTTTCAGAAGATTCTTTTTCAGTAGTAGCTACACTATTAGAGGCACCAAAAGTAAACTTGGGCATAGAAGATTCTGCAGGTTTAGAAGCAGCAAAAGAGGCAGGAGCTTGAGATTTACCGGCATCTTCTTTGTTTTCTGATGGTTTATCTTCAGTAGCTTTAGTAGCTAAGGATGTACCAAAACCACTAAAAGGAGAAGAGGTTGCTTTTGAAGGAGTCGTAAATGAACTAAATGAATTTGCTGGTTTATCTTCAGCTGTCTTTACATTATTTGTAGGTGTTGATGAACCAAATGAAAATGCAGGAGTTAAAGTTGTGTTTGCACTAGCAGATGTTGTACTTTTAGTAATATCTCCAGACAATTCAGTGCTCGATTTATTAACAGTAGTAGATGAGCCAAATAAAAATGGTGAAGATGCTGGTTTAGCTTTAGAATCTAAAGTATTATTTACACTAGACGCATTATTATTACCAAATGAAAAACCTGAAAATGCTGATGTAGGTTTAGATTGCTGACTAGTAGTTGAAGGAGTTGTAAAACTGAAAGTAGGTGTAGCAGTTGATGTTTGAGGCTTACTTGCTCCAAATCCACCAAATATAGAGGTAGTTGTCTCTGGTTTGTTAGTTTCTTCTGAATCCATATCAGCATCATTGTCCTTATCATTATTATTTGATGATTGTTGAGCGGATTGTCCTTTAAAAGATGTATAAAAAAAATCGATCAAATTATTTTAGAAAAAAAAAAGAAGAAAAAGAATAAATAAATATATATTGTTATATTTACCAAAACCTGAAAATGGAGTAGATTTATTTGCAGTAGTAGATGCTCCAAAGCCAACTTGGAATCCACTTGTAGTTGAAGAAGGTGTCATATTACTACCAAAGGCACCCATTGCTGAAGTATTTGAGGGATTACTAAATCCACTGACAGGCTGAGTTGTTGATGCCATATTTCCGAAGCCACCAAAGCCAGAATTTACAGTAGTAGAAGGATTATTTATGGTATTTCCAAAAGTTGTTTGAAATCCTGAGTTGCTAGGACTACCAAAACTATTAGCAAAGGATGGCTGATTAACAGGTGTTGCAGATGCATTAGGGCTTCCAAAAGAGAATCCAGCTAACGGACTAGTACTACCAGTAGTACTACTAGCGCTTCCAACAGAATTAGTTGAAGTTGTTCTATTTAATCGACGTCTTGGTGTTGCAATGCGGCGTTCTGGATGGGGATTACTATTTTGTAATTAAAGATTAATAACGCGTTGATTGAACACTCAATTCATTTAGTAAAACTTTTTTATACCTCATTTCTTTTAAAGTTCCCAAATAAAACAAGATAAAAAAAAGTTATTATTCGAATAAAAAGAAAGTGATGTCCCTTTATTACAAAACTTTTCTGAACCAGGAAAAAAAAAAAAAAAAAGGAAAAAAATTATATGAAGTTATAAAGGAAAAAAAAAAAAGTGACTTTGAATTGATTGTAGTACGCGTTTATTTTGTAGATTAAAAAAAAAATTATTGACGAAGAATGTGCTCCAAAATTTGTTTTTCTTCTAGATTCAATTGAATTTGACAGATTTCATTAAAATTATTAACATTATGTGTATTACAGTTACGGAAAAAGTCTGTTAAATAAGTCTTCATATCAGTTTGATAAATAGGATCATTCTTCAAGTCAGGATTATCCTCTTCATCATCATTCTCATCAAGGTTATTCAACATGTCTATTATAAATTATTTAGTCCCCCTTTATTATTACTTACTTTTATTAAAGAAAACTTACCGGATAAAAGATGGAAATCATTGCGAGCAGTAAATGGATCATCATCAACGTCTTCCCAATCTCCAGTCTTAAAAAAAAATTAAAATAATGAGTTTTATAAAAAAAAAAAAAAAAAAAAAAAAAGGAGATATTATTATATATTTGGTTACCTCATCTTCATCTACAGATTCTGCATCTTCAATGGGTGCTTGTTCATTCATATATGCAGTAGTAGCATCTGCTATCAAGAGCTTAATGATCTTTGTAGGTACTGAAATAGTTTGGTATTGATCAGGGTCTATAAGACGAATATGTATACATATTAGAATCATATAAATATATGTAAACAGTTGTGTTTATCTTACTTCTCTTTGCTCTTGATCGTGTAACAATGCCAGCTAAAGATAATAATATATATTTTTTTAGTACAATTACAATATAATAAAAACTAGAAGGATTTATTGCTTACCATTAGGGTTAACAACAATATCACCTTTAACACTAATACTTTGAAGTCTAGGATCACTTGAAAGAAAGACTTTTGATAGAGCAACAGCACTGAATAGATTTTTAGTATATTAGATTCTCTCTTCCTTTTTATAGAAAATACACATGCATGCATGCATAGTCCTTACCTAACCTTCATGGTATAATAACCAGAGAAACTATCATAGTTATCACACCAAGTTGTCATTAAAATTTCTAACCCATTCTTTCCATTAATTTGGGCATCACAGAGGAATTGGAATACAGTATCCTGCTGAGAAATGATCAAGTGAGCAAATACCATAACAAGAGATTGAATAAAAGGTTGATAATCAGTATTCATTAAACGTCCAAGAACGGCTGTTAATAAGTTGGGTAAGACAGGTGCAATACCATTACCAACTTTTTGGATCAAAGTGACAATTAAGTCACCAACAAAGATAGCGTCAGAATCAGAACCAGTAGGTTCAAGCAATTTAGCAATAAAAAGGATAATATAATCTAACCCAGATTTACCAGATGGATCATGCCTACAAAAAAAAATACAATAGATAGTTTATATACATATAAGAGAGAAAGAAAGAGAGCTTGTTTTTGTTGTTGTTGTTTTTTCCTAAACTAGAAATTATATGCTTACCATCTCATAATATGATCTGCATCTTTATTAATAAAAGTCTTCAAACATTCCTGTGTGCTTTGAAGTAAATCAATATCTGGGACATTCCATGCCAATTGCATTAAACCTGGGAACATTTGCTCAGTAAATTCATTAGGTAAAGGAGAAGGGCCAAATGAAATCATTGCAGTAAGCAAATCTACAGCAGACTATTATATATGGATAACAGTTAGTTACTTTTTTGACTATTCAAAGTAATATGTAAATGAACTTACTGAATATACAATAGGATTCGTGTTGGCAGTAGAGAGAACTTGACCTATAAAAGGAAGAGCTCGTGCGCATAGAGAAGAATAATAGAATGTATTTTTAGCAAATTCTTCAAATAAATCAAGGATATAACTAGTAATGATAGAATCTGTAGCATTTTTTTCCCAAAGTTGCAAAATAGCAGGTGTCAGGATATGTTCATATTTAGCAGTAACTTCTTGGTTAATCTAATAATTTAAATTAAAATAAAAGTCCTCTTTTCTCTCTCTCTCTGTCATCATTTATATCATACCTTAATAGCGGATGCTAATGTATCAAGCAATAGCATCAAGGATTCCTCAGTAGCTAAAGGTAAAAGTTGACATGCACCTTCCATAATATTTACTTGATAAGGTGTAACAAATTGAGGATTCAAATATTTACAATAATTATCCAAAGCTCTTAAAGCCGAAATCTTAACAGGGATACCACTGTTTGGAGATTGAAGAGCCTGAACAGCAACAGAGACATATTGACTAGACATGTCATTCGGTAAAATTTTTGCAAATTCAGATGCAAAAACGAAAGCTCGACCTTGTAAAAATGGAAGATCTATAGAATCATATATATTGATATGAATGAATGTTCAAAAAAAAAAAAAAGTTATTTTTTTCTCCAATTAATTATTATATGTACCACTACTTACCAGACAACTTCATATCTTCAAGAACAACATGATCGAATAAACTCTTGAGATCAAATTGAACTTTCTTACTCTCATCAGCCAAAGAATCTGCTAATTCTTCAGATAGTCTACCTACAGCTAACAAACAAGATTCTTGAATCTTCCACCAATCCCCATTGCCAGCATTTCGAGCTTCATTTGATTCAGAAATATGACGTTGAATAGCAGCACTCAAGGCATTAAAGAAGGGAATAGGGAAAGCCTCTTGTAAAGTTAAGAGGACATCAATAGATGCAACACGAGCATTGAAAGTAAAGGTGCCATCTTCTTCATCAGCTACAAATTGATTCGCATCCGAAGACCATGTCTCGATTTGCTCTTGCGTAATTTGCATATAGATAATGTAAACATATAACAACTGCTCAAAGAATCCAGTAGCAGTACCATCTGCATTCATAAACAAATGTCTAACCGTCTTTTTAGTACATGCAGCTGCAACAAAATCAAACAAAACGTATAATAAATGTTGAAACCCAATCTCGTTTCCTTCTGAGTCTTGATAAGATTCCCCGATATCGCCTGAATCACTGACAAATTCCTCTACATAACGTTCACGTAAATTGTAAAGATCCATCCAGATAGGTTCAAAAAGTTGTGGTAAAAGAGAGGAAATATATTTGGGGAATTCAGCGCTGATAGTACAAATACATTTAACAACTTTCATCTTTAATCCATACTCTTCAGTGGCTTTTTCATCATCGCCTTGAACATGATGATTTAAAATAATCACGAATGCTTCCATCCACTGAGGGATGATTGGTGCAATAAACTGTTCAGCTAAAGCTGGATTCTCTTCGCGTAATGTAGATAACATTTCGATACAACTCGTTAGGATATTCACAGCCCTACCACGAGTACTAAATGAATAAACCTAATACATTATACAAAAAAAAGAGAGAGACAAAAGATGAATGAGTGTTTTTGGTTTCTAGTTTAAAAATGCTGATATTTTACATTGTCCGAAGTTAAAATGCGATACATTTCAGGGATTAAAACAGGACCAATTTGAGGCAATTGTTGAATACTAATATCTTTTTTAACCATTTCTAATAATACATGCATAGCGCCATGAACACTATCTGCACTATTGCTTTTTAAATAACTTAATAATATGTCAAAAAGATTAGGCCAATCCTCTGGAAAATCGTCGTGAGCAATTTTAGAAACAACATAGGCACTCACTACTCTAATTTTTGATTCAGGATCAGCAAGACCATTCAAAATAATTTCACGGACAGCTGCTTTACTCTAGAAATCGTTGTTTAATTCAATATCCTATATTCCATATATATAACTTCCTTACCTCAGGTGGTGCTTCAGGCCCTACAAATTTGTCATCATTCTTACTTGACCAATGTGTAGTAACATATGTTTTAAGTGTAAGTGCTGCCAAGTAAACAAAAAAAAAGAGGGGGTTAAGGATAATGATAAACGTATCTCAAAAAAAAAAGGTTAATAAACATATATAAACATATTGAAAAAGGATATTTGACGCTGAGGGATAGCATATTGTTGAGAAACAGTAAGCTTTGCAAGGCTAATAGGGAATTCTAATTTTGATTCAAGTAAATTGATTAGGCAATGATCTATATATTTTTTTTTCAAAGAAAAAAGGAGGAAAAGTATTGCTTTTATTTTAATTGACTTTACCAGGTTGAAGGGCAAGTTCTTTTAGTCTATTTTCAGCAGCAGTACGAATAGTACCATCATTATCAGCAACTCTTAAAAGGGTCTCAAAGACGGTATTATCCATTCTCAAATTTCGTAAAAATGATTAATTCAAAAAAAAAAAAAAAAAAAGCCAAAAATGGATTAAAAAGAAAAGTGAAAAATTAAATTTCTCCGGCATTCACCAAATTTAAACTTCGCGTAATAAAAAAAAATAAATAAATAAATAATTACGTGAAGAAAATAGATGTACATGTAGTAAATTACGCGAATTTACGTATTATAAAATAAATAACTCATTTTTATTTAATAAGAAAAAAAATGCACATATTCATAATAGTTACATACAAATCTAACAACATTATACGTGTGGTTGTATGTATGTGTTTGCATTGTAAAAATAAAATAAAATAGAATAAAATAAAATAAATTGAAAATTTGCGGCAAGTTAAAGACAAAAAAAAAAAAAAAAAGGAGAAATCCTAAGCAACAAAAATTCATTGTGGCTTAGCAGCGGGATTTTTGGAGAGGAGAGTCAACTTTGAGTTCTTGGTTTACATACTATTGAACCTTCCTTCTAAACGCGGTCAAATAATACAATATGGTAATGTAGAAATGAAAGGGCCAGAAGACATCAATCCATTCAATTATCATGACATCCGTCAATAGAAATCAGCTTTATAATGGATGGATATGTTTAATCCATAAATTAATGTTATATAAACTTGCAATGTATTTGCTAATTTGATCGGTTTTTCTTAATCTGGATTAAATTCAACAAAATTAATGTGTGCCTTCTATAATGTAGCATGTTCTCATGTTAACTATTTTGATTATTTTACTGTTATATATTCAACCAGCAAAGATGAATGGGAAGAAGAAGAAAAAAAAAGATGGATTGAATGGATTGATTTCGACCTGGTTTTATTAATTATATAATAGTGAAATACATGCTAACGTTAAAGTTAATTTATAGACTAAGGGTACCAGTTCATTCGGTAAACGTCACACCAAGACCCACACTCTCTGCAGACGTTGTGGTAACCGTTCCTTCCACAAGCAAAAGAAGACTTGTGCTCAATGTGGCTACCCCGCCGCTAAGACCAGATCTTGTAAGTTTTTTTTTTCCTCTTTTTGAGTGTTTATATTTTGTATTCTTAATGTTTGTATATAGACAACTGGTCTGAAAAGGGTAAGCGTAGAAAGACTACCGGTACTGGTCGCATGAGACATTTGAAGTTGGTTCAACGCCGTTTCAAGAATGGTTTCCGTGAAGGTAAAATTTATATACGAATTCTATTATTCATTTGATAACTAAAACATGTATAAACTATTCTAGGTACTCAAGCCAAGAAGCAAGTTGTTGCTGCCTCCGCTTAAATTGCCTTTATCTTAAACGTTTGATATTATAAACATGGTCTCTTTTTTTTTAGTTTTTTTTTAAAAAAAAATTAGTTTTCATTAAAAAAAAAGAAGTTTGATCTGTTTATTACTTTATTTGTTTACTGTAAACTTAAAAGAAATTTGTGTGAATTATGAATATTATGACGAGTTTTTTTTTTTTTTTTTTTTGTCTTTCCTCTTTCAATTGCTCTTTAGAAGAAAAGCATATTGATATTATTAATAATTTTATAATGCAATTTGTAAAGAATATGTTTGATTAAATACATTAAAAAAAAATAACAAAAAATAAAACAAATAACGCCTAGTTGCCAAAAATAAAAAGAACAATTATAAAATCCCAGAATCCTTTAAGGCATTTTGTAATATAGTTTCTTTGATAGCAGCAAACACAAGACGAATCTATACATATACATGTTAACATAACTTACTACAGAAGAAGCTTATTAAAGATATACATACATTAGATGTGTCTGTGGCTTGTGTTAAACTAAAGTAAATGATAATAAGAATAAGTTAATAATTTCTTTTTTTTTCTTTTCAAATAGATAAATAAATATGTTTATGTAATTACTGTGGGTAAATATTAAGTTTAGCTCGATTCATTTGGTTAAAGCGCCAGAGTATATATTTTGCTGCCTTCCCAGGATCATTCCCACCTGTATAGTCAGGAAAAAATTGATTCAAAGGAATTTTAGGCAGTTTCAACTTGAATAAATCAATCTTGTTCAGGAACAGCACAATAGAAGTACGAAGAAACCATCTACTGTTAATAACAGAATCAAATACAACTAAGCTCTCAAGCATTCTATTTTGTTTATCTTCCTCTAGTAAAACCTGATCATATTCACTTAATGCAACACAAAAAATAATAGTAGTAACAGCTTCAAAGCAATGAATCCATTTCCTTCTTTCTGATCTTTGACCTCCGACATCAAACATACTTTAGAATATGATATAAATAAGATTGTATATATAAATATATGTATATGAATATATAGATGTATATAATATGACATACTGTATTGTTAATTGATTGCCTATATTAAATCTTGTTTCTGTAATGCCAGTCGTCTTTGCACGAGCAAATAATACATCTTGAACAGTTGGTATATACTCCGTATCAAAAGCGATTCTTTTAGCTTCCTTTAAAAAACTATTTTCACAGATAAAATATATACGTATGTGTATATGCATAAATATATCTAGTAGAATAATGAAATTTAACAATTTTATAATAAATCATGTATGTGTTACTTTACTAAGGGGCTGAATCCATTAAATAAAATTTGCATGATTGTTCTTCTATCATCTTTGCTACTACTGGATCATTCCACACGAGTATAATAGCTGATGCGATATTTGTATCAAAACTTTTCATTCCTTCAGTAATATTATAACTTAAAAGTTGATTCATAATCGATGTCTATAGCCATATTATATAAATGTATACATATTACATTTATATACATATACAAAATTTATATAAATATGGGCATGTTTGTGTATGTACCTGATCAGTTATTGTTTCAAATTGATAATTAAACTTTTGCATAGCTTTTATAATAGATTGAATAGATTCAAGCAAATTTTTAAATATAATTAACCTCCAACTCAATAGTTCTTCTTTTGAATAACCATTTTGGTGTATAATTTTCATTTGCTTTACAATAGTTGATTTACCAGACTCACCACTTCCTAAGGAAAAAAAAATTGATAAATAAAAACAAGTAAAATATTGAATTCAATTTTACCTAAGAGTAATATTTTACATTCTTTTTTTAATTTCTTCTGGTCTTCTTCTAATTTACGGTCAATACGTTGGCTTTTTTCCTTGTTTATTCTTTCTTCAGTTGACATACATATGCCCATATTAACAATAAATAAATAAATATATATATAAAAGAAAGAAAAGGAAAGGAAAGAGAATTTTTTTTAAAGGAAAAAAAAATGGGAGGACAAAGAATAAGTGATTTTTGTTATTTTTAATCAATGCATATATATTACTTTAAGACATATAAAGAAATTGAACAGTAATAAATATTAGAATGACCAATATTATGCAAAATAAAAATAAAAAAAAAGCATATTTATTTGAAAGGGAAAAAAGGAGTAGAGCAATTTATGAAAAAAGTCAATAAATGTATCAAGGCATATATGTTCTACATGTATGTATATATTTATACAGGGAGTATGTATTATATCACGAGAAATGTCTATATTTGTGTATAAATGAAGATTGTATAAAATCCTTATTTTTTTTTTTTTCTTATCAGCAATCTTCATCAATCGATATTCAGTTCAAGAAATTAGTTAAACGAATATCGCATCCAGAGTATAATCAAAGTATAAACTGGTAGTACAATACATTGTCTTGACTATTTGGTGGTATTGTACCAGTTAACTAGAATGGCCCTTTATTTCAGTAAATTCTTTACTTGCAAAATTATATCTTTATATTAAGAACAAGTGAGTTTATATTAACAAAGCTTGATAGGAATAGTTGTTTGCAACAATGTTTGACCGACTCCAAGTAAAACATATAAACTTTCACCAGCCAAAGAAAATGTATTTAATTGATTATAATTCTCCTTTATAGAAAAGTCTTTAAAGAAACAGCGAATATATACATTATAATAAACTAGAATCCTCCTATAATTTTTTTTTTTGTACTGTATATGTTTATTAATATATCAATATGTATTTTTTTTTTGTTTTATTCAAGAACTTTATAAAAGAGAGAAAAAAAAAGGGGGTAATTTCTTTTTTTTTTTTTAAAAAAAAATGCATTATATGAATTCGTATAAAATTTACAAATTATGGCCGGAAATGAAGAACCACTTGTCAATAGAGGCGTCAATAGGAGCAGCAGGTTGAGGAGAAGCCTATTTAAATTATACATCGATGTGAGTGAATCTATTACAATATCACATATAACAATATTAAACTTACAGCAGGAACATCAACAGAATCAATCTTATAAGGTGAATCTTCAACAGTGGTGTTTACACTTTATAAAAAAAAAAAAAATTAAAAATAAATAACTTGTTTCTTTTTCTTTTTTTTCTTTCTTTCTTTTATACTTACGCTTCAATATCCTTCTTATCAGAGTTACCAGAAATAAGAGCCTTCCAAGCTTCATGAGTTTCAAGGACAATGTCAGTAGCATATTTCTTGTTCTTGGCTTCACCACTGAAAGCAAAGACATTTTCGGGCTTACCATCAGGAATCTTGTAGATACGGAACCACTCGTTAGTAGCACGAATAAGACCGGGAAGATGCTTTTCAACATCCTCAATATCTAATATATATTATCATAATGTATTTAATAAAACTGAAGTAGGTATTTTTTTTCAACTCCTCTTAATTCCTTATTCTTTCCCATCAAAAATGTTTTAAACACATTTTTGATAATAACTTACCATTCAATTTAGAAGCCAAAGGATCGTTGATATCAATGGCGATAACCTTCCAATCAGTTTCACCTTCATCCAAAAGGGCCATGATACCAAGAACCTTAACTTGCTTAATTTGACCAACAGTGGCAACTTGTTCACCAATTTCGATAACATCAATAGGATCGTTATCACCACGAGCCTTGGTTTCAGCATGAGTATGATTAGGATCTTCCCAGGTCTAAAATACATTTTTTTAAAGAAATTTTTTTTTAAAAAAAAAAAATTAAAACTAAATTTTATTAATTTTTTTTATACATGTATAAAACTTACTTGAGGGAAAGCACCATAGTTCCAAATGTAACCCTTGTGAGGGAAACAGTTACGAACAAATCTAAGCTTACCCTTCTTGGTGTCTTGAATGATAGGGTTCATAGGAACTTCCTTACTAATCTATTCATTTTTTTTTAAAGAATTTATGTTAATTTATAACGCGTTTTCTCAACCATAAAAAAAAAGAAACCTATGAATACTTACTTCGAGCTTAGCATTAGTCCAACGAGGAATTTCAACAATCATGTTGAAGATATTCTTTTCAGCGTTGGCGAAAAGGGGAATATCATGGAAAGGAGAAACAGGAACACCGTTCTTTTCTGTATATTGTTAAATACATTAGGCTTGATTTGACACTGATATGTACTTTTATTTCTTACCGAAATAGAGCTTGAAGTCGAGAGAGTTAAGAGCACCAACCTGACGAGTAGTGATATCAGCCATTTTGTTAGAGTGAAAAAAAGAAAAACGAAAAAAAAAAAAAAAAAAAAAAAAAGACAGATAGAGGAAAAATTCTAGGGTTTTCTTAGAGCTTTTTCAAAATTTCTATATTTGATGACGCTACGAAGCGATTTAAAATTCCGGAAGACCAATTATTGGCTGTTATGATGGCGTTTATCTTATTTTATCGCGTGAATCTCGATAATAAATTGTCAGAAACAAAATGTTAAACAGATATAGTAAGGGCTAATTTTACCAACAAAAAGAAAACCCTTCCCTCAATAAAAAAAAAAAATCTTTATTTTAATGTAGAAAATAGAAAACAAACTTTTTGATTTTTTCTTTTAGAGGCTTTTTACACATTTCTCGGTTATTATAGGAATTAAGGAATAGTTGTTCTTCCTACTGCTATCATCATTTAGTATCCGGTACAATTGTTTGATTAAATAAAGTCGTGCAACATTATTGTAAAGTATAAGCCGGTCTTTGGCTTGTAATATACATTCTAATAAAAAGACTAATTACTCAATAGTCTTTTTATTAACAAAGTATTCACTAAATTTAATTTCAGAATATCTATAAACAGCTTGAAGTTTGAAATGCTTTCTTATTTCTATTATAGTTAGCAAATTTTCCTTTTCTAATAGTAAATGAATGAATTATTAAGCTGTATTTAGAGGAATAAATTGAAAGATAAATGCTTTCATAACCATAGCTTTTAATAAGCTTTTTTTTTAATATACGTTATTATTTCAATGGATAGGATTATGTACTTTTTACTAATTAATAGTATTTAACATATCATATATATTCATAAATATTCTATATATAACTTATAAAGTTAAGGTACTGATTAGTAAATACATCACTTGTATTATATTTATGTAATAATCTATGTTGTAACTTGATAGTTTAATTGTCATTCTTACTTTCATTTTTGATGTTGTTATAGTAGCTTTTCTCTCCTTTCTTAGATCTTGCAGAGTCATCTCACTTATGAAAGTATAATAATAACTCATGTAATTCATATTTGTTCTCATTCAACAATCGACCCACTAGTATCATTCTTCAACTTTAACAAAGTTACTATTTTTATTTGGATGAAAGTGGGCCATTTTTAATATTACAAAGAATCCCTTTTCGTTGCAAAAAATATATATATATATATAGAATACTATTTTACTAATATTAAGCTGCCTAAACTGCGTCGTGATACTCCCTCCCTCCCCATCAAATTGTACAGAATCAAAGAGTTGACATTATTTCAGTTGAATAATAAGAAAAATCTTAGTATTGTTTTTCCTTTTGACTGTCACTACCAGTTTCTTTTCTTGACCTCCTCTTTTTTTTTCGAAATTATCAGCCCAAATATTAGCAATGTTGGGTTTAAGGTTTAATTGAATGGGTCATTTTCACTATTTAAATAAATCAACTCACATAGTTTTTCTTTATAATGTTTACCAGATCTTTCGATATGAACAGGAGTACTCTTTAACAATATTAATTCCTTACCTTATACACCCTTTTTTTTCTTTTTCTTTTTCATTAGGAGACTTGAGATCAAGATATATGTCAAAGCTATCGGCATTTTCTATTCATATTTTATTTGAAATATATTATATATACTCTAGAACCGTTTACATTCTCTCAACAACTATCATATATTTCACTTTCTTCTTACAATTAATTAAACGTACTTAATAACTATATTTATATCTCACTGTAAATGAACAGTGAATCCTAATAATATCTTATAGACAACTATTAACACGGTGGAGACAATAATTGAGAATGTGTACATAAATCATATTGTAGTTTGTTAGCTAATACCTTTTTTTTTTCTTTCCTTTTTTTAAAATCCTAGCCCTTCTGTTATGAAAACAAGTACTGATTTAATGTTTACACAGATAATTATCCTTATTCAATTAACATTCCCGGACTGTTTACCATTAGAGAGTTTATACTTGGAAAAAAAAAACTGCGTATAATAGATTATCTAATTGATTTGGACATTAGGATACAAACTTGGTGAAAAAAAAAAAGGGTTTATTAAATTAAAAGTAGCAAAAATAAGATTTTGTAATTGGTTTTATCAATTCCTTTAGTAGCTGCGTATCTATTTAGATTACAAAGACTACTATGTAGAAAGCCACTTGAAAGAAGTTATATTATGTTTGGAAATTAGGAATTAAAAGTCTACTTTTTATTATAAAATAATATATATTTTTCATTTTATTTTCAAGAGTTAAATAATTTATTTCTATTATAAATATATAATAATAAAAATAAAAGAATTGAAGGTATTTTGACAAACAACCTATAGTCTAGTATTATTGGTAAGAATACTAGTCCTCAAACGAATGTCATTACCGAAAAGATAATTCATATTGCAAGCGCTACATAAGCTGTACACTTCAGAGCTATAGAAAAAGCAATCAAGTGTGTAATGCGAATGAACTTGCGTAATAATAACCTCAAATCTTCCTTCATTTAAAGCCTATTCCCCCCTTCCTCTTTTTAACTTTCACCCCCTCCACCCTAATTACGTTTAATTATATTACCACCAATACACAAATAAATGTGTTGTATTTTTTTTTTTAAAAAAAACACACACACACACACAACAGCTTACATTCACACATAAAATTACCTGTCAAATTAACTGTGTAATTAAAAAAAAAAAAAGTAGGACCTTTATTTAAAAAGAATAATATAATAAAATATTATGATAGTAAATAATAAGGATTTTTTTGAAAATGCCTTTTTTTTTTGTATTCATTTATTTATATAATAAAAAGTAGCTAAGCCACTATTAAGAATAATTTTAATTCTGTACATCATTTAATCGTAGTCACACAAAAATTTGTGACTTGCTTAGTAACGTTAAATAAGCGGACAATCATTCATAGATAAATTGAAATTCAGATGAAGATTGTCTGAATTCAAAGTGTAAAAACAGTTCCTTTCCTTTCTGTTCTTTTTTTTTTTTTTAAAAAAGAGAATTCCCCCTGGAGCAATTTTGATATATAGTTTATTAGTATGCTCATTGGGTTTATTAAGAATAAAAAATGTATATTGTAAAGGTACTTACCTTTATTAATAATTATTTACATTAATAAGAAGAGCGAATCATGCTTTTTATTCATTGGATACTTATTAGAATTGACTTGATTAAGTCTTATAAATGATAAATCACAATAATCTTCATGCTTTCCAACGAATTTTGTTTATTCAATAAACTTGATAATATCATTATTTTTTTTTTTTTTTACAGAAAAAAAAAGTATAGTAGATTATCTGTTTTATTATAGTATTGACTATTATAAAAAAGCGGACGTATTAAGCTTAAAACGAATTAGATATACCTATTTATAAAAAGTATAATAATGCAAAAATACTGTTTATTTACACAAAATATTTATAACTCTTAAAAAAAAAGATGCCTCTTTGCTGCCAATAAATTTGTCATCCAGTAAAAAATAATTAAACGATACCATACTACTATTTTTATTTATTAAACAAAAAAGACTAATAAAAACTATTCTTTCAAATGATACCAAAAATGGTCTCCGCTAACCACATCTTTTTATATTAAAAGTTTTAAACAACAGTAATTATAATTGTTTCCCTTTTTTTTTTTTTTTTTTTTTTTTTTTTTTTTTTTCATTATACTTTTTGTATATAAAATGCCTGTACGCATTGCAGCAGAAAGTAACACAAATGCTAGTAGTGAACCTTTATTACGGCTAGGAGATGAATTATTTTTCTTTGACGAAAATAATAATGTTTTAACAGCTGAAAATCCTCTCCAAACTAACGTTTGCGTTAGATCAAATCATCCTTCTTTTCTTTCGTCTACTGATGCTTTAGGAGCAAGTATTTTTAGGATAGAACCTCAACAAGCACATTCAGCTCAAAAGGAACTGAAGGCATTCATCGGTGATGACGATGTTGAAAGTTTTACATGTGAGGCTACGATTGAGGAACTGGAACAGTTTAAATTATTGCGACAAAAGGCTACTAAAGAGATAGCACAAAATGAAGCCGAGAAACGTCGACTATTAGGGAAACCGATTTTATACGGTCAAGTCATTCAGCTCTATAATCGTCACTTTAAAAAATATTTGACAGTAACAGGCAAAACGGGCTATAAGAATAAACAAAACAGATTACAAGTAAACTTGTCAAGTGAATTTGTAGGATATTTTCGAATCATGCCTCGCTATCGAATTCGGTTTGTAGGCGATGTTATTAGAATAGGTGAAACGATTGCATTACAATGTGTTCGTCCGGAAGGCTATCTTAATGTAGATTACACTAATAATCATAATAATAATAGTATGAGTCTCGAAGTTTATTCTCACACACGCATTTCTTCTTGGACTATAAGACTTCATTACTCACCAGCTTCTAACCATGACACTAAACATGTTAAATATACTAATTCTGGCCAATATGTTCGATTCTATCATAAAGAAATGGAATCTTATTTAGAGGCTTCTTTGTTAAACGGGTAATTATGTCATGCATTAGGCTTATTTATGTAATGATGATTATTATAACGTTAATACATATATATTTATATATCTTAGAAACGATATAGTGATATTAAAAAAGCACATTATTAATCCTTTGGATCCAAAGGAAACAGACTCTCCACAAGCATTTTGGGAGGTAAGAACTTCTTGAAGATATACATATATATATATATAGTATTAATGTTCAAGTTTGGTTAAATATGTATAGATTGAAAACGTGGATGTAACAAGAGGCTCAAGAATTAGATGGGAAAAGTCAATTCGTATTCGTCATGTGGCAACACGAGCTTATTTAGCTATAGAATCTAGTAGTGTCCAGATTGATGTAGCCACTGGGAAAACAACATTTACTCTTAAACTAGTGAAAAATCCATCTCAACCTATGGATTTGAGTCAAGATGATACTCTATTCCAGCTTGTTCCTATATCAGCTCCTTCTGTATCAGGTATCCCTTATGGATCTTTTGTACGTATTAAACATCTCATGACTGGCTGTTGGATACATGCTACCAATAGTGAGCAGATCAAAAGTAGTGCATCTACCTTTTGTACACCTAGTTTTAATTTCTCTTCTCCCATTGTTACATCATTCCCCCACAATGACTTATTACCTGCTAATACCAAGAACCATATGTTGACTGTTTCTGCAGTCCAACGTTTTAAAAAGCGTGAGGGATATTCCTCTATGAGCCCCTTATCGTTAAACATCATGACCAATGATCAAGAAAATTCTGATCACCCTGACCTGGTAACGGCCAATCATCATAATTTAAATTATGATGCTACACTATATGGTATCACTGCGACTCAAGATTTTCATTATCATGATTGCTTTTCAATTACACTTGTAGATGAGGAATTGGCAAATACGTTTAATTTTGCTAATGAGATGATACCACAACTTCAACTCTATCTATGTCAAGACAGACCCTTTATAAATGAAACGAGTGTATGCTATCCATTCTACGACGAAGAGTATGAATGGATTACAGATATATTAAAGGCGCTTATTCGCTTTTGTACTAAAAGTAATGAAACAGACATATTCAAGCGTGTTGGATTACCCATTGAATATCATCAGACACTACTTCGAGATATTGGTATCATCGATTTGGTTATTGACATGATTATAGTGCCCTTTGATTTGGATAAACGGAAAACGGTGCGCGATAAGCTTCGCAGCTATCATCCTCATTTTCAACAAAACAAACTATTAAATTCTAGTAGCAAAAGCAAGATGAAGGAAAAGGAAGTAACCAAGTCAGAGTTATTATTGAACACCAAGCTACGAAATGTATTAGCATTATGTTATAACTTACTACGTGTCTTTTTAATTCAAAAATCAACATATGAAATGACTCATGATGATAGCATCATACATGAATCAGGGAAATTAAATCAATTGCACATTTTTAATAAAGCCGGAGAGAGAGGAATAGCTTTGTTTTTAGAACATCTTTCATATAATATCGGAGCTACAGATATGATGATCAAGCTACTAGAACTCACAGCAGAACAAAACAACTTGATAACTATACCCATTGTGGAAAATATAATAGAAAACGCTTTACTACGAACAGAAGAAGTCGTGAATGGGTTGAAAAATGATCTTTTTATACCAGAGTTGCAGCAACAAACAGCCTATATACAGCTTTTAAGTGTTATATGTCAAAAGGCACTATTATCTCCAGTTCTAATCAAGACATCAAAGGATTCTAAATCTTTGGTTGGTATATATCGTGATACTGTCACCAGAAAATTGTTTAATAGCAAAGATAATAGCTGTTTATTCATGACTCGATTAGTGGAACAACAACAAAAAAATGTAGAAGTAAAGTTGATAAATGATGAATGGCGTGATCTTGATACACTTTTAATAAAGCAGCCAAATATACTGTTTTTCATAGAATGTGTAATTGATTTAGTTTATTCTCTTTCAAATGAAGCGCATGCAAAAGTGAACGAATTTTTCAGACGTTGTTTTACTAAAGAAGTATGCTTTAAATGTATAAAAAATAAAAAAATTCCATCTACTTTAAGATCAAAGTTTTGCGATTTATTAAGAGGTAAGTCTTTCTCTCCTAACGTCTTGCCTTTTTTATATATATATAATATTGAACTAATTAAAAAAAAAAATTCTTCTACATAGTGTTGTATATTAATATTCATCATTTCAAAAAAGTTGCTTTATCTGATTTTACAATTTATACAAAAGCAATTACAACTAATAATCCAACAGATTTTCATCTTTTCAGTTCAAATGAGATTGAATCTGATTTCTTTCAAAGCCTAAAAAATTGGACACTTAGATTCCTCAGTACAATGGAAATTGAAGTTTGTATATTATAATTATTCAATTACTACTAAATCAGCAAAAAAAAAAGGATATATATTCATACTAAACATAATATTTCCTTTATTTATATATTAGTTTACTGATAAGATACATGAAATACAACTCTTATCTTCAATATTAGCATTAGTTCATACTCAATTACTTCATGGGTTCTTCCAAAGAAGCAGAGATATAGCTATTTTGTTTAGAACGCTTGTCCGTATTTTAGATGGACGCACAGATGCAAGGTATAGTAAAAACAAAAAAAAAAAAAAGTAACGTAATATTTATTTTTACAAACTGATACATGTACACCCATTATGTTAGAAATGAAGAACATCATAAATACCTAACTAGCAAGGAAATACGAAAAGAATGGCATGAAAGATACACTTTGACAGAAAAAAATCAGCATGTTATGAATACTAAAATTCAGATTTTACGTATTTTTAATCTAATTTTTGATTTGAGACTTCGCGTTCGAATGTTGAAATTGGGAAGTATATGGAAAGAAATTACGGAAAAGTAAGTTGTAAAATTATATATTATATACATGTATATAATATGAGCATTTAACCCTTTCTCTTATCCTTTCTTTCTTTTTTTTTTCTTAGTCCCTTTTCTGACTATCATACTTCACCTAATGCTTCTGGATTATCATGTATGCTTTCTGTTTTTGAGGAAACTGGGCCACGTGACCGAGAAGAAAGCTTGATGCCTATCTTGAAGGATATTTTAAAATACGAGTATGCTCCACTTAAAGAAATTGCTATTATTGTCATGCATCGGTTATTCACTGAAAGCCAAGGTAAATTGAGATAGTATAATAATCCTGTTGTAGGTAGTTTAAGGAATTACTAACTAGTTAGTATTATAGAACTTTTTGAAAAATTAACCAGTGTAGTTGTGTTGAGTAACCCGGATCAACTTGAAGTATATCATTCTATAGAGGATCAAGTCCTATTACTCCAAGCCTTAGCTTACGCTGACAATTTTGATGACGAACAATCTATGAAATATTGTGAAGAAATAAGAGACATCATTTCTACATTACAGTTCCTACTAAAAGTACCCCTGAATGAGGATGGAAAGACTACAAAATATGATAGCAGTATCTATTGTCGTATCTTTAAAAGCATGAATGCATGCGATTTATTGATTGTTATACTTAAATTCCTTATGAACATTCTTCCTTCAAAGCATTATACTATATTTATTGATACCATGAATATCTGTTTACAACTTTTACATACCGTCACTAAATATGATAAGGAATTTCAAAGCCAATTCGTACTCTCTAATATGGATCTGTTAATCAGTGTAACAGAGCTTTCACCCAAGCTTGCTATTACCTTTGCCCAACTCTGTTCTAATAACCTTCAACTTAGTAGTCATGTCAAGGAGGGACACATTATTCGGATAATCGAATTATCAAGGAAACATCAAGGGGAGTATTTACTTGTTCTTCATGATTTCTTAAAGACTCAAGGCATGTTTATAAAAAATAATCAAGATATCGTGATGCGCTTTATTATGGATCATCGACAGGAGTACGTACCCTTTGACAGTGTAACGAGATTAAAAGCGATGCATAAATCCAGCTATTGCATTAACTTGATAAGTATCTTGGCTATTTGTGGACAAGGAGAAAATACATTTGGACAGTCATTTGCGCGCACTATCTTTTCTATTCAAGATATTTATAATGTTGTTCATGATGAGCATATATGCATAGGATTGAAATCAGTTATGCTTAAATTTCTTGCATCTATTTATATTGAAGATATTGAATTGACTTTAGAGGACCCTATTCATGACAATGAAAACATTTTACAACTGATCACCATCTCTGAGGAAGCTATATCCAAATGCCTTGATTCTTCGATAATAAAGCATGATATGGATTTTTACAACTATGTATTCCGTGGTGTTCTCGCATTTTTACGAGGTGTCTTTGATTTTCATATCTCCGTAGAGGTGGCAGCAAACGAAATACCTCGTTATTCAAGACTCGTTGATAACATAGTCAAACTTTTGCCATTTGCTTATGATGACGAAAAGGCCCTTCAAGTAGCATTAGCATGTTTAGATAGTATGATTAATGTTGCTGGCTTTAGAGGTTATATGAACCCCGTAAAACTATATGACACTTTAAAGGAAGCAGCAGCAAAATTGGATACACTCTATGTACGTAATTATCACTATCATCATGAAAATCACACGACAACTTGTACTTCATCCAACGATGGCTTGTTGGCACCTATACAAGATCCTATCAATGCCAGTTTTCAAGACCTATTTAATAACATAAAATCAAGCTCTGCAGTAGAGCAGTATCAACAGCAAGAATTTAAAACATTATGTTAGTTTGTATAATCTATATTATTGTCTTTTTTTTTTTTTTTTTTTTTTTTTTTTTTTTTTTTTTTTTCAACAACTTACAAAATTTCTTTTATATATATAGGTGCCCATTTCCACTTGTCACAAGGCAATGACGATAAGAATGAAAATGTAAAATCACTTATATCCTATCTTTCAACAATGACGACAACTAAAATTGATAAAGGTGTTGAGCACTATCAGGTGGCCACGATTAATTTGTTAGAGGAAATAGCTAGAAAATATATTCGAGCAGTATCACGAGTCGATCCTAACAGCAATCCCAGTCTCTTTGAGAAATTAGAAAATAAAAAAATGATGGCACAAAATACGTTGAATGATTTGGGTAGTACTCTTATTGCTCAAAATCTATTATCTTCACCGCGTAGACGCATATTTGATGCAGCTTTAAAATTATTAATAGCATTACTCGATGGTGGAAACAAAAATGTGCAGGTATATATATAATACTCATCATAATAATAAAAAAAAAATATAAAACTTATCCTCTTGTAGGATAAACTAGAAGAATACTTTTATAGTATTCGAGAAGAAAGATTTTTTTATTCATTTCATCAGCGTTTACAAAGTGGTATCAATTCTTCTAAAGATTCACAGATTTATCTAACAAGAAGAATGTATAAGATGGATCGTCAACAACAACACATGTTGGATCATGTTGGTCAACAGCAGCAAGAATCTGTAACGTCTATAGCACACAAAAGAAGTAACTCTATTGGGTTTGTAGATACTTTCAGTTATAATCACATTGGTACTAAAAGGAACAGCCATCATTTAAAAACCCGAAAAAGAGCATCAAGTACTTTAAAGAGTCAATATCAATTACAGGCTCTATCAAAGGAGACAAATGAAGTCTATCAAGAAATTTCTCACTTAATGTTGACAAAGATTGAAACGGTACCCGAATTAGGTTCGACTATGAAAGACTACAAAGTAATGCAAGATACAATGAGGACATTACAACTCATGGTCGAAGGACATAATTTACATTTGCAAACTTATTTGGCTAAACAACCTGATAACATCAAAAGCTTTAACATTGTATTGGATGTAGTAGAATATTTCCATGCAATTGTGCCTTTATGTAATCAGAGAAATATAGAATTAATCATACAAGTATTAGATACAATAACTGAATTAGCACAGGTATTATCTACTTTATTTCTAAAAAAAAAAAAAAAAAAAAAAATGTAAATCTAAATGAATAGTACAAAATAGGGCTGCTTGAAAAATCAAGTAACGATTTTCAATAACAAGATTATCAATCCAATGAATATAATCTTAAAAGAAAACTACAATGATTGTGATCCAGTAAAAGTCAATGAGCTGAAATCTAAAGTATTAACATGCTTACTTAGTTTATTGGAAGGTGGAATTGAAAATAGTGAGACTATTTTTAAGGAAATGGTCGATTCACTTGATTTAGTAGTTATCCGAGATAATATGGAAACGATATACAAGGAAAACTTGGGGAACTTGAAATCTAAAAATCTTAATGAAAGATTAGAATGTGGTTTCCTGTATTGTATTTTAATCATGACTCTAGCTCCAGCTTTACATCACGAACAGGTATTTACATTACATTACTTTGATATTGATATATCAGCAAAGTTACACATATTTATTATTATAGGATGCGTTATTATTTGAAAATAATGAAGCGTTCAATTACTTCCAAAGCCATACTGGAAAGATTGAGATTATTATGGATTATGGACAAAAGAAGCAACTTACTCGTGTCTTATTTAGAATTCCTGAAATCTGTCAATATTTAAGAGAAGAAACTAAACAGAGGTTCTTATGGACAGTCAAACGGTAACTAATGTATAGTCATATACATGTTACATTATCTAATTTTTTTTTTGGGTTATCTATCACTAGAGAGTCCCCGTCAAGTAAAATAGAGGATTTTGTACAACAATCAGGAATGATAATTTACGAGTAAATGTCAAATAATGTTACATAAACCTAATTCTTAAATTTCTTTTTTCGTTGTTATAGAATTGAAAACCAGGCTCATGTTGCACATAGTAAATACTTGTCATTCTTGACTGAATACAGTTCATTTTGGTGGGAGTCAGCTTATGGCGTGACAATTTTGTTAAATATGTTACTTATGATGTATCCTGCTTTATTGGATCTAAGCATTCATAATAATAGTAACCATCCTTCCCTTATGGTTATCACATGTTGGTATCTTTTAGGATTTGTACATATTGGATTATGGTTATTATTAACAGCAGAATTTTATTTTATTCAACTACCTATCTTAATCAATCGACATCATGGATCTACAACCTTCTTCTGGGCTACTCTATCTGAGAGTCGATTCCTATATCATGTTCTTATGGTTACTTTCTCTGCTATAGGATTTATCTATCCAAGCTTCTATTCCATTCACTTACTTGATTTTGTTTTTAGAGATAGTATCCTTCAAGGAGTTATATCGAGTATTACATTGAATATTCACTCCATTTCTCGTACAGTAAGTAATACTTTATATACACATACATTACAAGTACTTTTTTTTTTAAAAAAATATATATACATATAAGGCCCTTTTAGGTATTATTGTTGTGTATATTCACAGTATTATAGCATACATGTATTTTCGTAAGCAATTTGATGATACAAAAGGTCTATTTTGTGGATCTCTTGTGGAATGTTTTATCACTGTTTTATCTCATGGGTAAAGAACTACTGTAAAGAATATATACATATATAACTGATCAAGATAACTTATATACATATATATAGTGTTAGATCTGGTGGTGGTATTGGTGATATTTTAGAGCCAAGTGAACTTCATAAACCTAGTGGCTGGAGAACAGTATTTGAAATGTCATTTTATTTAGTTGTAGTCGTATTTTTACTAAATGCTATCTTTGGTATTATTTTTGATACGTTCGGTCATCTTCGTGATGGTAAGTTACTTGTATAATTCTTTTCCTTAAAGAAAACAATATTCACTTATCTATTATATGTATATACATGTATATACAGAAAGATCATCTATTCAACAAGATATGAAGAATTGTAAGTATTATAGATGAGTAATTGCAATAAGCATATATTTACAAAATGATTAGCTTGTTTCATTTGTAGTATTCCTGCAGTGGAATTTCAACGTCATGCAAAGAAAGGATTTGAAGAGCATGTTAAGAATGATCATAATATTTGGTACATGCATATACATATACATTTATTTCTTTTTATTTCTTTTTATTTCACTAATTATAAATATAGGCAATATTTGTTTTTCTTGGTTCATCTTAAATACAAAGATAGAACTGAATATACTGGACCTGAATCCTATGTAGCAACATGCTTAAAAAATGCAGACTATAACTTCTTTCCCATTAACAGAGCATTAGGATTATCTAATGTTGAACAAGATGACAAAGAGAAATTGGATAAATTAGAAAAACTCAATCATTTATTGTTGGATAAACTTGCCAAATTAGAAGAGCGTATAACCAAAATAACTGATCATCAAGCTCCATCCAGAAAAAATAGTCTATTATTATCACCTATGTAAGTTAATTTCTCCTTATAAGCTTACAATAGAATAAATAAAGAAACCGTCAAATATGCAAAGTAACTACTTTTAATTTTTTTTTCCTTTCTCCTTTATTTTATTTGTTTAAAACTATCTGTCGTAGTACATAAAGGGGAAAGATTTAAAAAAAAAAAAAAAAAAGAACTGGACTATTTATTTTTTTTTTTTTTTTTTTTTTTTTTTTTAATTTTTGCTGGCGTAATTGTACGTGCTCTCATTAAAAATCATACAACTTTTTTTTTTTTTTTTTTTTTTTTTTTTTTTTTTTTTTGGCAGTTTACATTTAATAAATATCTTTATACTTTTTCTCTTTTTTTAATATTTTTCCTGTTCTTTTTTTTATTATTATTATTATTATTTATTTAATCTAAAATGCCTTCAACAATTCAAATGCAATCTATTTCAGATATTATTACTCAAATACATGTTACAATGGAGGAAGTACCTCCTGCGTTAGTAGGTGCTTCGGTCGATATTATTGACGATAAAGTATATGTTTTTGCTGGGCGATTAGCAACATCTCGTAAAATGACAAATAATTTATACATTCTAAATTTGAACACTTTATGCTGGACTAGACATATTCCTCCACCAGATTCCGATAAACCACCTAAAGCACGATATTTTCATTCTACTAGTGTTTATAATAATAAGCAGCTTATTATATTTGGAGGTATGGGATATTCTAGAATATCAAGTGATGGATTATGTGTTCTAGATGATATATCAGTATTTGATACGGAGACAATGTGTTGGAAAAAGCCCTTAATACAACCTTCACTTTACTCTCCACAACCTCGTTATGCTCATTTATCGAGTATAACTGAAGATAAATTATTAGTGATAGGAGGTCAAGACCTGGAAAATAATTATATAGATGAATTGAATATATTAAATTTAAAGACTTGGGAATGGGAACAAGTAAAGACATTTGAAAAGCATGTTGGGGCTTATAGATCAATTACCGTTACTGCACCTTCTGGTACTCGATTCTCTACATCAACTATAAACTTAATGAATACCAATGATGATATAAATGATGATACAGACAATGACATAAATAATGAAGAGAATAGTAATGGTGGACGACGTATCTCTGTCATACGCTCTTCTTCAACAGCAGCAGCAGACGAAATAAACCCTATTTATCTTTACACTAATTACAATTTTGCTGATGTTAAACGAGAATTACAACTTATCTATCCTTCTTCACAAACAATTCTATTTGAAGACTGTTCTAATTATTTAAATGGTTCAATCATGCCTCCTGGCTTAAGGTTTCCTACAGGTCACACTCTAGGAAATCATTTGATTTTAGCTGGTACTCATTTATCACCTCAATCTCAATCCTATACAATTTGGTCATTGGATTTTAGTAAACTTACTTGGTCACGCATTGAAACAGGAACGATATTTAGTACGGGCTCTTGGAATCGAGGTGTCCTTCATGAAAATACAAATCGTTTTATCGTATTTGGTAATTCAAATAGAAGTCTATTAGATGACTATAATCATCGACAAATCAATTTTGATCATATTGCTATGGTCGATTTAGAAGCCTTTGGTGTTTATTCATTACCAAAGACAACCTGTTCAACTTTAGCTCAAGAGATGGGCCTTCGTCTTTTAAATGAACCTGCTATTTCTGACTTTTATATCATTACGCAAGATAATTTAAGTATTCCTGTCAATTCAGCCATCTTATGTCAACGCTGGATCTACTTTGCTAACTTGATGAAAAATAATCAACAAATCATTACTACTCCACCCACCTCAAAACGTTCTTCGCAGCAGCCACTCGAAGAAAACAAGGATGATTTATCAATTGTAAATACTACCACTACCACTACCACTACTAATAATAATATGAATAATGAAGAAGAAAAGGAAGAAAAGGAAATAGAAGAAATTTCATTGATAAAAAGTCGTTACATGTCATTTCCATACCCTCATGCAGTAGTTATTGCATTATTACAATTTATTTATACTGACAATTTATTAACTGCACAACAATATCAACCTCAAATATTATCTCAATTGTTATTACTTTCTGATATGTATGATATTCCAAGACTTCGTGAATTAGCGACTCACGCATTACATCAAATGCTTAACATGTCAACCGCTCCATTAATATTTGAAACTGCTGCATTGTCACATCAAACAAGTCTTCAAATTCGTGCACTTAAAATGATGATTGCAGCAAAGAAAATGATTCAACAACAACAACAACAACAGCAGCAGCAGCAGCAGCAGCAACAACAACAACAACAACAACACCAGTTACAACAACAGCAGCAAAACCAAAACCAAAATATCATTCGAGCAAGGACTGTATCTACACCGACTGTAGTAGCATCCTCAGTGCCTCATTTAGTAGACCCACCTCTACCTATTTCACCCACTGCTTCATTATCATCTTCATCTTATAGTAATTCAGCACGATTATCTGCATTTGAACCAAACAATAATATATCCACATTTAATAGTAGAGCAAGAAACACAACTTTAAATCACAGTAATCTAAGTTCATTACAACAAAGAACATCTACGATAAGTAACCATCAAACTAATCTATATTCTCCTAAAGCTACAATCAATTACACTCCACTTCAAACAAGATCTTATCCAGCATCGGAATTAGATTTGAATAAGACTACAATTGAACCGTCAAAGCCAATAAAAGAAAAAAAGAAGAAGAAGGCCTTTTTAGAAGCATTTGGTAAATTATCTTCGTCTATTTCATTTCAAAGTAATAATAATTAAATGATATAATATACATGCAAGTATGTCTGTATTTTTTTTTTTTTTATTGTCACTATTAAAAAAAAAAAAAAAAAAAAAAAAATATTTATACACATATAAAATAAAATAAAAAAAATAAAAAAATAAAATAAAATAAAAAAATAAAATTGAATGATATACGGTATATCTTTCTTTTTTCTTTTTCAGGAAATCATTCTTTTGCTATTGAATCTAGACTTGACCATGTTACTTCTTTTTTCTTTTTCAGAAATGAAGCTGATGAATGCAAACCACTCGCTCTTTTCGTCTTTTCTTCTTCTTTACAAAGTAACGAATCAAGTCTTTGTTGCATCTCATCTAACCTTTGCTGCATCTCTACTAACGCTCGTCGTTTCTCATTCTCCATTTTTTCTAATTTTTCCTTAAGTTCCTCAATTTCTTTATTCTTACGTTCAAGTTGATTCACCTTTGACTGAAGTTGAGTCTGTAATGTTAAACATAAGTCGCCCTCATCTTGAACACTCGGATGTGAAAATAATTCAAATCCTAATAATTGATGTGCTGAAGGTCGATGATCAGGCTTATGATCCATCATCCAAATAATTAAAGCCGTCACTTTAGGATACATTTTCAAAAACCCGTCTGGAAATATACCTTGTTTTAATTTTTCAATTGAATCTGCCCTTTCCATCCCAGTTGAAAAGGGTTGAAATAATTCGAACAAAATAATACCAAGCGAATAAATATCCACTTTTTCATCATAGGCTTGTGCAGGAACAGCTAATTGTTCAGGTGATGCATACTAGATAATAATAATAAAAAAAAGGGGGGGCGGAAAAGAGAAACAGTTATTCAATAAATGGTATATATTTATATATATAAATAAATATATGTTTTTCTTTTTACTTGACTTGTTGTATTACTTACTGTACGAGTACCAACACCAATAGTTCGAGTACGTCTTGGTCTTGGACGATGAGGTCGATCTCTATATCGACGAACTGAATTAGATTGAGAATGGGTCTGAGGGCCTAGTTTAGGACTAGGTGGTGTAGATGAGATGGGCGTAGGAATAAGAACAGTACTGCCAGTTTTTTCATCGTCCATCACCTCTGCGGCTAAACCAAAATCACCAATTTTGGGCACCCAAGCTTCATCCCATAGATGATTACTATCATAACTATTTAATGAATTATCCATAGAAGAGGAAATAGAATCGGTAAGTAAATGGTTTGTATTGCTGGATCTTCGTCTTCTTCGTTTCCCATCAATATCATTCACATAAGTTGAACCATTTGGCATACTTAAAAAGATATTACTCGGTTTTAAATCACGATGAATTAATCCTTGATCATGAATATAGGCTGTTCCTTCTAAGATTTGTGCAAATATTTCAATATTACGTCTTGTATCTATCACACTAAAGGATCCTTCCTCAGAATATCGCTTATTACGAAATCGAATATAATCGTGCAAAGTAGCTAAGGAAAGAAAAAGAAAAAGTTAGTTTAAGAATGACTTTTTTTTTTTTTTTTTTTTTTTTGTTCAATAATATATCCATGCTCTTACTTGGACATAGTTGCATTTGAATAAATAAAGTCCAACCACTTTTAACTTGATTAGTAGTCCCCATGTTATGTTGATTAGATGAAGATGATATTGATTTGCATTGTTGATTAGAAGTTGGCCATGATTCACTCATAGTAGTGGAGGTGGAAGTGGTTGTTGTAATAGCAGCATGATTGCTATCATAACTATTTGTAGTAGATTCACCAAATTGAATATGAGACATACCGCTTACCGAACCTCCACCACCACCACCATAACCAAGAGAAGATAGAGAATATTCACTAAAAAAGGTAGGGTCCCTTCCTCCGAAAACACTATTACTGTCTTCTTCATTCATGGTTGTAGGTCTATCCTTGTTGTAAGAACTAGATGAACGACTCTCTTCTTCCCAATCAGATGTTAAAGCATCCTCTGCACGATATTCATCATATTCTAACCAAGATGAATAATAACGAATCACATTATGATGCTCCAGTCGAGCAAGATTCTTTATTTCTCTAAAGATCTTTTCATAAGGATTCTCATCATTATTCTTTGTTTCTTCAATATCGTTCCCTAGACGAATCTTTTTAATTGCATAATCAATGCCATCGAGTCTATTACGAGCACGAAAGGCACTTGCAAAGCCTCCTTTACCGAGTAAGCCAAGCTCAATAAAGTCATTATTATAACGAGAGTTTTGAACATTTAGGTTATGGAAGAAGTCATCTCCAGTTACAAAAGAATGAAAACTACTTGAGTTATTTGTGTTAGATGAGGAACTTAATTTACTGATATTATTATTATTATTATTATTATTAAATGAAGAAGAAGGTGTCATGACTACGTTTGGATGCTGTGTAGTAGTATAACAAGAATTAAAATAATCAATGGCTTTTTGTTGTTTAATACTGAGAAAGTCAGAGGATGAAGAGGACGACGACGATGACGACGAGTTTGAAGACTCTGGATTTTCATCAGCCATATTATGTTTTACAACAGAAGAAACAGTGTCTTCAGGAGTAGACTTAATCAACATGACAGATAAATTGTCATCAAATCGAACCAAGTCTTGATTACGAACTGTCTGAACAGCTGTATAAAATAATTTATGAAAAGCATTTTGAAATGCAGAACGGACAGTTGCCATTTCATCCATAAATTCTGCATCAATAATGCCCAATGAACGCAAAGTTTGACAAATTAAGAAAAAGACTTTTCTATTTGCATCAGGCGTATCACCATAAGTACGACAAAAGTGTTCGATAAGTGATGCCAGAAGCATCTTTGTTTGATAACGTTTTGTTGAATTAGGTTGTTCAAAGGAATTAAACACATTAACTTGGTTATTTTTAGGAAAGGATGTGTCTTTTTTGTTTTTGTTTGTTTTATTCATAGATAAGTCTTCGATGGTATAATTATATCTTGATGCTAATTTATCATCTTTTTTTATTTTGGTTTTTTTATGTATATATGAGTTACTTGTAGCAGTATATATGTGTATATCTATATTTTACCTGCAACAGTTATAATATTAGTTGATGATTCATCTTCAGTTGTAGAATCAGTCATGACAGATTTAGTCCAAAACTTGTTGTAATGATGAGGTGAGGTATCAGTATTTGAGGTTATACTTGAAGGTAATGGCATTATTTATTTATTAAATCAATATTAACAATTTCATAAATGGGCAGTATACAGTAGAAAGAATGGAAAGAAAAGATAAATAAAATGAGGAACTCAGAGCTAAACCTACACTTATAATTTTAAATGGTGTGACTGAGTTTAAATTAGTATTTATCCTGCTTTAAGTTTGAACAAGTCAGTTTTTTTTTTTTTTTTTTTTTTAACTAATCGAATTCAGTACATAGTATCTCTTAAATACATTACATTAGTCTACTCTTAGTTTAACTTTTAAAGAAAAGGAAAGAGTTGGATATCGTTTTAGATTAAGAAGAAGAGAAAAATAAAACGATGAACAGAAATGTACTCAAGGTAGTAGAGAGGGAAGAAATATGGATTTAATATTTAAATGAACATTATGTGTGATTTAGTTGTATACTATTTATGAAATATTTTCATTTTGAATTAAAATGAAACATTAAAAAAAAGTAAGCTCAGACCAATAAGGAACTATTTATATTAGGATATAATGAATTAGAATTTCGAATAACTTGCTGAAGGAAAAAAGAAAAGAAAAAGCTCGTATAGTTAGTAACAATGACCATTTTTTTTTTAAAAAAAAAAAAGAAAAAAGAAAGAAAAAAAAAGAGAAAATACGTACACTATTGATCTATTAATCCCTTTCCGAGTATTTATTCTGATATATAACATTTTTTAAAAGTATTCATATATTCTCTGTTCCATGATATACGATGTCTCCTTTTATAATAATCTTACATAATTTGTAGTTTTAATTGAATGCTTTATAAATAAATGATATCCAAAGTGATAGACAGTTTATAAATGTATACAATTCTTTAGTAGTGAATCTAAGATTATATACAAGTCTAGAGTTAACAATCCATGCAATTTTCCAAACAAAAAGTATTTACATTAGAAAGAGCTAGTCTTGGGGGGTTTTGTTTTTTTTCAATTTTACAAGAAGCAAAAATATGTCACTCATTGTTATTAAATGGTTACATTAAGAGAAGAATAAAGTACAAAGTCAAAAAGTAATGAATGTCGCTATTGTTTATTTTAAAACATATATATACAAGCATATAGTGCATTTATTTATTTATTTTTTCTTTTTAAGCATTATAATGATTAAGGTAAGAGGACTTTATTCTCTCTTTTTTATTATTATTATTATTTTTGATCCACAATCTATCAAATAAGTACGCACGCATACAGTGAATTAAATTACGAGATGTTTGATTCAAAAATCATACTTGATTAAATACTGTAAATATTAGCTGTATACATTTATAAGGTTGATTTTTTTTTCTTTTTACTTGTCACATTGTATATATCAATTGACAATGGTTCAGAAGGGCCTAATAATAATAATATTTAACACAAAGAATATACTTCTGAATTTATTGGTACTTGATTGTAAGTAAACATTATCCCTAGTCATGTCTATCATATACATATAAATAATTTTCATCATTTAAATTTACTTTTTGTAAGTTAGTTGCTTGATAAAACATGACTTATTACTGATGTATTTCATTCTTTGTTTCTTACGAACCCTCATTTTGAAGTCTATCAAAAGAAGAATCGAGGATATATGGTTTTATTCGTTTTGATTAACAAAACGTTATCTGCAGTTCTATAATACTTTATCAAGTGCAACTAAAACAATGATTGCCTTTTAGTACTCATTAAAAAAATGAGGCTCTATTGTCATTATTAAGCTTTTGAAACTTTTTTTTTTTTTTTTTTTTTTTTTTTTTTTTTTTTTTTAAAAGAATAACTTATTGATTAATTTATTTATTTATTTATTTTTATTACATGGAAATGATCCTATCATTTATTATTATATTATTGTTGATGCTGTTGATGTTGCTGAAGAGGGTGGTGTTGATTGTTATTAAAAAAGGGTGTATGTAGTGTAGGTGAGGAAGGGCTTTCGATTTCAAAATATTCATAGGATCGATAGCTCGCTGATCTTTTTGGAATTGCATTGTTAGAGTGATGAGTATCATCTTCACCATCGTAATATGAATTTAAACTCAGTGATGGTTGTAGGCTTTCTCGCCATTTTTCTATGACCGTATTAGTTGATAAAGATAAATTATTATTTTCTTGTACCTCTGTTGTTAATAATTGATCTATATCTTCTTCAGGTACATTTGATATACAGACTAATGGGAAAGCTCCTTTCGCTCCAGTTGTCACATTGAAGCCTAAGGCCCAACCATCGTCAAAACGTAATGCAAGACAAATGATATCACCTACAGTTAGAGTTAATTCATCGGGTAATTGAGGAGAATAGGGATGAATGACACCAAAGAACTCTTCACTTAAAGGAGATGATAGTGTTGTTATCGACGGTACTTTCTCTACCGCGGGTGAATTAGTAATAGTAGTAGTAATGATAGGCTTATTTGGTATTTCTCGTATGTCATGTTTATAAGGAAATTGACCAATATAATTATCAAATTGACGTACTGCTTTATTTTGTACTACTGTATGAACAGGCGTAGGTTGTGATGAGTTGTTTTCACTAGCTGTTGTCGAACTTGATGGTGAGATAAATTGAAATGGTTTCATATGAAGATGGATCTTATTTCTATAACAATACCATATGAAGGTGATGACAATTAATGCAATAGCAACAGTACATCCAATAACGATGCCGACAATAGCGCCTGCTGATAATGATGGATGACAGTAATATATTGTTTGACAGCATTTGTCTTCATGATTAGTCTCACAATATTTGCAAGCAGCAGAAGTGTCATTGCCAAAGCCTATATATTAGGAGAAATTAGTAAATATATATATATATATATATATAAGCTTAGAACTCATATTGTTGTTATTTACCACAAGAGTAAGGCTCATTGGCAATACCGGATATACAGTTTTGGGTAATGGTCCCATTAAACCCTTCCCAAGTATTACAATGATCAGTATAAGAAGCTAATGTCTCATTTCTTTGTATCGAATTTGAACATACAAGTGGACTGGATGTTATTTTAGCTACGCTGTCTACCCAATCATAGCATGTTTGTTGACATAGAGGAGGAGGATTAAGCCCATAATTAAAGTTACATGGTAATGAATAAGTAGGATTTTGAATAAGTTTAGCACATAAATGAGTCAATGAATAACGGGCATAAGGAATGATAGGGTTATAATTTGAACTTAGACAACCTAAAGGGAATAAATAATTACTTGTTGAGTTCACATATTCCAGCAACCGATTATCAAAGTCTTCGATGGTTGTTATATTGATTAAAAAGGGGTATTCGTTACTGAGTCCAGGTAAACCAATGTAAAATTGTGAAAAGGCTGAGCAAACATTGGATTGAAGTAAGGAAACACATTTGTTATCATCTGTGGCCCCACTATAAACCGTCTTTAATAATTGTATAAATATTAAAATAATCAAAAGCATAAAGGAATCACTGAACCAAGCATATCACTATTTAATATTGATAGTATATATGTATCTGTATTCTTTACTTTTCTTTTATTTATTTACTTGAAAAAAAAAAAAATAAAAAGAGAGAAAAAAAAGGATAGAAAAAGAAAAAGAAAAAGGAATTTTAAAGAAAAATTAGGGATTAATGTCACTGAGAATGAAAATAAGCCACGGCTGTAATTATTCTCCTTATTCCAAGCCAAAAGAAAAAATCAGTTGATATAATACTTTTATCTCTCTCTTTTTTTTTTTGTCTTCTTTTCCCCTTTTTTCCTCCCATTTAAACTAACCCCTCAATCATGTAAAAAAAAAAAAATGAAATCATAACAATGATTAAAGTGTTGAATAGTATAGTAATATAAATTACCTTATTTTCCTTTATAATATATAAATCATTATATAAATTTGTTTCATATCATTCACTTATATCTATCGAGATAACTCCGCATTAAATATTAGAGCAGGAATTATGAAAGAAGGTCTGTATATTTTGGCATTCACATATATCATGAGCTAGTAATAATTCACGCAAAGCAAAGAATTCAGTTTTAAGACTAGTAACAATCTCTGTCAATGTCTTGTTCTCTAAAGATAACATTTTCTCTTTATCTATCATCTTTTGTTGTGCAATCTTTTTTTTTCGCGGCATTTAAGAGCTATGTTATTATTATGTAATAAGTACCCAAGTAAGTGTGTAGAGATATGTACCTGCAATTCTGTTTTTCTCTAATATTTGTTTCCTTTTTGCTATTTTTTCCTCTTTACTTTTATTTTTTGTTAATTTATTTTGTATGGATGATGTTGAAGAACTTTCTAATTGTTCAAGTATCTTGCTAATATCATCATTTTCTTTCATTAGAAATGGCTGATTTTTTTCTTCCTGATAACTACTCATATTTTTAAAAAGAAAAAAAAAAAAAGAAAATAATTTTGTAATTTGTAATTTAATAGTAATAATTCTTTTTTTTTTCTGGTTGATCATAAAACTCAACGTGTGGATCTAAAATGAATTTTTTTAATGTTTTATTTTTATGCAAAAAAAAAAAAAAAAAAAAAAAAAAAAAAAAAAAAAAAAAAAAAAAAAAAAAAAAAAAGTAAAATTCTAATCCGTTACTATAGTTATATTAACATTTGATATTGTAACTAGGATAGTCCCTTTTTTTTTTCCTTAGACACCTGTAGAAATGCAACCATGACAACAGACTAATCAAGAAATGGATATACGTTATGTAGATCGAGTAGTAATGAGTAATATAGTTAGAATGAGAAGACTCTTTTATTCAAATTCCGATATTGTGTCCTCTTTAATGTTATTAGTAGGCAACAGTGATTTTCATTCTTAAGATGGTTGCAGATCCAAACTAAAAGTCGTTACACAAAATATAATATTAGTTTAATTTAATCACTTTTTATTTTATTTTTTATTCCTTATTCTTTATTTCTCCTCATCTTCATTTTTTTTTTGGAATTACATTCATTTTTTTTTTATTTTTTGAAATCTTTCATTTCACAACTAGAATCTTATATACAAAGAAAAAAGAACAATATTGTGTCCAATTTTATTTTCATTTGGTCACCATCCTTCCTTTTATTGTTATCATGTTGTATAAGATGAAATCCTATTTATTGGGGATCCTGGGCTCTTGTTTGACAGTTTTTTTAGTGTATCAGATACTAAATTTGAGTACAAAGGAAACTTATATCCGCTATTTGGATTCAACAGAAATGAGTAATTATACATTATTAGAATCATTATTCTTATCAGGTAATAATTAGACTCCTTGTTTTTTTTTTTTTTTTTTTTTTTTTTTTTTTTTTTTTTTTTTTTAGTTTGTTTGTTTGTATACATACATACATACATACTAAGTCATATATATTAATAATAGAGCACAGTTATCTTGAAAATCCGCATGCAAATCAATCCAAGACGACCATAAATTATAATTTAGAAGAATTAAAATTATTAGCATCATCAACTACTATATCGTCACAGCAATTATCATCTAATAATAATAATAATAGTGGTAGTAGTCGTCATCGTCATCTATCTATTTTAGTTGTTTTACACTATTCGTCAGAAATTTTTTTTATAAATCAACTAGATTCAGTATTACGTCAGACCATTCAACCTACCACTATCTCTATTGTATGTTCAAAGCAAGATAAAGATAAAGTCGATGCACTTATTGCTGAAAGGGAGTCTTTATTTAATTTACATCATGTGATTCAGTCTGCCATTCTTCCCTCCAAAAAGAAACGCTATTGGTTCAGTGATGTTGCCCCTGATGCGGCCATAGACACTATTTTCATTTTGGACGACGGAGCTTCAGTAGAACCAGGAGTCAAGTATTTTGATTTTATGCTTCGATTATTGCAGACAGCACCCTTTGAACATGCACTTATTGGCACAGAGAAAAATAAAGTTAACTGTGATGAAGAAGAAGAGAGAAAAGCACGGTATGTAAGAGAGATCGACACTATCTGGGTATTAAGACGTGAATGGTTCCTAGCATTATCCTTACTTCCCAACAATGTGATGCAAGAGAAGAGTCTATCACTCGATTTATACCAAACACTGCATATACCATCGGTACTTATTCCTTCAAGTAAGGAACAGAATTCTTTAAGGGGGAATACCTTGAGGGATAGCACTCATTGTGATCATCATGAAATCGAAATAGCATTATCATCCATCTTGTTTTACATGGATAAGCAGTCATCAGCATCATTTAGTAAATTGATTTGCCAATTTAGTACTAAATACGAGGTTATACATGTGGCCACTCCAAATGAAGACACTATGAAACTTCCAATCTGTACAGAACAACCCAATTCATTTATTCTACATCATAAAGTAGATGGAATACAAAATGATTTATTTGAATTAATACATCATATATCAGCTAGTGTAGTTATTTATGAAGAGGAGGAGCGAGCAAAGATCGATTTAAAGAAAGAATTTTTACTATCACCTTTATCACAAACTATGGTACGACACCCAACATTTATTAGCTTGCCTTTTATTGATAAAAGAATGCTTTCTACTATTTTATGGATGGCCGATTTACCTATAAAAGCTTTAGAACGTAAGCTTTTTTTTTTTGTTGTTGTTGTTGCAACAAGAACAAAATACATATAATTTTTTTTTTTGGTTACATAGAATGGCATTCACCTTCTGTTAAATTATTGATAACTACTTCTGGTAAGAAAAGAATATCTCAAGTGAAAAGGATTTTCAATTCAATAAAGCATGCAAATTATTTGAGAGATAAAGAAATTGATTTAATGATATTCATGGATGAAAAGAGTGATAGATTAACAAGAGAGCTTGTAGATAATTTACAATGGAAAATAGGCGAAAAGAGAATTCATCATCGCATCTCCCAAGTACATTCTATGCAACAATTTACTGAAGCCTGGTATCCTTCTAATAATGATGAATATGCAGTCATGTTAGATGATCGTCTAGAGTTATCGCCATCGTATTATATTTGGATAAAACAAACAATATTAAAATATCGTTATTCTACAACGACGAGTAAACAGATATTTGGTATCAGTCTCTATTCACCTCGTATTATAGATACCGATCCAAATGGAAGGTCATTATTATTGTTGAATAGGTCTGGTACTGCGAATGATGTTCATTTTCCTTATTTAATGCAAGTTCCCAGTAGCTCGGGCGCACTTTATTTCCCAGAGTATTGGAGAGAATTTCATGATTACATCACAGCACGTTTGACAGACCAAGCGATTGTTAAAAGAGGGACGGGTCAGCGACACTTATTTAAGGACACACTATTAAAAACATCTAAATCAAATCGATGGATTAATTCTTGGAGAAAATATTTTGATGAAATGATTTATATGCGAGGTTATGTCATGCTTTATCCTTCAACTGAGACTAGTTATTCTACATTACATATCATGGATTCCTTTCTTGATGATAAAAGGAAGAAGAAGATGAAGGAAAGATTTTTAACAGCAGAAAAATTATTGAATGTACCTTTGAGTACTAAAGTGTCACAAAAGCTACCAGATATAGATGTCTTACCTATCTTTGATTTACATGGAAAACTTGTTGAACAGTCAAGTACCTTGGTAGAGCGCGGCCATCAGTTACAACATAAATTTAGTGCTTGTGAACCCAAGATAGACAATCATCATGACCCTTCAGATATGTTATGTCCTTTTAGTCATTTGATACAAATACCCATAGAAGCATCCTCTACTGAAGTTTCTATTAAATCAGTTAATATTTATGCTGGCTGAGTCTATTATTTTAGATTTTATACATTTTTTTTCTTTTCTTTTTTTTACAAAGTTTTTTACAGATTTTTTACAGATTTACATATATATTTGTATATTTATGTATATATATTCTGCATAATAATAACATTTCAACTATTTGATTTTAATAATTTATAATATAACGTTTATATAATGTAAATACCTCAGTATATATGTATATATGTATATATATATATAAATTAATAATCATTTCTTCCTTTCCATTTCAAGCATGTCCAACACTAATGGAGAATCTGAAGATGAACAGTCATTCATTAAAGAGAATAAAAGACCCATTATGACAAAATATGCAACGACATTGAATAATGAGAAAAAATATCCAACCGTTCTTAATAATGGATTTGATAAAAATCTAGTTATCGAAAAGGCACTGTTTGATTCCAATACTACTATGAGTACTTCGGGATCTACTGTGACCAATAATAACATTCCTCATCTTCTTGCTCATACTACACATTCTACACCACTGCCCGTCAGTAGTGAAAGGGAAAGAAAGTCGACAGTCGATTCACAGGATGTTGTCACTCATACGTTAACGACACATACTAAAGTTCCACCATCCTTAACGACCTCCACCACATCACCTATTGTTCCTACTCTACAGTCAGTGAGTGGCCCATCCACTCCAACTACTGCTACAGCAGTGAATAATACCTCTAGTCAAAGTACACCACTTGGAATGAAAACAAAGTCAAAGAATGAGGTAGTGATATAATAAATATGATTTCTGTCTATATCTGTGTATATATTGATTGAATACTTATTATAGGATCGTCGTACGATTAAAAGGAAAAAATTATCACCTATGAGTAGTACAGCTACCCCTTCAGAAGTCTTTCATAGAAATTTAGTAGATGCAGTCTCTAATGTAGAAGGTATACAAGTAGTTACAGATTTAATTAAAAAAAAAAAAAAAAAAAAAAAAAGGATTTATTACTTAAAAGAATGAATAGATTCTGATGAAAATGAACAATATGTTTATCCTTATAGTGGCAATAATACAGATACAACAGCAGCTACATACCATATAAATTCAAAAGATACCCTTCATCGTACTACTTCATCTACATTATATCGACCTCAATCTACACGCTCATTTGCAAATATGAGCCAATACTCGTCACATGATCCATCTACAAGAAGATTATCCACCTCTGCTGGATTTTTAGGCGATTTCTTTCGTCCACTTTTATTTAAGAGTAAATCAGAATCAAGAGCAACAGCAGCAGCAGCAACAACAAGTTCATTATACAATAAACAAGTTCAAAATGAAGATCATTTATTAGCAAGACCTAAACTTCGTAGCTATATCATGGATCATCCTTTTCATAGTCAAACAAAGTCATTACACTATCATCATGAATGGCTTGATGGAAATAAATACAGTCCACCTTTATATCATAAACAACGTCCACATCATCATAAAATGTATTGCAATTATGGTTCAGTTGTAGATGGTGGTTATACAACAGATGATGAAGAAGCTCAACATTTACTAGTTCCTCCACCTCCACCAACACCAACATCACCAGCACCACCACCATTACCTCTTTATAACAACAGTCGAAGATTTCAACATATAAATAAACGTAGTAATAGTAGTAGTCATAGTAGTCATAGGAAAAAGAAAAGCACATGGTAAATGTGACTATATATATAAAGGCATATCATATATTTATATATTAATCACTACATATACATATACATATTTATTTACAGTTCAGGACTATTATGTAATCTGTTAAGGATCCTTTCAATTATGATATTGATTTTACTATTATGTCTTTCTTATTTTGCAAAACCACTTTATGATATTCATGTTGAAATGGGACGTGTTTTATCTTCTGATAAAGAACTTATATTTGATTTACATGTGAATGCGATGAATGATAATATATGGACAGTTTATATAGCAGATGCAGATATTAGTGTCTTTGCCTTCAGTCAAGTTGTACCTTTATCATCTAGTAGATTCAATGACAATAGAATTGGAGTTGCAGATCCAGCAGAATATTTAGGAAGTTTTTATCATTTTGATGAACCTTTATCATTTCCCTCCACTTTCTTCTTTTCTAAAAGGCCACCAGAGGACGCCATCAGTCAAATTCGTATTAAATCGCCTGGAGCAGATAAAAGCGGGAATGAACGATGGTAAATAAATAAATAAGTAAATATATATATATACATGTATAGGATGGTAAACCATTGTATGTATTCCTATTTAGGTCACGTATGATTCGTTATCCTTATGGACTCGTTGTGAGAGGTGTTTTAAGATATAAACTATTTGGATTTTTAAGCCCATATCCTCAGTCAACTACTATTTGTGATGTTGTACGAGTAAATCCTGCTACTGGGAAAGTGACTGAAGACCCTGATCAAGGAGGCTATTGCTTATCCTATGGAGAAAATGCTACTACTACTGCGACTGTATATAAATAAAGCACCCATTATTTATTTATTTATTTATTAATTTAAAAAAGCCATCTCCAACAGTATAAATTTGACCTTCACTTGATAAATCTTCAATGGTTTGAATTATTTTTGTTTCGTTAAATTCATCTTTTAAATTATAAATAAGAGCTTGAATATGACAGCCTACATCATGATTACCATAAGATTGAATAGCTCTTTTTATAATTTCATTTGCATTTGTTTTTGATAAGAATAAAGACTTGATAGAATATTAAATAAGTCATCAAATAGTGCAGATAGATTTAATACTTTTTTTTTTTTTTTTTTTTTTTAAACTTACAACAGAGGATAAAGTGTTTTGACTAGAGAAAGTTAAATGAGAATGAATAGCACTTAAAAAATGGAACGTCATTTCATTAAAATCTTCAATAGGCACAATACAAGTGACTACACAAGTTGTACGTTGATTAACATGTTGTATACGTCCAAAGAGTTTTACATAGCAATCACGTCTTTTGTTTACAGTGTCAAAAAGAAAGAAAGAAAGAAAGACGGTTAATGTATGCTATATATATTATAAGCAATCACTTATTACCTGAAGATATCTTGAACTTCTTTATCGTCTTTTATTTCTTCTTCGGTTGAATTATTATATTTCAAGTCAGTCCAATAACGAGCATCTATCATACCAGTACCATCTTCAATAGAAAATGCAATATGACTTTCATGCTTAATAACAGTACGAATAATACCAATAATAGAAATCTGTATATATTCATCATGATAAGTTATATACTCTATTAATAAATAGATAATAATTATACATTTGTAATCTCTTGTTGATCAATAAAAAACTGGTCTCCATTTTGAACTGTTACATTCTTTATCTGTTTAATAGTTACATGACGGCAAGTTCTATTATTATAATTAAGAACATGCTGAGCACCTTTCTTTATCATTTATATATAGATGTTAACATTATTCACGAATTATATAGGCATTGTTTCTATTGTACTTTTTTACTAGCTATATTTCCTTCATGGATCACTTTACTCATATCCAAATCTTCAAAACTATTACTAATAGAATCTATATATGTGTATGTATGTATGTATGTATATCTATTTTAGTCAATCGTATATAATCCTATATATGTCTATATAACAGACCTTCCATTTTTTTTCTTCTTTTCTTTTTATTGTTGTCAAATAAAGTAATAACAACAAGAAAGAAAGAAAAGAGAAAAAAAAACGTAGCTTTCATATTCATATACACACATATATATATATTTATAGGCGTCATCTAAAAAATACTAATAATAGTCAATATATCACAGTGAAGTATATCCTATTGTATGTGTATTTGATAGGATCACAAAAGAATGCCCGTTATTAATAGCAGTAAATGAAAAAAAAAGTCACAGGAAGCAACACTAATAACTAATTATCTTTTGAGTTACTTTATTTACATGTATTTTGTTAGTGCAATGCTTAGATCAGCAATAAAAATAACAAGATGTGGTTCCATTAAAGTCAAGCGAGTTTCTAATTTACATGAAATTTGTAGAATTGTAAAGACATTATCTTTTTTTAAAAAAAAAAGCAAGATAAAAGTATCTTTTATATATATTTTTATATACATATAAATATTTACATACACATATATTTATTTATATAAGAGTCGGAATTACTATGCAGCTTCTACACTCATTAATGAAAAAAGAAAAGAAAGTTTACTAGGAGGAGGGAAAACAAAGCAAGATGCTCAACATGCAAAAGTAAATAATGAATTCACAAATTTTAAATTTAATTTTATTTTACTCAATTCAAATGGGGATAGGGAAAATTGACAGCACGAGAAAGAATCCAACTATTATTAGATAAAGGGTCCTTTCGAGAATATGATGCCTTTGTTGAACATGCCTGTACTGATTTTAATATGGAAGAAACTAAAATAGCGGGTGATGGTGTGGTAGCTGGACATGGTACTGTTTATGGTCGTCGAATATTTGTTTATAGTCAAGATTTTACTGTCTTTGGAGGCTCACTCAGTCGTACAAATGCAAATAAGATTGTGAAAGTAATGGATCAGGCTTTATTAGTAGGAGCGCCTGTGATCGGACTTCAGGATTCTGGAGGAGCTCGTATTCAAGAAGGTGTTGATTCTCTTGCAGGGTATGCTGATATCTTTCAAAGGAATGTACTTGCTTCAGGTGTCATTCCACAAATTTCTCTTATCATGGGACCTTGTGCAGGTGGTGCAGTCTATTCACCTGCTTTAACTGATTTTACATTTATGGTTCAGGATACTTCATCCATGTTTGTAACAGGACCTGATGTAGTCAAGACAGTTACAAATGAACAAGTCTCTCAAGAGGCATTAGGAGGTGCTCGAATTCATACTACAAAATCAGGTGTAGCTCATCTTTCCTTTACAAATGACATTGAAGCCTTACAGAATCTGAGGGAATTTTTAACCTATTTACCTTCTTCAAATCGTGATCCAGTTCCAAAGCAATCCTGTGAAGATCCTATAGATCGACAGGATGAAGCTTTAGATACTATTATACCCTCTAACTCGAGTCTTGCCTATGATATGAAAGAAGTGATTCATAGAGTAAAAAAAAAAAAAAAAAAAAAAGAAAGAAATTGAATTAAGAACTCTTTTTCTATTTTTTTTATTTATTGATTTATTTGATTCATATGTATATACACATATATAGATAGTAGATATTCATTCTTTCTTTGAAATATCACCTTTCTTTGCAAGTAATATATTAATAGGATTTGCTAGATTAAATGGAGAATCAGTAGGTATTATAGCTAATCAACCTTTAGTTTCTTCTGGTGCCCTTGATATGGATGCTTCTATAAAGGCAGCTCGATTCATACGTTTTTGTGATGCATTTCATATACCTTTAATTACGTTAGTGGATGTACCTGGATTTATGCCTGGAACAAGTCAAGAACATTCTGGTATTATACGACATGGAGCTAAATTATTATATGCCTATTGTGAAGCCACTGTTCCTAAATTAACTGTCATTACACGCAAGGCCTATGGAGGTGCCTATATAGTGATGAGTTCAAAACATCTACGTGGTGATTACAAGTAATGTATAAATATATATATATTTGTATATGTATATGTATATGTATATGTATATATATATATATGATACGTATTATGCACATACATACATACACACATTTGTATATATTTATACTTGTATTAATTATTTCATCTCTTAGTATTGCATGGCCTACTGCTGAAATTGCAGTAATGGGAGCAACAGGAGCAGTAGAGATTATATTTAGAAAACATCCAGATAAAGCGGCAATGAGAAAAGAATATAAAAACAAGTTTACTACACCTCTTTTTGCAGCTAAAAAAGGATATTTAGATGATATTATTCAACCAAGGTAATAAAGTAAAAGAAGGGTTACTCTCATTTACTTGTATTCATTTATTTTAATTCTCCTTTTAGCGAAACACGTATAAAACTGATTGAACAATTAGATGTACTGAAAACGAAAGCTTTAAAAAACCCCTGGAAAAAGCATGGAAATATACCACTCTAAATTTTAATTGAACACATGTTTTTCAGTCATTTTATTAGTAGTTAGAGTAGAGTAGAGAAACAAAACTAAGAATATGTTTGGGGGGAGGAGGAGAAGGAGAGAGGCGGTGGTGGTGGTGGTGTTGGGGGGAAGGGAAAAATTACTAAATTTATTTTAAACTTCGTACAATAGTGTCAATTACCCTAAATAAAATGTTTGTAATAAATCAAAAAATATAGACCTTTCCAACTATGAAATTAGTCGACCAAGTAAATATTAATTATTTATGACTCATATTACATAAACAATTCTTTTCAAATTCATTAGAATCTGATAAGTAGAATAGGTTTAGTCATTGTAGTATTAGATAAGAAAGGAAATTTCCTTTTTCTTTTTTTAATACTCAACTTTAGGATGGGAATTACAAAAAGGGGAGAAAGTGAGACGGAGCTTGAATATAAATTCTCCCATGCAAACTATTATTTCCGTCGTCGTATCTTTGTGGGGGAGTGGAATAATAGTAATTAAATCAAAAATTAAATCTTCCGTGTCAATTATTAATAAACTTTTTTTTTTTTTTTTACAATTCTTTTTGTTCTACCAATCATATTCAAAAATTTTATACACTCTATTAGATGATGAGAACATCTTGTTGTTAATAGACCTAGATAGTTAAGGTTTATTAGCGAATAGAAATCGTTTGATTTTAAAACAATATCTAATGATAATGCTGTTTCGAAAACTTTTTTAGTGTGATACACGATGTCAAGGCAACGTTCGTCATTTGATACAAAGCATTTTTATTACCAAAAAAAAAAAAACTTTAAAAAAAAAAATAAGGGCATAAGATTTATTTATTTTTATTTTATTTTTTTGAGAGAGAACGTATAGGGCTTTTTATTTCTTTTTCTTCATCTTTTCCTTTTCTTTTTGAAGTAATCGATTTATTATTTAAAAAAAAATGTATTCAAATAATGACCAACACGTATTTACAATGGATTTAAATTCACTTTTAATGACGTCTTTAGATGATCTCTTGTTGGATTCAATGTCAATATTAAATTATAATCATGAACAACAACATTATAACATGGAATCGAGTGGCGAAGATTTATATTTAATATCGTCTAATATTATTAATAATAATAATTTACGATATCAGCAAAATATAAATAACGATATTTACTATCAACAACCATTCAATGATATTATATCATTACCACCTTCTTTAGATGCCTCTTCTTCATTATTATTTAAAGATACTACTTCCTTGGATTATTTGGGCTTTGATACTATTACACTTAGTGATACTAATCATTTACCTTCAACTACTTCAAATCATGTATTTGATTCTGATGAATCACGCTTTAGTGAATCAAACCATGAAGAAGACGAAGAAGAAGAAGAAGAAGCATTCCTTTCTCCTGTTCATTCACCTTCTACTCTAATGGCTCTGTCAAGTCCAGAACATTCAACAACAATGACTGTAGATGAAGAAAAAGCATTGGAACAAAATAAAACTCAGATTAATCCTGCTTCTAACACTACTGCTACTGCTACTACTGCTACTGCTACTACTGCTACTGCTACTACTTTACTACAATTGTCAGCTGAAGATGATGATGAAGAAGAAGAAGAAGAAGAAAACAATGCGAATACTCATAGTGATGATGATGATGATCGCATTCTATTATCTGAATTAGAAGAAGAAGAAGACAACTCCTCTGACTCTGATTGGGAAATAAATTTAAAAACATCAATCATGATGCCAATAAATCATGTTGCCGCCGCTGCTACTGCTGCCGCTGCTGCCAAGAAGAAGAAAAAGAAGAATACCAAAAATAGCAATCTAAAAAAGAAAAGTTCATTCCTTTCTACAGGATATGAAGTTAAATGTAGTAACTGTGAAACTACGAATACACCTTTATGGAGACGTAATCCTGATGGTAGTCCACTCTGTAATGCATGTGGTCTTTTCTTTAAGCTTCATGGTAAAGTTCGTCCACTGAGTTTGAAAACGGACATTATTAAGAAAAGGAATAGATCTACGTCTTCTTCCAGTCAACGTCGTAGTATTGACAAGAGGAAAACGATAAATAACAAGAAGAATAAAAAAAGAAAAAGACCTTAAATAAAATAATAAAAATAAAAAAAGAAGACGAAGAAGAGATAGATAGTGTTGAAGAGCAAGAAGAATGTAGAGAGATATATACAGTATACACACACACATACATACATACATACACACACACATGCATGCAAAATTATACAATATCTCGTATTTTATTAGCCCCTCCTCCCCCCTCCCATTTAGTAGTCTCTCTCATTATTATTTACATACCAAAAAAACTACTTTTTTGTTATTGTTGTATATAGTCAATAAAGAATCTTTTGTTTATATAAATTAACTAGAATATCGGTGAAACTCAAATGACCTTATCAAATACTTGTATACTTCTTCTTCCCCTTTTGTCTATATTTATTCATATACAAATAGATAATAGATAGGTACAAATATGGAATATTAAATAAGGCACGTGCGTAGGTAAAATGCCGCTTGTACATAATTGTCTCATTTTTTTTTGTGGCACAAATAGACATCTATTTTTACTAAATTCCTTATAAATTCTATTATTTTATTTAATAATGTATAACATTGATTCTTTTTTTTTTTGTCTTATTAAAATAACATAATTGCAAACAGTGTTAGTTATTAGAAAAACAGGTTAAACTTCTAATTTATAAAAGTAAAACAATGAAAACAATGAAAAAAAAAAAAGTTTGATTAAGGTGTTATTATCCTCCAGCAAGGTTTCAGATTTACTCTTATTTTACAGTGGACAACAGTCTAGCCATCTTGCAAGTGGTTTGGATATCAAGATAGTTTCAGCAACTAAAGAAGTATTAGCGTTATATAGGATGCATATTTATTTGCAAGAGTCATAGAGATGATATATATTTGTATTTATATACTATTTGACAGTGGTTTATTAGTTATTATTGTAATCTTTTCAAAGCATCTCTTACTCAACTCAAAAAATCCCTTTGAAAAAAAGGAATAGAAAGAATTCCAAAACTACCTGTTAAAGGTAAATCGAGAATTAAAATTTATTTGAAATAACTTGTTCAGTCATCCTCGGAAACTGCTAAAACAAGTAACCAACCTTTTTTTTTTTGAGTTATGTCAGTCTTGAGTTTAAGGAAGTTAAACTAATAATCCAATTTATTGGGGCAAAAATGTGTTAGAAGTGGGGAAGGGAGGGAAGGTTATGAATAGGTATTAATTAATGTCTATTATTAATCATAACCAAAGTAAAAGATGATTTGTAAGAGTAATTTTTTTTTTTCAATGATGATGTCGTTTATTTTGAATTATTTTAGCAAAGTTACTTTGTTATATACCAAACAGGCCAATTAATAAAATTACTTTATGACCTACAGAAAAAAAAAATTGAAAGATCTATATATAGTTTGTTAACTCTGGGCATTTAAGTCGGTATAATACTGTAAATGATTTGGCTGGGAAAACTACACATCCATTTAGTAACAGAATTATTATATAATTACTTGTTATCTCTTAGGAAGTATTACAGAAAGGAATATCAAAACTACTAACATTAAACATTGCCAAAAGAAAAAAAAACGGGTAACTAATTTATAACATGTTTCCATAGATAAAATGATTATCAAGATACACACATGTTAAGTATATAATACTATTTCTTGATGGAAATTTTTTCTTTTTTTTTTTTTTTACAAGTATTAGCTGTTTTTTTTTTGAGAGTATTTCAACTTTAAACGCGTATTTATTCAATTTATATAACTATGATAGTTACGAGACTAAATTATCTCGGCCAAACATGCTTATTCATTAATACTATTTCGTTGTAGGTTCTGAATTTAACATAAACTATACAACAAGCAATAATTACTTTATTTCTTTGTTTTTACTAAAGTCTTACATGGAAATAGAATACATGTATTATATATACTTTTGAATGTTTGAAGGTATTTCATCACTAGAAACTTCAAATCCTTGGATTGTAATGCCCTGCATATACATATATAACTTGTCGTGTCCCGTCATAAAATACTATGAGAAACCGAAATTGGTAACCGTAGTAGTAGTAATAAAAACCATAGTTTCTTGATTTGAGATACTTTATTTTTTCTACCAAGAATAATTCAGATAGTACAAATCATATAGACAAGTTTTAGATTTGTTACTTAAATAATTAGTATATAACGGGCTCTATATTATTTGCCATGTATAGGTGTAGTTAAAAAAAATCTTCTCAAACCTGTTCAATCAAAAATTGGGAAAAAAAAAGAGTATTTATCATCAGCTAATTATACACTTGCAAGTGTAATAGAGTGAGACTCTATCTTTTGTTAAAAACACACACACACACAAGTAAATAAAAAGAGAAGGATAAAAAAGTAAATATCTTGTATGGATATTCTGTAATTTTTAATTTTAGAATATCCTGCAATAAGTTTAATAAAATATAGACACTCTATTTGACAAATGTTACTTAAGCAAGTCAATAAAATAGGATAGTTGGCTATTATGTACTAACAATACTATGTACAAATGAATAATGATAACTGTTAAAATAGATAATTTCGCAAAATAAAAAAATAAAAAAAAAAATGAACCTATAGTTACAAACATAAAAAGAATGTAAAAATTATTTTCTTTTCTTTTTCTTTTTTAAATATTTCTTTATTTACTTATTTTATTTTATTTTTTTTTTTAAGAAAAGCAAAACTTTATTTGTTGAGAAATTATCCCTTTTTCTTTTTCTTTTTTTTTTTCGTATGAAAAGTGATAACAAACAACAACAAGTTGTTTGGTCTTCTGAGAATGTTACAAATTGGCTAATTTCAAATGGCTGGAGTTCTCTTGTAAATGCATTTAATGGTAATGAACAATTATTCTATAAAAAGAATAGATTTGTTTTTAATAAAGAAAAGTTTAAATTAGAATACAACATTCAGCATGATCGTTTTCTTAATTTAAACATGGAAACTCTAAACGATTTATTAAAAAATACAGACATTTCAACACTAGACAAGCAACAACTTGTTACTGCTATACAAAAATTAAAAAGACAGAGTCAAGTAAGCTTATTTTTTTTTTTTTTTTTTTTTTTTTCATAAAACTAAATTATATTTCAGGTACAGCGATTAAAACCACGTATTGCTATACCTTCATTTTTCAAACGAACTCCAAACCGTAATTCAAAAAGCTCTATTACAAGTACTTCAACTTATTCTTCAACTAATTCCTTATTATTACCTACCACTACTGCTACAAATTATACTACTAATTTCGATATCACACAACATATACCCAAAAGAACATCATCAACTGAGACAAATATCTCGAAACTACTCGAAAATTTTAATCCTTCAAGCACAACACTTTATTTATCATCTAAAAGACCAAAGAGTTCACGTATTAATGTTACTGATCCGGAAGTATTAAGCAAATTATTTGGTAAACGATTACCAATATCACAACAGCCTCAAGATCATCGAATTCAGGTTACTTTAGATGCTGACACTTTTATTCGATTATGGATTAAACATCCAAGTAATGCTCTTGATATTAAGCATGCTGTATTATTTAAATTAAATATTGACGCTGACCCGAATTATTTTTTATTTTATCATGAAAATGGGCCGCAAGCAAGTAAGATAGATAGATAGAGACAAATAATAAAGGCGTACCTTAATCTGGTTTTCTTTTTTCCCTTCTAATTTTAGATATTCCTTTAAATGATGATGAATTAATATATGTATGCTATACTTCAGATGATAATCATACAAATCGAATTTTAGTTGTTCCAATAGAGGGCTATACTTTAGTTCAGCAATATCAAAATAATAGGTTTGTGTGTGTGTGTGTGTGCGTGTGTTTTACATAAAAAACGTAAAAGTATATAAATACATTTTTTTTTTTTTTTTTTTTTTTTTAGCTACATGACTCGATATATACTTATTCAGAATAGTCCAGTACCGAGTCCAATCTCTTCTTCTTCTATTACGGGTATTCAATTAATGGATCCTCATGAAGAATATAATGAAGAACTATCACCTATTCCTTCTTCTAATTTTTGGACTACTACACCATCAACGCTAGATCAAGCAAAAGCTTCTACAGCATCCCCTTCTTCATCATGGTATGTTCATACCTCTAATGTATCATCTTCACCTGTAAGTACTCTATGGCCTGTAGGTGAACTACGTACAGAAAAAAGTGGTGATTCACCTGGTATGGAACGTATTATAGAAGGTATTTCTTTATATGATCCTCCTACACCAATTCAAGATCAGCCTACATCTCAACTTCCTAATAACACAACAATACATGTTGAATCGCCTCCTTCTCCAAATGATACTGAAAAAAGGGCACTAAAGTTAGATAAAAGCAAAAACGATCAACCATTATTATCATCTTCTTCTTTTGATTTAGTATCAAAACAAACAAGTGAAGATGATATATTTGGTGAACGACCTTCAGTTGAAAAATTATATCAAAATATTGACAAATATTTACCTGGACATGATTTAGATAAAGAAATTTTGATAGAAACAATCAATAATAATAATAATAATACAATTGCAATAACTGATATAATAGTGCCTACTGCGTCTAAACGATTATTAGGTCACCAACCTTCAGTTCGGGTTGTAGCGAAAGAAGCTCATCAACGATGGAAGCAAGCAGCAAATAACGTCATGATAGTCAATAACTTTATGCTACGACGTAAATCAACCAAGATGTGGGATCGACCTGTAGAGCGCGTCAAACCTGGAGAAGAGAATCGGATTATCTTACCAAACGGTATTACACCTACAAAGATGCAATGGATGAAAGGTAACCTTATTGGGCGTGGATCATTTGGACGGGTCTATCATGCACTCAATATTGCCACAGGTGAATGGCTTGCAGTGAAAGAGGTAGACGTTGTGGTAACACAAGCAGACAAACGGAATGCAGATCTTCAAGCTGCCTCGGATGCACTTTACCGTGAGATATCTTTATTGAAAGATTTGGACCATATGAATATTGTTCAATATATGGGATATGATTGTAATACAGATGAGGGACAGATTTACATCTTTTTGGAATATGTTCCAGGTGGAAGTATTTCTAGTTTATTAAATCAATATAAATTCTTTGACGAACCGTTGATTAAGTTTTTCACAAGACAAATATTACAAGGATTACAATATTTACACGAACGCCATATTATCCATCGAGATATTAAAGGAGGCAATGTACTGATTGACCAAAATGGAATATGTAAGATAACAGACTTTGGTCTCTCCAAGAATCAGCAAGAAAGTGGAGTCTATGATCCACATTCAAATCATTCACAGATGAAGGGAACTCTTTACTGGATGGCACCAGAAGTATTAACAAATAACTATAGTGCTAAAGTAGATGTATGGAGTTTAGGATGTACAGTGTTAGAAATGATTACAGGACAGCATCCTTGGACAGAACTCACTACATTAGCTGCTTTATATCAAATTGGATTACATAATGCACCAGATATACCTGACTATATCTCAAACGAAGCTAAGGAGTTCTTACAGCTATGTCTTAAAATGTAATATATATATATATATATATATATCATGTTCTTATAACCCAACTAACTCTCTCTCTCTCTCAATTTTAGTAAACCAGAAGATAGACCTACTGCAAGTGAATTATTACAGCATCCTTTTGTTCAAGTTGATCCAAATTTTAACTTTAAAGAATCTTTAAAACAACAACAGCCTAAGCTAATTTAATTTATTTATTTATTTATTTATACTCTATTCTATACTATTTATTATTTCTTTAATTTTTTTTTTTTATACTAATATTTTTTTTTTTTTTTATGAAAAAAAATTTGTGCTTTTATATCCACTCCTGCGATATTGTTCCTTCCCCCCTCCAAAATAATAACAATGTTATAAATAAATTAAATGGGCTCAGATTGAACTTATCTTTATTCCATTTGTTGTAATGTTGCCTCAGTAATAAGGACAAGTTGAAGTAAAATACAGTGTTTCGAGGATAAAGTTGAGGCTAGTTTTTAGACATGTCTACCTATAAAAATACAAATTTTTCATTAGGTGTTCGGAACAGCAATATAATAACTTGATTAGTGGGTTTTAACAAGAGGCAGGAGGAGGAGGGGAAACCGTATCCACTAATTACTTGTTGTAATATTTCGAGATTTTTTTTTTTTTTTTTTTTTTTTAGCACATCATTACTTCAGGATAAATGCTTTTTTTAGCTTGTAATACCTATTAAGCCTGATAGGTTTTTTTTTATATCCATGTGCTCTTGTCTGAAATAATGTGGATAAAGCTCTCTTCATAATGAACATATTTGCCTCAATTGGTGTTAACAGATCAGGATTTGACAAGCTGATTACCTTTCATTTCTATGCACAAGGTTTGTCCACTCACAGCTGAAATATGGTTTGACTACCAACACACTTGACTCTAAAACGATCGAATCCCCCTGAAGGCTGCCAAAATAGTCGCCTTTACGATATATGTGATAGTTATTCTACATCTTTCAGAAAGGTTATGTTGCATCTTATTAAGCATGAACCTTACGAATATTCTACAAGCCCAACTTATTCTTCGATCCTACGCTCTTATCAACAATGCATTTCTTCTATTGAAAGTCTCTGCATATGTTTATTTATAAAAAAAATATATATTTGTTCTACTTGCCTTCTTGACAACTTGAATGAAAGATATTCTAATCGTCATTCCAAATAAATGTTTGCCTTCCGTAACACTTTTATAATTGAACCTATAGAATTATTCAGCTTACAACGCCATGTCTTTGTCTCTTTCCAGTCCAGTTCAGGTCCACTCCTAATAAACTGGTTTATTCTTTACACTTTATTCCTTTTTTTTTTCTTTTTTTTTTTCTATTTTTTATTTTTTTTATTCTAAAAGAGTTTTTAGTTACTTTTTATCATTATTTTTGAACTGACTAGGACAATTCAGTAAATCTATGAACTACATGCCCATTGGTCTCTTTTTATAAATAAACTTCTTCATAATCGTAGCGATATATAGCAAGTCACATAAAATAAGATGTGTGTAACATTCGTTATTTTATAAATGTATTTAGAAGGGGTTTTTTTCCTTCTTTTCCTCTTCTTCTTTTACAACTTGTTTATAGGCAAATTAAAATGGAGACAGCAGGTAATTCAACTCTAGTAGAATTGAATTGGCTGGAAACGAAATGGGAGCAAATGTATGAGGATCGTAATCCACTTCTTGTTACTGGTATCTTTGCCTTCTTGATGCATGAGCTTGTCTATTTCGGACGTTTCATCCCCTTTTTAATTTGTGATTTTATTCCTTATTTCAAGAAATATAAATTACAAGAGGTAAATATTTATTATAATTATTATTATTTTTCCCCGTCTTAAGTAATAATAATCGTAATAGGATAAAACAAATACAAGCGATGACTATTGGAAATGTACTAAAAAAGTACTTTATGCTCATTTTGTATTTGAAGGGCCCTTAATCTTTTTATTTCATCCATTTGCTACCATTTTAGGTATGAAAGTTTCTGCTCCTTTCCCCGCTTGGTAAGATTTTAGATACAGATCTTTTTTCTTCCTCTTCTTCTTTTATGGCATATTTATCTATTTATTTATTTTTAGGCAAAATATGTTGGTACAAATAGCTATCTTCTTTGTCTTTGAAGACTTTTATCATTATCATTTGCATCGATTTATGCATTGGCCACCGTTTTATAAAAAGGTCCATAAAATACATCATGAATATGCTGCACCATTTGGTATCGCTGCTGAATATGCTCATCCAATTGAAACCATGATTTTAGGATTTGGAACAATTGGTGGCCCTTTAATTTATCATTATTGTTCAATGCATTTATTCAATTTTGGTCCTGATTGGGGACTTCATTTGATTACTATGCTTACCTGGATTACAGTGCGTTTATTTCAAGCTATTGATGCTCATTCTGGATATGATTTCCCTTGGTCTCTTTGTCATTGGGTTCCCTTTTGGGCCGGTGCTGAGCATCATGACTACCATCATCAAGCATTTTTAGATAACTTTTCATCTTCCTTTAGATGGTGGGATTATCTCTTTGGCACTGATAAGAGATACCGTGCTTATCGTGCTCGTCAAGCTGAAGAAAAGCGTCTTAAAAGTAAGAAAGGCTTGTAAAGAAGGAAAACAAAAAAAAAAGTATTCATTACATAATATACAACTTAATAATATTACCCCCTCTTTCTTACTCCATATAATATATATGCGTATATTCATATATTCTTTGATTTTATTTGCTTTGATTTAAATAAATGTCTATAGTGAATACCTTTTCTTATAATTCTTGTGTTGTATCTAAGCTAAATTGACTATTGATTTTTCCTTTTTGGTGATGATTATATTTTGACGCTTTTTTCCTTAATTTCTCTTTAATTGCCATTTTTTCTTCTAATATCTTCTTTACTCTTTTCGTTATTGCCTGTTGATGTTCAAATTCATCATCTTCATCTTCTGACCATTCAATATTTCTTTTTTGTATCATTCTTTGAGTAATGGTTTTCCAACTAAACCTCATGATGCTTGGAAATCCAAAAAAGGGATCTTCATTCTCATCCATCCATCTTACTGTATTTGGATCTGAAGGATAACCTGATCCAAATTTTTTGGATAATTGAAGTCCTGTTTCTGTCCATTCCCAATTCTGAATAAATTGATCTCGAGTAACTTTGGCGCAGATACTGGCTGCGCTTACAATCGGATAAAGCGCATCTGCTTTAGGTTCAACTGTAATGGCTACACCTGGGAAATGACTTTGAAGTTTACGCTTATAGGGTATTGAAGGACCAACTGGATCAACATAGATCTATAAACTAAATAAATAACATTTTACATTTTTTTTTATTTATGTTATCCTATACCTCTTTTAAGTTGATTTTATTCGCAACAACCTGCTTTATTAATTCGATAGTTGCGTCATGTGCCATTTCATTTAAATTATATACAGGTCTACATGTATAACCCAGTTTAATCGTAAAGTAATTTATATGTATATGTATCTATTCATCTTTTATTGCAGTCAAGAGATGATTACCTTTTGAACATGTTTGTAGATATATCTTTTGGTGAAATCACATAAACTGCCCATCCAATCCAATCCTTGTTTGCTTCTATGATTTTAGCTAATTGTATACGTTTTTCCTCGGTCAATTTTTTAGAATCTATTTAGATGATAAGCTTAACATTTTTTTTTTTATTCTTTTCTTCTAATATAAGATTTAATATGATATATTATACCATCAAATCCAAGTTTCTTAAATTCTTGATGCTTAGAAAGAGGACAATAACTAACAGCATAGACCATTGGGCCTAAACAAGGCCCTCTACCTGCTTCATCAACACCCAAGACATAAGGTTCATCTAATGATTGATTATCAAGTTGTTTCTCTTTTATTAAAGTCGGAACTGGGCTTTGATATATATATGACTTTGTTAATGGTAATTTAACAGAAGGTAATAAAAACGGTAAGGTTTCTTCTTCGGATTGTAATGTTACCATAGATGAATATGATCTATGTCCTTCTCCTGAAAACGCGCTAACTTTTTTTTTTTTTTTCTTAAAAAAAAGAAAAGTCATATATTACTGACTTTTAAAAATCGTTCATTGAAGCAAGCATACATATCATAGCATTCTTTGTTCACCCCTCCCCCCAGGTTCCTTATTTTTTTTTTTTTTTTTTTTTTTTTAAAAAAAAAACTAACAATGTCAACATTACCTCGGCTATTATTTTCGAGATTACCTCGATATACACAATCTACATTAGTAAGGAATTCTTTATTGAGAAATAACATTCATCGAATGACGACAATACGATCAGTGCATAATTCACCAAAGGAATATAACGGAATTCAATCAGTAGCTCATCATTTTAAGCAACAACGGCATATGCCCTATTTTTTAGAATACCTCATGTGGGCCGTCTTTGGTTCTGAAGCACTACACCTCATTTGGCTCAAGATGGATTATAAGGAATATAAAGAAAGAAGTGCCCATAAGATAAAATTACTAGAGGAAATTATCAAACATATTGAGCAAGGGGAAGAGATCGAGGAAAGCTTAAAACAGGAAATTAAGATGGTTTTGATGAACAATAAACATCACAAGGATGATTTACATGATTTAAAAGATGAAATTGATGATGAGTATTTAAATCATTGTAAGTATTAGCCTTAGACGAGAATAGGATGTATGACTTATCCTCCCTCTTTCTTATAGTAATTGCATCTTTAGAAAAACAAGAACAAGAAAAGAAAGAAAATATAGATTCAAATAGACTTGATACAAAGAATGATCATAATGAAAGTCCAACAGCGTCAACACGAGGGAATAAAAAGGACTCAAAGACACACTTCTTTTTATAAATAAAGCAAATACGGATCCTATTTATTATCTAAAATCGACTAATATCTCTCCCTAACAAAAGAGTTATGAACCTAATATGTATAATAGACACATAAATATTAAAATAATTCTAGTACATTTACATTACCAATGATAAGCGATTAACATTTTGTTCCGAATGCTGATGCTTTTGTTTATATATACAGATCTCCAAAATAACCATGATAAATGGCCCGACATTTTTGCCCAATTATGTACAGCAGACATATCTACTAAAGCTTCATAAGAACCAATATAAGCCATCATACCATAGTCTCGATATTTGAACTTCTTTCCTTCCGAAAGATCATAATCTCTTTTAGCAAATGTATTTAAAGCTATAATTTTATATTATTAGAAAGTAAGAGTGTAAGATAAGTAGATCAGTTACTACTGTTGCCGTTTTATGCATATTTGTATTTATAAATAACGTACTTTTTGCAAGATATTTAGCTTTTTGAGAGGCGACTATAGTTTTTTTTTTTTCTTTTTCGGGTTACATGTAAAATTTAAACATTTTATACTCATATTATTATACCTTGTGCTGTAGCTGGTAAGTCATATTCTTTAATTGTAGCGCAATCGCCGAGAGCATAAATATTGGGAAAAGGAAGATTAGTTTCTTTATTATAAACACGCAAATGGCCATCTGTTAATATCCTATATTAAAAAAATAAAGACTCTGTGAAACTTTATTTGCCGTGTATTACATATACAAATACCTTTGACTGGATTTGTCTTTTTCAGCTTCAATAAAAGACTCTACTAATGGATTTTGCATTAGACCAGTAGACCATACCAATAAGCCATAAGGAACTTGTTTACAAACGTTTGCAGGAAAGTTAATATTATAATGAAATACACCACATATGTATAGATATAATACCTTCACCTTCGCCTTGAATAATTAAATGATCTTTTTCTACCTTCTCAACTTTTCGTTCTAATAAGTAAAATTTGGAAAAAAAAAAAAAAAAAAAAGCGTGAATATTTTTTTTTCTTTTATTTGCATGCATGCATGTATGTATAGTATAGTTTACTTGTTTTGACTTGGATTCCTTTACGATTAAATTTCTTTGAAGCATAATCAGCAAGATGAGAATCAAAGGCTCCAAGAATAGTGGGGGCAACATCAAATAACGTCATATGAATCTTTCCAATTAAATCAGGATAAAGTCTAGATACATCATCTGCAATGAAATCGTAAAGTTCTGCCGAAAACTCAACCCCCTTTATATATATATATATATATAAAACGTGACATGAATACAGTCTATAAACTACTTGAATATATATTTTAACTTACGGTTGGACCACCGCCTACAACTACAAAATGAAGCTGGTCCTCCTTTTCTTTATCAGTTAAACCAGGCTGCGAAGCATATTCAAAACCTATGATACATTAAATATAAATACAAAACTAATAATATTATTATGCATTATAATCACAGTCAATTAATTTTTTTCTAATCTTTCTTGCATCATTAATTTCCTTTAAGAAATAAGCATATTCTTTCACACCAGGAATACCAAACGTCTTTGAATAAGCACCTACACAGATAATTAACTGATCATAATGTAATGAAAATTTTCTTTGTTCCAGATCTAGTATGTTTTACACATTTAAATATATGTGTGTATGTGTATGTGTATGTGTTTGGTTTTAATACCGCATTTCCCTTCTTATTCAACAGATTCACACACTTACCATGAATACTAGAAGTACAATGAATGATTTGATTCTTACTGTCTTTTTTTATATAAGATATGTGTTAGAAAAGCAGTCAAAAGAGGGAGAAATTTACTATTTACCTATCCCATCACAGTAAGCTTCATAAAAGTTCGTGCCGCTTGAATAGGTACGTATAGGCTCAGTAATACATCTAAATTCCAATGTACCAACTGAAGTACTAAAAAAAAAAAAAAAAAAAAAAAAAAAAAAAAAAAAAAAAAAAAAAAAATTGAATAATAAAAATTCTATATCTTCAAGGCTTCATTTAACAATACTACCTTGCCAATAATGGAGTGAAAACAAAATGGTTTCTATTATAATTATTGTTTAGTTTTATACAATTTTTTATTTATATATAATTTACCTGGGAGAAACAATAGAAATATGATAAATTTTTTGATCTAAATCTCGAATCAAACGGAAACCTAAAGGCAGAGTTATGAATTAGTTTGAGGAAAAAAAAAAAAAAAAAAGAATCTTTTAACCATTTCTACCTGCCCAACCAGAGCCTATTTGGTAATATAACAGTAAAATACTTGATTAATAATCAACTCTTTTTCTTTTTACTTTTTTTTAAAAAAGAAAAATAAGTATTTAAACCTAATATAATAGTGTTTCCTATATATTTATATAAATATATATAAAAGATAAATATACACTGTATGCAACTAATTCTTTATTTACGTTGAGGCTCTGTTAGAGCTCTTGTTTTTGTCTGGATAAAATGCTTTGCTATGAATAGTAATGATAAATATAATGTATATATATATAATCATGTTATATGTTATAGATACTTTGATAATGTTTTAATGATAATTGCAAAGGGTTTAATAAAGGTGGTATAGTCAAAGCAGTATTATTGTTGACTGGATAATTTTGCTGGAATAATTTAAGCGAGTAATTATTAGTCGCATTAATCATGTTTATCAGTCTTTTTCGAACCCATTTTGAATGATTCAATGTCGATAAATTGACAGTACAAGACATTAAATGTATCATTATTTCTAAACAAAAGAACAGGTTATATTGGTATATAAAAGAAATGGAATTGTCTTTTATATGGTTTTTATTTATAGTAAAATCGAACTTTAAGAGACTTCAATTGGACACGAGATATTAGGTATATCCGGTTTGTCCGAGTTGGATCATTAAGGACAAGTTTTGAAATATAGAGTTGCAGTTTTTTTTTGAATCAAACTATAAAATCTTTATCAAAAATATATATGTATATATCGTATGTCTAGTCTCTGATAAATAATCTGGTCAAAAAATTCAATTCTAATTGATAATCTCCTTACATGACTTTTTCGGGTAAAGATGTATTATTTGTATAGAGGTCCAAATTAGCAGCAAATGTGTTAGTGTTAAGCATTTTTATTTTATTTTTGGCACTATTAAATGCCTGTACCCTAAAACACAGGTTGTATTGCGCTTCATACATCAATTTAAATAATCCAAAACATTCTTATGAAATCAATATTCCTTAGCCTAGTCTAGACTACTGAGCTCCATTGAATGAAAACAATGATCTATTTCTCTAATTGTGGACTAATGAATACATTGTTTACCTTGCAGGAATAGCTTACACATACTAGAATTTTGTTTAGATGGTTTAGAATAACTTCCACTAGATTATGTTTTCCGCTCTCTGTCAACGTCTCTTCTATTTTACCTACAGAAAGCAGTACATCTAAAATATCTTCATTAAGAGAAGCAATAGATGTCACAAGTGATAATTGGACGATCATCAAAATAAGGTAATCACACTTAACTGCCCTTTTATTTATTAATAGCAACTGAGCAAATAAGATCAAAGAAATAACTTTTATTTTACATACTGCTTCATGTACATTTATTGATAAGTTATTAACTTGTTTTTGGCCGCATGTTTCTATTTTTTTTTTATTTTTAGAGCACTTCCTATTTATACAAGTTACTGCTAGTTTTATATATATATAAACTCTTTTTACATTTCTACCAAACTTAATCTATCACCTTGTATTCAGCTTCTTGTGTATTATAATACAGAACGGTTCATTATTATTGCTATGCTATTTTCTTTGATAATTTAATGCTGAGCCGCTATTATTGTTTGTCTTTATCTTTTTAGACACACTTGATCTATTTGGCTTAGGCACATCACACTATTATTTATTTTTTTTACCACTTTTTTTTATGTAGTTTTATATACCAGTACAGTTCTAGCTCCTTGCAACAATTGATAGCATCTGTTCCCATTCCATAGTTTTCTCATATCTTATTTGATTAATAATACAAACATGTCTTTTATTTACAATAATTAGTATCTTCAATGTTTCTAACACCTATTCTAACGATAGGTTCAATAAAAAGAAAAAACACACACATAATGATAACAAGTAATTATTATTCCGTGAATCAAGTAGCATTTCCCTAAAAAATAAAAAGGCGTAAAAAAAAAAAAAAAAAAAAAAAAAAAAAAGTATTCATCCAATCAAATCCTCATATTTAAAGACGGCTACTCTCAATAAACAACCCTTGCTTGCCTTAAGAAAAAAAAAGGAAATTATTATGCAAGACTAATAAAATTTATTCTTTTATTTATCTTTGTATGCTAAAAACGATTTATAGAACGTGCTTTCGTTCGTTAACTACTACAACCGCAGTAAAAACTCTCTTTGATACTTCTCCTAATCACTTATTCAAACCACTTCAACAATTGGCACCGACTTTCTATACAAATGGTGATAATATAAAGCCGCTTTATCAGCCTGTTGATTTCTATTCTCAATTAAAAGTATGATTGACAAGATTATAGGTTAATGCTAACTATGTACAACTGACAATTTATTTTATTAAAAAAAAAATCAACTCACAGGAAAATATCTTATCTGCCAAGGAACGTGTATTTATTGCTGCACTTTATATTGGTCAGAGTGAAAGAGAGCTTGTAAAAATATTTAAAAATGTTTTAATATTATGTATTTATTAATATTAATAACATAGGTTAATACCTTACGTTTAGCTCTTCATAGAAACCCTCGACTTAAGATTTATATATTAATTGACTGTTTACGTGGAACAAGAGTATCAAAAGATGAAAGCTCTGCAACATTACTATTACCACTAATCAGAGATTATCCAGATCAGATTAGAGTATCAATGTACCATACTCCTGATCTAACGGGCATCTTGAAAAAAACATTACCTCAAAGATTTAATGAAACTATTGGATTAATGCATTTAAAGGTATATGGGTTTGATAATTCAGTTATGCTAAGTGGGTAAGCTATTTTTTTTTTATTTTTATTTTTTAAATAATAAATAGAAATAAAAGATGTTAATAATATTGTAAAGTGCCAATCTTAGTACTGACTATTTTACAAACCGACAAGATCGATATATATTATTTAATCAACAGCCAGGATTAAGCTCTTATTATTATGATCTTCTTCAACTCATCTCGGATTGCTCATATCAGCTTACCCCTTTATCGGAAAAAAAACAATACAAATTAGTCATTCATAATATTGCAGATCCTGTTAAAGAAAGTAGACAATATAAAAAACAAATGCATCATCGATTACAGCAATTTATACAATCTTATCAATCAAAACCCATTAAATCAGAAGAAGCCATGGCTGATACAGCTATTTTACCTGTCATTCAAATGGGCCCCTTTCGTATTCGTCAAGATGAACGAATGACACTTGAACTTTTAAATATCGCTCATCAACAGCCAAAGCCCTGGACAATCCACCTTACTTCGGGTTATTTTAATTTTACAGAGCAATACAAGTCCTTTATTCTTAAAACGCGTGCTTGTTTTCGATTCTTGACAGCTTCCCCTGAAGCGAACGGCTTTTTTAATTCAAAGGGAGTTTCTAGATTCTTACCTCCTGCTTATACATTTATTGAACGCGAATTTTATAGACATGTAAAACGAGCAGGAAGACAATCGGAAATTTCAATTGAAGAGTATAAAAGAACAGGTTGGACATATCATGCAAAAGGTTTATGGGTATCCCTCAATGATGATAAGCTTCCTACAGCTACTATGATCGGCTCTCCTAACTTTGGTCAGAGGTCAAGTGAACGAGACTTAGAGGCTCAAGCATTAGTAATCACAAGGAATGAAAGTTTAAGAAAAGCATTGCATAAGGTTTATTAAAAAAAATAACTTTAATGTTGTTTTAAGACATGCACTTAATTATTTTTAAATAGGAAGTGGATTTATTACATCAACATTCAGAACTTGTAACAAACGAAACATTTGATAAAATAGATAGAAGAGTACCTAATGGTGTCAAAATTGCAACTGCATTTGTAAAAACCATGTTATAATTATTAGATTTATTACACTTGTCGATTCTATAATATAATAGTATACTTTTTTTTTTCAAAGTCTTGTCAGTATTTATTGTTTGTAATAATCACAATTAATTTTCGGTGGTTTTCTTTCTTTTATACTAATGATTCGAATTTCATGATTTTTTTCGAACTTTGTATCAGAAATGAGTGAATGCTGTATCTTGAATTGCATAAGAAAAAAAAAAATTATAGCCAATTAGATATTAGCTCCAGGCAAAAGAAGTGTAGACAATACTACAATTATAGTTTTGACAGGATTTTTTTTTAAAAAAAAAGGTGACGGTTAAATTGATAACAAAAAAAAAAAAAAAAAAAAAAAAAAAAAAAAAAAAAAGCCTGTAAACTATTTCCTCCTTTTATTTATAATAACAAATTCAATGTCTAAGCGTGCTAACGAAGATCAATTTCCTATTTCACAAAATAAAAAAAGTCGCTCAACAAAGGAAGGACATGCACCTAACTGTGTGGATGATACATGCAAAGGTTGTGATGTAGGTGAAGTAGAGATCTCTTTTGTTCGTAAAGATGCTACAGGAAAGACGATCGACACTGAACCTAATGCTCAAGAGCTTTTAGCCATGGCCATCGATGAGGCAGCTAATCAAAAATACAATGATAAAGATGATAATGAAAATAATGATATGGCTCATCGCCTGTTTGATATGGCTATAGAAAAATATCAAAAAGAAGAACCTGACAATCATCTAGGCTATGCTACATGCTTAATTGAATTGGGTAAAGCTCTTCAAGTAGAAGAAAGTATTCGTGAAGGTCTAGAAGTTCTTCGTGGTGAACAAAAGAAACAAAAAGGAAACAAAGAAATTTTGCTTAAATTAGCAGGTGCTGCTATCATATTAGCTAATTTGCTTCGTAAGAAAAAGGACACCTATTTTGAAGAACAAGAAGCTGAACTGAAAGATAGCGATGGTGAAATAGATGAAGTAGCTTATGAAGAACTTTTACAGAAGCAGCAAGTTTCTAGAGAGGAAATAAAGCTATATAAGGATGCAATTAATCATGCTAAGGAAGCCTTTGAAGATATCGAAAAGGAAGAAAATGAATCAATTCAAAAAGAAATACAGACTGTTTTACATGAATTAAGAGCATATGGTCAATTGCTTACACAACCTTTTCATCAAATTCACGTTAATACTGTGCTGGACGCTGTTATTAGTTTTATTCAAAAACTTCCTAAATACGAAGAAGATGCTGATTTGTTAATTTTATGGGCTGCATGTCTTTTACATAAAGAGAAGTTTATAGAAAATGAAGATGAAAAACTTATCGTAATGAAAAAGATTGATGATATGTTAATTAAAGCAAATAAAACACATCTTCTTCAACACGGTAAAGAGAGTGCCTGGGTTTGGGAAATGGTAAAAAAAAAACACGAAAAAAACCAAAACAAACGGATGACTTATTCAATTTTTTTTTTGCTTTGTACTTTGTTTATTAGTATGCTATGCTTCGTATTAATCAATCTAATTTGGCCGAAGATGAAGACAAAGCTTTAGATTTATATGATGAAGCAATTAAAGCTTTCAAGAAAGCACATGCATTGGATCCAGGTAAAATAAACAATAATTTTAAATTAAAATGAACTAGCAATATTAACTCTACTTTAATAGACAATCCAAAACTTTCTGAAATGGTCAATATGCTTGAAGCTTCTCCAGAAGAAGAAGAAGAATAAATAAAATAAATAAACATATGTGTATATAAATATATGTATATATAAATAATACTGTAATACGCTTTATCTCTATGAATAATACATGCTATATGTATATAAATATATATATTCTTTCACATGTAAAATAAAAAAAAAAAATTAAAAATAGTAAATGCCGCTTAAAATACTTGTTTATGAATTAAACATAGTATTTACTAGCAATACTATTAAATATCACACGTATTAAATATATGCATTCATATACATATGATTCAGTTAAAAAAGAAAAATTAAGTTTTACAACACTATAAATGTTATTGGTTAGATATCATTAAAATAAACATTATCGAAAAAAGCTTAATAACCTAAAATAAACGTGCTAAAATATATAATTGCTGACTCTTAAAATATTCTTCTTCTGAACTTGACAGTTTTTAATATAAGATGAGGCTATTGTTCATTGTTAACTTTTTTTTTTATTTTCATAGTTTTTCTTTCTTTATTTATTTTTTTGACAATCTTTGAATGAACTTATACCGAAGAATATATTCAGCATATGTGCTATACACTGTTGCACTTATTTTATTAGCACCATTTATTTCTGGTTATAAACTCCCTGCACCTATTATCGTCTTATCACCCACAGCAAATCAAGAATTTAGCCCTGGACAGCGTATTTTCTTTGAATACGTTATTACAGACAATGCTAGTATGCAATTTATATATATATATATATATTTTAATTCTTATGACTTATGCAACTTTTTGTAGTAAATCAAATTGATATTTTCTTAGACTCTTTTGGAAATGTCAATAATCAAATATTCCTTGAATACATATTAGTTAATCCTAATAAATCTAATGGTACTTATACCATCGACGGACATAAGTACAAAAAGTATTCTTTATATCATGCTATTCCTCAAGATTTACCTATTAAAAACGAAGTGTATCAGGTACAGTATATAACATACATTTATACATTTATTTTGTATTATATTAACTGCTTTTTGTTTTGGAATTTTATCAGATTACATTTCAGACAGAGGCGGAATATGTTGTAATTCCTATTGAAATAAACCAATCCACTACTGCAACAGCAACTGAAATTAGTAAAACAACAAAAAGCATAAACAGCACATCAAGTACTATTACAACAACCATATCAAAAGCAACAACAATAAATACTACTACTACTACTACTACTACTACTACTACTACTACTACTACACCTACTACTACTACTACTACACCTATTACTACTACTACACCTACTATTACTACTACTACACCTATTACTACTACTACACCTACTATTACTACTACTACACCTACTATTACTACTACTACTACTAGTACACCAACACCTACAGTAATCAGTTCAACAGTGTCATCATATCAAAATATATCCTCTATAACTCCTAGTAGTATATTAAATAGTAGTTCAAGTATAATACATAGCTCACAAACTTATCCTCCAGTTACAAATAGCATAATTACTACTGCTCTTAATAATAGCTCATCCTTCCCATCTATGATGAGTAGAACAACTTATGTTACTTCTAATTCATCATTTATGCCTACGATAATTACTAAAACTCAAGCATATTCCTCCAAGACATTATCTCCCATACCAACAGAGACAACAGTAGTCCACAGTACTTTGTCATCTTCACCTATTACAACAGGTACCTTATCAGCAAGTACTACACCTACTCCACCTAATCCGAGAAGTTTTATTCATAATTCTGCTTCAGCAAATTCCATTAGAGTAGACTTTTCAATTGTTATTACTACATTAGTTTCTTTGCTCATTTTTAAAAATTTACTAGTACTTTAACAGGCTTAATATAACTTACAGTGACATTGCAATATTTAATTAGTCCTTTTTTTTTTTTTAATACTATATTTATCTCATCGATTGTAATATTTTATCACATATTTGTATATATATAAATATATATTTATTTATTTATAAATATATATTTTTATATATATTTATTATTATACATATTCATACTACATATACTTATATCTATTCAATAATAATAAAAAACACATAATAATATATATAGCATTTTTTTTTTTTTTTTTTTTTTTTTTTTTTACAACTTATATTGGGCAGGCTCAATTGTTTCGTGTTTATATTGCTTCTTTCCAGATCCATAATCACCAGCACCTTGACCATGTCCAAGAAGCTTATATTTATAAATAACTAAGCCCTCTAAACCAACAGGACCACGAGCATGTGTCTTATTAGTACTTACACCTACTTCAGCACCAAAGCCATAACGGAAGCCATCAGCAAAACGAGTACTTGCATTCCAGTAACAACCAGCAGCATCAACACGTGTCATGAAATAATCTGCAGTTTCTTTATTTTCAGTAACAATTGCATCTGTATGCTTTGATCCATGTTCATTAATGTGAACAACTGCAGCTTCAACATCAGATACTGACTTGACAGCCATAATTAAATCTAAAAACTCAGTATAAAAATCTTCCTCTACAGCCTCTTTAATCTTGTTTTGTTTATATTCTTGAGAAATAGCATCTGACTTGAGTAAAACTTCTTGAATATTCTTTTCGCACTTAAGGGTAACACCTGCATCTAAAAGAGCTAAAGCCACCTTAATAAATTCCCCATTTGATAATAAGGATTCATTCACTAATAAAGTTTCTGCAGCATTACAAGCGGCTGTATAATTTGTCTATCATAACATGCATGAGTCTTTTTCCTTTTCTCTTAATAACTTATAAATTACCTTAGCATCTACAACAATTTTAACGGCTTTTTCGATATCAGCCTCTTTATCAATATACACAGAGCAAATACCATCAGCATGTCCAAGAACAGGAATTCTACGAAAATATATATACATATGTAGATGATAAGAATATGATTATCTACATGCTTAAACTATATCTGTACCTAGTATTGTTCTGAATATATTTAACTAAACTATTACTTCCTCTAGGAACAACTAAATCAATATAACGATCCAAATCCAATAATGCATTAATATCTTCACGAGTTTCAACAATTTGAACAGCTTCCTTAGGAATACCATTAGTAGCAGGCAAGCTTGCTAAAGCATCTTGAATAACGCGGGCCAAAGCAGCATTTGTATGTGTTGCTTCTTTACCACCTTTCAAGATAACAGCATTACCTGACTTAAGGGCTAAGCAAGAGATATTTACCACAACCTCAGGACGAGCTTCAAAGATAGTTAACAAGACACCAACAGGAACTGTCAAACGATATAATTCTAAACCTTCGTCTAGTTTTGTTGCTAATGTAATCTTCTTTGTAGGATCAGGTAATTCAGCAATGTCACTAACACCTGAAAGAATGGTATCAAACTTATCATTTTGACAAACATCTAAACGCTTATAAAGAGAAGCTGAAAGCTTGCCAGCTTTAACTAATTCTTCTGCGATCTATATATGTATATATATAAGGTTAAATGATCATTATGAAAAAAAAAAAAAAAACTTACTTTCTTGTCTTCTTCATTAGCTTTAAAAATTTCTTCTCTACGATCACTTAAAACTTGCTTAATCTTTAAAAGGGCTTCATTTTTTTGAGTGTCAGTGACTGACTGAAGACTGACTGAAGCAAGTCGAGCAGAACGAGCAATTTCAACAATAGGAGAGGCTGACATTCTGATATTTATGTATGCGTGTAAGTATCTTGAAAAAAAGAAGAAAAAAGAAATTTTTAATTGTGAGTCAATTATACTCACTGTTGAAGCTGAGATTGAACCACTCGTCATGTCTGCACACACCACGTTACAAAAAAATAGATTAGCACAATTTCCAAATAGAGTGCAAAAAGGACCTAAACTTATAAAATAGATACACATGTCTATTTAACGAACTCAAATTCTTTTTCACTGTAATACATAAAGGCAGAAAATTATTCACACATTATGATATATTCGAAACGTGCAAATTTATCAAATATATTTATGGCTAAAATAGACTTCAAAATTGGATTCAAAATATTTACAGATCATTATACAAGACACGGGTTGCAAACGTCTTCAAATTTGGATAGTAGAGTCTTTTGATACAATAGCTGTTCATTATTAGACTATTCATTAAGAAACAAAGGAGAATAATACTTTAGCGATAATGTGCGATTAAATTGAAAAATTGCAAATATACTAAAGTTATTGCCCGCCTTAGTAAGATCAAAAAGACTGGGAAATTAAAGCCGGTATTCTCCAACGAGGATAGGTCCAAACACGTGGTAAGCACAATGACGTATCATCTTCAAATCATCATACTTTAAAATAATACAATCTGGTCAAGTATTTTATAGTAAAATACAATTTTTTTTTCATTGGTGAATGCCTTATTACTCTTGATAGTATTTCTTTTCTACTAAGCAAAAATACTCCTGGAATGATAGATCACTTTTGTCAAAAAAATATTAATTCCATTAGAAGGGCAAAATTACTCCTATCTTTTTAAAGTTGCTTTATTAATGTTGGGAATGGTTCTATACACTAAAAAAAATTATAGACTAACTCAAATTGTCTATTTGTGGTATTGCTGGTCATTCTAGCAATTACCTTCCAACTAGTTTAACTTTAACTATACAGAAAGCGCTTGAACATTGTATAAAGGATTACCTCTCGATCAGTAGCTCTGGTTTGGATACACTTCTAAAGCGTTGATTGTAGTTTTTTTTATCAAATCCTCTGTTTAGCTGAAGTTTGTAATATTTCACGTAAATGCCATAACATCATTCTAATACTTGTCTTGCCTTTCTCGATCTTATATTTGTATAAAACTGGTTATTTGTTTATATACTTGGGATTTTCTTTGTACTAAAGCTCCTTCCCCTTTCTATTTTATTTATTTATTTATTTATTTATTTATTTTTATTCATTTATAATATTAAAGATGCAAGTAGTAGTCACTCGTGTAACATTTCATTATGAAAAGATATAAAAGGCGCGAATGTTTAATTTCCCTTTTTTTTTTCTTTTTTTTCTTTTTTTTCTTTTTTTTCTTTTTTTTTTCCCTTTTTTTTTTCAGAAATGTGGGGAGCCTGTTTTATGCCGGGCTATGAATAGCATTGAAAATCGCCCCGTCTGTATAGTGCCTCCCATGGCTGATGGAAGGTAACACAGACCCATAGAATGTTTATTGATAATAAGAGTAGTTATTAACTACAAACAATATTTAGTTCTTCATATACAAAAGTGTTAGACATTTGAAGATTGTTTCGTAAAATAGCCCTTCTCGTTATACAATAAACATTCAAGAGGCTAAAACGATATATGAATTATGAATGATACTTTCATTTATAATAAAAGATATTTAGTGTCTGCTTGTTGTCATTGTAATTAAAATCAGTAAATATGCTCTAAAATTGGCAGTTTACATATAAACGGTATCCCTGCTCCTTATCATTAGAAAAAAAAAAAGATCTTTTGAGCTGATTTATAATGATATGTTTCTTGATTAAATAAACAGGGCATGATTTTTTTTTTCATTATTATAGTATATTTAGATTATGGTTGAATAACTACTTGACTATTAATTCCAAATTTAAAATATCGTATTATCTATAAATTGAACATGCTATTTCTAACTTCAAGAAGTAAGTGTTTCCTACTATTAATATCTGCATCGCATCTATTAGAGTAGACAAAGAAGATACAGTATAATAGCATTAAATTCAGATGGTAAAATTGTATGATAAACTAATAGGCATCGTTGTACTGAAAATTAAAGAATATCAAAATATAATATTCATGAAGATATGGCTTCGGGAGAAAGCTTTTAATACTATTATATCTGAATATTGCTCAACCATTATCTTATCAGTTTAAAGTAATAATAAACAAACGTCTCGAAAAGAGAAAAGGATACTTTTTATATTTCATGTTTTGTTTTGTTTTTTTTTCCTATTTGTTTTTAGCTTGATTTGATACGTCAAAATTATCGCTCAGGAACCAGTACATCTTCTTTGAAACTTCTGAGATTAGTGTTAGATGCTTCTATTTTTTAAAAAAAAAAAAAAATTCAAACTCATTCACATTTGATTGTCTGTGTTCCTGAATAAAATTAAAATAAAACATTTGATGGAATACAACAGCACTACTTCAAACTTTATTCTATTCCATTCTATAATGCTATACTTTATATACATTATAATGGTCTACTCTATTAATCTGATTTTAAAGGTTCTTAGTAATCATCAATTCATTTTCCTTTTCAGTCAGAAAAAAAAAAAGAAAAAAAAAAAAAGAAAAAAATACCGTTAATAAAGGTGAAACAGCAAGTATCAGTTGTAAATTTGTTCCTGGTTTTTTTTTTTCAAATTTATATTATAGTATTACATCAACTAATGTTCTTGTCACTGAAGTTTTACTATCATGGGAAGTAAAGGCTAATTAATAAGATAAGGAATCTTATTTTGAGGTTTTATACACAAAAAGTCTGTAAAAAGCCTGATAAAAAGTCTGATAAAAAACATGCCTTTTTTTTTCTTCCTTTTGCTAGATTTTCTTCTAACAGCTATTAATTCATTAAAATTCCGAATAAAAACATATACATTTTTTTTTGTTTTGAAAAAAAAAAAGTTTTATATAAAAAGATCAATTTTATCATCTTGTTCCTTTTGTATCTTTTATAAATAGAGGAATATGGGCAATTCTTGTAAGGTATTTATTAGATCTTTTAGCATTATTATTATAGCATTATTATTATCGGTTAAAGCCTCTCCTATTTCTCATATAAAGCACCATAATGGTACAGTTTATAATTACTGGACCACAAAGGCTTGGGGTGCTAATTTGGGTAACTGGCTTATTCTTGAGAAATGGATGGATTCCTCTATTTTTGATAAATATGCTCCTAAAGCGGTCGACGAATGGACCTTTTGTCAGCACGCAACTAATCCTGCAAAAGCATTAGAAGAACATTGGAATTCTTGGGTTAGGGAGGACGATTTTAAAATTCTTGCTAGTGTACATGCTAACCATGTGCGTATTCCAGTTGGTTATTGGGCCTTTATTACACCTGATTCCGGAGAACCTTATGTCTCTAGTGGCCAAAAGAAACAAATTGAACGTATCCTTCAGTATTGTAACACTTATAATATGTACGCTATTATTGATTTGCATGGACTTCCTGGCTCCCAAAATGGTGAAGCCCATTCTGGTCATATTGGCCCCATTCAATTTTATTCCGATTACAATATTGAACGTAGTATCAAGACAATACGTGCCATTGTTGATTGGATGAATGGACTTGACTATGTCTTAAAAAGTAGAATTGCCTCTATTCAATCTGCTAATGAACCTAGGATTGTAAAAGACAATCAATTGAACATACTCAAGAAATATTATAATGATGCCTTTCATATTATTGATGCATCGCCATATAAAGTGCCTATGATATTTCATGATGCATTCCAAGGCCTTAGTGCTTGGAATGACTTTTTACCCGTTCCTGCTAATGCAGTAATCGATCTTCATTCTTACTTTGCCTTCCCTCCTATCTCAGATACAAAGTCGATTATCAGTTCTATTTGTAGTATTGAATCTCCTGCTCAACATTTTCATTTACCCGTCTTATTTGGTGAATGGTCTCTTGCCTCTGGTGTTCCAAACAGTGACTCTTGGTTAAAAGAAATGATGGATACTCAAGTCGCTATTTACAAAACGGGTGGTGCTGGTGGTACCTTTTGGGCTCTTAAAAACAATATCAATTCAAGTGTGTGGTCATTTGAACAACTTGTCAATGAAGGTATCATCAATGCTACCACCTATTTATATCATACCAATGCTCAATGTTAGCAATATCATTATAAATAAATAAATAAAAAAAAAGTATTAAACTATAAATTAATATTTATTTTCTTTTTCTAAATATGCATATACCAAGTAATGTATACAAATATACAAATATACATACATACATATACATATACATATATATATTATACGTATATATTTGAAATAATAGTAGTAATAGTAGTAATAGTAGTATTAGTAGTATTAGTATATGTTACAATTAAAAAAGAGAAATAAAATAAACTAAGAAAATAAAGGGCTTAATTTAAATATATGTTGATAATCTGATCTGAACTGATGAGTCATGCAACCATAAATAGTAGATGTAGGAGCATTGGTATTATTTACAGCAGAGGAAAGTTGTCGAATATGACTACCTGTAAAAACTTGTACTAATTTACCCTATATACATACATTAGAAGCATTATTAAATGTAAACACAAGAAATGAGTGTATATATAAATCAATCAGCTTACCGTTTCAACATGTCGAATTTCAACAAATTTATTATCAAATGCAATCACATAAGGATAATAAAATGCAACTGAATATGGATTACTTTCCCATTCAATCCTAATATAAATTAAATTAATATATCAAAGGGATTCTTCTCGAAAAAAAAAAAACTTACTTTCTACATTTTCCTTTAACAAAATCGCCATGTGAATCGATTAAAAATGCAAATTTATCATAACACATTAAAAAGTATTCATTGTATCGAAATATATTAAATGGTTTTGCGTCTGAAGTTGTGATAAAGCTAAAGTCTTTATCTTCTAAATTAGGTAAATTATGCTTTACTTCACTCAGATTTTCCAAATCAATCACTTCAAAACCTCGACTACAGGCTACTAATAACTTTGATTTTAAAAAGTGAACTGCTGATGAATCAGTGCCGACGTAAAATTCCTGTTCATAGGTATATGTATATATATATAAAAGGAGAGAAACAGAGCGAGAGAGAGAGAGAGGCAGAGAGAAGAAGAAGATATAACGTGAGTTTATACTGCCCTATTAGTTTGATCTTCATTTTATTGTTATTACCTTATAGACTCTAAACCATGCAGGAGGCTTTGTCATAAATGAAGTCTTCGTTGCCAAGTATTTAGCATTTTTTACGTCATTCAAATCTCCGCAAATAACTTCGTATACTTTAAATTGACTGTCAGCTCCTTTTCTTTTCATTGTTACTACTAGTGATTTTCCGTTGCAGGTACCCATATTAAAATAAGTCACATGATTTGATAAAACTCTAGTACTTCCTACATTTAGTTTCTTATTTGTTGATAATTTTGTTGAAGTTATATTTGGATCAAGTTGACATATAGGATAAGCCGTAAGAGTTTTATCTGTTAAAAATAAATAAATTATTATTATTAGTAGTAGTAGAGCAGTTATATATGAATGTATTATGTTTACCTGCTAAAACAAGTAATATGTTCTGACCTTCTAAAACACCCATTTGCGTAACATCAGAAGCTGTCAATACCTGTTTCAACCCATTCATGTCACTTTCTTTGCCCATCCAAACACCATACTGTGTGCCTAATACAACCATTTTCATACCTTTACTACTAACTATTTAAGACATGTTAAGAAAATAATTTATGACATCGAAAAGAAAAAAAAAAACTATACCGAATGATGCAGCACATGTTATTTTTCCATGGTTTTGAAGACTATTGCAGGATTGAGCAAACATAGTATCACTTATGGTTACCATTTCAAACATTCTGTTGGCTGCTTCTTTTTCATTTAGTTGATTTTGCGCATTTAATATTTTTTCCCTCCAAGCTAGCTTTGAACTTAATGTGTCTGCATATAAAATGTAATCACCTCCGTGTTTACCCAAATGACGAATCATAAGTGCAGTTTGATTCATATATTGTGATGTGTTATCTACAGGTGTTGTTGTTGTTGTTGTTATTGTTGTTGGTAATAATACTAGTATTAGTGTTTGTTGATACTGAATAAGATGACGTTAATGAATATGAAGTTGCTGTACCATTACTGCTTGAATTTGTTCCTTTACCTGTTCTGAAAGAGTTGAGTATAAAGTTCTCTGATACATCATGAATGATTAATAATTCTAAAGGTATTGGGTTTTTAGAAACCATATAGTATTCAATTGTATCGTAATTGTTAGGTGTAGCGTATTTCTTGGGCTTTGTCATTAATAATAAATGATCAAATAAGAATACATACAAGTCAATAGACTCAACTACAAGATGCGAGCGACGTTTTAAAGGACCTTCATATAGTAATTGTCGACCTGGCTTTAATAAATCTAAACGATATTTAGGATAGCCAGGTTTAAATCGAATTTTATCATTAATTTGTTGAATATGTAATGCTTGTTTAGCTTCATTTGTTAAAGTATCCATTTTAGATGCTACTTCTTTAATAAGATTTATACATTTTGTTAAATTCTGTCTTTCCTTTTCTTCAGTTGTTCGTTTTAAGATGGCATTTAATAATAATGGATAACGTTGTAATCGTGTAATAGGCAAAATAATAAAATGTCGAAAAGGTAATTTACGTGTTTCTGCTTGCTTTTCCTTTTCTTTAATAAAATTTTGAAATAAAATATTGCTTGCCATTTCTTTTTTAGCAATGTATTCTGCAGTTATAAAATGTGGACCATATTCTATATAAGCGTCCATAAAACGATTTACATATTTAACGACAATCATCCCAATTTCATCAATAAATCCGACTCCATTTCCCGTTGTATCCATTATTTGACTTGTCAGTTGATAGTCACGTAATTCACGATACATTTTACGATGAATACCAGCAATCACACTATAATTTCCAAACACATTCTTAAAGAATTCCTCTCTTCTTTCACGTTCAATACATTGTGCTTTCAATAAAGGTTTCGCAAACAACTACAAGATAAAATCGATATTATTGTCAAGCAGATAGTGTAAGTATTTATATATACAGATATATATATATATTTAGTTCTTACCTCATCTAGTAAGTTTAAATCCCTAACATAATCTTCTTCTGTATAAATTAATTCATAAATTGCCTCTTGTCTTTTCATTTCTTTTGCAGGTGTTTTTTTAAGTGTTTCAGGTGAAACGGTATTTGACCAACATTTAGATACAAACTAATAGCAATAGTAATAGTAATATTTAATTATATATATATATATATATATATATATATATATATGTATATATATATGTATAAGAATATAATATGAATCTTACTGTATCTTGTGATGATGCTATTGAGGAGGTTAATGAAATATTTCTTTGCAGGTCTTTCTAATATATAAATTGAATTATTTGTTAACATATAAACTTTTGTATTTTATATCTTATTTAAAGTAGACGGCAGGACTTACGTTCATTATCTTTTTTTTACTTGATAGAGATGATGAGCTTTTATTTGGACAAAGAGGAGCATAGCATCCATTAGAATTATTTTTTGAACATAGTGGATTATAACAATCCAGTAAAGGTGTAAACAAGCCCTGAGAAAGATGTATATTATTTGCTGAATCTTCAGTTAATGTATATACTTCCTTTGGTGAATCATATAACTTATTGTTTTTAAATGATTTATCAGAGTATGAAATAGGTGCAAATATAGGTGGTTCAATATGCATCAACGATCTTGCTATTCCTCTATATTCTCTTCTTGTCCAGTTATTTCCAACAATTTCACAAAGTAAATTCTTATATATATAAATAAATATAAACACACGTATATATATATACATACATACATATAACATAATTAGTAGTGATTCAAAAATTAATAAACATGCATGTATACATGTCTATTTATATATTAATCGACTTACCACTGCTTCTTCACCTGTAAAACTTTTTGGATATTCTGTTGAGCAAAAAATATTTCTCGATTCGACTAAATTATTTATTTTTGATATAAATAGGCTGCATAGTTCAGACTTATAAGCAAGTATAGAAGGTGATAATTCATTTGGTTTTGATAGCACTGCATTATTATTAATTAAACAATCATCATATTGAATGTCCGATGAACATGCTGTTGCAGTCGTTGCTATAGAACTAGTACTTGTTGTCTCAATAACAGGTAATTCATCGTCAGGTATTCCTGCTAGTTTAAAATTAAATGCAGGTTGTTTCAGTATTAATTTTGTATTTTTCATTTCTGTCATTGCTGTTGTATTTTCATGTTCATTGGTCATGTCAAATTTCTATTATTAGCATAGTCAAGTTATATATAAATATTTATATATAAAAAAAAATATATTACATAGATACATCAATCTTTCTGTATTGTTTTGTTCTGAACTAGTGCAATAGTCAACGCTTACTTACCAGAATCTTTGAATTATCTTCTTTATCTAATTCTTTCATATACATGTCCAAATCCTTATATAATGATTTTAAGGAAATGTTTTCCCTATTCATTTTTTGTAATTTGGGGAATGAAAGAAAAAAAATAAAAATAAAATAAAACAAAATAAATAATAAAATAAAAAATAAAATAAAAAAAATAAAAAAAAAATAATAAAATAAAATAAAATAAAATAAAATAAATTAAAATTCAACTTTAATTATAATCCCTTACAACAGACAAAACAAGATTAAATTTAAATTTTAGTTTATCTTTTTTTTTTTTTTTTTTTTTTTTTTCCTTGAATGAAATGAGAAAAAGGAAGTTTTAGTGCTTATACGAGCTTATATTTAATATTAGTAGATATATCTTACACAACAATTAAAAACTTTTACGGCAAACCATGTTCAATAAGGCGATTTATGACTTCTTTATCAGAGATCATTCTTTTCCATTCAAAATTGAATAGGCTATATCCATCATGTTTAAAGAAGTGTTAACATCCCTCTGCCAATATGCCTTCACTATTTTGTATACATAAACATTATTGTATTTAATATTTCTTGCTTCTGTCAGGGTTCTTGTCATACACTTGTTACAAATTTGGGATATTAAACGTTTATCGATCGTGACTATAATAAGTTCTCCTTGGTACTCGCCCCCCTTTTTTTTTTATCCTAGCCAAGAACTTGGTAGATCCCATTAGGTGATAGTACTCATTAGACATACGACGTCTTATTATTATAACAGTTGCTTCAAGCATTTACTAGTGAAAATTGGGTTTCCAACCAGAACTGATTGTCAAAAGCGGATAAACAATGCCAGCTTTTATTGAGAGAGAGAGAGAGAGACATATCTAAGAATGTCTGTTCCATTTTGTCATCATATTTATTTACTCTCCCAAAAGCTTTTTTGAAAGCGTTTTAACTTCATCAAAAAAAAAAATATACTATAGCATTGTAATATTCAAAATAAGATATTTATTAACAAGTAAGTAAACTCGGTTACTCTCCTTATATAAATTGTCATTAATGATAAAATATGCAAATAGAGTGGATCGCACTATACGCTTTTGATTTCTTTTTCTCAACATAGTTCCAACTTTCTCTTGCGTCTTTCTCTGACCTTTCTTTTATTACACTAACACTGATTTTTTTTCTCTTTTTTCTCTTTTTTTTCTCTTTTTTCTTTTCCAGTTAGTTATTTTATCTTAATGAATAGTTGTTTTGATGAAAATAGTTTAAAAGATATACATTTTTTGATAAATTTTATTACGCTTGTTGGCTTTAAAATATAACCATTTATTTCATTCATTCATTCCTTTTTTTTTTATATTTATAACAGTATGAAAATTTATTTGTTATTATTGTTATTAGCTTTAATATCTTTATCATATGCTTATATAACAGATATAAAAATTGTTTCCTGTGACTCAAAATATGCTTGTCCTAATTACCCAGGATATCGTAAAATTCCAATTGATCTAAATCTTGGTGTAAAAGATGCCAAGTCTATCTTTGTTCATTTAAAAGAAGATCCTAAAGAAGATCCAATCACTGATTTACAGATCATTCAGGGCAAAAACGATACACATATATCAAATATATCCAAATGGACAAAACTAAAGATTAATCTAAATGAACAAAATCACAATGATGATGATCTCTCTTCATTATGGTTATATTATACCAAAGATACGTCTATTTCAAAGAATCCAGTTACTTCAGTTATAGTAAAACAAGGCACAAGTCCTTCAATATCAGCAGAATATAAACGAATTTCAATTGATTTGAATAAGGATGTGGGTGGTCAGCATCTATTCATGTATTATAGCCAGGATGGCCCTAAAGGTGAAAAGAGAGAGAGAGAGAGAAAAGTATGATTTTAAGAGAGAAAAAGAATAATAACAAGAATGACATTATATAATAGATCCTATAACTGCAATTACTGCAAAACAATGTTTTACAAGCAATTGCTACATTGAAGTAAGCCTTCATATAGTTTGATTATTATGTATTTATAATAGATTCTTTTTTTTTTTTTTAGGGATGGGAAAGAGTAGAAAAGGATTTGAATAAAGGAATTATTGTTGGTATGAATATTTACCTCTTTTATAAAAGAAGCACTACTGAGGATCCGATAACAGAGTAAATTACAGATGTGATTCTGACCTTTTATTAGAATATTATTAGCTTAACATAAATATATCTATATCTACTATACAATACAATACAATAGTGTAGTAGCCATCTTGAACGATCAAACACCTCCTGAAGGATATACAAAAGTAAATGTCAATTTGAATTCAATCTTCCGTGGTGATAGTATTTATTTATGGTATAAAACTACACCCTCTTCTGATTTAGTAAATATTGAAAGGGAAGCTCTACAAGAATTGGCCATTGAATTTGGAAATAATCCTGTTACTCCTTTTGATTGGACTAAAATTAATATCAATTTAAACAGTGCAAACAATGGGAAAGATGGCTTTGGTGAACCGACCTATTTATTTCTAAAGAAAGGATATCAAGGTAATCTACACAGTCTAAATCTTTTATTCATGTAAATCTCTCTTATATAAACAAAAAAAAAAAAAAAATGCAACTAGAATTGCCAAAAGTTGACCGATTATATTTTGATAAAAATGGTGAATTTAAGATTTTACAGCTTGCTGATTTGCATTTTACAAATAAAGAAGGCGTTTGTCGCGATATTCCTCTAGATGTAAGATATCATAAAATACAATGTTCACCAGTAGATAATCCTTTTTTCTTTTCTTTTTTTTAAGATGGACTGTAAAGGAGATATGGCAACTTTAAAATATATAGAAGACATATTAGACCGAGAAAAGCCAAATCTCGTTGTGTTTTCTGGAGACAATATTAATGGAGATGGTTAGTAAGCATGATAATAATAGAGTTAAATAATTATTTACCTTTAGCTAAATAGGTGTGAGTGATGCAAGGGCAGCTACATTTAAATTTGCTGAGCCTGTTATACAACGTAAAATTCCTTGGGTAAATTGCTATTCTTTTCTCTCTCTCTCTTTTTTTTAATAATGCTTACTTTTTTTTTCTTTTTTTTTTTTTTTTAGGCAGTTATATTTGGTACTAATGATGACAAAAATGATTTATCTAGAGAAGAATTGATTGAAGTCATGAGACGAATGCCCTATTCTTTAACTGAATATGGACCATTTGATATTCCTGGCGTAGGAAATTATATTGTAAAAGTGTATTCAAACAATACAAAAACAGCGTAAGTTTTTTTTTTTTTTGAAATAATTGCACAGGTACCAAATGTTATGTATTTTTAATATTTGTAATAGTGCTCATGACTTTACAATTTATTTTTTGGACTCACATGCATATTCAGACGATGGAAATGAAGATGAATATGATTATATTAAACCAGATCAACTTAATTGGGTTGTTCAATCTGCTTCTACTTTTAAAAATCTATCATCAAAGCCTAACGCTATGGCGTTTTTTCATATTCCTATTTGGTGAGCATAATATAGGTTCTTTAATCAATACAAAATGTATTCATTTTCCTTATATTTACATAGGGAATATCATGAAGAAGACATTGACGTTAATAATAAAAGGATAGCAAAATTAGGTGATGCTCGCGAAAAAGTATCTAGTCCTAAAAAAAACAAAATCTCTGCATTACAAGCATTTAAAACAGGTAATACATGATTTTAACTATTCAAATGTCTATTAACTTTAGTATTTATAGCAGGTGATATTAAAGTAACGTCTTGGTAAGTCTTCCTCTTTTATACATGTATATTTATATATACATGTATATATTTATAATGTATATGTATTTACTTATTATTATCAGCGGTCATAATCATGTGAATGACTATTGTTTAGAAAGAGAAAATATACAATTATGTTATGGCGGAGGGGCAGGTGTAGGTGGATATGGTGCTGAACATTTAGGATGGCCAAGACGAGCACGCGTATTTAAAATTAGGAATTATGGAAATATTATAGAAACCTGGAAGCGACAATTTACTAATAATCTACCTCTATTTCATTTTCAAACTTTGTATACTTCTTCAGAAGATTAAAAATGTTATAATTTTATATATAAAAATAGTAAATTATAATTATTTATAGTATCCTATCAGAGACATATATAAATATATACATACATACATGTATATAGGACATATCATAACTAGTTATACTGTCCATATTATAATTTATTATAATAATAGAGGTTAAAGCTATAATGCTTAAAAAGCTGTGTTTATCTTTTAATCTATAACAATAAGTAAAGTTGCGCCGTATTTATAGAGAATGGTAGTTTTAATCTACTATAAATAGCATACTATTTTATATCCAATCTTTCTTCACATAAATAACAGCAAGAGATTTAATAAATAATACTAATCAACATGACTGTGATCAGTCTTTTACAAATTTGAAAAGTTGTAATATAGATCTATTACATAACGAAAGAAAAAATACACGTATTTATAAGTGCGTGTGTGTGTGTGTGTGTGTGTGTAATTCACGGTATACCTTTGTCTTAAAATATATCAAAATCTGAGGTTATATGATTAAAAAGATAACAGAATTTAGATCAGCTTTGATAATCCGTACAAAGAAGGTGTATTACTCTCGATCCGTATTGTGTAGCTCAATATATAGGAAATATCAGCCGTCATAAACAAGGATGGCTTACTGCATATATCTAACAATTAGAAGAAGAAACAAATGTCGTGGGAAAAAATCTGTAATAGAATACACAAATTATGTACTGTGTGTACATGTCTTTAAAAATGGCTGAAGCTTTATTTTGTTACACAATTAACTTCTTAACAGTAGTAGCAAAGGCTTTTATGGATGGTATGATTCGTACATGATGCTTAATACCAACAGCAGTGGCAATACTAGCAAGAAGGAGCGTAGTAGAAAACATACCCACGTTTAGCCAATAGGTTTGACGATGCCAGCGTCTAATAGCTTTAGAATAAGGTATGGTAGTGAAGCTAACCATAGTATACAATGGAATAATTAAGCGAGGAAAGATAAAATGAATGGAGTTTTCTAATTTCTTTCTGGCTAAAAAGCGAATTGATGTTACTGCATGACGCATCTCATAATAATTATACATAGCTAAATCACAAATAGCATGTGCATCTTCAACACGTATACGAGAATATGCATCGAGTGCTTCCTCTAGGCCTTCGATACGATTGTTAGTACCATTAACTACAGGCTTAATTTGATGACTATCTAATATGTCGTGAAGTCTTTCAACATCTTCAAATCCACAGTTCATGCCTTGTCCATAAAACGGAACCATTGCATGAGCTGCATCGCCAATGATAAGGGATTTATCTTGGTAATTATGTGGAGATACTTTTACAGAGACGAGTGATCCTCTTGGATTATGGAAGAAATCTGCCTTTAAAGAAGCTTCACCAATTAATGGGATTGAATCGTTAAAGTGCTCTTTGAAGAACTCCAATAGTTGATCCTCAGTTTTAATATCTTCAAACATTTTAAATGGCATAAATAAAGTACAGGTAAATGAAAAATCAGGATTAGGAAGTGCAATAAGCATAAAAGTATGTCTTGGCCAAATATGAAGATGATTAGGGTCCAAAGCAAATGTAGGCTTTCCATCAGGACCCTTTGCTGGAGGCATCAACAATTCACAATAAGCAGTATCGATATATTCTTGATTGTAATTCATTCTATAGAATAATAATTAGTTGGGTTATATATCAAAATAATATCTAACTTTACCTCATACGACGCATCATTTGTGATCTTGTTCTAGAATACGCTCCATCAGCACCAATAATTAAATCTACTTTGTACGTCTTTTGCTCATTATGACTTTGTTAATAGATGAGTTATGAGCAACCCGTTTAGAGACATATACATTCACTCTTATAAAATACTTTTTTTTTTTTTTTTTTTTTTTTTTTTTTTTTTTTTTTTTTTTTTTTTTTTTTTACCTAGTTTCGAATTGAAGGATATTACTATCCAAATCAATTTGAATGAGTCTATGCTCGAAATAAATCGTGACAGCATCCATCTTTTCGACTGCATCTAATAAAATTTCATTTAATCTAGCTCTATCTACAGCATTGATATGCTATTAGACGATATTATTACATAAAAATGTAAGTAACTAGCAGTGTAATTTCATAAATTAAATCTTTACCTGACCATTCACATCATAAGCTTGTGACATTTGCATCCCATGTTGACCTATATGAACCATTCGTGCTTTCATCGGGACAGAAGCCTCAAGGATAGTTTTATCGAGGTTTAAACCTGTTTCTCTTAAAGCACTTAATCCTCTTTCAGAAAGTGCAAGATTAATTGATTTTCCCCGTCTACTTTCTTTGTGAATAGGAAGTCTCATATCTAAAACAAAAAAAAAGAAAAGAATGGATAATGGTGAAAGGAGAGAAAGAGAGAGGAAAGCATAAGAAAATAATAATGTACATATGTCCTTAAGACCTATAAATGCATATATTACCAGGTCGAAGTTCAAAAAGTTCGACTTTCCATCCTCTTTGAGCAAAATAAATAGCGTTTAATGTACCAACTAAACCACCACCGACAATACCAACTGTTGCTTGTCTTTGCTCATTCGACATTGTATTGCAATGACTATTAGGGGAAAAAAAATAAAGAAAGAAAAATATAATGGGGAATTTTTTTTTTTTTTTTATTGTATATATTTGTAATTGTTGATTTCCGCCCCGCATACATTGTTTCTCGCCAACAATGTTGAATTTTTTTTTTTTTTTATTCACCGCTGGGAGAAGAAAAAATCAATTCAAATGTAAAAGATGAGATTTTCTGCATTATATGACATGAAGCAGTCCAAAGCTATGAATCATCCTAATTAATCGAGATTTTAAAACTATTTTAGTCACTGTACATACTTTATTGTACTGTACTTTAAAATTCTTGAACACGTATGTTTGTTTAGAATTGAAAATACAAGTAAAATCATTTCAATTAAAATATTGGAATATGAAGTTTTTTTCATCTAAAATAAGTGATTGATATAAATCGTCTAAAATATACACATACAAAATTTATAAGAATAAAAGAAGTTGTGATTGGCTTAAATAATTCAAAGTTTCTATTTTTGTGATGTATCAAATGTTATTAGAAACTATTCCTTTTAATAGAATCAAAACAGAGTAACGCCGTCGTATTTTTGGGTAGTACTCGCATAAAATCTACTTTTATTAGATATTTTTTAAAAAAAAACCCCTTTCATGACTAACATATTATTTTGGTAACAAAGTTTATATAAATTTGCCTTCCGAATACATAAAATATCAGTAAAAAACTTGATATTAGATATAATTGATAACGATTTTTGTTTCTCTTTTTTTAAAATCATTTTGACAGCTTAATATTATTATTTATTCAAAATGATAATAATAATATCATTTATAATACATACATACTACAGGAATATGTATACAAAAATACAGTTAATTATATTCATGTTCCCTTTACTATAGTATTTATAATTGATTTTTTTTATATTCTATTGTATTGTATTACAATCTTAATCGAGTTTGGCACAGTTTAAAATTTTTCTTAGCGCCATGTGATTTAAGAAAGAGTGTATACATAGGACAGTAAAGAGACTACTTATCTAATATGAGCGAGTCTAACAATAAAAATTAGTTAAAGTTAGTATGAATGCTCATAAATGAATTTTATTCTGCATAGGAGTCATTATATTGACATATTTAAATATCTAAAAGGTTGATCTTGCTTTTTTGTACTCTTTATTGCTATTCACAAGACAAATAAAATAAAAATAACTTGGGGTTCTTTCTTTTGATTTTATCTTTATACATTTAGCATACATTAACTAACTAACTGACTATATTGAAAATATCGCCTTTGTTTACAACTGGAATAAAAGTAATCGTAAATTCTCTTATTTTTGATAATTTAAAATTACTTTAAAGATTCAAAATTGGAAGATAGCGTTGCTTAGGTTAAGTAAATATTCTCCTGCTAAGTCTTATTTAACTGGGAGCAATTTTCATCTTGAAGAGAAATATTCAGGGCAGAAATTCCTAGTCACTGCCCATAAATTATTTGTTATTTTTAAGATGTTCTTCATCTATTCATTTCACTCATCTAGAGGCTTTAACAAATAATAATAATAATAGTTTAAATATATACCGACTTCAGAATATGAATCCTCCAAGGACTGTGTTAGCAGCCTTCCATTCCAATGACTGAGCATGAAAAATACAAGTAATACAAAAAATATGTGTAAATGTGTATAGAGAATACAAATGCAATTAGTTAAGCTTCAGATAGACTTCAATTGTATGATATTTGAGAATAAACATTTTGTTATATACATCAAGCAATCAGAACGTTTAGAATTATGCAGGTAAGATAGATAATATATCTTTATTGCAGATACTATGTCAGTAACAATACGAAAAAAAAACGAATCAAAAGCCTTTTCTGGTTGAATTATTATTTGAACGAAAATAGAAATCATTACTAGAGTTTAAAACTGATTTAGCAGACATACTACGAAATATTCAATTTTACAAGATCATTATGGAATATTTAGATGAAGAAATTAGAAGAACAAATGATTTTATGGTGAACATTAATGGGTTAATGAAAATGGAATACATTAACTTCATAAAGACAATATCGATACCAAGCTGTTTTTTATTGTATTTTGTAGCAGAATATGCTAACTTCTAAGTTAATTCAGAGAAAAATTCATAAGACCTGAAATAGCGTTTATGTTTATTCATTTTTTTTTCAATAAAGACTGTCTAATAATTTTCTCTTAAGATTTGCTAATGCTTAGATTAGCATCTACAGATTAATATAAACTTTTAAAATTAAGAATACTTTTATCTATCAAAAAACTCCATCCTTTTATTTAAATATAAGAGAGCGAGAAAATAGTTTAATTATTTCGCAGCGTACTATTGCTTCTGAATGTATATGATTGTAGAGCTTGACTATTACGCGTAAGGATCTTTTTTTTTAGTATAGCTTAGAGATAACAGAGCCTAGTTTTTAAAGGGGAGAAAAAGATTGATTCACTTCTATTAACCAGTGTCAAAAGGAGATTATGAAAGAATATTTAGAGTAGCCAGAGTTTAGAAGAGACCATTATGAAGAAAAAAGACAGGATTAAATGTTTGAAGTAGCCAAAGTTGAGAAGACACCATTATGATGAAAAAAGACAGGATTGAATATTTAGAGTGACCAATATCCAGAGAAGCCCACTAGGATTGATTTTATAAGGCGACCAGTATCCTTAGAAGCCCGCCATAAAGGAAAAAAAAAAAGACAGGATTGAATATTTAAGGTGGCCAATATCCAGAGAAACCCACCTAAAAGGATTAATATTAGCTTATGTGTAATAATTAGTATTTAGATAAACGTACCATATAAAAGCAAGCAATGTTTGATTCATTTACATTAATCAAATTTTAGAAAGCCTACCATAATTAAAATTTATAGTGACCTGCATCAAAAGACAACTACTATGAAAATAAAAAAGAAAGTATAAAAGCATATATTTTTATTTATATATGCTTCTATTCTATAAAAGATAGACAACGTAAAGTCCATCAAAAAAGAATAAAATAGTTAGAAAAAAATACATTTTTTAAAAATAAGGAGAAAAAAAAGGGAGAAAAATAGACCCTGAGAAAGTTTACTTTTACATAAACAAAGAAAAAGTTTTCCAAGATTAATAGTCAATATCTTTTTGTGGCTTATTATTTATCTTTCATATCTTTCATACACAAAAATAACTATGATAATAATTAAAGATATTATATTGAATTATGTTAAAGAAGCTTAAATACTTTCTTTACTACTTGATGATAGATCATTAAATATGTAACTTCTGTTTTGTCAGCTATTGTTTTATTTAAACGGAGCTACAGCCAATATTTCATTTTGCAGGTACATTTCCTTTCTAATGAATAAAAAACTTGCTAGTAAAAAAAAAAAAATATTTGTAAAAAAACAGATACTCTTGTAGTTCCAAAGTAAAATAGTTTACAAATATTTGCACTCAAAATACTGCTTATTTTTAGATCGTTGTTTACTAGGACTAGCATATGTGTTTAGCACTTCTTTATATCTTTTGTGTAGTTATCATTTATCGAGTGTGACTTTTTTTTAATAAATAGAATTGTAACTTGTTAAGAAAACCTCTGTTTTTAATAGCTCATCATTTATGCAATTGTGAGAGTGTGTTAAATTATATCTTCTGGTTATTTACAAAAAAAAATCTATGTTATAATAATGACATATTGCCTCAGCCACATCCATTCACCAAAGAAGCCCTTTATTGCATCTTTCTGGAGGATATTGCTATAATTGTAGTCGCCTCTATAACTAAGTTAATTGAAATAAGCCATCATTTATTAAATAGTAAAGAGGCTATTCAAATATAACTAGTGTATTGTACTTCACAGCATAATATTCATTCTAAATTCAGTTTTAATAACAACAGTCATTGTTTAGTTATAGTCTCTTTCTTCTTTAAACAACCTAATGGTTTTATCGTGTGTTAAAATTGGTTTAATAACGTTGAATGAAGCACTAAAAGATGGTGCAACCAAGTGACATTAAAGACTTGTTTATGCGGAAAACGAATTTCGGAAGCAAAAGATTAAAGGTTCTTTTCCGTAGAGAGGCAACGCTCAAAAAATGAGATAGAGTGCTTTATCCATCCCTGACAGTCTGTTAGAGTAACTTGAGAACGAGCTCCTACAATCCTAGGTATTAACGTATCGCTGCCATTGAAAGGTCACCTTTTAACACCCTACTTTACCTTTAATCAAAGCTCCTTGATAGGATTAAGAGAAGGATGGATAAGGAGGAAGATAAGCTTATTTGTAAGCTCTTTTGTTAATAAACTCTCTTATAGCAATAGGTTTATGAATAAGAGTATTGTCCATCATAATATAATAACTTTTTAGCTTGTTCTTGTCAAGAACATCCATTACGTTGACCACATAATTCTTAAAATAATAATAATCAGTTCTTTTACCTGCTTTTGTAGTTGTAACTATTGTTTTATCATTAGCTTTCCTTTTTTTTTTTTTTTTACATGTAAAGATAGAAACCAGTAACATGGACAAAAGTGTATTAATACTTTATTTAAATCTTTCATCATTGGTAATAAAGAAGTGTATATTTGATTCATAATGAATTTAGTAATCCATAAACATTTTTTCCATGTGTATACATATACATTAATCTCTATTACTAGTCTGCATACAATCGTTATTAACTACAGAATAATATCCTCTAGTTATTAGTCTGTATCGTATCTACCAGTGTGATGCATTGAATGGGTTCTACAGGTAATTTAATGTTATTACCGAATCTAGACACACATACAGTAAGAAAGTCTATGAATCTATTTCTTTTATATAAGATAGAGATTGTAGACTCGGAAGAAATCTATTGTTAATAGTTGCATAACATTGAATCAAGTGTTATCTGTGTATATGTGTGATAATAGTAATAATTATAGTACTTCATGCTTTATACAGTTTGTTATCCGACTAAATCAGCAGCAGTATAGTTTCTGTGAATAATTCCATGTCTAATTTAATCAAGGCATATGGCAAGTTATTGATAAGTGAGTTTTATAGTATTTACTAGAAGATACTCATAATTATAGTATGGGTTAATATTTTATTTCATACCACTTTTTTTAATTTAGCAATAGAATATTAGATAATTATACTATAATATTAAAAAAGGCATTAACGACAATATAGAGATGTATTTCTATTATTTCTTATTACATATATGTAGTAACTTTCAAATTATACTTTATATTTAATAAAGTAATAATATATACGATAGTGTGTGTATGCAAAGGCTTACAGCTTTTATTTTCGGTACATTATATCGTTTCGTTTGATGATACCTGTCTTATAAAGAGTACATTGTTCATAGAAGGGTCAAAGGATAAGAATAAAATATGTGTGTGTGCGGAATAACAAGATGATACAGTATCATTTATATATGCGCTATATAAGTTGCTCATTAAAAAAAAAAAATAAAAAACAAGCAATTACTATGGCGATAATGCTAACTCATGTTAGTACATAATTTTTTAAACCTTTCTTTCCTTCTCTTTCTTTTTAATGATAATATTTATGTAGTCATTACATTTTCATATGTGTAAAAACCAGGACAGATAAATTTATTCGAAGCTTAACAAATATTAAATCCTTAAGAATTAAAGTATATAATACATAGCCTATCTCGATTTACTTGATAATGAATTCTTCTTTGGCATTGATGCACATTTTTGATAGAGATATGATTTGTAGTAATAAAAAATAAAAAACTTTATCTAACAAAGTTACTAATAGCTGTTCACGTATAATATGTATGGATTACAGCCTTTCAGTTTATATAGAATCATATTATTATAAAAATGCACCTATTTATATAGGTCGATAACATTTATTACATTTTATCTTTTATAAAATAATAATTTATTTATATTAAGATCTAATCCTTTCCAAATACACATCTTTATAATACATAATCTACATAATATTTTATTATTATTATTTTTTTTTCTTCATTATACAAAACACAAGTCTTCTTATCTATTTCATACTTAAATAGGAAAAGAGAGTAGTAAAAAGAAAATGGTTTAGTTGTTTCTCTTTATATAAAAAAATGTTCTAACGAGATGAATCCACCTGCCCACTGGGGTTATCTTCAGGGAAAGGTGGTGGTGAAGATGTCTAAAAAATAATTGATTTTTTAGCTTTAATGTCGTAGACATATATGTATACATATAGTAATTGACTCATACCTTCTTTCTAACATATTCATCATATACAGTAACTTCTTCAAAAGGTCTTTTACCCAAAAGGTTTTCCATATCTTCTCTAGTTAGAACTTCTTTATCTAATAATAACTTGGCTACCTTCTCAATTTCAGCCTTCTTTGAAGTAAGTAATTTCAAGGTACGTTCATAAGCGTCCAAAACCAACTTTCTAGCTTCATTATCAATTAAAGTTCCTGTCTGTTCAGAGAAAGGCTTTTGGAATTGGTTTTCATTTTGAGGATCAGAGAAAGAAATGGGTCCTACTTTCTCATTCATACCATATGTGGTCACTTGGGCATATGCTATTTTAGTCACTTTTTGTAAATCATCATGAGCGCCTGTTGTAATAGAATCAAAAAATATTTGTTCAGAAACACGACCACCTAGTGTCATACACATACGATCTAAAAGCTGGGATTTCGAATACAAATATTGATCTTTAGGTAAATATTGAGCATAACCGAGAGCAGCAGATCCACGAGGAATGACTGAAACCTTGAGGAGTGGATCAGCATACTTCAAAAACCAACCAGCAACAGCATGACCGGCTTCATGATAAGCAACTGTTTTCTTTTCTTCAGGAGATAATACGCGTGATTTCTTTTCAAGACCAGCAATGACACGTTCAATCGCGTCTTCGAAATCTTTTTCTTCAACTTCTTCTTTCATCTTACGAGCAGCAATTAAAGCAGCCTCATTGCAAACATTGTGAATATCAGCCCCAGAGAAACCAGGTGTAAGAGCTGCTAATTTACGAGATAACTGTTCCAGATCTACATTAGTTTTAATAGGATTCAAGTGAACTTTAAAAATTTGTGCACGACCTCCGATATCGGGACGGTCAATGGCAATATGACGATCGAAACGACCAGGACGCATTAAAGCTGGATCCAAGACATCAGGACGATTTGTACCAGCTAGTACAACAACATGTTGACTAGAATCGAAACCATCCATTTCAACCAATAACTGATTTAAGGTACTTTCTCTTTCATCATTGCCACCAAATTGCCCTCCTTTACCTCTTGCTTTACCAATTGCATCAATTTCATCAACAAAAATAATACATGGTGCATTTTTCTTTGCAGTGGCAAAAAGGTCACGAACACGAGATGGACCAACACCCACAAACATTTCTACAAATTCAGAACCAGAAACGCTTAAAAAAGGAACACCAGCTTCACCTGCAGTAGCCTTAGCCAAAAGGGTTTTACCAGTACCAGGAGGACCAGATAAGATGGCACCTTTAGGGATAGTGGCACCAAGTCGTTCATATGCAGCAGGGTTCTTTAGAAACTTGACAAATTCCATAATTTCTTCTTTAGCTTCATCAGCGCCAGCTACATCCTTAAATTTGACACTTATATCTGTCTCTTGATTGAACATCTTTGCTTTACTTTTACCAATACCAAAGATGCCACCTTTACTACCAGTACCACCTATTCCACCCATTCCACGTCTTGTCATATAAACCATAACACCAATTAATAACATGGTAGGAGCCAAATGTAAAAGCGTTTGAACCACACTCACTTCATCTCGATAAGCAACAGGGATACGCTCATTTGAAGGAATACCCAGTTCTCTTTGTGCTTCTTCCAATTTGTTTTCAAAGCTTTCAGGTGATCCAATTGTAAAGATGAATGTTTGACCAGGAGATACTCCCACTGAACTTGCTTCCGGTCTTAAATAGACTCTAACTCTATTACGGTTAATTACAACTAATTTATCGACAAGGCCTTTATCTAATAACTGAGTGCGAAACCCTTGCCAAGTTATTTCTCGGGATGAGTCTGCAGGTGATGATAATTTCCAGAGTAGCCAAGTACCAGCAGCAGTACCTAATAACATATTCATATTCCATTCTGGAGGCTTATTGCCCCCATTACTGTTATTTTGAGGTGGTTTAGGAATTTGATCGGACGTATTCTTTGTATATTTCGAAGCTGCTTCATCAGCTGATTTCTTGGCCTGTTTGCCTGATTGTTTACCAAAAAAGCTTTCAAAGCCCTTAGGAATGTTAAAAGGCTCATTCTCTTTATTCTTTGGTGGTTCTTTTTCAGTGGAGTATTTTCGAATATCTTTACGTGATAATGTTGTAGTGCGATTAAGTCGATTTAATGATACATTTCTTAAACCTGATCTTTGAATCGTGCTTAACCGAACGCCAGCTTGTGTTAATCGTGACAGCATTGTTAAATGACTTCTGAAATAAAGTGAAATGAAACAAAAAAAAAAAAAAAGGGCTCTACTCCAAACTGCGTAATTTTGTCCTGGGCCAATACTTTAGACGTCACGCAACTTAGGCGGAGTTTACCCCGGACGAAAAGGAAACAATTGATTACATACTCTCCTGAAAATTAACTATAATAATAATCGAACGATAAACACCCTACTACTACTACTATTAGATATCTGTGTATTTATGTGATCGACATACGTACTTCATGTATTTAATTTATGAAATACTATTACTACTGAATATACATAAACGACTTTTATTTATTAATTTGTTATTCCTTTTTTACAAATAAATTATTCTTTATTGTTTTCCTCTTTTTTTCCTTTTCCTTTTTCTTTTTCTTTTTTTTTTTTTTACTGACTCAATTCCTCTTTAGTCATGACACCTAATTCATTTCTAATGGGTGCCAATTCTTCAAGATATTGTTCATATTGTTTATCATTTTCGACTTTATCTCTGAGACCCTCGAAAACACGAACAGCAGTAGCGAAATCGTTAACACGACGAGATGCCCTAAGAGCTGCTTCAATGACAGAAGGAGCAGGAACAAGATCATAAGCAAATGCGTTATTTAAACCACGTTGAAGCTCAAAGAGATCTTCAACACCATCAAAGAACTTAACATAACGTTCTGTAAATGACTCAAAACTTTCATCTTCATGGCCGGAAGAATAAAGACGCTTTCCCATAGCTATATATTTATATATATTAAAGAAAATTAAATAAGATTATTATTGTGTTGTAAAAATGATCTTTAATCTACTCATTACCCATTGTCAAAGGTCGAACAGCAGGAATAGCTGAACGAACAGCAATACGAGAAACAGAACCAGTAAAAGCAGCACGAAGCATATTATTAATAAATAAGGATGAGTGGGGAGTTTGTTATGTATACAAAATAATCCTTTTTATAAAAAAAAAAAAAAAAGCAAAGGAAAACAATTTTATGTAGAAATTTAAACAGGGCGCGGCCCTTTAAAAACACGTGATTTTAATCCTCTTCTTCTTCATCATACTCATTACTAGGATTTTCTTCTACAAGTAGACCTCTTTTAATCATTGATACTCTACAATTACATACAGTTTCTAATAAATCAGGCTCATCTTCTAATCTCTGTATTGCCTTCATAGCTGCAAATCGACGTGCAGTTTTAATATTCCAATCAGATCCACAGGCCAATGGTTTATCATGAAGGAAAATGACGCATTTTTGGCTCTCAGGTCCAGTTTCACCTACACTATGATTTCTATTGCAATAAAAATAAATAAATAAATAAACAAAAAAAAAAGTGATTTGCTTAACTTACCTTAACATGAAACTATCGCAACCAAACCTTTGTAAATCTGTGAGAAGTTTTCTTAACGGATGTATTTTGATTAAGTCAGGTGTTACATGATTATTAAAAATAGGCAAAAACCATTTGTCAAATAATTCTTCGACAGGTTCTAATCTAAATCCTGCATCAACAAAGGTAGCACCTAACATACTTTCCACAACATCAGACAAAACCTTAGGAATATTAAAATCTCTCCAATATTCGCCTACTGCTTCTCCACTCTTCTTCGTTTCCTCGATTTCAGTAACTGTTTGCTCAATTGCTCTGATTAGTTTTCCTGAATAATGTATAATATGCTTATACAACCCAATTTCAATACAGATAATGCCTAGAACATGGTTATTGACACAAGAATCTTTCAAGTCAGTTATTAGACCTGGATCAGCATCTGGATACTTTGAATAAAGATATCTGATAACTAAGAAATCTAAAATGGCATCGCCTAGAAATTCAAGTCGTTGATAACAGGGAGCAGTAGAATTAGGTAAACTGGCATGCGTTAAGGCTTCAACAATTAATAAGGGCGTTTCGAACTCGCGGCCGAGGATTTCGGTAATCTTGGGAAGGTTTAATAATCGAAGTGCTCTAACTTCAGCTCGAGCTGGGACCTTCTTTCTACTTTCTTCGAACGTAGGCTTGAAATCGGACCAAGTCTTAATTTCGTCAAAAGGTATTTGAAGTTGAATAGCAGTATGGAGGCCACCCTCAAGCCCATTACTAAGATAAGCTGCACCTAGAGATGCTTCTACAATATCAGCTAATGTTTTATCAGACAACTTGTGATAGTTTAAGCCTCCTAAAGTTTCGGCATTATCAGTAGGACTTCTAAAGCCTGGAGGACGCCAGTAACGACGATTAAATGCTTGACTCGTAATGTATCTATAAAATTTGAGACGTTTGGCTGATCTATATAACGCTCTATTACAAATAACACGAATACGTAGGTGATGAAGTTCACCTTCATTGCTAAATGGGAAGTTGATATATAAACGAATAGTAGCAATAAACTTTAACAATGAATCTATTTGATTAAAAAAAAAAAGGAATATTATTTTCTATCCCGTTTTCTTAATTAAGGTTTATATAAGAAATTACCACCAAGTGTCTCAAGACGCTCATAATCCATTTCCATACTTGCAGATGGTGTAGTATATGCTTCCAACATTAATTCATCATCGATCGGCAAGTCATATCTTTCTCGAGCTTCTCGTATCAATAATAGCGAGTCGATACGAGTCATAATTGAAGGAATGATCATCATGGCTTGATAGACACTAGCACTCATATAAAATCTTTGACATAAGCTAGGTAAACAATAGGTTGTAATGGGGCCTTTCATCTTGGCCTGTTCTATTTGACCAGGGTATAGAAAATTCATCACTTTTTTTAGCCTCTTAACTTCTAATAAAGGTTGAGTTATATCCAAATCTTGTATAGATTTAACTTCTCTATAATAATCTGCAAATGTTTTATAACCAGAGTTACGAATATATGCACCTTCTGGCACATCACTGAGAGGGTTCAGGTCGTGTCGAACTTTTGTTACAAAATAACGACGCATATTATCTGTTTTATCAATAATTATACTATCTATTGCATCGTTATCCTTTTCTAAAGTAAATGGATGTGATGTAAATTGAATAACACTATCAATCTCTTTCCAGTCAACTAATTCTTCAAGAGCAGAAGCCGAGATGTTTTCGAAAATTGTATTCTCACAACTCGATACTAGAGGAACAATATAGTAAGGTATATCTACGATGGGGCAATGGAACTCCTTATTCAGTAATGATAATAAAAGCTTTGACATATATATAGAAAGAGACATGATTTTTTCCCTATTGAAGATAATTTCTGTTTCAAGATTACGAGTATGGACCATAAAAGGAATGCTTTTATGAAATAATTTCAAATCAGGAAGTGAGGGGAATGGCTTTTTGGTTATTAAACATAAACGACGCAAAGGCACACCTTCAAAAATTGAATCATTCATTTTTACTTCTAAAACAGTAAACCAACAAGAGAAAGGCCCTTCACCTAACTCTTCTTCTTTTTCTGTCTCAATCAGTTCATCAATTTCGTTATCATCTTTAGTGTCTCCTTTTTCTTTCTCCTCAATTATATCTTCTTTTGTTTTTGAGTTTTCGTCTAGTTTTCCATTTAGCAGCTGAGAATGACCGTTAGGTAAAATAAATGTCTCATCTAATGATACACTAGATGCTTCGTTGGGTATAATAGAATTCTCATTGGGCAAAATAGGAGAACCAATTGTTGGAGTCAGAACTGGCATTCCATTTAGTATTACCTGATCGTCCAAGATAGAGTTCAATACTTTTCCTTCATCATTTACTATAGGATCAAATGTTTTGATTGGACCATTTCCATTTACTCTTCCCAATACTTCAAATGAGTCATTTACACCTGCCTCTGTTCCAGTTACTTCTTTTTCTTTGTTGATACTTGCCTCTTCAACAATAGGCACATGATGAGCTTGAGCCTTCAGTAGATCTGGATTATCTTCTACTGCAATTATTTCTTCTTCTTCTTCTATATCTGACGTTCGTTTCCAAAATTTTGGTGTCCTTTTTTCATATAGACCATGGCGACGTCTACTGCCAATCACATAACCATTCTCATCGTATTGTGGTGCCATTTCACCCAGAATTTCTTTACGTAAGTTATAAGGCATTAGATGCTTATCCAAGGCATTCATAACTCTAAGCTGCGCACATGCTTGTAATGCGACTAAAGCCTTTGCGTGGTCCTTTGAACGGACAACAGGCGATTCCATTTCTTGAAAGGCAGCATTACTTGGTAAATATAATTTACAGACATAACCTTGACCTGTACTCATGGTTTCGAAGACGGGGTTTAAGATGCAAAAGCTGTCTGATGGTAAAGAGCCACAATAACGGTGAATTAAAGGAACAGCGTTTTGTTTAGTAATAGTGGCGCCTGTCTCTGGTATAATGATTGCACTTTCCATATAGTTTTCTTCATCTGAATCAAAATCCTCTTCTGAATCATAGTCAACATCCATACCAACTGAATATCTATTAGCTATATTTCTTTCTGATGGCAACATTTGACAGAAATTCTTCATATCCATTTCTAAAGTTCTAAACTCACCCAGCATACCCTGCTGGCTAGCATTACCCTTTTCAACTAGCAAGATATATTTAGAGTCTTTTCGTCGTGCTCTACCACGCGACTGAATATATCCAATTAAAGTATGAAAGAAATCAAAACGGATGACAACATTACAAGGTTGAATATCAAGACCTTCCTCAGCAACATTAGTAGCAATCAACAAGTTAAATTCACCTGTTCTAAATTTTTCGATGGTTTTATTTTGTTCTTTGAATGACATTTGAATATCGCCTTCATCTGAAGTCCCATGCCCAATTAAAATACCACATCTTGCAGATTTAAGAGAATCTAATGATTCAATAAGAGTTTTTATAGCTATTGCTGTATGTCTTCGTTCTACAAAAATAATACCGCAAAAATCAGCTAATCGATTCACAACCAAGTTCAAGACACTAATTAAACGGGCTATTTTAGGTGTAAATAGGTTTGTATCAGAGATATTTGGATTGCGACAAAATTCAACAGAATCAATGAATTCATGAGTTTCTTTCAAGGCAAGATCTTCATCTAACAATGCATCTCTATCCAAATTCTGTGTTGCATTTGTCATTTTTCGCTCTAGATCAGTCAGCATAATTTTCCACATATAATCACTACACCAAGGGCCTAGAGAATTAAGTATATCTGTTGTAATAACAAAACAACGTGTATATCGTTGAATTGAACCAATCTTCTCTCTAATTTGTTTTGACAGTGATGTTTCATCATATCGAGGAGCAGGAAGATATTCAAGTGTAATTTCTGTAGGCTTGTTAATACTGATATTAAGTTCATCTAAATTCGCTGCTGTATATACTCGCGCATCCAGATTCTTTTCTAGTTGTCTGCAATCAACATAAATTTAAGTTAATATTGAAATAAACAAATAAATAAATAAATAATACAGTACGCGACACTATGCTCAACACTAGAGTAAGCATTCATTGGAGAGGCAGTCATACCAAATATTTTTGGTTTCTCAGTTGTACATCTATCATAAAATTCTCGCATAATCAAATTGAAAGGATGTTTCTTGGTCGCATGGTGACATTCATCAAAAACCATCAGATGAACCTAAAATATATCAAATTTTGATAAATAAGCTGCAAAAAAAAAAGAAAAACTTGTTTGTATATGTGTACCTTATCAAGACTAATAAAACCATGACGAAGTGTATCTAAAAAGATTTGTGCAGTCATTACACATACATCATTTTCTTCAAATATTTGTTTCCATTTTTTTTCTGACCAAGCATCAACTTCCATTTCACCACACATTGCTTCCACTTGAACATCACAGTTTGCTTTAATTACACTAGCTTGTTGAAATACAAGAGGAACACGATCAACTAAAAAAAAAGCAAGTTTTGTCTATTTTTTTTTTTTTGTAACTGAATATATTTTGTACAAATGAATAGATGTTTATTGTTTGCTCTTTAATTACCTCACGTCTAGTTAATCGAGCTTGTCGCTCTTCTAATACCATTTGCTTAATGAGCATGATTGAAATAAGAGTTTTACCAGCACCTGTATCGAGGACAGTAATGACATTTTCTTCTAAAGCTTTTTGGTATAAAGCATATTGGTATTCACGAGGTGTTAACATTGAGATTTTTATTTTTTCTTCTTCTAATTCTTTTAATGAATCATCACTTAATTCAAAATCAATATCTAATTTTTCTTTATCTTCTATTTCTAGCTGACTTGAGTCTTTTGTTTTATCGTCAGGTTTGACATTTATAAATTCAGGGTCAAGGTATTTTGACAAACGCTCTGGATTAATGTCATTCATGTGATTCTCTATAGGTTTGAGAGGAACATATTTGACCGTAGGGTCATAATAATCACCTAGATCTCCCTCTCCTACTATTGTCATTTGTTTTTTTTGTAATAAAAAAAAAAAAAAAAAAAAAAAAAGGAAATCAAAGGAAAAATAAATAAATAAAGTTATAGCTTATTTTATTTTATTTTTTCAACAATAGTCGGGAATTTAATTTTCATAGTCTGCCATTACTTCAACAAGTTCCATTAGCCATTCACTATATTTGTTATTGTTCGTTTTTCTTGCTTCCTCCATTGCAGGTGTAGTAGAGTCTATAGCAGATTTCGGTTCATCATCTTGCTCTTGATTTATATCATGCAGTAGGCCTAATAAGATACGATATTCATCGAATGAAAACTTGGGACCATTTTCTTTAATAGATCGAATGATTCCCTATAATTTAAGAATAAATTATTTGTAAAACATCTTCTTCGTGTAAAACCGTTACTACTTTACCTCACTACCAAGATTAAACAACTGATAATATTGTCTTGCGCGTTCCATAATTGAGCACTGAGATAAAGGTACAAAATTGCTTAGATTTTGTTGTAAGGCAAAAATATTCCGAATCATCTTATGTACACCATTACTGTTTAATCTTTTAATATAAGATGCTTCAGATATTAAAATATGAACAATTAAACCAGGCAAACCATCAAATGTAAATCTATAAAATACATATTCAGTCATTGTATCGAATATTGATAAATAATTAAAACTTTACAATTCATCCCTGGGAGGTAAAGATGCATTGATACAGTCATCCAATTCTATTAAATCAGAATTTAAAGTGATGACATATGGATCTGGCTCGAAAGTTTCGTCTTCAAGATAGTAATTACCATCACGAATAGCCATTTCTAAATAATACATTGTGTGACAGCGTCCTTCTAAACGTAATGTGAATAAACATGTCTCTGCTAATTGTTGATATGTAGTAAGTAATGCATCAAATCGTCTATAAAATATGTATATATAATCAGAAAATATAAGTCTATTTCTATTTTCTTTGTAAATAAAATATAATAAGTTACTTTTCAATTTCTCCACGAAGGGATAGTAATGCAGTCGAAGTATTATCTTGATTTTCTTTAAATTGACTAGAATTTTGGCTTGACCATTGATTTGAGCTTTTAATATCGGATAGATTTCCTTGGTCAAGTGATTTAGTAGTTGAATGAGCCATAGAAGAGGAAATACTGACTGAGCGTAATTCCCAAATTTCTCTTACAAACCATTTTAACGTATGATATAATCTTCCTAAAGCTATCAATTTTTTAGAATCAAAAATTAATTCATCTGCTTCCAATAATCGATCATTTTTCAATTTTAATTCCATAGTTATTTCCTATAAATATTCTATAAGCTAAAGTTTTAAAGTATTGTTTTCATGTTATATTTACAGCTTGGTTAAGAGCTTTAATGAACTCATTATCAGATTTCTATAAAACACACACACACACACAACATGATTATTAGTATACATAAATAAATCATGTACTAGCCATAATGATATATTTCTATACCTGATCGTCGTTAAAGAAAGGATTCTGAGCAAGTAATCCAACTAAATTTTCATCCTGAGCCCAATCTCCACTCGTGCTAATAGTAACTTCAGCTGTGCTTTTTTCTTGATTATCAGCATAGGATTTACCTCTAGTTATGGTCGCTTTAAAAGTATAGTATTAATAGACATGCATACATTATTTATAATTCAATCTATTTACAATAAAATCTTTGATAGCATTTCTCATAATATTTGAGGAGCACAACTTCAATTAATCGAACATATTCATCAGTATGAAACGGCATACTATGCATTGTACGACATAAGCTTTGAATGACTGAAATTAATGCAACAGCACTCTAAAGGTCACAAAAATAAATATTAAAATAAATTAAGAAAAAAAAAGTATAAAATAAGAACTAACCTTTGCAATTGGGTATCTTGAGTATTTCTTATAATCACGCACATCTTGAAAAGCCTCCAAACCTTATCATATAGCAATATTAAATATAAAGTACGAATAGGATATCTATCTGAACATAACTTACCTACTGTAGCATGTTGGATAAGTTGCAATACCTTCTCTTCAATCTGTGGTAAAAATACATTTACTGAAAAATCGTCTAAGAAGCTATCGAATCCTTCTTCATTTTGGTCATCACTTTTTCGTATAAATGAGTTAGGAAAAATAAAATAAAATAAAATAAAATAAAAATACAAGTATGTATATGAAAGCACTTACTAATTGGGGAAAACCTCTCTTAAACGTTGTAAGAATGCCATTGTTGGCTTTAACAAAACGCTCACATTATAAGCATCTGGCTTTACTAATATTTTATGACCTTTAGACGACACATCATTGGCATATTTATCCACAATAGTTGAATGATGTAAAGAATTATTTGATTTTAATGAACTAAATCCAGGCACTTGTTTTCTATAAGATAAGATCAATTTTTGTTTTACTTCATCATATGCTTCATTTAGTTGTGTATCTACTGATGTTTCAGCAAAAGTAAAAAGTTGCTTTGAATTTTCCCTTTTACTACGAAAGTTATTTGTTGATGAAGCCTCGTTTACAGATACAATACTCTGATCTGAACTAGTTAAATAATCTTGGAGTAGAGATCGAATCTAGTTTTATATTTTAAAGATATGCTTATAACCGACTATGTATTTAATATTTTACCTCTGTTTGAACAGGTCGCCATATCTCATGAAAATGATAAACTTCGATATTTGAACCTAAAGATGCTTTGTGTTTTTTTTATTAATAACTATATCATCATCAGTTATATACTTAAGCTTACCTTCTTCTGTATTGTTAGTTTCTCCACTTAAAAGCCGCTAAGAATATTTAATAGTGTTAGTTATACTCTAATTAACTACTCTTAAACTTACTTTCTTGATTTGTCGTGCACAATTTTCAATAAACCGATGTCCTCTTAAGACAGATTCTAATTTTGAATACAGTGTCCAAAGAAGATCCTTAAGAATTTCATTCTTTACTTCTGAATTAGCTTTATCCAAACAGTACATGTCATTTTCATCGTTATTTTTATCTTTTTTATGTGTTTCAACCCATTTATTTATAGGTCTGTTTTTTTTACCTTATTTTAATGAATGTACTTGATAAAAAATAAATAATAATTGCTTACCTTTGTTCTACTTCAGATATAGTTTTATCTATCAATGAATGGATTTCAATGGGTAATCTTTCTTGTATTGTCTTTTTTTTTAAAAAAAAAAAATAAAAAATGTTAATTTCATTAATAACAATGCTTCCTGTTGATGATTGATTTACCTCTAAAGCAGCAGGAATATCTCCTAAAACTAGTAATGATTCCATAATAATTTCCATATAATAATATGAATCTGTTTCAGGATTTTTATCCAAATCTTCTGATAACTATGAACGGTATAAGAACAAAAAAATAAAAAATAAAAAAAATACAATATAGACATACTATGTCATTTTCAGCTGAGAGTATATTAGCTTCTTCTGCTTGGTCTATATAAGTTAATATATAACTAGTTAGACATTAAAATAGATAAGCTGAACTGACCCTTCTATTTACCATTTGAATGATTTGTTGGTTTTATATCTTCAAATATTCTAGGCTTTATGGTTATTTCAGGCACTATGGAAATATTCAATAGTCAGAGAAATTAAAGAATATATGTAGACCTTATTCTAACTTACAGTCCTCCTGCTGAGGTGTATACGCAAACCATCTGTTATCACAATATGAATTTTTTAAATAAAGGTGATTATGAAGCTCTTCAATAAGTAAATCATAAAGTGCCTAATAATGTTTAAATTAATATCTTCGTTTATAAGATGTCCTGTTTACTTTTTCTCACATTTTTTTGAGATTTCAAAGTTCTTCGAATATCATCTAAAGCCCCAATTTGCATCATATCTTTACTCATTGCCTGTTTCAAAGAACTCGATAATAATTTCGAAGCACTAAATACATGCTTATTTTCCATCATCGTTTCTATCTTTTCTGGAGTTGTCTTTAACTCTTCTCTAAAGTAACAAAAGTTTAAATTTATACATTTTATGTAGATTCTTTTGCTTACATTATTTCCAAAACAGTTAACATTTCTTTATATTGTTGCGACTTGTACCATAAATTTAACAAATCAGTTCTCTTCAAAAGTAATTCTTCTTTACATTTTTTAAGATTAGCTTTCATTTGAACCACTCTATTGGATGAGTCTATATTTTTTTTTAAGTGAGTACATTAGTAGTAATATCTATCAATAAGCTTTTTTTTTTCTGAGGTTACCATTAATATACTGTAATACACCACCAAATGTACCAATTGAATTATTAAATCCTTTGTAATAATCTAAACATGAAGTTAGAATTAAACATTTTAACATGTATTTTATATATAATTGCAAAAGTATACCGTTAACAATTGTCTTTAAGGCCATATCCAAATTATAAAGTATATGTTGGAATGCTTTATAATCCTTCTTTTTTCCAGCTGAACTGTCATCCAATAATTTTAATGTTAAGGTAACTGGGTCAAACTATTCATATATAAGTACAATTATTAAGTATGATTACTATAATATTTACATCATCTTCCAACATAAATTGCCATCCTTCATGAATTTCTCTCAAAACCGCTATATATAGTAAAATATTAATTTATTCTAAACCAATTCTTTTAACATTATATTTAATCCAAAAAAAAAAACTACCTTCAAATTCAGAAAAGTCGCCTTGAACGTTTTCATCTGTTTGATCAAAAGAATCTTCTTTTGATAATTGAGTAATATATTTATCTCTAACAATACTTTTATTTCGTAAAGCAGCAAATCCTGGAGAATCAGGCTGTAGAAAAGGATTATTACTCATTATAAATAAAGCAAAAAATAACAACAATATTTTCTTTTATTAAAGCATTTGAAAGTCCTTCAGAAATTAACATGATTGGATAATAATAACAGCATGTTTTTTTTGTGTGTGTATTAAATAAATAGAAAGATGACATAAAGATATTTTTCTTTTCTTCTTTTTTTTTATGAATTTGTAAAACCTATGCATGTAAAGATATAACATCATAAAATGATAAGTAACATATGTTATCATACACTATGCCCTGACGAGAAAATGACAACATTGATGAATTAATTTTAAACTCTGTCATCACTAAAAAAGGAAACCCTTAATCCTTTCTTTTTTCTACTTTTTTTTTGTTTTGTTTCGCTTTTTTTTTTTAATTTCTTTTTTTTTCACCCATTTAACAACATTAATAAAATGGAGTCGACTAATGAAACATTAATTAAAACAATAAATGCAGTTCCTTCAACTGATGTTATATATAAAGTAACAGAGTTATCAATGTCACAAGAGCAACCATCACGCTCTCTATTTACAAAAATGATTGGATTTGTACCAATGCTTTTACTGAAAATAGCTAGTTTTGCCACTATATCCGTTCCTGTCTTCTTTTATCGTCTCCTTACATGGTCTTTTACACTTCATCTTAATTTTACTTCGTTATTGATTATTTTAGGTATAATTGCTACTATTGCTTATTTGATCGTTCGATATCGTTTCTTGACAAAATATTCAAGGTTAAAGCCTATCAATAAACCTCCCAAGGTAGCTTCTTCATTTGATTTGCATCCTGATACAGGTGATGAAGATTTTGCGGGTTATTCAAAGCCAGGTAGTTACAAAAATTATCCCGATGAATTTTTATCGGCATTTTTGTCCTCGATCAAAATTTTTGGTTATTTGGAACAGCCTGTGTTTCATGAATTAGCTCGTCATCTTCAAACTAAAAAATTGTTAGCCGGTGATACTCTTTTTAGAAATCCGGAACAAGAACGCTCCTTTTATATAGTTGTTGATGGACATGTGCAAGTCTTTGTTAAACCAGACGACGATGACAACAAACATGATAGTGATATTGATTCAGATAATGAGAATTTCAGTTATTTTGATAAAAGTGATGAGTTTTTGGGGTTAGAGCATGAAAAGGAAAGGAGTGATAAGTTTAAAAAATATACTTTAATTAATGAGGTCAATGCGGGCGGAACTTTGTCTAGTTTATTTACTATCCTATCTATCTTCAGAGAAAGTTTTAATCGTGCTGAAGCTAGGGAAAAACAACGTCAGAAGTCTGTTTCATCTATAAATCGTCTTCGTATGAATCCTCTTTATAATGATACTACAAATGACATGAATAGAGATGTCTCTTCAGATGATTGGCGTCAAGTATTTCCTAGTCTAGAAGATCCTTTAACAATCACTAAGCCTGCTTTTCCTACAGAGCTTACTTTAGAAGATACCATGTTAAGTCCTAGGAGTAGAAGTCAATCATTACAACGGCAGCACCAGCAGCAGCAGCAGCAGCGTTTCACAACAAGTGATCAAGAAGAAAATGACCCATTTATCGATAAAAATACTCAAAACCTTGGTCAAATTGAACCTTTAAACATCAGTAGCACGCCTATAGCTCTACAAAGCTTTTCTTCTACTTCTTCTTCCCAGATACAGCCTTCTACTATGATTCAAACTTTTAAATCAGAATCCTCACATCGTCGTAGAAATAGTCTCTCTCGTCGCTCCTATAGATCAGTTCATCCAAATATTATCGCACGTGCTACTGTTGATACCACATTAGCCGTTATACCTGAAGAGGCTTTCCATAAGTTGACTCAAAAATTCCCAAAAGCAGCAGCTCATATCGTTCAGGTTATCGTAACCCGTTTTCAACGAGTTACACTAATGACAAGTCATCGATACCTTGGATTAACAAAGGAGTTATTAAAATTAGAGAAGCTAGTGAATGAATCTGCTAGTTTATATGAATTACCTTCTGATTTTTTTGTGCCTGGTGGTATGGATCGATTAAGACGTAAATTTAATGATGAAGAAGGATTATCTAAAGATGGTGAAGGCATCCTAACTGCGCCCTCGGAAATCAGTCGAAGTGAAAGTTCTGGTCTTATTCAGGCAATTGGCATTATTGATATTCCTGGTACACCTTCTTTACATGCTCACAATTCCGCTAATGGAAGCATTAACAATAACAACAACAACAAAAATAACAATAACACTCTTTCATCTTCACCTATATCAGTTAATAACAAAGGGGGTTCTCCTCCTTTACTTCATCAAAAAATCAATAGAAGAGGCGAGTATAGTATGGAAGATGATGAGCATTTGCGAGCTTCTGTTATGCATTGTGTTTCCGATGCTTTAGGTATTAAAATCAAAGCATTACCTTCTTCCTCCTCTATTTCCAATACGGATACTTCGATAGGTCATCATCCTTCTCTACGTTCCTTTCAACGATCTTCTCTGCATACTGGTAACCATCGACATTACTCTCATTATCCTATGGATCTCTTTTCTCATACTGGAACTGTTGATTCCAGCGCATCACCCTCATTAGATGCTTATGATAATTCTTATTCTCATGATGATGATCTAGATGTTCGTTCAACTGCATCCTCTACTCATTCTGGCAATACTAGTTTCGATCTATTTAGTAGTAGTAGTAGTAATAACCATCATAGTAGAAATTCAGAACCTATTCATCCTGATGATATTCAAATCTTATATTTTCCTAAGGATGCTGTCTTAGTTAAAGAGGGCTCTCATAATAATGGTCTATTCTTTGTCATTGATGGTCTTCTTGAAGCCTCCATGACATCTACAGCAGAGGAAATAGAAGATGAAACTGGTATGGGTCATCGTAAAGATCAGAGTGTCAAAGTCAAAAACAAGATTGATTATCAATCATTCATGGGCCATCATAAATCTCGTATGGATGATAACGATTTTAACTTGTCACGTACTTCTTCTATTTCATCTATAATCCCTCAACAACAAAACTCTGATAAACCTATAGAACCTGCAAAGAGTAATAGTACAAGTGCAAAAGTAGATCAAACAGTAGCCTCTGAGGCCCCCGCTGGTCGAACAAACGAAATCAACCGAAATGAAAAAGATAGAGAAAGAGTCAAGAAGCCCTTATTTACCCTAAATCCAGGTAGCTTTGCCAATTACCTTGATGCCCTTACTGGCTTCCCTAGTCTTGTTGAAATTAGGGCTAAAACGGATACTTATGTTGGCTATGTTTCCAAAAAGAGGCTAGATCGAATTACTGATAAAAATCCCACCGTGATGTTAAAGCTTGCCAATCAACTTGTAGGTCATGTTAGTCCTTTAAGTAAGTAAATAATAATAATAATCAAATTAAAAATATATATTTATTTTTTTTTTATTTATTTATTCATAGTTCTTCATATTGATATCTCCTTGGAATGGATGCAAGTAAGTGCTGGTCAAATTATCTGTAAGGAAGGTGAACCTAGTGACGCTATCTATATGGTGCTTCATGGTCGATTAAGAACAATTCATGAAAAGAAAGAAGGAGAAATAGAGATTCTTGGTGAATTTGGTCATGGTGACAGTGTTGGAGAGTTAGAAGTTTTAAGTAAGCAAATTTAAAAAAAAAAAAAAAAAAAAAAAAAAAATAAAATAAAAAAAATCTCAAACGTTTTTTTTTTTTTTTTGTTATGTAGCTGGAGTACCTACTGCGTCTACACTTCACGCTATTCGTGATACTGAACTTGCTCGTATGCCAAAAACTTTATTTAACGCCCTAGCACTTCGACATCCAGAAATCTCTTTACAAATTTCCCGTATGGTTGCCTTCCGCTCACTTCAGCTAACCACTCATCGTAACTCGTCCAGCTATGGCCCTGATGTATTTCATATTAAATCAAGTGCAGATGCCTCTGCAGCTATCTCTTCCATTGCTAATAATAATTATAATAATAATAATAGTAGTAGTAGTAGTAATAGCTATCCTGAATTATATGGTCGAAATAATGTCAATCTTAAAACAATTGGTATTATCCCTGTTAATTCATCTGTCCCTATTACTGAATTTGGTGAGAGTTTAAAGACTGAACTCATACATTCAGTGGGCGCAACCTGTGCTTTATTAAACAGTGCAACCGTAACAACTATTATGGGGAAATATGCATTCTCTCGTTTAGGTAAACTCAAGATGGCATCTTGGCTTGCAGAGCAAGAAGAAAAATATAGAATTATCTTGTATCTTGCTGATAGTGGTGTTACATCTCGATGGACTCGAACATGTATCCGTCAATCTGATTGTATTTTATTGGTCGGCCTTGGTGATGGTGATCCCTCCGTGGGTGAATATGAACGTTTCTTAATTAACATGAAGACCACAGCACGTAAAGAACTTGTTTTATTGCATGGTGAAAGATCATGTATTTCTGGCACAACTCAAAATTGGTTAAAGGTAAATATATATATATATATATATATATAAAGTATCTGTATACTGTATATATTCACTTAAATCTCCTCTTTTCCTTTATTTATATCTATTTATATATATATAGAATCGTCTATGGATTCAAGCACATCATCATATTTACATGCCAATGAAACAGCATACAACATTTGCAGCCACTGAGCGTTTTAGACCACCATGGTTAGCAGAACAAGGACGCAAGATGACGGCAGGTTCAATTAATATGCTTGCTAATGTCAAGGATCAACTTAAGGTTTATTACTTTGTTGTCCCTAATTTTGGTCGTCTACTGGATATGAAGAAACCAAATGCGAATGCGATAAGTACGATGAATTCACCCTCTCGTAATGATTTTGCTCGTTTAGCTCGTCGACTTTGTGGTAAATCCGTAGCCTTAGTTTTAGGCGGTGGTGGTGCTCGTGGTATTGGTCACGTTGGCGTGATTCAAGCTATTGAAGAAGCGGGTATCCCGATTGATATTATCGGAGGTACTAGTATTGGTAGTTTTGTAGGTGGGCTCTATGCTCGTAACATGGACCTGGTATCTGTGATCGCAAGAAGTAAGATGTTTGCGGGGCGAGTATCGAGTATCTGGAGACAGATCATGGACCTCACATATCCTGTAACAGCTTGGTTTACAGGACATGAGTTTAACCGTGCAGTTTGGAAATGCTTAGGCGATAGCCAAATTGAAGATTATTGGTTACCATTTTATGCTGTTACCACGAATATCACCTTCTCAAAGATGGAGGTCCATACGACAGGTTACGCTTGGCGATACATTCGTGCATCCATGTCACTCTCAGGCTATATGCCACCTATCTGTGACAATGGCAACATGCTCGTGGATGGAGGTTACATGGATAATTTACCTGTCTCCGTCGCGAAAAACATGGGTGCGGATATCATTATAGCTGTCGATGTAGCCTCTGAAGATGATACAAGTCCAGTTCACTATGGTGATTCCATCAGTGGCTGGTGGGCGCTCTTACATGGCATGAACCCCTTCAGAACATATAATATTCCAAGTATCGCGGATATCCAAAGTCGATTGGCTTACGTCAGTAGTGTAGCTAAACTTGAAGAAGCTAAAGTGACTGATGGTACACTGTACTTGAAATTACCTGTTCAGCAATACAGTACACTTGAATTCTCAAAATATAATAAAATCTTTCAAACAGGCTATGAAGTCGGCCGAGAGGTTGTGAATAAATGGAGAAAAGCGGGTTATGCCTCTGGTAGAATTACGAATTCAGATAAAGACTATCGACTCACAGGAAAGGAAGTAAAAGGAACACGAGGAAGACGAAATAGTATTTAAAAATTGTCTTCTCTGATATATTAAAACACACACACACACATCTTAATTTTAATCTATACACATATTTATTATTTATATACAATTAATAATATAAGAGTAGTCATAGTTAATCATCTTTATCTAATAAAGTTTCCCATTCATCTTCTAAATCTGAATTAGTGTTATCTTCTTTACTACAAGTGTCTGTATTATTTTCTAAATTATTACATTCTTCTTTCACAGATAACCTTTCTTCTTCTTCCATCGATTTTTTAGTTTCCAACTCTTCATCGCTTGATGAAATAGTAGTTGTAGTAGTAACATTTTTGTTAAGTGGCTCAAACCAGGCATCTTTAATTGGCTTATAAGGGTTATTACCACCCACTTTCATCCATCCATCATCATCATCATCATTATTATCTACATCTTTTAAAGCGTCATATGAATTTAACGAATGTGTCTTGCCATAAAATGTAGTTTTGCTTGTAACGGATGATGGTTTGGTATTTGAAGATAACTGTTTCTCACTCCAAGTTACTTCACCTTTCTGATTAATCCAACAACAATCAACACGAGCAGCCTTCACCTCAGACAAACCATCCGTATTACTCGTAAAGGCGCCCATAACAATCTTCTTTAATTGCCAAATAATTTTTTCTTTTTCATCCATAGAAACTGCATCACTAATAGATGGTATAACAACAGCATCATTTTCATTCACCCATTTAGAAGTAAAAGGAATAGTATCGTTATCAATCTTAAGAAGATTTGCTAAATCAGCATCTAATTCTAATTTAGTTAAACCAAACGCCATATCAGATAAATATAATGCGTTAATAGGCTGCTTCAAGGGAGACCGTCCATTTGTATTCATCTCGGCATTCTGTATAGTAGTCGGGGCTCGATTCAAATGGGGATTACGAGCTGCTTTAGAAAGCAAGATAGGAGGCACTCTACAGATACCAATTGTTTTACGTAAAATAATGGAACGTTTAGGTTCCATATCAATTGCTTCAGTAGCAATATTAAAATGGATAGCATATCGATGAATAAAACGGCGTTGCTCACTATGCATAGGCTTGAAGTGGTGTGTTCTCTTTTCCTTATCCTCCACAAACTCAATTAATGTAATCTCTATGTTACGACACCAAACAGGATACTGATTGTAGAACTCTCGTAAGCTATCATCATAATAACCAAGATGATCGGATGATAAGGCTATCTTTGTATCAGATCCTAAAGAAAGAGTAGGTGAAGAACCATAGGATGCTCCAGGGGCATAATCATCACGTTTGATATCTAAAGCCATAGCCAGTCGTCGATTGCGCAAAACTTTAGCACAGAAATCATTACATTCTAATTCAGTTTTGGATCCACTTGATTCAGAAGTTGCATTACAGGGAATTTCCATTGTTAATTGTCCACATTTACAGCTGGCCTTTATTCTAGCAGTACAAGGCTCAACTTCAGGGCAAGAACCTTCATGACATTTTTGTTGACAAGCATGACCACAACTACCTCTGGCGCCACCACAGGTTTGTTTACAATCTTCGCCTTCATCGAGACAAGGCCCATTATGGCATGATTTGAGACAAATATGTTTACCACACCTCAACGGCTTTCCACATACACGACCACAACGAGGGGATTCACGATAACAAGGTACATTCTTTAATTCAGTTTTACCACAAAGGCAGCGTCTATTAATAAGCACAGGACAAGGTGGACAAGGCTCATTATCAGGATGGCAGTTATGATTTAAGAATCGAATATGTCCACATGGGTTAGGACGAATACATGGATGAGGACATGGTGGAAGTTTTGTTCCACAGCGAACAGGAGGCTCTAATCGAGTACGACCGCAATGGCAAGTAACGTCTTCAAAAGTAGCTTCTAAACAGGGGCGACATTTTCCTTTATGACATTTATCTTGACAACGATGAATACCACATGATAATAATTGATCGCATTGTAAAGGACAATCATGAAGGAATTCAGTACCAGGCCTTCTTTTACCTTTCACCTTCATAGCAGGACAGCATTTAACACCACATTGATGGCGTCCACAATTTCGCATTGATCTACAGACACGATCACACAAAGGTGGTTCTCCTCCTGCAGCTTCACAAACATTAGCACAAGTATCTTCAAATGTAGTTGACTGACAGCGACACAGAACTTCTATTGTTACTTGACATGGAGGACAAGGACCTGTATGACATTTTTCCATACAATGATGACCACAAACAGCCATTTTGTTGCAAACAGATTCACAGGTAGGAATAGGATCAGTACATGTGATACGTTCCTTACCAGCCAATAATTCCATAATCGTATGTGCACCACAAGGACACGTTTTAATCACACTAGGGTCAAAGGGACATACTTGTGAATTAGCAGTACAAGGATGACATGACTTTTGGCAATAATGTTGACCGCACAAATAAGCTCTAAATATTCAATAGAGATGTGAGTTATAAAACTAAAATAATTCGTTGTACAAACTCCTTTTTTTTTTTTTTTTTACTTACGTATCACATTTTTCTGTACAGCTATAGTATCCAATATGTCCACGTAATTGCACTTGTTTACCGCTTCCACAACGAGCTGTTCTTTCATGTCGTCCACAGTAACAAGATTGAACTTCTTGTAATTCACAAGGAGGACAAATACCAGCATGACATTCATCCTCACATCTGTGCTTACCGCATCCAAGCAATTCATCGCAAATATCAGCACAAGAGAATCCTTTAGTGGAGTAATCTGTTTCTATACATCTTGACTGACGAGTAGTACGACCACAATAACATGTTAAAACTGGACCCATAGAACTACATGGTGGACAAGGGCCAGGATGACAAGGTCTAATATAAAAAGGTAAGCATATATAGTTAGTAATATATCACACTATATACAAATATATATGTATATAACTTTGAACATTTACAATACACATTTATGTGGACAATTCTTATGCTTTTTGCAAAGCTTATCACAACTGTGTGGTGTACTATATCTTGAACTTTCTGGATTTCGCTGTTTACCACAAAAACAGAGATAATCTCGAGGTATGGCTGTACGACTATTTTGACAACCGGGACATCTCCAACCAGTAATCATTTTATTAGTCGAGGTATCTATATAAATAAACTAATTTATCACCTCTGTTCTATTTTATATATATAGAGAAGAAAAAAAAAAGTTACCTTTCAACGATCTTGTAGCCCATGTTTGAATACAATCTAAATGGAACATGGCCCAACAACAATCACAACTCCATATAGGATGAGCTGCTCTTATAACGTCCATACAAATCATGCATTCATATGTTGAGGTTTTCAGTTCATGACTTAGGAGGGTTGCCATGTCATGATCACCAGCAGGTAATGATTTAGTCTGCTTATTTTTTCGAGATTTATTTTCCTTTTTCTTATGCTTAGTAGAGGAATCACTTTTAGCATCATCTTGAGGATCAGTTAAACGACCTTGAGCTCTATTTTTAGTTATACGAGCAATTGGTTTTGTCTCGTTACTAGAAGAGGGATCAGAAGGCTCTGTTTTTCGTTTATGTTTCTTATTTGTCGATTTATCTTTAGTAGTATTCTCCTTTTTAGGTGTACCTGCTTCCGTAGCATTCAGGACATTTGGATTCTTTTTTTTATTTCTACCTCTATTATTGTGTTTTTTTGTTTTCTCAGCTTTTTGTTTTGAAGAGCTTGAAGCTTCATTATTTACACTATCATTGGTATTGATCACTGTTTCAGTTACTTGTTGAGGAGTTAGAGCTTCTTCAACAGAGCTCATATTAAATAAATACTTGGAAAAAAAAATATTTATATGTGTATAAAAGTATAAAATATATATAAATATGTTAAAAAAAAAAAAAAAAAAAAAAAAAAAAAAAAAAAAAAAGTTACATGAATGTGACTGGAGCATTAAAATTAAAAAAGGAAATAAAACTCAAACTATTGGTAAACAGCGACTTACTGCGGAAATTATTTACTGCGAACATACTAATAATCACTATTTTTTTTTATATAATCATTTTATTTTATTCATGTATGTTCATTTTTTGAAGAAGTTTGCTGTGCCTATATTATTTCAGGTTAAACTAATTCATTGATAGGTTAAAATGACTAAGCCTATTATAGTAATTACCTGATAAAGTCCTGTGTAATATCCACAATAATACCAAGCCATCATTAAATTTGAAAGATCTCCTAATAAAGAAGTTAAATAGAGAATAAAAGCAATAAACTAATACTTCAAACCTTCATTCGACATTGTAGAATTTTGAAATGATGTCGGAATGTTTGTTTCATTTTTTACATCTTCATTCTTCTAAAAGACAAAATCAATTGAATTTTGTGGGAAGGGGGATTTTTTTTATGATCTTACTGATACATTTTCATGATAAAAAGGCATTTTATCAGGAATAGATTTTCTATTTAATGTTGATGACTATTTATAATTTTAGATAAAAGCTATGCTGTCAAGATTACAAAGTTAATATTTACTTTATTCTTTAGATTGTGTTTTTTCTGAATTTTATTGCTATAGGGAACTTGTTTTATCTCTTTTTCTTTTGAGTATTTATTCTATACATGCATGTTTTATTAATAACTACCAAAAAAAATAGCCTTTCTTTTATTTATTTATTTAACTCTATATGCTTCCACTGTTTTATCCCAATGTTCAATTAATTCAGAATCATCCCAATCAAGTGCATTCTAAAATTAATTCAAAAATACATTTGTACTTTTTTTTTTTTTTCATTAATATATATTGTTGAAAGATTTACTTGCTTGTCTCCGGCATTGAATAAAACTGTTCCTACTTTGAAATCTTCCATTTAAAAGTATATCTGCATATACGCTTAAAAGGTTTTATTTATTTAAGAAAAAAAAAAAAAATAGACAAATAGCTGGAATTTATATATTTTTCTTAGTTCATAATATGCTGTAAATTTCACTATAAAATCACTTCTAATCAGGAATAGATTGTATAATCTATATGCCTTGTATTTATCAATGTCTACTTAAAGTATCACTGTTATAGAGTCATAATAATGATTAGATATCAAAAGAACGTATCATTTTTTTTATTTTGATTATCTTTGTAATTCTAGGTAGCATAAAATAGGCTATATTTGTATATAGCAGCTCTAATGTTTACCTTCAACAAAGACATTAAACTTCATCAGAACAAAACGGTTATTGGATTTAAGCTAGATGATTCAAGTGATCCTTCATTATTAAGGATGTTTAGTGTTTAAATAGATGTATTTTGTTAAATACTTTGATTAAATAACTAGACATTTGTAATCATCAAAAATATTCTTTCGTTTAATGCAAAAGTATTTATTTGCACTAAGAAACTTGATGTAGTATTAATAATCATACTATTTAAGTCTACTACTGTCAAGTAGTTAGCCATGCCTATAATAAGCCTTTACTAATACTTTGTTTAGCGTTTTAACAATAACAGTCAACATGAACACCATGTGCATCTACAAATAAAGCAGCTTTATTTATTTATTGTGATTACAAATAATTTGCTATTGAGTCATGCTTCCATAAAATAGCTAGTACAAGTGTCATTCATATTTTAGAATATGAGTCCAACTAATAGCATTTATTATTATTATACACACACTTACCAATATCTTTTGCTGTTCTTCCATGCTTATCTTTAGTCAGTTTATTTACATGAACAGTCTCAACTAGGAATTGTACAATATCGAAATGGCCTTGTCTTGCAGCGTGCATCAAAGGCGTCCAATGATCCCAACTATCGGCATTATCCCATCCTTGCTGCTGTGGCTTTATATTTAATATCATCTCAAGAACATTCAAATGTCCAGTCATTGCAGCATGATGAATCATGTTACGACCCAGAGAATCTGTATTACTTATATTGGCACCTTGATCTATAATTAAATAGCGTAATAAAGTCAAGTTTTGTGATAGGGCTGCATCCAACAACAGATTTCGACCTGAATTGTCACGATGATGAATAACGTTATCATGAGTATGGGATAATAAATAAGTCGTCATTTCATAAGCTGGCGTTGGATCATGATAAGCTGCTGCCGCTTGAATTGGTAATCGACCCGATTGTGTAGTTTGTGTAATTGCTTTTGGATATTGATCTGTCAAGTATTTTGACACTTCAACATGCCCTACGTGAAATAGACAAATATATATGTATATGATTCTTTCTCTTTTTTTTTTTTTTTTTTTTTTTTTTTTTTTTTTTTACAATATAAATATATATATATACACATATACATACCTTCTTGTACAGCCAAGTATAAAGCTGTTCTTCCATCTTTAGTGGTTCTATTTAATAAGGCGCCTGCTTCAACTAAAACTTTTACCACTTCAAAATTTCCTTTCATTGCTATAAAATAATATTGAGTTTTTTTTTCACGTGTAGAAAAAGAAAAAGATACAATGAAACTATCTATATATAATTTTGTTTACATGCAATCATAACAGGTGTCCAATCACCTCTTTTCATGGCATTCACATCAACATGACAAGTTTGAATAAGAAATACAAGACATTCGAGTGAATCAATAGCTTCATGAATGGGTCTTCTTCCATGCTCATTGATGGCTTCTGGATCTGCACCATGTTGAATGAGTAAGGACATAATAGGTAAGTTATGAATTCTTGAAGCAAAATGAAGTAAAGTGTCGCCGTGTTCATCTTTTTCATTAATAGCTTGTTGATTGTCTTTGACTATCTTTTCAACTTGGTCTTTATTATCAATAGTTTTTAATACTTTATGTATAAATTGATTAGTCGATGAGAAGGTACTCATAATAATTTAATGTAAGTTGATATTAGGAGCTAAAGAAAAAAAAAATACATGTCTATATTTTAAAAGCTGCATTATTTTGAAGAAAAGTTCAAATTCAGAGAAGAAAAAAATTTTTTTTTTTTTGATCTATTATATAATACTTTGACTAAATACCTGAAATAGGCTTGATAGAGAGTGGCGTATCTATTAATGGAGGTAATAAGAATCTATGATACCATCTGATATTTCTTCACTTTATCTACATAGCTACTATCTATTTGTTAACTAATTAGTAGTGTGTTTAAAAGATATTAACAAAAAAAAGAAGCAACTCGAGAAAAAAGGACATCAAGTAGTACTATTGTATATTCGAACTTGAATATAATTAAAAATAGATGGCTATTCTGTTTATCCATTGATATATACGCGAAAAAAAAAAGCAATCTGTAATTATGTGTCCACGCTAGCAAGCGTAATGTTTACGAAATAATTCAATTTTGTGCACAAAAGCCTTAATAATTCATCATTTATGTGACTGTCCCTTTATTAGTGAGTCTATATTTTTATATCAGTGTATGTAAATGACCCCTTATTCAATGAAGACCAATAAAATACAAAACTCTAAAAGATACTATTTTATTTACAATAGACTCGATAAAGTATTTGTAATATGGCTATTTAATATCATTACTGACCTAGTAGTAAAAACATATAACTACAAATAAATAAGTAAAAGTATATATACATAATATATATATATATATATCAGTATATGATAATTAATGACAATAGTAATCTTGTATATATGAATTTCAAGTACCTCTATTTGTTTATTTTTTTTTTTTCTACATTGCTCTCAGTATAGAAGCTGTACTTACTGTCTAGAAAATAATTAACCCACTCAGCTGATGTCATATTTTTAGCTGTTAAATTTAGACAGCCAATCAAAAAATAAAATGGGGAATTTGAATTTGAAATAACCAAACGCTTAATTTTTATACAATGTTTCTTATACTTGCAATGTCTTTTCTTTTTTGTTTATTAAAAAAAAAAAAGTAGTTGACTGACAAGAGTCCTCTTTTAAACACTCTCCTCTTTCTTTCTTTTTTTTATAATACATTTATATACATTTAATATGTCTTCGCCTGCTGTATACAATCTTGGTAATGCACCAGTTACAGCTCATTCATTTAACAAGAATCGTAAGTATAGATATTAAAAAAGAAAAGAAAATTAAAGCTATTCATCTAATATATGCATTCTCCGAAATATAAAGAATTGGTTGTTTGCCAAAACACGAATGATGCTCAAATTTATCAATATGGTCATTCTAATTCTACATTAGAAGCGACTTTAAAAGGTGTAAGTGTGTTTCATTTTTTTATTATATTTGAAATATAATTATAGTAATTTATAATTATTATACAGCACGATAAAGTTATTACCAGCATTGATTTTGCTCCAAATACAAATCGTATTGTAACTTGTTCTCAAGATAGAAATGCTTATGTTTGGACAAATGAAGGCGGTACTTGGAAGCCAGGGCTTGTATTATTACGTATTAACCGTGCTGCCACTTATGTTCGCTGGTCACCTAATGAAGAAAAGTTTGCAGTTGCTAGTGGTGCTCGCTGTATTGCTGTATGCTATTTTGAAGAAGATAATGATTGGTGGGCCAGTAAACATTTAAAGAAACCTATTCGTAGTACTGTACTTTCTCTTGATTGGCATCCTAATAATGTTTTGTTGGCTGCTGGTTCTGCCGATATGAAAGCTCGTGTCTTTTCTTCTTTTATTAAAGGACTTGACAAAAGGTAATACAATTGAATATTGAACTGGTACATGATGACTCACTTTTTTTGATTCTACTAGACCTACACCTACTAATTGGGGAGATAAGTTACCCTTTAATACTGTTTGTGGAGAGTTTAGTAATGGTCGTGGTGGATGGGTTCATTCAGTTGCTTTTTCTCCTTCTGGTGATGCACTTGCCTTTGCTGGACATGATTCATCTATTAACTTAGTTTATCCTCAAGCAGATGGTCAACATACTCTTTTAACTATTCCTAGTAATACACTTCCATTCCGTTCACTCATTTGGGCCAATGAACGTCAAATTATTGCAGCTGGTTATGATTGTTGTCCCGTTCTTTATGAGACACAAGATGGTCAAGATTGGCATTTTTCAGGATCTCTTGATATTGGACGTAAAAAGGTTTCTCAAACAACCTCTGTCTTGTCTCGTTTCAAGACGATGGATTCCCGTGGCGAAGTTGAAAATGATACTACTTTAAACACGATTCATCAAAATACCATCAAGTAAGTGACTATTTAATTTTGAAAGGATCTATTTATATGCTGATATCATTTAAAAAATATAGTGAAATTCGAGTTTACTCTGGTGATCGATCTAATGTCACTCAATTTTCCACTTGTGGAGTTGATGGTAAAGTTGTTATTTGGGACTTTGACCCTAGTCAACTTGTTGCAGATCTTTCTTCTCTCAAGATTTAATAAGGAAAAAATCCTTTATTATTATTATTATTATCAGAATAAGATTATTTTGCATGCATAATATCTTTACATAATTCATAAGAATAAAAAGTGACACCCATTGCAGGAGCCACTTTGAGATAATTCGGTAATAATCCTCTATACAATGATTTGAAACCCTCTTTTTGTACCATTGTCTTTAACGCATGTAGAGTACCGTTATACTTGTATTCTGCATTATTCATACCCACTACTTGGAATCGTCTACGGAGTACATCTAGATAAATAATACATGTATGCATACATACATACTATTTAAAAGGACGATTCTTTATATTACACATCTTTCTCTTTATATATAATATACCTAAAGGATAAATAATAGTTTGAGCAATGGATCCTGCTAAAGCACCACAAAATAGTTTTCTAATATTGCCAGAATTTTCCTCTATTGGAATCAAATAATCCTTCAAGACTTCATAACATTGAAAGTTAAGGGCAACATATGGAGCGACTCCCTAAATTTATGATTCTATTAGATCTTTCTTAAGTTACTCTTTATTCTTTTCTATACCATACCAGTATAGTTGGCCATAAACCTCTATATAATCCTCGAAAACCACCTTCTGTTAAATAAATGGTTTTTATTGTCGGCACAATACCAGGAAGCTTTTTCTTTACGACTGGTGGTGGTGATGATGATGATGATATATCATTGATATGATTTAAAGAGAGTGAATTAGCAGATTGAATTGAAAGTCGAGTACGAACGAGATCTAAAGGATAAGTACAGACGACAGAGACAGTACCTGCTAAGGCACCTGCTATTAATCGTCTTGGAGTATCTAATTCTGATTTCTCCTTTTCTAATAAAATCGATTTAAATTGTTCATAAGCAGCAAATTGTGAAGCACTATAAGGAATCATTCGAATCACATTTGTACCATTTCCTCTCATGAATCCTCTCCAACCTTCTTCTTTCCACATATGATTTAACGTTGACCAAATACCTGTATATGCCCCCATATTAGGTCCTTGTACCTAATTTTTATTTTTTATTCAAAATACATGTGAGAACACATACTGATATAATTTCATGTGATTTCAAATGAAGATCTATATACGGAACCACAGATGCATCACTCTCTCGCTCTCGCTCTCTCTCTCTCTCTCTCTCTCTCTCTCTCTGTGTGTGTGTGTGTGTGTGTGTGCGTATATGTATGTACACTTACTTGAAATAAAATTTTCATTCTTTCCATTGGGCTCACGACAGTACGAGAGAGTGCTCCAGCAATACCACCCGCAATCAAATGCTTTATTGTATCCGATGAGGTATCCATCCTATTTATCGATTTATTATGAAAATGGCTAGATGACTGCTGAAGTTTACAAGTAGGTAAAACGTGAGTCATTAAGATATCTATAATTTTTCCGAGCTGTTCCGAATTAATATTATTATTTCCTGTTGTTGTTACAGCATGTCTATCAAGTAATGAAGCAAATTCAGAAAAGGCAATAGGTTCCCCATTTTGACCCATTTGCTGAATGTCTATTATTGGAATATGCTTTCATATAAATATATTAATTATAAGAATATCTTGATTTCTTTATTTAAAAAAAAATATGAAACTCACTGTATTATCTATAGGTAAAGTAGAATAAACCGCCATTATATCCTGAGCATCAATGACCCCATCTTGATTCTGATCTAATAAACCAAATAGTTGATGTAGACTATAAGTATTTGAATTCATTTTACATGAAGTATGAATTCAACGTATTATTAAAGAGGACTCTGTATTAGATAAGGAAAGAAAAATAAGAAAAAAGAGGAAGACTCATACGATAAACCAATTGAATGAAAAAAAAAAAAAAAAAGAAAAAAAAAAAGGGGTAATAATAACAAAGAGTTCGGAGAGGCAAAAAAAAAAAAAAAAAAAAAAAAAATAGGTGTGCCTACATGTAGTCAGTTGCAACACTATTATTGTTATTGCAATAGCCTTGTTTAATAATTTATCCCTTTCCTCCTCCCCTCCCCCCCCCCACAAAAAAAAAAAATTAACCTTTATTTTTAATGATTTTAATTGGTTTTATAAGCTTATTATTGTAATGACATTAAATGGTTTATCTCTTTGTGTAATACATTCATTATTCTTCTTTTACTTTTACAAATATCAAGATAAAAGAAAGTGGTATTACTTTATGTTGTAATAATCAACACGAATAGATTCATAATGGACACAACGTAAATAGTTGTTAACAAGAGTAACTACATCTGCTGCTGTGTCATTCTAAATGTTTATTTTTTTTTTTCAATGATGTTTGAACAAAAAGTAAAATTTGGTTCTTTCTATAATTGAATGAATTTAACCATAAAACATGTAAACAATAAAATATAAACTAAAATTATTTGTTTTGTTTTTTCTAGAAAATATTATTAAATTTACGCTGGTTTAACTATTTATACATTTATGGATAAACAATAGTAGTAATTGGAAACATAAAAATATAAAAGTAAAAAGAAGTGTCTTTTCTTTTTTTTTTCTCTTTTCTTCTTCTTCTTCTTCTTTTATATAATTGTATATATGATTCGTTTAATATGAGTCAATTATTACAAAATCCTACAACAAGAAGAATACATGTTATTATTTATAACTGGAGTCAGGCATCAAAGACATCAAAGGCTTTCTTTAGTCTGTCTTTATTAAATCTATTATTACAAGTAAATTTACTCTATCAAAGAGAGAGAGGGGAATATATCATACTTAATTTTCTAGTATTATCTATTTAGGTTACTTTTATTTCAAGTACACTTTATACTACTTGGAATTTATCTTGTCAAGAACCTTTTCGGTTGTTTTTATTGGCTCATGTTATTCAAAGTGCAATCGCAATATCATTCGATATTTATTTATATTTTGGATATTCAACACATCATGAAGAAGATGGTAGAAGTGGTAGTTTTGTATATTTCTTAAAAAGGTAATTATGAGTAGAATCATTTAAAGAATAAGCATTCATTGTTAATCATGCCTATTTATTTAATAGAATATTAAATCTCTTTGCATTTATTATATTTCTCTATGGAAATTACTATTTATTTTTTGACTCAGTTATTACTTGCGATTTGACAGCTCCAACTATTTACAATTTATCTTACATCATTGTTATATGCGAATATATTTTATATGCAACACCTATTTTATTTTCAATTATTTCTTTTCTGTTCATGCCTTGTCTAACTTGTAAGTAGAATCATGAAAGAGACTTTATTTTTTTTTTTTTCGTAGACTAACGTATCTGTTGAAAAAGTTTTAAGCAACATAATTAGAATAAAAAGAAACAAGTTGGGTATTTCTCAAAAGGAAATTTCAACCTTACCAATCTATCAATTATCTACAAAAGAGAAGGAAGAAGAAGAAAGATGGTCTTCAACAAATACAATTCCTATTATTTATATACCTAATGATCAAGATCGTCTATGCGTTATTTGCTTATCAACTTATGAAAAAAATGATATCTTGTGTAAATTATGGTATGTAACATGTATTATATGAATGAATGAATGAATGTTTAAAGTATGTATCTCTATCTATAGGTGTGAACATCACTTTCATAGAGAATGTATTTTTGAATGGCTTAAATTAAATGCTGTATGTCCATTATGTAAGCGAGATTGTAGAAAAGGAGGAGGAGAGAATAAGGAGGAACACCAACATACAATGAACATACCCGTATAACTTGATATGAATGTAATTTTATACTTTATGCTTTCTATATATACTACTACTACTACCTTCACTTTCGTCGGTCAAACAGATGACTATTCATAATACCCGTTAAAATAAATGATGTATATAATTATTTCTCTTTTTTCTAATACACGCATAGTAAAAAGGTGAACCACTATTTTACGGTATATACATACATAATACAACATAACTTGTCTGGGGGGAGTGATGAAGTTGTGTTCTTTATTCAACACATTATAGTCTTCCTAATCCTTGTTATAAACATGCCATCATTACTTACTACCGGAAGGAGGGGGAGGAAAAAAGTGATTTTGTTGATTTTAGAGGTGAATATATATATATATATATATATCTATATATATATTTGTTTCAGAAGGACTGAGAGTAACGATATCCTGCTTTAAATAGAGCAATGATAAGCTTAACCAACTGCAGCCTCTACCCCATTTTATATATATATATTCATAGAGAGAGAGAGAGAGAGAGAAATAACATAAAAAAAAATTCCTTTCGAGACTTGTAGTATACTATTTATTAAGGGTAGAGCGTTATGTATACAAGTCAATATGATAGATTCGAGTATTTTATAATTTTAAGAATGAAACAGGATTGTAAAATACAACCTGATGACATTAGTTGATAGACTAGAATAATATCTTATATTTAGCTTGTAACAGAAGCTCTTTAGATCAAAGACATTTCTAACTTGTTTATTCTCAGTTTGATTCAAATCATCTTCAATAAAGAATTTTTATTGTAGTAGATTATATATCGTTCCTAGAAATCCATATCCTTTCTAGAACAAAAAGATATATATATATATTTTGTTAAATACACAAAAATAGATATAAGTCATATTTAGAGTTGGAGACTATGATTTATATAATTGTAATTTATTATCATTATTATCTAATAAATCATAACCATGACACTCTCTGATCTGTCGTTTTTCGGGAAAATTATGCCGCTTTTTTTCGGGAAAATTGCATTGCAGTTCAATTTTTTTTTTTTTCATAATCTAAACTAGGCAATTTTGATGTCTTTCATATTATGTACTACATTGAGAGATTCTTAAATTAATATAAAGAAGAAGATGATGATGATTCAACATTCAAGCATAGATAAATAGTTACACCTGGTGATACATGCATTCTATTCTTATTGTTTTACATACTTAATATGTGTAATCAGTACCTTTTTTTTTTCTTAGACTATGACTATAGAGAATAAGGTGCCTACAGTAACTATTATAGGTGCTGGGTAAATAATAAAAATTAATATCTACATACCGTTATAGTCCATAATAATATTAATATAAATATCTGTTATTATATTTATTCATGTGCGGCGTGGTGGTGGTAGAGTAAGTGGTATTTGTGCATTTGTTCAACTTCAAAAAAAAAATTAGGAATAAATGCCCATGTCTTTGAATTAAATAAAGATGTTGGTGGCGTCTGGTTTCAAAATACTTATCCATGATGTCGATGTGATGTGTCCAGTTATATGTACAGTTTTAGCTTTGAAATGAATCCAGGTAATAGCAAATAAATATATAAAGGATAGCTGATAGCTTTATATATAGACTGGTCTCAAAATTATAGTGAACAAAAAGAAATTTTAAATTATCTGAAAAATGTAGCCTCAAAATATAACATGCTTGAATATACAGATTTTGAGACCAAAGTAATAAGTGCTATATGGCAAGAAGGGGGGGGAATGGAAACTAGAACACAAGAGAATAAAAAAAAATGCTTATAACCAAAAGACAGAGATAGCTTATTTTGATCTAATATATTCTGCAATGGGTACATTAGATATACCTAATGTTCCTGAATTATTTAAACCCTTTCATGGACCTATTATACATTCTGCTGAATGGGATCATTCTATTGATTTTACAGGAAAACGTATTGCAATCATAGAAAGTGGTGCAAGGTATGTATGTATGTATGTATGTATGTATATGTATATAGTGCAATACAGACAATACCTCATGTTGCTAAAAGTGCTGCTCAACTGATAGCATATCAACGATCAGCACCATGGATTATACCACAAGTCATATCAAAAACAGCAAAAATCCAACAACTTTTATTTCGTAAATTTCCTTTCATCTTATTTATCTATCGTCTTTACTTATTTTTTATAGTAATCGTCATGATGTATATGTATTATAAACTGAGTTACATTTATTATCTTTTTTTTTTTTTTTTTTTTTTTTTTTTTTTTTTTTTTTTTTTTTAGTTTGAGGCTCTTTACATACTCTTGGGTTATCCTCGATCGTTTTTTACAAACTATTTGGCTACCAAGATTATTTCAAGACACAAAAGGACCATAACTCAATTAGGTCGAGTGGACCTTTTAGATAAGCTTTTGCCCAAGTTCCAAATAGGCTGTAAAAGAGGGGGTTATTCTGGGACCTATTATGAAGCAATAACTAGACCAAATGTATCCATTGTTGATGAACCTATTCAAATTGTAGGAGAAAATTCTATCACAACCATGGATGGAGTAAGTAGAGAAATAGATATTTTAGTATTGGCTACTGGATTCAAAACATATGATACTACGTTGGATAACATACAGAGTGAGTAGTATAAATTACATAGATATATAATTGTGTTCATCAAGATATGAATGTGAATCTGTAGTTATTGGAAAGAACAACCAATCGTTGACAGAACTTTGGAAAACCGAGTCACCTCATCTTTACAAATCAACTATTATGCATGGATTTTCCAAATCTATTCTTATTACTAGGGCCATACAGTTATTTAGGACATAATTCAACCATTTTTAATGGTAAAAACGTAAGTTTAATGCATACCAGAAGAAAATAATTATATAAAATGTGTCTAATATGCTACTAGGCAAGTCATTTATTCTATCAAGAGTATTAAGAAACTGATTTTATGTAAGCATAACAAAAGAGGGCCAATGATTGAACCTAAGCTCAAGTCTCACGATGATTACATGAAATATATCAGATCCTGTTTCAAAGATACTACTTGGGTTTCCTCTTGTATCTCTTGGTATAAAAATGAAAAAGGACACGTTATCCATTTATATCCTAACACAGTGATCAAATTTAAATGGGAGCTTCTTTGGCGCTTTTATGAACATGATTATTATGTATAGAAAGAAGACACAGACACCATAGCATAAATATGATTCCAACAAATGGGGTTACATTTTATTCTCCGGAAAGAGGTTTTTTTTTTCTTTGATAAAAATAAAGTAACACATTTAACAATAAGAATTGAGATTGAATATTAATGAAAACAACAAGCAATGAACAAGAAAAGCGGGGGGGGGGAAAGAGGGAAGAGGCAAACAAAAATAGACTTCATTACTGTATCCCTTTTTTTTTCTTTTTTACCTTTTCCTTTCCTTCTCCGTTTTTTTTTTCTTTTTTTAATTCCTTTACCTTTTAAAGGATGAATTTAATAACAAATCTACTCAGTAAAGTATTAGGGCTACCTGAACCCACCTTACGTCTCTTGTGCACTGTCATTTCAGCATACCCAGTAGCTAATCATTATAAAAAGAAATTCTCAAGTGAAAGAGTCCAAGCCTCTACAGCTGCAGAACGTACTCAATACATTCTCCTTTCAGGACTAGCACTCAACTTTTTTTTAATGGCTTTCAAATCTACCATTCATTAGTGACCATTGCTATCAGCTATGGACTCTGTTATGTATTTGGAGAACAATTAGGCGATCGTCAACTAGCTGCAGCTGGTGTATGGATCTTCAATGCTCTCTACCTCTTGGCTGGGTATTATTTTATGCAAACAGATGAATATGATATCACCTGGACCATGACACAGTGTATTTTATGTTTGCGTATGATGGGATTTGGATTTGATTATTATGATGGGTCTAAAAGAGTCACTGTAGCAGGACCTCCTTCAAAGACCGAGCTAAAGGATCCCAACAAAGAAAATGTACACAAGATGACATTAAGAGGAACGGCAGACAAAAAGCCAGCCGTTGATTTACCATTGTCCTTTATGGCAGATACCCCTTTAGTAACATTACCTAGTATTATCGATCTTCTCGCTTATGCTCTCTTCCCATCTGCCTTTTTAGTCGGTCCTCAGTTTTCATTTTCATTGTTTCAAAAATGGATCCATGAAGATTTAAGAGATTTACCTCATAGTGAAAGAGAGGAGCGTAAACGTGCACAGACGGTATATACATGGCGTTGTGCTATTTTAGCCATCCTCTATTTAGGTTTGCAGCAAACAGTAGGCGCCAAGTACTCTACTTCCTATTTATTAACAGATGAGTTTAGAGCATTGGGTTTTTTGAAACGTGTATGGATTTTTGCTGTTACTGGTAAATTTACTTACAATAAATATATTGGTATTTGGTTGCTAACAGAAGGTAAAGTAAATTGAAAAAAAAAAAAAGGGAAAAGTTAGGTTATACAAACCCTTTTTTTGGGGAGGGAGGAAAAGAAAGAATAAAAGGGACAGAGAGAGAATGAGAGCATATTTGGAGAATTCATTTAATGAAAAAAAAAAATTGCAGGTGCAACTGCATCCTTTGGTATCTCCTTTGAAGGTATAAATGAAGAAGGACATGCGCAATATGGTGGATTAGCGAATACTCTACCAAGTATATATGAGAAGGCAACTTCAATTGATCACGTCATCAGTGCTTTTAATATCAATACAAATCTTTGGTCCAAATACTATGTCTTTAAGCGTCTCAAGTTTTTGGGTAGTAAAGAGATATCTCAAGCAGGAACATTGGCCTTCTTAGCGATATGGCATGGTTTCCATGCCATGTATTTTATAACATTCTTATTAGAATTCCTTTATGTTCAAAGTGAACTTGTCCTTCGTAGACGTCTTGTGCCTCTCGTTGAACCATATACCAAGAAGAATGAAGTTTGTTATTATGTATGGAAAGCAGTTGCCTGGATTACCTGCCAGTTATGTATTACTTATGCAGTTGTTGGCTTTGACCTCTTAAAGATAAGTAAATCAATAAAAGCCTACAGCAGCATCTACTTTATTGGACACATCCCAATTATCGTCATTCTAGGCATCAATCAGTTTTTACCCAAATCAAAATCAATAACAAAGAAGAAAAAGGGACAATAAAATGTTATGTATGAAATAATAAAATATATATATATATATATATAGAAGCCATCCTATTATACATTTTCTTCCATTATTATTAAAATATATGTTATCTATTTCTTTCTCTCTTTATTTATTTATTTTTTTAAATACTTTCTAAATTATTATTATTTTTTTATTAAAAAAATCTTTTCAATCCTTTTTTCTTTTTCTTTTCCTTCTCTTCGGGTTGTACTGCTGTATTTGTTTTATCAGATCCAGTAAGTGACATATTGGAACTCTTATGACTTATGCGAGAAGATGAAGAGTTAAGATGCATATGTGACATGAGTGAGCTAGTTTTACTCACTGGATCACTCGATTTTGAATATGAAGTAGGGGGTACATAAGGTGCAATTATAGTTTCTGTCAAAGGAATAGGCTTTTTCAATTGACTAAGATGTTCAACAAATGAAGCAGGACGTAATATCTCTGTTGTGCCGATAAAAACATCACGATTGTATGTCTCTGCTATCTCGTAAGCTGATCGAATTTCAGAATAAGTTGCACCACCAATTACGAATATAATTAATTTGGCTCCAGTTGAAACACGTGAAGAATTCTATCCGAAATATTTACTTTCAGTAACATGTAAAACAACAATTAGAATTAAAAAAAAAAAAAATATACATATTTGTATATAACTCTACCGAAATTGTACTATTTGATTTTCTAGACCAAGTAGGTTTAGTAGTACGAAGTGAGACACCACTTAGAGCCATACCACTACGACCAGGAGAATGACCATATCCATCTTCAGATGAATCCATATCAGATTTTCTAGTAAAAGCAAACTGACTAGGATCAAGCATATTAGAAAAATGTGCCTAAATCATAATCATGGTTTTTAAAAAAATAAATAAATGATGAGTGACTTTCACAATTAAATATTCTTTATACTTACATCCATTACTTTCTTCAAAATAGGAACATAACGAGAAAGTTCATAGGGAGCTTCTTCATCTTTATTCCTTCGTTGTCTTCTCTTTTTTAAAAATGATACTTTTTCTTGTCGACGAATACGAGTTAGTTTGACACCTATTAGTGGTAAATTGTTGATAGCATCACGCAACTCTCCCTTTAGTTTCGCATGTTCCAATAATTTGATCTTATCGTCTTCAAAAATACCGCCTTCTTTCCAAATAATATATAGCATAAGTAAACGCGCTTTATCAACAGGGCTACAAGAGTGAGATAAAATGTAAATACGTAAGATAAAGAATATACAAAAAAAAGAATTATACCTAACATGCGGATCATCTAAAAGAGGTACCATATCAAGAACAATCGTTTTTGGTGTCTCTCCTTCAGCTGTTTCCCCTGTTGCCATATTTTGTTCCAAATTTCCGACGGAATTTAATTTGTGTCTTTCAAAATAAGACATACATTCCTGTGCTATACTTAAGTGAGCTGAGTACTATAATTTTATTAATAAAAAAAAAAAAAGTATGTCAATAATTCCCTCCCTTTTTGTTTTTTGTTTTTGGCTAAGTATACCTTGGCTTTCAAGTCTTGATACTGAGGAAGGTTTGTTAACATTTCCTTCATTTCTTTTAAACTTTTAGCTGCATTTTTTGGACCTGAATTTCTGTTTTAAATAAAGTTTAAAAGAGTTAATAATGATTGTTCGCAAGTTTAATTTTCATTATTTTTTTTTTTAATTTATTTTTTTTTACCCGGCGCCTACAGCAGCTTTATTTTCAGATAAAAATTCATTAAATTTTTCTATCAAACGATCTGAGCATTCAGCAATATGCATATGGCGAATAGAGGTATAGATATTATCTTCTTCATCCAGGATAACATCTTTTGAACCCATTGATCCGTCTGCTTGATGAAATTCATATGAATATTTGATGCCTCTATGATTTTCTGTATCTTGTACAGGTAATAAATCACTAATCATAGCTTGATATGTAAACTCATGCAATAAAGGTGCGGCAGGATCAATTGAACGATCGACAATCAAAAGAGTGGCTCTTGGTTGAGGTGGATTATTAGGTGGCTATAATAAATTTATAAATAAAGATATCAAAAATTCATTTATACACATTATTTACTTTACAGGAAAATTTGGATTTAGTCTACAAAAGTTATCAATCTCTTTCTGAAGTGTATAAGCCAACTTGCTAGCAGGAGAGCCTTGAGGATGAATACCGCCTTCACATTGTGACTGAAATCTAATAATTGGATCTTCGCCTAAAGTAGCACATACAGAAAGTAACTTGAAGAAGAAATTTAATATATTTCAAATCCAATTATAAATATTATTATTATTACTTGTTTGGCAGTTATTTTCAAGGATTCATCCAGATTTTCTATACGATTTTCACCAAATACAGATAAAAAGCTGGTATGAGGATCGACAGTAAAGACAGATGATTCATTTACTAATAAATATATTAAAGTCAGAAAATAAAATAAAATAGAATAAAATAATATAAAAATAATATAAACAATGAATATACGAACCCATAAAGTCTACATAAAGCTCTTTTAGACTTAAAATATATTCTGAAGCCCCATTTGCCTTTAATTTTCTATTTAATTCATCAAAGAGTTGATCATTCAAGCCTATAAAAGAGAATATTTTAATTCTTTTTTTTTTCGGTTATTTTTTTTTTTTTTTTTTTTTTTTTTTTTTTTTTTTACCACTTGTGAAATGAACATGTGCTGCTTTATAAGTAGGTGGCTTTGTTGAAAAGTCATCCACTAAACGTAAAACTGATTCACGGCATGGAGTTAAGAAATAAATAGCTTCTAAAGTAGGATAAGGCTGACGTCTCTTTTCAATATTTTCAACAACTATGAAGAAATGAATTAAAAGTTTAATATTAATTTATATGTTATAAATTACTTTACGTGTAACCTAAATATTAGAAAATAAACAAATAAATACACATCTTTTATTCGCTTTTTTTTTTTTGTCATAATAACTTACATTTTCCTCCAAGATGTCAAACATTTTACAAGCAGCATTCAAAATCTGCATACTTTTTGAATCAACAACAATGATCTTCCATTTTTCCGGTGGTTGAATGGATCTGATGGTATCCATTAAACCTGATTTCGTTTATTTTTATAACATTGAGAAAATAAAAAGGTTATGATCAAATCTAACAGAGTTTATATAAACTTACGTTTTCGCATAATTTCTGTTATATTCGGCATGTTTTATAAAAAGATTGCAAATGTAAGAGAAAAAAAAAAAGGAGGAGGGAAAGAAGGACTCTATTTCTTATAGTATAAAGAGATTAATATTATTCATTTCTTAAAAGAAGAGGATTACCTTTTATCAAATGGTGATTATATAAAAAAAAAAAGAAAAGAAAAGAAAAGGAAAGGAAAACAGTCAATGCTTTATTCAAGGAAAACCAATTTTATGTACACCCTCTTTCATTTAATTTTATTTATTTATTTATTTTTATTTTTTTTTTTTACTGCAACATGTGAATTGTTTTCACGCCCTTTAATTTTGTCAGGAAATGAATTTTTCATTAATTTATTTAATTCTTTTCATCATTAGTGGTATTATGATTATTAGATTCACCTCTTGCAAGGTATCTTAAAGAGACGAAATCAGCCATTAAAGCAGTTTCTTCTTCAATAATTTTAAACACACTCCTCATATCTTGACCATTTCTCTTTAACAACATGATAGCCTTTTCTCGAATACCTTTGTTTTCCTCACTTAGTGCTGCTATCAATAAACAGATACGTTGTAAGGTAAATAAACCTGCATCAAGACGTCTCACATAGAAATCCTCTTCAAATTCTTCATATTCTTCTTCATCCATCCTTGTCTTGGCTTCTTCAAGTTCTTGCTTAACTGCTTCATCTCTTTTTTCATATTGTTCTTTCATCTCAATCAATCGATCTACTTTTTCAAAGTTATCCTCGGTGAATTTAAGTATAACTCTCATTCTTTGTACGTCAGTTTGAGTGAGATTTCTTAGTAATGATAAGATAATACAAGAAATATGTTCTATTTAAAGATATATGTTAATAACCTATTGCCTTTAATAAGATGATATATCTATACTATACTAACCTTCATCTTCTGATTCACTAAAAGCTGAATGATGAGATTTTTTTAATTTTTTATTACCCTAAAAGAAAAAAGATAAGTACATACATACTGTTTTTTTTTTATATCATTTACCTTTCCCATAAAAAGAGGAAATAAAACCTTAAGACCAGAGGCATCTACAAACCGAATACATCTTTCTCTACTCTCTACTCCATTCAATGCATAATTTAATACTTTCACAGCTCTAATTCGGGCTAATGTTCGTTCTCTAATATAAAATAGTATGAACATGAGTCTAAGGTAAAAAAAAAAAAAAAAAGCATATTTCGTATTCACTTACTTCATCATAATAATCATTAATTCAATACCTTCTGATTCTAAAAATCGTTTCTTATTTTCAACTTCATTTAATAAGGAACACAAAGCATTAAAGAAGTTTTCAACCATTTCTGATTCATCTTCAGAAGATGCATCTTTACGTCTATAAACCTATATAATAAATAAATATATAACTTTTCTTATGTAATAATCATAATGAACTTTACAGATAAGGCTCTTAAAAGGATATCAACACCATCTAATTCACCCACTTTTAAACGAATCTCTATAATATATATGTGTGTGTGTTTATATGTTTATAAGCCTTTGTATGATTTATATTAAATACTCTTACCTCTGTTATCTTGTAAAAGAATGGAAAGAATTTCACTAGCATATTCAATATTAGCATCAAATCCTTTGACTTGTAGTCGTTTAAGAAGCCATGGTAGAATATCTGTTTTTAATGCTATATTTTCAGCATATTTGGGATCTAAAGAAATGATATTTTCAAAGATACTCAAAATCTTAAACACGCCTTGACGATCTGATTCTTCTTCTTCATTCATACGACCCAGATTTTGTACTAATAGTTGTAAAAGTTCACCCTCTAGCATGGCATCGACAAAAGCCTTTATTGATTTTTGAACTTGGTCTGATCTTTCTAAATCTTCTTCAGTTGTGCCAACATCCTCGTCTATTAATTCATTAATTAGATCGATGGTATCAATTGCAATGTCTGTATTTTCATGACTAAGTAATGACATGAGCGAATTTACAGTTCCAAGTTTAATTAATTCTGGATACATGTGAGGTGCTTCTGTTAAGGTTAATAAATTCTTAATTTCTTCATCTAGATCAGCTTCTGATTCCATGAATTTTTCTGGTTGATCAGCATATCGCACTCTCATTTCTTGATTCTTATTAATTGTTTTTTCAAACTTCAAAATCATTTTTTTAATATTATTTATTGATAAAACTTCAGTCTATGAAATGGTATGTCATTATTTATCAACTGTAAATCTGTCTGTCTATCTGTCTATCTGTCTATCTATTTACCTCTTCTAACTCATACTCATCTACAAGATCTAAAATGTTGCTTTGCTCTTCTGTTAAACCACCACCAAAAAATCGGCCTTCTTCATCTTCAAATTCAGCATTATCCTGATATTTTTCTGCAGTATACGCAAGATCTTCGTCATCATCTCCAATATATCGTCTTTTACTATAATGTTCATCATCCATATTACTTTTACTACTTTCAGCTATCTCTGTTGTTGCTTCAGTTGCTTTATATTTATTAAAGAAATCTATATCAGGTGTAGCAGGCATCTTTCTTTTATTGCGTCCAGCTGGAATGGCTGGAATCTACTTGAATAATATAATACATGTTTAACATTTAATACATAAATAATAAAAGGAAGTTGTATTTATTTATTTTTTAAAAAAAAAAGAAAAAGACGAGAGTATAGAGCTGTTTACCTTGAAGATATCATCAATATTCATGGTGGTGAATATACGTGTTTTTTTAGAAGAAAAAAGAACAAAATAAAAAAAAAAAAAAAATGATTAGAACCCAGAGCCCTTTTTTATTTTTACTATTATTTTTTTATTTCAAGAAAATTTTTCAATTGGATAACTAGGGCAAATACAACTTTTAATGCAGTAAATATTCACTTGAAAGAGGTTTCGTTTGTTTTAGGCAGCGAATCTCTCTCTCTTTTTTTTTTTGTTAGTAGTAGCAGTATGATTCTTCATATTGAGGACTTTAGATCATCTTGAGCTTCTTTCCTTTATCTTTATCTTTGGCTGTTATGGTTGAATTTAGTTACAATGACAATAAATTACCCAAGTACGTACTTATATAGTGGATTATTTATGTCTTAATTAGAGAAGGAATGAGGGAAAAAAAAAAGAAAAAGAAAAAGGCTAATTAGGTCATAACGTGTTGAGGCAAAATAGATGTCTATAATACGAGTATCAAATCAATTATTATTTCCAGTACAAAGGTTGTGCTTAACGCATTTTTATATTCCGAATATTTGAAGGAAAAATTTAGCACAGTTTTCTTCATTCATACATTTTTTTTTTTTTTAAAAACCATTATAACATGTATAACGGTATTGGTTTAAGTACACCTCGTGGATCAGGTAAATTTGAGCTTACTGTTCATTTTCATTATTCAATATTTTTTTTTTAAACGATTTCAGTTATACAGGTACAAATGGTTATGTTGTTCGTAATCTTTCTTTTGTAAAACCCCCTCCAAAGCAAAGAGATTATAATACCAATGATATCAAAGCAAATCCTAAAGTGAAGAAAGCTAATGCTGCTATTTTGGATCATGACCGTAAACGTAAAGTTGAGGTGAAATGTATGGAATTACAAATTAAATTAGAGGATGAAGGGTAAGGACCCAAAATAGTCTTTTTTAAAAAAAAATATGTATATAATTTATATTAATCTAACTTTATAGATTAGACGAAGATGAAATTGAAGAAAAAGTTGAAGATTTAAGAAAAACGTTATTAGCAGATATTGAAAAGTTGGAAGAAACAGACAATAAGAAGTAAGTCTTTTTTTTTAAGAGTATGTTTGAGTAATTTTTTAACTAAATATTTTCCAAGTTTGAAAGAATACGAGACACATCAATTGTCTGCTGCGAAAGAAAAAGCAAATGAAAAGATGAAGAAAGCGCTTAAAATTGATCAAGAGTATGTAGAAGGCTCTGCCTTTGATCGTGAACTTCAAGAGAAATTACGAGAAGAAAGAAAAGCAAAAAGAGAGGCAGAATTAGAAGCTAAGCTTGAAAGAGAAGAAAAGAATCAATCTAAAAGACGTCGTCATTAATGATATATATATGTGTGTGTATAGTCTTTTTTTTTTCTTTTGATAACAAGCGAATGTATAATATGAATTGATTAGTTACAACAAATTTATGTTAAGATTATTTATAAAAGCTCATTTATATTGTGTCAAACAATCAAAAGAAGCTCAAAAACTAATAATAAAATTAAAATAAATATCGTATACGGATAAGAGATTATTAATTGTTTTGCTAAAAAAAAAAAGAAAAAAAAATACTACTTTCGAAATAGAAGCTAAAATGAACAAGTTCACTGTCTAAAATTTTAGTTTATTGCTGGTTAACATAATAGAGAAGTATCGAATAAATAAAAATCGATACTTATTGTTAAGCTTTTAATCAGTAGAATTAAAACTATCATACTTTGTAGACATATAGAAGAAAGTCAAGTGAGCTTTAGAAATAATAATTTGAATTGTAGACTTATTTATGTAAAGCAACAATAATAATTATCAATTTATAGTCAGTAAATGGAATTCGAAGTATTAAATAATCTTTTACTCGAAAAATTCTTGTAATGATGAAATCAAGTATTGTATAGTTAATATAGGTTGTATGCGTTAACTCACACTTGTTATATTATCAAGCAGACAGTGATTGTCACTTACTATCATTCTAGCAAATTCATTTATAATGTTATCTTTTTCCTCTTCGAAGTAACATCTTCTAGTAAATACTATAAAACTCACTTATCAATAACTTGCCAAATGCCTTGATTAAATAAGACATGGAATTATTCACAGAAACTATACTGCTGCTGATTTAGTCAGATAACAAACTGTATAAAGCATGAAGCACTATAATTATTACTATTATCACACATATACACAGATAACACTTGATTCAACGTTATGCAACTATTAACAATAGATTTCTTCCGAGTCTACAATCTCTATCTTATATAAAAGAAATAGATTCATAGACTTTCTTACTGTATGTGTGTCTAGATTCGGTAATAACATTAAATTACCTGTAGAACCCATTCAATGCATCACACTGGTAGATACGATACAGACTAATAACTAGAGGATAGTATTCTGTAGTTAATAACGATTGTATGCAGACTAGTAATAGAGAAAATATCCTGTTTCTGTAGTGTAGTTAATAACGATTGAATACAGAATATTATTGTTATATATCATTATTAATATAGAGTTTTAAGCTTATGAATTCTTTTCTATATAAACGTATAAACTATGATGAAATATAGACACATGGTTTAATAAGCTATTTCCTTTCCTGTCCTGTCCTGTCCTGTCCTGTACTGTACTTTTTTTTTTTTTTTTTTTTTTTTTTTGCTAATTTCTTGTGTTGCCTCCCTCCCTCCCCCCCCCCCATTTTTTTTAAATCTGCGTGAGGAAACACAAGAAATTAGCAAAAAAAAATATGCATACTTTTCTTATTCTCAGTATTCACATTGCTGCATAAAGTAAATCATAATAATTTACTGTATAACCTATTCGCATCATAAATTAAATAAATAATGAGGTTTATATGTTTAGATTGTTTACATACGTCTTTATCTTGTTTCTTCTTACTAAATTAGTGTCTACGAAAATGTTCAAATTGATTTCCTTGTATATAAAATGATAATATTACGATACAGTCATTATATATATGTACTATACTATACTGCACTGTACTATACTATGCTGTACTATACTATGCTGTACTATGTAGTAATAAAGATAAGATAACATTAGCTTATGTACGCTCTAGATTTTGCTTATTGTTGTTTGTTACACGCTACTTTCTATATAGTATAGTAATATTATACGCCATATGGTTAACCTAAAATAATATATTAATAGAACAATATGCATGATATGAGAATATATTCGTGCTGATCCTTCTTCTTGATTAAGAAACAAAAAAAAAAAAACGGCCTAGGCTCCTTTCTTTATTTACATATTGTATACATGTTTCCTCTTTTGAATTCCTACTTTCTCCTTTGTTTATCTCTTTTAATTACTACATTTTGTTCCTTATCTTCTCCTTTTTTGAAAAGGTATATTTTATGCTTTGCTTAGAATAATGTATACATGAACAAGAAGATAAAAAGATATAAAATGTTTAATAATTTTTTTTATTACAGAGGAGTAGTTAGTTAATTGTATAGAATACAAATTATAATTAATATTTATTTACTTTTTTTTGATGAAACATATTCCTTCTTTAGACTGCAGTAGTACACATAATAATTTTAGCTTTTTTTTTAAAAAAAAATTTATACAATGCATGATTTTCATAATTAATCACACGTATATTTTAATACACTTACTCTACATTTTCTCTCCTTAAAAAAAGTAAGCTAAGCTAAAAAAAAAATAAAAAAAAAAAAAAAAAAGGAAAAATAAAAAAAAAAAAGGATATAAACACGTCTTATTTTTCAAACAAAATTCCTCTTTCTTCCCTATTATCCTTCTTCTTCTTTATTATCTTTTCTTATTATTATCCTTCTTCTTCTCTATTTATTATCTTTTCTTATTATTATTATTCTTCTTGTTATTTATTCTCTTATCTTATTATCTTTCTTCTTCTCTATTTATTATACTTCTTCTCTATTTATTCTCTTATCTTATTCTCTTTCTTCTTCTTCTTTAAAAACCATAGACTTGAACATAATGATGACGATATACATATAAATATATCTCTATATATGCGGGATACATTGACAGGTAGATGTGAAGGTGGGCAACTAGTATATCATTCTACCCTTTACTGATGGGTAATAGGTAGAGGGTAGGCGTCTCTATATCCCCACCGGGCTGGGTGCAACAAATGGGTCTCTTCAGCAACTTGGTCTCAACAATCGTCATTCTAGTATTATCTCTCCATAATGTTATATTTTAGACCCACCACCCCATATTTTAGACCTGAATGTTCAATTGGCTTTTTATTGACTTTTTATTTTATTTTTTTATAAAATAATGTTCTTACTAACTAACTTTTACTTTTTAGCTCTCTTTTATATATAAAATACATATTATTGCTTATAAACTGTATAATTGTAATAAAATCTATTATTTCCTAAATATTATTTAAAAGTGTGAATTTTTTTTAACGTATTTTTTGAATATGTACTCAACATAATAATAATAATAATAAAGATGTGTAGTGTATAGCTGGATAGATAACTTCTTCTTTATTAATGTATACATATACACATGGAAAAAATGTTTATGGACTGATAAATTCATCATGAATCAAATATACACTTCTTTATTATCAATGACGAATAGCTTGTAAGTGGAAAAAAATATTTAAATAAAGTATTAATACACTTTTGTTCATGTTATTGGTTTCTGTCTTTACGTGTAAAGAAAAAAGAAAAAGAAAAATATCTTTCTTGTTCAATACAAACTAGTCAAGTTTAAACTTACTCATCTAGTCCATGTTGATGCAAATCAACTTCTAAAGCCATGACTTTTTTAATGGCACACACTCAGTTAATCTACGCATCTGAGAGAATAGTTTACAAGGTATCAAAGTATACAGAGGGAAGATTTTTTTTTTTACGTTATTGTACTTTTGTAAGTAAAAAACAATAACTTGTAGAAAAAAAAATTGTATACGACGATTGCCCACAAACTCAAGTGTATTGCGCACCCATAGTAAAATGCTAATAATAGAATCAAGTATAATGCTAAAAGGACTTGGGAGGGTAAAAGAAGTCAACGTATTTGGATGGTTGATAGAATGAAAAAGACATAAACACACCAAGTATAATTGTTGGCACTTTCATTGGTCTTGGCTACTCTGTTATCTCTTATCTTTTTACGATAATTGTTGTTCAATCAATTTGAAAGTCAGGAGGATTTTTTTTTTTTTTTTTTTTTTTTTATCATTGACAAGAATTTATTGCTGCGGATAGAAGTAAATTTATTATTACTTTTATTGCAGTCGATTGTAATGTCAAAGGATCCCATTAGTGTTCTTTTTGTTTGTTTGGGTAAATAAAAATTGTTATTATTTTATTAATATCGACACTTTTTTTTTAATTTTTTTTTTCTCTATTTAAAAGGTAATATTTGCCGCTCGCCTATGGCTGAAGCAGTTTTTGCTCATACCGTCAAAGAACATGATCTTCAAGACAAATTTCGTAAAATAGATTCTGCAGGAACTGCTTCTTATCATGTAATTTAGTCAATAGATTGTTGATAATGAATTCAATTTTTTTTTTACTTATATATATACATTAGGTTGGAAGTATTCCTGATAGTCGTAGCTCTTTTACATGTAAATCACATGGTGTACCTGTTAATCATAAAGCTAGAAAGGTAAAAACATTATTGACCGTTACAAAGTGTTGAATAAAAGAAAAAGAAAACTAACATGTCAATGTAAATCGTATATAAATTAGGTTACTAAAAAGGACTTTGAAGATTTTGATTATGTTCTTTGTATGGATGAATATAATTTGAGCGATTTAAAGGTAAAAAAAAAAAAAAAAAAAAAAAAAAAAAAAAAAAAAAAAAAGTATATAAATAAAACCTTTGAATAGTAACTAATTTTATAGTTTAGGGACTTGCACCGAGTGGATCAAAGGCTGTAATTAAACTATTTGGTGAATATGATCCTAAAGGAGAGCGTATCATAGAAGACCCTTATTATGGTGGTAGAGATGGTTTTGAACATAACTTTAAACAAGTAACTAGAGCCAGTAAAGGCTTCTTAAAATCGCTTGACTTGATTTAAAATAGTTATTGTAAATCAGAAGACATAAAGAAGGTTATCATGATACACCTTGTTTTAGTACATGCATAATAATTTCTTCACTATTTAAGCATATTATGTAATAATCAATATTTCAAAATAAATATCCAATCAGATTTGAATACAGTTCAATCTATTTTATTTTATTATATTTTCAGTTCTCTACTTTTTTTTTTTTTTTTTTCGTCCTGAGTTTTATTAAAATGACAACAGCTAAAGTAGATGATCTAAGCATTTCATCGGTATTAAATATTTTGCAGGACAAATATATCAGTAAACAGCATGTATTATTTGAGGAAGAACTAGAGAAAATGGTGTCAAAAGATGACTATCTTGTGTCTTGGTCTAATCCATCAGTCCTTAGTAAAACATATGCCTATGAAATAACTCAACATAGCATTCTACATTCAGAAATTCAAGATTGGATCAATACTAGTACTATTTACAATTAAATCATTTTTTAATGTTACGACTTATTTGACATGATATCCTTTCTCTTCCTCTCTTTCTCCTTCCCCTTCCCTCCCCTTTTTTTTTTTAGATTCAAATGAAAATATTCGCGCATATTTCAATCTAAATGCACATGTTATTGTTTTGTATAATCATCTTGACATTTATATACAATCGTTTGATTTAAAGGTTTGATAAGAAGACAAGAAAATACATTTTTATGCTTACAGACTTTATAACCTTTATACATGCATATATGCATTTGTATGTATGTTTAGTCTAAAAAATCATCAACAATAACGCTGCCCTTGATAGATTTATCAACTCAGCAAACTGCATCTTCATTATTTGATATTTTTATTGATAAATTAAATGTGACAAGTATAATGATTGCAGTTAATAATTTAGGAAAGATTCACTACTATCAAGACTGCTTTAAGAATGTCTGTATAAAGTTTGAAGTGCCTTTGAAATATTATAATGAATATATTACATCTGTTAAATTAGTGGATGCAGACCAAGCAGTAATCGGCTCGTCTACAGGTGAAATTTATGTCGTAACATTTCAAAAAGTTAATAGCAAGAAGAATCAGATACAAATGAATACCCTTTATAAACGTACATTCACCACTACAGAACTATTACATTTTCCAAATTTTGTCAAGTTAAGATCAATGAATTGCTTGTCAAATGAAAATAAGCCACCTATTATAGAAACAGGACCTATAATAAGCATTTGTGCATTAAATGATCTATATTATATCTGCAGCAATAAGGATATTTCAATATGGAAATATAATAAACAATATAATCAAATGGAGGTAAACCAAAAAAAAAATCAAGGCAATTGTAAGAAAAGGAACACTATTACTTATCGATGATATAGCTTGTCTTTAGAAAAAAAATTGAATTGGATATTATTGACAATGTAGCTAAGCATATACCTTCACAAATTTCAAAAGAGAGTATAAAGTGCGATATAGTAAATATGAATATTATAACGTAAAGATATAATTTGATATATCTATCTGTATGTATATGTGTATAACTATATTAATCTATATCTATATCTGTATCTGTATCTGTCTCTATATATGTATATATCTTGTAGAAATAATGAAGTTGTAATACTGGCTTCTTATACAGTGCCCGAAATGAAAAACTATGTTCAGTATATTGTCATTAAATTTTGCATTGAGCTAAATGATAACGAGTTTTTAATATATGTTAACCATACAGCTTCAATACCTTATTCAGATGTACGTTCTACGCTACGACAAAAAATACCTCAGTTATTGGTAACTCAAAATATGGCGTTTATCGCATTTGACAGGGCTGTTATTGCAGTTTCACTTGATCGTAAATCAGTCTTTGAAGAATCTATCGTACTTTGTCGTTCTGAAGATTCTATATTATGGATTGAGGAAATGAATGAAAAAGAAAATGATTTGAATTCGGTGTTAGTAATGACTGCTAAAAGCGGATTTCTTAAATTTCAAATCAACATATCAAAGATTCAAGAATCAAGGCTAACTGGGTAGATGAGAATAGGAACAAAGTCTAATTGCAAAAGATATAATACTAATTAATATAATAATAGTAACATATATGCTAGTTTAGTGGAGAATATCGTAAGCCTTATACATACATATATATATATATATATTAAGAATACTAACAATGTTGAAAGTCATAGTTTCTTCTTGCTAATGAGCTCTTATTTTTTTTAGGAAAGAAGAGACACCTTGGTGTTTAAATCAAGACTTGAACAAGCAGTATTTTTTGGAGAGCCAGATAAGGTATGAGCTAATACTTTTTAAATTATGTTTATGATTTGCTGTTTAATGTATACAATAAAATAGTCGCCACTACAATTTCCCCTTCGAGTTGAACAAGAAGATATATCAATAGCAACTATGTCTCTACTAAATGATATTCAAAATGGCATATGTCCTTTTCTTCCCAAGACCTTAGACTTTGATTTATACATTGAAGCAAAGTATTACTTTCAAAAGAGGATTTTTGGAGTACTGAAAGATAATATGCTACATAATCAACTGACTTCAAAAGAACGTTACGAATTGATGAAAACTACAGAACTTTACTATATAAGTTGTATATTAAAAGAATATTTTAAGAATCAGTGAGTTTTATTGTACATGTCTCTGTCTTGATAACATCTAACTCTCTTGAACAAAACAAAGTATTTTAGATATACATTTTAAGCAACATTTAGTTGGAATTATTCAAACAATTACTGGAACCAAAATAATAGATGATGACTTGCAAATTGAAGAATTTTTAAAAAATTATGTAAGTCTTATTCATTCTTATTTTTTGATATACACATATACATGTATTATATTAATCATTCTTTCAAAATATGATGTAGATTCTAAAAATAAAGATTTTATTCAAACAGTTTGAATTCTTTAGGTCATTTCCAGATACATTTGATATTCTGACTGTATGCTTTATATATATATATATATGTATGTATGTAAAAATGACTTTAGATTGACTTGTTTAATTATAGATAGTCGTAGTAAAAACATATATTTATGAAGAAAAATGCTTCTCTATATATGGTCTTGACAAAAGAAATGTGAAAAGGGTCTCAGGTACCTTAGAGTAATACATGTTTAACTAATCTAGAATATTGATATAATGTATTTTATTGTGAATAGCTCAACTAAGTGATATCCTCTCTACTGTACTCAATAATGTTATAAAAGATATAAAGAATCATAAAGATTCTGTGGACCCAATGGATTTGGATTATACGGAAAACAATAATAAACAAGAGAATAGTATAATAACAGACTCTTCTTCTATATCAATTATAAAGCAAAGACTATTTGGTGCTATTAAACTACTATTAAATACTTTAAAAATGGAACAAGAAATGAATGAAAAGTAAGTTTAAAAGCAACACAAAGCATTTTAATTAACAGTATAATATTAGTCCATTATCCAAACAAATGTATAATAATTTACGTAAAATGGCATTTAAGGGGTTGTGTATAATCAATCAATATGAGTTGGCTATCGAACTTGCAAAGGACCATAATTGTACTACCTTTGTTATCAAATTATTACAAAATTCTCAACTGTCTTATGATGAAATGAAAGAGAAGAATATTGATTATATTAATCTGTTTGGTAAGCAATATTTCAATCCTTTACTTGAATATCTTGAGAAGCAAAGTAAGTCATATTATATATTATATGGAATTTGTATGAGCTAATTACTGATTGTCTGTCTGTAGATCAACATCAAACTATGTTAGAATTATGTCTTCTATTCCCTGACTTTGCAAATGATTTTCTTGTAAACAATTCTGTTCCAAAAGTATCATGGATCTTTTATTTGAGGCAAAACGAATTTCTTCGTTCATTGAATTCCCTAAATGAATATCTTCAAACTGATTTAACAGAGGAGCAACGTGATTTTCTTTCAAGCTGGTATAAAATGATTTCTGTTGCTATATCAGAGATATCAGATAAAGCTAATCCATAATGGCTGTTTACACGCTAAATATTGCATATATAAATAAGTAAATAAATCTATGCTAATTTGTTTTTTTTTTAAAGTTTTAAAGCTAAGCAAATGACAGAAATCTTTTTAATAAATCATTAAAGAGAGCCTTATTGTAAGCTCAATTTCCATCAATGACTGTTTCCATGTATAGGATACTTTCTTTCATTTTTAAAAATAAAATGAGAGTTTTACATAAGATTCAAATAATAATAATAATAATAATAATAATTCATTCTATGAATCTAGTCCTCGGAAAAAAAAATGAGAATTTTTTGTAAAATAAGCATATAAAAGAAAGACTTGTACGCATCATTTAGATGTAACTTCTCATTATAGTAAACAATGTTTCGCTTGTTATTGATATAAAATTATGAACTAAATTTTATCTTTGAGTTTAATCTATCTTTTTTTTTTATACCTAGTATCGAGCTGCTTGTTGATCTTATTTGACTAAATCTCTTCTTTTAGGAACTTTGAATATCTTATCTGTATTGAACTCTATATTTCAATGTGAGCCAATAATAGCTTGAGCAAAATAGTGTTTACATGTCTCTTCGTATTACAGCCATTGATCTTTACAATGAATAAAGCTTTATTATTGAATCAAGATAGCTTTAATATGTATATACATATTGTTGAGAAAATAATAGTATCGTATTTAAAGGGGAAATACAAAATTAAGGTTAGATATATATATAAATTACCCTAATAATAGTCTTCCTCCGAGATTTTTTTGCACTACTTTTTACAACAAAACAAAACAAAAACATTTACTATCTCCTATTTATGATATCCATCATCTTCTAGAAACCCTTGAAATAGGTACACAAGAATGCATATTGTCAATCATTTTGTCACTATGGATATTTTTAAAATATTAAATGTCCATTTATATACACGCAAATACATATACATTTATATAAATGTAGAACCTTATTAAGAAGATGATATACATTCGATACTAAATGATAATCTCAAGCGAGTAATATATTCATAATAACCAATATATCGAAGATGAACGGGTTAGATCATCAGTAAAAGAAAAGGCTACTACTAAAACCCCTCCCCTTAGGATCAAGTGGATAAAGCAAAAATAGTGTAGCTATGTTATAATTAGTTGGTAAGGGAACTAATCGAGAAAGTTTTATCCTGGTTATGACAGCGGGATTTTTCAGATGAAAAAGGTAATCGAGTTCATGTAGGCTTATCGAATAACTGGCAAAGTAAGAAAATGTATTAAAATATGCACGTGGTTGATGGACATAAAGCTGGTTAAAAAAAGAAAAAAAAAGAAAGAGAGAGGGCGAATCATCAGATGGTATCAGATACTTGACGTTGACGTCGGATTTCGAGATAATGTATAGCATGCTACTTTGTTAACGTCTGTGTAGGGTACTTGAGTTGGCCATTAGGTAGTTATCTGAGACACTAGCAAAAAGATTGGGTATATTCAATAAAAGATATGATTATCCAAAGAAATAAATCTAATGATATGTAGCTGGTTAGCAATCTTCAACTGAGTAAGAATATGCTTATACTGGTTTTTAAGTCGTCTTATCGACAGGATCTAATATTTCGTTTGATATTGGAACGCCCAGAAATGTAAAATGAATTAATAGATAACAGGTAATATTAGTGTGATCTAGTTATAGAATCTAGTAGAAATAGTAGTGCTGACAGAATATAAATTTAGCTCACACATAGCATGATTTTAACGGAATCAGTTACAATTATTATTCTTAGAAAGTATAAAACTAATAAATGGCCATTTGAATTGAATTTTCTCAGAAAAAAAAAAATTACAGATCAAGAGATTTTAAAGAAGGAACGATGGAAAGTCGTATTATCTATACTTATAATTATATTATAAATGGTGTAAGCAAAACAGAAAACTATAAATGGTATATATTTATTTTGATTAAGAGTAAAACGTGTGCTTTATACTATTTACAAAAAAGGATATGATATATCAATCTACTCTCCATGTTTTAATACTCTAACAAAATCTCTATAGTTGAAATTGCCCTCTTCATCAACAACTGAACCTTTAAACATGATATCAATCTGATATATGTGTATAAATATAAATATAAATATAACTATAAAGTAAGTTACTATATGTGTACCTCTTCATCTGTAAATCTATCGCCCATTGTTTTCATGCATTCTCTTAAATAATCAGCATTAATTTTCCCATTTCTGTTATCATCAAAGACAGAAAATGCTTTAAGTATCGTATTTTCCGGATCTGTATCAGCTAATTTCTCTGCCATTAATGTTAAAAATACTGTGAAATTGATAGGGCCAGTAGCATCTCCCATCATAGATTCAATCTCTTCTGTAGTAGCAGGTTGCCCTTTAGTAAGACAAAAAAAAAAAAAGAATCAGAAGTGCTTCTTATTGTGTATTATACGTTATAACAGATATATACCTAATCTCTCAAATGTTACTTTAAGATCATTAATATCCACTAAGCCATCACCATTTGTATCCATAATACTAAAGGCATCCTTAAATTCCATTACTTGTGCCTTATCAAACATTGCAAAGACGTTTGAATTCTGACGTCGTTTATTCTAAATTTGTAATAATAATAAAAAAAAGGGAGATGGGGGGGGTCAGTTGCGGATCTTTTAGTTTGATATACAAATATTATTTAAAGAAAGTAACTTACAAAAGGCGCCATTTCTTTTCTTTTTATTTTATGTAAATAACTGTAAAAAATAAAAAAAACAAAAATCCAAGAAGAAAAGGAAGAAAATACAAATTATTGCAAAGTAGGGTATAATTAAAATAAATTTAACTTCCATTTAAGTAAATTATCTAATTTTGGGAAAAACAATAATAATGGTTTACTTTTTTTGTATACATATTTTTTTTTTTGGGTTCCCGAATTTATTTTATTTTGATCCATTTACCTTCATTAATGAATATAGCAAAAAATAATATCATAATAGAAGCAGTCCTTTTAGGTTACCTTTTTATTATCACATCTCTTTTCATATTGCCCCTATGTACTAAGTATCAGCTATAAATATATTCGTTTTGCCATCGAATTATGTGATTTAATATTTTCATTATTATTTTGCATCCAGGAGAAAAGGAAAAAAAAATTAAGGGATAATAGAAGCTATCATTATTATAATGTTATTCTCTAAATATAATTTTTTTTAAGGGTCTCTTGTTATACCTTCACTCCGTATCTGGAGAACAAGTAGTTACAGTAGAATTGGCTGAGTTAAACAACGATGCATAAATTGACTTGAAAATATGCAAATAATATGTATATAAAATTAAAAAAAAAAAAAAAAATAAAAAAAATAAAATAAAAAAAAGTACATATAAAATATATCAATAGTAAAATTATGAATAATTGACATTTATTTTGCAATAGACTTGTTGAAAATGTGTAAAAATAAAAAATTACAAAAAAGAAGGAAATTGAAGTTGAAGATCATCTGTTTTACATATGCATTCATCATTAACATAAGAAGATTTACTCTGCAGGAAAGTTCTACATAGGTCTGTTAAGTAAATTACCCCGCGCGTAATGATTATCTTAAACTTTTTTTTTTCTTACATCCCTTTAACTCCGTTAAGTTAAGCTTAAAAAAAAATGAGAGAGTGAAAGAGAGGCAACTCCTTGAATAATCCAACTTCTGCCATACACAGAAAAGACATATATGTATACATATATCAAATTTACTTTATATAAATACATGTATATTTATTTCCTTCTTCTCCTTTTATCCCTCTTTTTATTTTCTATTTTATTTATTTATTATCTATTTATTATATTTATTATCTTGCCTACTCATTTTCTCTTTTATTTCTCTCTCTATTCTTATCCTTCTATAATAAAATTTCTTTTTCTTTTTTTTAAAAAAAAAAAAAAAAAAAAAAAAAAAAAGAGAGAGAAAATATTAATTTATATTTAAAATGGTCAATCATCAACATGTTAATGTTATTAGTGAGGATCCTACAGTAATAGTAACGCCTAATCCATCTACAGTTTTAGATGAAAAGGTTTTGACAGACGCTGTTAAAATCGATTTACGAGATCATCTTACACCTCATAATGATACCTCTAATCCTTTCGCTTTTACACCCGAGCAACTATCAGCTTTAATGGATCCTAAAAACTTACCTTTATTACGTTCATATGGTGGATTAGAAGGCGTAGCTCGTGGTCTTCATAGTGATCTTCAAAAGGGTTTAATCCCTTACACGTCACCTCATCAAAATATTACTCTTAATCAAATATTCAAAGAAAAGGATGATTCTGTTTATGTTGAAGAAGTTGAATGCAAAAGGACACCTACACTACATTCATTGGCTAGACAATTAACACATCGAACCGATATCTCTGTACCAACACCAGATACTGCTGCGTTCCCTCAAAGAAAGGAATTTTTTGGTACAAATACTCTCCCTGATGCTAAATCTAAAAGTATTTTTCATCTCATGTGGATTGCCTTTCAAGACAAGACTTTGGTAATACAAATAAAAGGAAAAAAAAATTTTTTTTTGACTTTGATTTATTAAAAATAATCCTTTATACAGATCCTTTTAGCTGTTGCTGCTGTAGTATCTTTAGGCGTAGGTCTGTATGAAGATATCGCTGTTCCAGAATATGATACATTTGGAAATCGTATTCCTGGCGTAAAATGGGTTGAAGGCGTTGCTATTATTGTTGCTATTTTGCTTGTTATTCTGGTTGGTAGTATTAATGACTATCAGAAAGAAAAACAATTCCGTAAACTTAATGCTAAAAAAGAAAATCGTGCTGTCAAGGTAATTAAAGAAAAAATTATAATATATATATATATATATATATATATATATATATATGTTGTAATAACCTAATCATATAAATCCATTTATTATTAAAGGCTACTCGTAATTCTACTATTATCATGATTTCTATTCATGATATTCAAGTAGGAGATATTCTTCATCTGGAGCCTGGTGATATTGTTCCTACTGATGGTATATTTATTGAAGGGCATAATCTTAAATGCGATGAGTCTGCTGCTACAGGAGAATCGGATGCTGTTCGTAAGCAACCCTGGCAAGTATGTGAGCGCTTAGCAATGATGCAAGTTAAAGAAGATGAAAAGCGAACTCGTGATCTTACTCCTGGATCCTCTTCTTCATCTGAAGATGCTCATAAGTCAAATCCATCAGACCCTATTGTAGAGCACAGATCGAATTCAGATCCATTCATTATCTCGGGTTCTAAAGTGTTAGAAGGTATTTGTAGTTATCTTGTAACTGGTATTGGTGAAAACTCATATTATGGCCGTACAATGATGGCGCTTCGTTCTGAGCCTGAAAGTACACCTTTACAAGAGAAATTAAATGCTTTAGCTGAACTAATTGCTAAATTGGGGTCTGCTGCTGGTTTATTAATGTTGATTGTTTTGCTTATACGTTACTTTGCCAGTTGGAGATATGGTGTTCCTGACCAGCCAACTGAAATTGTTATGGATATAATGAAAATTTTAATTGTCGTTGTCACAATTGTTGTTGTGGCTGTTCCTGAAGGCTTGCCTTTGGCTGTTACACTTGGTAATTTTTTTTTATTTCGCAAATAGAAAATTAGGGTTAATGATCTACTTATTAAGCATTACTTTTTTTTTTTTTTTTTTTTTTTAGCTCTTGCTTATGCAACTCAACGAATGCTGAAAGATAACAACCTGGTTCGTGTATTGGCCGCATGTGAGACAATGGGAAATGCTACTACAGTATGTTCGGATAAAACAGGCACATTGACACAAAATAAAATGACTGTGGTTGCAGGAACCTTTGGGTCTTCTTTTCGATTCATAAAGAACCCACCTTCATCTCGGTCCGATTTAATTGATATCAAAAACGTGTCTAGTGCCGCACCCAAGGAAGTGCTTAATATCATAAATCAATCCATTGCTGTCAATTCTACTGCGTTTGAAGGAGAAAATGAAAAAGGAGAGCCTTGTTTTATAGGAAATAAAACCGAGACAGCCCTCTTGCAATTTTCTCGTGATACCAAAGCTGAGCATTATGATGTCCTTCGTTCACGATGGCCTATTGAACAGGTATATCCTTTTAGTTCAGAGAGGAAGGCAATGGCAACAGTGTTGCAAATCCCACATACTACTCAATCTGGGAAAGTGATGTACCGAGTACATATAAAGGGTGCATCTGAAATCATCTTGGGACTTTGCTCTTCTATATTAACCCTTCAAAAATTAACAAACAAAGATAGCAACCATGGGAATGATGACTATCAAGGGGCTAGCTCTCGTGATTTAACTGAAGATGATAAAGATAGAATTGAACGTATCATTCAAAGTTATGCTACTCGTAGTCTAAGAACTATTAGCATTGCCTATCGTGACTTTGAACAATGGCCACCTAAGGGTCCTAGTAAGAATGTAGATGATGATGTACCTTATGAAAATCTTGTTGAAGATAAAGGTTTAACTTTTCTTGGTGTTGTTGGTATTGAAGATCCTCTTCGAGAAGGTGTTCCTGAAGCAGTACAAGCTTGTCAACGTGCAGGTGTATTCGTGCGTATGGTGACAGGTGATAATGTTGTTACCGCAAAATCCATTGCTAAACAGTGTGGTATCTATACTCCTGGTGGTATCGTGATGGAAGGTCCTACTTTTCGTAAACTCCCGTTATCAGAGATGGATAATATTCTACCTCGGCTTCAAGTTTTAGCTCGTTCAAGTCCAGAAGATAAACGTATTCTTGTTAGTCGACTTCGTGAGCTAGGCGACATTGTCGCTGTCACTGGCGATGGTACAAATGATGGACCTGCTTTGAAGATGGCTGATGTGGGCTTCTCTATGGGTATTGCTGGTACAGAGGTAGCTAAGGAAGCATCTAGTATTATTCTAATGGATGACAATTTTTCAAGTATTGTCAAGGCTATCATGTGGGGCCGTTGTGTAAACGACTCTGTGAAAAAATTTTTAGAATTTCAAATTACAGTCAACATTGTCGCTGTCATCCTAACTTTTATTTCAGCTGTTGCAAGTCCAGAACAAAAATCTGTCTTAACTGCGGTTCAACTTTTGTGGGTTAACTTGATTATGGATACCTTTGCTGCACTTGCTTTAGCTACTGATCCTCCTACCGAAGACGTATTGGATAGAAGACCTGAACCTCGTTCTGCTCCTCTAATTACATTTAAAATGTGGAAGATGATTATTGGACAAGCTATCTTCCAGTTAGTTGTTACTCTTATACTCTTATATAGTAACGTTCTTAATTATCCAACCGAAAGTGCTTTATTACAAACCGTTGTCTTTAATACTTTTGTATTTTGTCAAATTTTTAATGAAATCAAGTAAGTGTAATAGTAATGATGATCATCATATACATATATATATATATATATATATATTAACTAATGAATTTCATTATTTATATGTAAACAGTTGTAGAAGAATTGACAGCAAACTTAATGTATTCTCAAATATTTTGGCAAATAAGTTCTTTATCGTAATTTTCTTTATTTGTATTATTGGTCAAGTTATGATTGTTCAATTTGGTGGTGCAGCTTTTCAAGTAGTACCACTTAATGGTGTTAATTGGTGTATTGCCATTGTAATTGGTTTATTATCTTTACCTATAGGTGTTATCATTCGTCTTATTCCCGATGATATCTTTGGCTTTTTATTTTTAAACCCTGTTACTCGAGATAGATACTTAGGAGGTAATACAAATACAATTCCATCGGTTTATGTTGCAGGAAATGAACGTATGCCATGGGATCCTAATGAAAGAACTAATACTATGGCTTCTCGATCTTCTAAGCATAATGATAATCAATCATTTGGAAATGATACTATTCGTAATCTCGAGTAATATTCTCCTTTACATCTCTCTCCCCTCCCCCTCTTTTTTTTTTTTCTTCTGTTATACTCCTTTATTCTATAAACTAATTCATTTGCTTTTATCTTTCTGCATACTCTTCGAATTCTTTTCTTTTTTCCTCCTAGGAAATTACCTTCCCTTTAGACATTTAAGATATCAGAAGAAGACAGTATATTTTTCAAATTAAGTTATTATATATGATAACATAAACATTATAATGTATGCTCGTATAACTGTTTAATAATAAAAGAAATACTTGCTTTGTTTACTGTATTTCAAGTGATCTATACCATTATATTTTAAATTTAAAAAAATATATACAAATATTTTTTTTATCCATTGCAACATTTTTCTTAAGATTAATTATCGATGATGAATTATTACTATTTTTTAACCCTATAAATACTTTTTTTCACATTTACTTGGATTGTAAACTCTAATATTTTATTCTTTTATGATTTCATTTTTTATGTTGTAAATCTGATTGGTGTAATATATATGCTATATCTTGTACACTAAAAAAAAAAAAAAAAAAAAAAAAAAAAAAAAAAAAAAAAAAAAAAAAAATACGTCAAATAATCATAATCTCTCATACTCCCTCTTTCTTTTTACATATTATTCTTTGATTGTTAAAACAAATAATGAGTATTAGTAAAATGGTTACTCGTTCTATAGAATCGTTACCCTCTATTCCAACTAAATTTACAAAGTCATTACCTTGTGACATTTATACAGCCAAATTATCAAAGCTTGAACAAAATAACTTTATGAGAACTCCACGTCCTGTTCATAAAGCTGCTTATTCTCTTGTCTATCCAGAGAGTGCCCCTGATCCGACACTATTAGCTATATCAAAATCAGCTTGTCAAACATTAGATTTAGATCTTGATGAGATTACAAAGAACAGTGAAGACTTTGTTTCAATCTTTTCCGGAAATAAAATTTTGCCGAATACTCAGCCTTGGTCACTTTGCTATGCAGGCCATCAATTCGGGTAATTAATTAGATGCATATAATAATATTCAAGTATTATCATACAAAATAACATGCTCATAAGTTTTAAGCTATTTTGCAGGTCAATTAGGTGATGGGAGAGCCGTATCATTGTTTGAAACAGTTAATTCTAAAGGAGAATCTTGGGAGTTACAGTTAAAAGGTGCTGGTCGAACACCGTATTCACGTTTTGGAGATGGTTATGCGGTATTACGATCAAGTATACGAGAATTTTTAATATCAGAATATATGAATGCTTTAAACATCCCAACGACACGAGCACTTTGTTTGATAGGAACATCAAGAGATGTGTATAGAGATGATGGGCCTAAACAAGGTAAAATATTTTGCTTTAATAGATATATAAATTGAATTTTAACTCATAACAATTATTCATAGGTCAACCAGAAAGAGGTGCTATTGTTACTCGTATGGCGCCTTCTTGGTTACGTTTTGGTAATTTTGAAATATTCTATTCTCGAAATGACATGGAAAATGTGCGTCGCTTAGCGGACTATGCTATTGATGAAGTCGTAAAGGATGAAAATAATGGTTCTGGTAATAAATATGCAAGATTTTTTAGAACAGTTACAAGGAATACAGCACAAATGGTAGCAGAGTGGCAAGCTATAGGTTTTAATCATGGTGTCATGAATACAGATAATATGTCAATATTAGGTTTAACTATGGATTATGGTCCATTTCAAATTATGGATTACTATGACCCATCTTACATCTGTAACCATTCAGATAGTACAGGACGTATGTTATAAGCATGTACATATATATATTTATGTATATTCCAAATAGATTGACTCTTCTCCTCTTCTTCTTTTTTTTTTTCTTTTTTTTTTTTTTTTTTATTTGTACGAAATAGGTTATGCATTTCATCGTCAACCCTCTGTATGCATATTTAATTTGATTAAATTAAGTGTACCTTTATTTGAATTGATTGGTGCTGGTGAAAAAGTGGACTCTATTGTCTTTCCTGACGCTGATAACGAAACAAAAGAAGGAGTGACTGATGAAAAAATATTAGAACAGTATCGAGATAAAGGGAAGATATTTGTTCAGGAACTCTTGAATAAGGAATTTAAAGAATACTTTATGGATCATTTATTGAAAAAGATGAGGAGTAAGATTGGTCTTTTAGAAAATGGTGATAAACAAAGTGATATGGATGATGTGGTTATCCCATTATTGGATTGGTTAACAGCCTATCACATTGATTACCATCGCTTTTATAGATCATTAAGTAATTACAAAATAACAGTTGAAGGTGAAGATACAGATACTCAAAAAGCTTTGGATGAATGGCTTGAAATTATCACAGAAGAAGAAGAGCAGTTAGAAGCTAGTAAAGAAGCATTAAAGCCATGGTTAAGTCTATATCGTCATCGTTTATTAAAAGATAAACTGACCGATATAGAGCGTAAAAAGCGTATGGATTCCATCAACCCTAGATTCATATTTCGAAACTCCATAGCTGAAGAAGTTATTGAGGCATTTGATACTGAAAATGAAAAGGAAGCCACAAGAATTTTAAACATCTGTCTTGAAGCCTGTAATAATCCTTTCAAAGATTATTATAAAGATAAAGAAGTAGAAGAATGGATTAATAAATCTGTACCAGTAAGTAGATTAGTCTGATTATTTAATTGTAAGTTATTCATTTATTTATTTATTTTTTATAGAAAAAAGATATGAGATGTTCATGTAGTTCTTAGCCAAGTTTATACAGAGATTTTTTTTTTATTCATGACTAAAAATAATGAAGATGTGTATTCGTATCAATATACATATATAATATATATTTGCTTACTTTTTCAATGTATATTCTAATGCTAGAACTTCTTTAAAAAAATAAAACCAGTTGATTACTATCATTTTTCTATAAAAGTATGCTTTACATTAATCGAAAAATTTTTGCTTCTATAAAAAAAATGCAGGTACACATTTATATGTTATGCCAAACTTTAAAATGTATATTAAAGCGCACTTTCTTCGGTAAATAAAATATAAAACGTGGCAGTTGATTTTTTTTTTCTATTGTTCATCTTATCTTTGAATAAAATCTACTATTATTTTATACATTCTAATATTTAAGCTTATAAGTTTACAATCATTCTTTAACATTATTAACCTTGTAATAATTAATATATACTGATGTATATTATAAAAATGAGTGTATTTTATAAAAAAAGGAAAAAAAAAGAAAAAGTGTTATCTAACAGACATGTTATTTTTAAATTTGGTAAATCAAAAACAAAGTCACGCGATCATATCAATTTTCTTTGGTGAAAAACGTCTCATTGAGCAAATCAACTTGTCATTAGTGAAAAATGATTACAACGATAAAAAAAAAATCCTGTGGACTTTTAAAGAGAAGAAGTTTCACCTTTCTTATTATTTGTTGAATAAAGATTTTCTTTATAGATTAAAATAACATCTGTATTCTATTCTTATAATTTTTTATACCTAAAACTCAAAAACGCGTTCGTATTTTATTTCTTAAATGATATTAAAGGATAAAGGCAACATTATTTATAATTATTCTTTTTATTGTTAATACTGCGAAACAAATAAAGACATAGTTAAAGACTTACTTTCTTTTTTTTTATTATAAATATAAAATTCATTCATTAAAATATATAAATAAATAAAACCTATAATGATATGTATGTACAACTATGTCTCTCTTTTTTTTTTAAGTAAATTAAGTAAAAAAACAAAACTGAAGAGATTACTTTTAGCTGCTCTCTCAAGAAGGTAAAGGCTCAAAATGTATATCGCTGATTTCAAAATCATACAATATCATGAGATAAGTTTCAGTTTTTTTTTTTTTTTTTTTTTTTCTAGTTATATAATTTTTTCCATTAAAATTTATTTTCTCCTTTCTTTTTTTTCTTCTTTACACTTTTTATTCTTTTAGAGGAATAATAATGCTTTCTCAAGGCCTTTCTCACGTTATTTTTAACGCATTAAGTAGTGAAGATTTCGAACGTACCCTCAAGTTCTATGAAGCTGTTGGCTTCAAGACTGTTACAGATAAATGTCAGGAGAATCATGCCGAAGAAAGAACTGCTTGGTTGAAGTTGGTATCTGGAGATAATAATGCCACTAATGCTACTATTAAGCTCGTCTTGAATGCTTCTGCTATTACACAACGTAAGCCTGCTACTGATGTTGATTGGGCTTTAGAAGAAGCTGCTATTGTTTTTGCTGTCAAAGATATCAATGTAAGTATTTGTTACACAACACTGTAGAATATCGATATGATCGATAAGCAAAATCTGGGAAAAAAATTTTTTTTTTTTAATTGACAGCATAATTAATTAAATTCATATAAAATCACTATAGGCTGTTAAGTCCAAGTTGAATGAATTAAATGTTACAGTTCAAGATCATACCAATGGTGAAGTTAGTAAACTTTACACCTTAGACCCTCTCAACAATGTCATTGTTTTCTCTAACCAACCTATCGCTGACAAGGCTACTAGTGCTGCCGCCGCTGTTGAAACTGCTACTGCCAACGGTAAGCGTCAAAAGATCGCTGTTCTTACCTCTGGTGGTGATGCTCCTGGTATGAACGCTGTTGTCCGTGCTACTGTTCGTTATGGTATTGCTAAGGGTTGTGATGTCTTTGCTGTCTATGAAGGTTACCAAGGTAAAGTAAAAAAAAAAAAAATATTTTTTTTACATTCCGTATTGGTTTGGTAAATAATTTTCCGGACGTTTCCGGGACCGAACAAGAGAAAACCATATGCTCTGCTGTATGACTGGGTTTGAATATTTACGTGTTATTTTTTTTAATAATAGGTCTTATTGATGGTGGTGACCTCTTGAGAAAGATGAGCTGGAAAGATGTTCGTGGCTGGTTAGCTGTCGTAAGTATATTGATTCTATATTTTATAGATTTAAGTAATTTTTTTTATTTATATACATTTCTTATAGGGTGGTACTACTATTGGTACAGCTCGTTGTATGCCTTTCAGAACTCGTGAAGGTCGTCTTCAAGCTGCTGAGAACCTTGTCAAGAACGGTATTAATGCTTTGATTGTTTGTGGTGGTGATGGTTCTTTAACTGGTGCCGATCTTTTCCGTGCTGACTGGCCTGGATTAGTTGATGAACTCAAGAACACCAACCGTATTACCCAAGAAGAGGCTGATGCTTACCATACTTTGACCATTGTTGGTCTTGTTGGTTCTATCGATAACGATATGTCTTCTACTGATATCACTATCGGTGCTGTCACTTCTCTTCACCGTATTTGTGAAGCTGTTGATGCTGTTTCCACCACTGCTTTGTCTCACTCTCGTGCTTTCGTCATTGAAGTTATGGGTCGTCACTGTGGTTGGTTGGCTCTTCAAGCTGGTATTGCCACTGGTGCTGACTTTGTCTTCATCCCTGAAAAGCCTCCTCAAGAAGATGATTGGGAATCCATGATGTGTTCTGTTGTTGAGAGACATCGTCAATTGGGTAAGAGAAAGACTGTTGTTATTGTTGCTGAAGGTGCTATTGATAAGAACTTGAACCCCATCAAGGCTGATCACCTTAAGGATATCTTGACCAACCGTCTTGGTCTTGATACTCGTGTTACTATCTTGGGTCACACTCAACGTGGTGGTTCACCTGCTTTCTATGATCGTCTCTTGGCTACTACTCAAGCCATTGAAGCTGTTGATGCCGTTCTTGAATCCACTCCTGAAACTCCTTCTCCTATGATCGGTATCTCTGATAACAAGATCATTCGTTATCCCCTTATGAAGGCTGTCAAGCTTACTCATGAAGTCGCTGAAGCTATTGGTCAAAAGAACTTTGCTCGTGCTATGGAGCTTCGTGATCCTCAATTCGCTGAAGAATATGAAGCCTATACAGCTACCACTATCTTGGATGATAACTCTATTGTCTTACCCGAACACGAACGTCTTCGTATTGCCATCGTTCACGTTGGTGCCCCCGCTGGTGGTATGAACGCTGCTACTCGTACTGCTGTTCGTTACTGTCTTAACCGTGGTCATACTCCCATTGCTGTCTACAATGGTTTCGCTGGTCTTGCCCGTGGTTCCACTCACGAAATGAACTGGATGTCTGTTGATGGTTGGACTGCTCTTGGTGGTTCTGAATTGGGTACTAACCGTGCTGTCCCTGGTGTTGATATTGATATGGGTATGATTGCTTATCAAATGCAAAAGCAAAATATCCAAGGTCTCTTGGTTATTGGTGGTTTCGAAGCCTATGTTGCTATTGATAAACTTGAAGAAGCTCGTAAGCAATATCCTTCTCTCCGTATCCCCGTTACCTTGATCCCTGCTACTATCTCTAACAACGTTCCTGGTACAGACTACTCTCTTGGTTCTGATACCTCTCTTAACGCTATTGTTACCTCTTGTGATGCTATTGTCCAATCTGCTCAATCTTCCCGTCGTCGTGTCTTCGTTGTTGAAGTCATGGGTGGTCGTTCCGGTTATTTGGCTGTTGAAGCTGGTCTTGCTGTTGGTGCCATGACTGTCTACATTCCTGAAGAAGGTATTAACCTCTCTCGTCTTCAAGCTGATGTTAAGCACTTGAGAGATATGTACAGCCACGATGATCCTGACAAGAGTGAAGGTAGAATTATTTTGCGTACTGAAGATGTCTCCAAGACTTACACTACCGATGTCATCTCTAATATTCTTAAGCAAGAAGGAGATGAGATGTTCGATTCTCGCACTGCTGTCTTGGGTCATATTCAACAAGGTGTTACTCCTTCTCCTCTTGACCGTATTCGTGCCACTCGTCTTGCCATGCGTGCTATCCAATTCATTGAACAACACACTACTGAAGCTCTTTGTCAAGCCAAGGAAACTGGTGCTCCTGCTCCTATTGAACTCACTAACGTAAAGGAATCTGTTACCGTTGCTGGTATCTCAGGTCACTCTGTTGTCTTTGAACCTGTCTCTACTCTCATGACCGTTACTGATATGAAGAATCGTAAGCCTCGTAACGCCTGGTGGTTCGGTCACAGAGAGGTTATTGACCTTTTGGCTGGTCGTGGTCACTTTGACTAAATTTAATTTCCTCTCTTTTCCTTTTTTTTTTTTTCCAACTTCATTTTATTCATTTAATCTCATAGACATTGCGTTTATTTTTAACTTTTACGCTATATATTTTTTTTTTTTTTTTTTTTTTTACGCAGATGGCATTTTACTTTTCCTCTTTTTTTTAATATCTACAAATTCATTCTTATATTTTTATATTTTATTAAATAAAGCACATTATTATCATTTATGTATTCTTATATAACTCATAGACTTGAAAGTATGTATCTATAAATAACATCTAAAAGACTAATTGTATGTATATGATGTTTCTGTACAGTAATTTATTCTTAATGGATTATAAATTAATTACCCGAAAAAAAAAAAAAAAGATTTAATTTATAAACAAAAAGTAAAATCAAGTATTATATTCTCTTTCTAAATTATGAATACCAAAATCAAGTACAATTAGTTGCGTTTTATGTTCACTAATAATAAATAAATTCAAATTAATACATATATAATAAAATGAAAAAAAAAAACTTACTTTTTAACAGCTGCTATGCATCTTCTTTCATCAAAGCAAACTCGCCAAACACCAGCTACATCTTCAATCAAGTTATACATAAGTTCACCTGTTTGTGTATTCCACATCTTGACGCCGCCTTCTGATCCTGATATAACTTTGTATTTATCATGCTGGAAAGAAGTAATTGGGCCTGGATGCCCTTGATCTCCAGCTAAAATACGAAGCCTTTCACCATTATCAGGATTCCAAATCCTTAAAGTTGAATCTGCTGCAGCACTAACTAGATAATCATCTGCTAATCCTATTAACCCCACTAAGATAGCATGACCTATATTTATATATTATTAACATGATAATGCATTAAAATGTTTATAAAGCATTTATATACCTTGTAATACAAATTTACATTCACCATCATCCAACCCCCATATTCGAACAGATGCATCTAAGCTTCCACTTATACAATGTCTACGTTTTTCATCGATAGATACGCAATACACTTTCATGGTATGTCCCTTTAAAACATGTACCTTCCTACCCGTATGTAAATTCCAAACAATAACATTATTATCGTAGCTTCCACTAACTAATGTATTGCCATAAACAGCTAAATCACGTACGGAGTGTTCATGCTCAGCCAATCTAAATTTTAAAAATCGTCTTGAAATTATATCATCTTCTAAACAGGTTGATAAAGGTATATTAGGCTCGTGCTCAAGGTCTGGAAGCCTCCAAACCCGAATTGTCATATCCCTTGAACCACTGATGATGATGGGTTCACTAGGCTCTATTGTCATTGAACCATCAGGGTGGACAATTTTTGACGGCATTACAATTTTTAGACAACGCACAGTACTGGAATGTCCTCTTAAGATGTAACGACAAATGCCTCGCTCAATATCCCATACACGTACAGTACGATCAATAGAGCCTGTTACTAAGGTATTACCAACATACTGAAGTGCCCATACACCACCATCATGACCTCGTAACACACGTCTTAATTCACCAGTTGTGATGTCATAAATATTAATACTGTGATCATCAGAACCTGTAATAATCTTATCATCATCAAATTGAAGACAGGTAACCAAATCATCTTCATGTCCATCCAGTAACATTTTGTGATGCAGATTTAGTTTCCAATTGTGACGCATGATAGTATGTCGACGAACAATTTCTTTATAGTCTACATCTTGCTCTTTTGGGGTTGGTTTAAAGTTAGATTCCATCATTTTTAATTCCCAGACTTCGGAAGCATTTTCAATTAGTTCATTCCATCTTCGACTTACTGCAGTTGCACGACATAGAGTATGAACATCTAAATAACCCAAAATTTTATGCGCAATAGAAATAGGTAAATTGATTAGGATATCCTTTTTAAGAGCTTTTAAAATAGTTTCATTAGCTATACGAAGAGCTTCAAGGGGAGATCTCTTTAATAACTGGAACATAAAATATGTTTGAACCTTAGCTGGAAGTTCTTCAAATAGTTCAATAAAAGCAGAAGGTTCTGTTAAATCTAGATTGTTATTTGTTGTTATTAACTGTGATTCTTCTGTCTCATCTTGATTATCTGGAATTGAAGGCGACCAAGACTCATTAGGATCAAGATCTGAGACAGGAGATGGTAGAGCGGAATTAGGACTATCAGGTATAATATCTGCCGCTGCCTCAGAAGTTGGATAAGAAGGCCCTGGTGTAAAAGAATTAGAAGTAGTTATAGAAGGCGATTGTAAAGTATTTGCATTAATACTATCAGTAAGGCTATCATTATCATTGTTGTTATTTAATTCCATTAATTCTTCATTGTTTGACAATTCAGTACGTTTATAGCTTCTTTCGTCATCCCAATTTGAAGCAGATCGTTTTCTGGCCGAAGTCGACTTTTATATATATATATATATCGGAAAGAAAAGAAAGGTTAACCAATGCGTATGAAGATAAATATTTTTTTCTTTTTGCTTACATGAATTTCTTCGAATAAAACAGTTTTTCCATTCATATTAAATGTAAATTTTTTTAATTCATTAGGAGTCTCTAAGTTAGCTAAAGGGTATAATTCAGGATTTAAGGTGTTAGTAGATGACTCAAAAAGTAAAGGTGATAAGGTAATGGTATTGTTATTGATGGTAGAAGTTGAAATAGATGCAGAATTTAAAGTTGAATTATTATGAATATCATTTGCAATTGGAGTATTTATTTGGGTATTATTTTGTTGATTGGGTGAGGACAATGGAGAAGATAGTTGAAGTTCAGATATTGTAAACGGTACACCTGGTGTACTCCTCATGATTGAAATAAATAAAAAGGAATTGACAACACTTTAAATTAGTAACTAGAACCTATATTAGAGCAAGATAAAGAGAAATGGAGGAATATATGAGCAAAAGAAAGAAAATGGTTTGTAAAAGATTTATTATTTCGAACAATTGAATTACATTTTTTGGAGATTATGGAATGGGGTGCATGTAGGGAGTTCTTTTTTAAATATGATAATTAAAGTAAAGACCAAGAAGAAAAAAAAGTAAACATAGAAAAATTTTCTAACTAAAACGTTTAGCTGTACGGAGGAGGCGAGAATCAGTCCAAGAGTTTTTTTTTTTCTTGTCCAGGCTTGGGTTTGTGTGTATGTGTATGTGTGGGGAGAGAGAGAGAGAGAGGGAATTAGCTTATTATGTTGAAAGTAATCAAGTTCTTGTAGTATGATATAGACACAAGACCATCGTATTCTCGAATGAACTGACATCTTAGACCTAATACAGTGTTTCCATTAAAAATATACAGACCAAGTATATTAGAAATATATATTTGGCAGTTCAAGAATGTCCGCTGTTAAAGTCATGATACTACGTATGGTTGAATCCCCTATGCATATATGAGGGACTATATATTCTATAATCTCGATTTTTTATTATATTCCTCAACTTTATCTATAGACGCTCTTTTATTTGAATTATCACAGCTTCTACAAGAATCTATAACTAGATCTCAATGATCAAGACTGTTATCAACTAATCTGGAAAATAAAATATTATACTGGATTGCATTCCTTAACACCCAAAAAGATTAAATAACAAATTAGATCTTACCGTTAATAAAATTTACATTAGCATAGAAAGACTCCTAATAGATGGAGTTCTATACTTTGGATCCCGATGTCCTCTGTTGAACGTAATCAATGCATTCATTAACGCTGTATATAATTATCTAAAGATTGTTCAGCTTATGTTCATAAACATTCTACGTAACTTTTGATAAAGCAGCAAGTCATCTACTGCACTGCCTTTAGATGCATTATTAACTTCAAGCGCCTGAAATCATTGAGGATCCTCTTTCCTTTCTATTGAATAAGCTTACTATACGCTAACCTCGTACATATATCAATATTTTTCCTTAGTTTATCTGTTAGTTAGCTATTTGTACAATCCTTTACGAATTTATTTACCTTTTGTACCATAAAAACTCGTCGTTACTACTGTCATAACCTAGTTAGTAATACTTTGTTCGGCTCCCCTCTCCTTACCCTCACTAATTATGTTATAGCTTTATTATTATTTTTTTTGTTATCTTATATTTTCATTGATAACAAACTAATCTAGGCAACTTTGATGTAATTAGCACCTTACTGTGTTTTTTTTTATTAACAACTACTATACAGAGGAACAAGCTGTTGATAAGGTGAGGATAAAAAAAACAGGATAAATCTGCGAAAACTTTGTATAAAACTTTTATTATAGATTGAATAAAATTAAAAAATTGAATTAAAATTGAATTATAAAATTGAATTATAAAATGAGTGCAAAATGGATCCTTATTTATATCTTTTGGGAACAGAATGAAGATATCTTGAAAGAAGAATATTTCCCATAAGATGATTAAAGTTATTTTATTTGAGCTCTCTGGCCTTTGCCCTGATTGAGAGTTAATCTCAGTTAACTCACTCTAATAAATATCAAATTATTCGTATTCGTGCTCGATCTAGCCGGTTCGGTTATTTTTCTTGAAACCAAATAATGAGATCTCGTTTGTTCATACTTGTGAATGATATAGGGAAGATGCTTTTGATGTATATATTTATTCCTTAATGTACTACTTGAATGAATATCAATATAGTGTATAGTGTATAGTGTATAGTGTATAGATAGTATATGATTGTATTTATAAATTAGTATATTAGATAACATTATAACAATGATGTGTATGTATAACTAATAGGTACAGTCTATAATTCATATATGTCTTTATCATTAATAGCTCTTCACACTATTGTTTGGCTTATCATTATCTCGTAACGTTAGTATTTATTTTAATATTATTATTTTTCTCATTACAAGAATGTCTTATATAAACTGAAATCAAATAATATTGTATGCATAAAGTGTACTACTAATAACTATAAATATCATTCGAGTCCTTTATAACTCTGATCTGTATATTATAAGATATTATGAAATGCATCATTATATACACAACAGGCATTCTATTATTTAACTAGCTTAAATGATATAAAAGCTCTTTTTAAAAGACATCTTAATTTGTTCAAATATATTTTCTTTTCCCAGCACAATGAGTGAAGTGTAATAAATATTTTATCCTTATTCTTAATATCTATATGCACTGAAAATATGCGTTGTTTGTGTATGTATTATTACTGGATCATTGAAATCTCAACAGGAAAAAAAAACATAGCAAACATAAAACAATAGTCAAACAAGAAATTAATAAATTATAGGATGAAGTTTATTTGTAAGCTACGCAAATACTAATATGGTAAAGTAAATAATAGGAATATTAGTAGTTTATTGGTAAATAGAGCTTAAAAAAAAACTTTGATGAACAAATCATAATCAGAATGTTTATGTATTCTCATGTATATGATAAAATACATAATTAAGCCTTTTAATACAAACACATGATTCTGATTACTTGTTGTATAGTAATATTATGTAATTAGACTGTATACTTAGACAACAAACGATCACACGATTTAAATAGAATAAGTTCATTTTCCTCAGAATAGGCAAACACATCGATTATTTGTAGTACAAACACTGTGGGGAATATGGATATAATTTCACATGTTAGAATATAATATACTGGATTAGGTATAAATATATACCATCATCAACTATTTTGTCCTACAATACATTTATTTTAAAAATATTCATGTGAAGTACTCATCATTTATCACAGTGAATATAAATATTAGTTCTTTTTTTTTTTTTCATTGTGCACCCCTTTTATTTCTTACCTTTCCTTTCACTCTTACAATGTCAAAGAAATTCACTATTGAAGAAGTTGCAAAACATAAACAAAATGATGACTGGTAAAATATAAATACAGTCTATTCTCTTTTGATACTTCAAATTATTTACACATTTTATTATATATTTTTTTTAAAAAAAAAAGCTGGATTATTATTCATGATAAAATATATGATATTTCCAAATTTTTAGATGACCATCCAGGAGGCAAAAAAGTCCTTTTGAAAGCAGCCGGTACAGATGCTTCAAAACAATTTGATGCCTTTCACAGTCCTACTGTATTAACAAAGATTGCCTCTAAATATTTAATCGGTGAAGTTGGAAATGCAGACAGTGATCCTGTTGAAACAGATGATGTAGTTGATCAAAATCCTCTTCAAGTTGGAGAAGTCTATGGTGATATGGTTCCATTTGGTGATCCAATGTGGTATCAAGATTGGTTTAGTCCTTATTATAATGATTCTCATAGAGCTGTTCGAAAAGCGACTCGTGAGTTTGTTGAACGAGAAATTATGCCTTTTACTCATGAATGGGATGAAGCCAAGGCAATGCCTCGTGAAATCTATGTAAAGGCAGCCAAAGCTGGTATACTTGCTTCTGCTGTTGGTCATGTTGATCCTGAATATATTCCTTACGACTTACCTGGTGGTGTAAAGCCAGAAAATTTTGATGCTTTCCATCATATTATTGTTACTGATGAATTATCTCGTTGTGCTTCTGGTGGTGTATGTAAAAAAATAGAATTAATACCATATATTTATATACAAATATATTAATAATAATAATTATTAAATATATACACATATATATATATAGGTCACTTGGGGGCTTATTGGTGGTCTTGGTATAGGTCTTCCACCTGTTATTCATTTTGGTTCCAAATATTTGAAAGATAAAGTCGTTAAGGATTGTTTAGCAGGTACAAAAACTATTTGTTTAGCTATTACAGAACCATCAGGTGGTTCTGATGTTGCTGGTCTTCAAACAGAAGCCAAAGATATGGGTGATCATTATGTTGTAAATGGTGAAAAGAAATGGATTACGAATGGTACCTTTGCCGATTATTTTACTGTAGCTGTTCGTACTGGTGAGCCAGGTTTCAATGGTATTTCCTTTTTACTTTTAGAACGTAATATGCCTGGTATTACAACACGACAAATGAATTGTTCCGGAGTCTGGCCTTCAGGCACAGCTTATATTACACTTGAAGATGTCAAAGTGCCCAAGGAGAATTTGATTGGTAAAGAAAATAAGGGTTTTAAATATATCATGCAAAACTTCAATTCAGAACGTATGGGTATTGTTATTCAAGCAAATCGGTTTGCTCGTGTCTGTGTAGAGGAATCATTAAAATATGCTCATAAGCGCAAGACATTTGGTAAACGATTAGTAGATCATCCAGTCATTCGTAATAAACTTGCCCACATGATTAGGCAAGTGGAGTCTACTCATGCCTGGATGGAATCCTTAGCTTATCAATCTATGCATATACCTATTGAAATCCAAGCAATTCGTTTAGGTGGTCCCATTGCACTTTGTAAAGCTCAAAGTACACAAACGTTTGAATACTGTGCTCGTGAAGCAGCCCAAATCTTTGGTGGTTTAGCTTATACTCGTGGAGGACAAGGTGAAAAAGTAGAGCGTTTGTATCGTGAAGTACGTGCCTTTGCTATTCCTGGTGGCTCTGAAGGTATGTGTATATGATATATAAAGATTAAAATACAAAGTAGTTGACCCGTCTTTTTTTTTCTATTTATACACATATAGAAATTATGTTGGATCTTGGTGTTCGTCAGGCAGTAAAGGTGGGTGCTTTTATGGGTGCAAAGATGTAGAATATAGATGTATGTTGATTATTTATTTACAAGTGCAATAACTTTCACTTATTATAAAACTTAATTATCTATAATAAAGTCGTTTTTTTTTTCTTTCTTTCATTCTATCTACAAAGATTTCTTTCTGACGAATATAATACAGCCCAAGTCAAAAATAGATATTTATTTACTTTCATTCAATTCAACTGTTATAAAAATTACGTTTACTTTGACTTAATATTAAAAACTTAATGATCTTTTACAAGCTCAAATCTATTTCTAGTTAAAATAATATGGGATCTTATGTCTTTAAATCCATCATTTATTCTTCTTCCCAGCAGAAATGTGAAATTGGGGGGGCTTTTTTTTGTCTTAATTAGCATAAAATTATATCCAATATTTATACATGTCAAAGACAATGCTTACTCCCCCTTCTAAAAGAAAAAAAAAAAAGGCCTTTATACGATTTTTTATTTAATCAGCTAAATAGATCAATTAATTCCAAACAAAAAGCATATTTTTTTTCCAAAAAAAAAGGGGGGAAGGGCTCACACACTATCTTCTGTAATCCGAACCGGGTTGATTTGATGCATAAATGTGCAAAATTTGTACCTTCATTTAATCACAAAGCCTTTCTTTCTTTCTTTCTTTCTTTCTTTCTTTCTTAAACATAAAAGATGTCACTACAAAAAAGACTTCCTATTTCTTTATTGATTTTCTTTATTGTTTTAGTTAATTTATTAATGATTTATCATTTTATGCCCTTTAATAATTCTAAAATCTACCCTTCTCCTCCTCAACGAAACGATACAAATAGTTATCCTCCGTATAATCCGCCACAATATGGTTTGAAACTTGTTCGGCCTAAAGATAAAAAGTTTACAAGTCAAGTCTTGGAAGATTATTTAAAGTCATTTGAAACAACTATGAAAGATAAAGATTTATACACTTTGTTGCAAAACTGTTTACCAAATACTTTAGATACAACTGTTGAATGGTTTAATGAGAATCATCAAGATCCTCGTACTTTTCTTATTACAGGAGACAGTAATGTACTAAATAAAAATAGGTTGATAGAAATTTAATAATCTTATAACTGTTATACATTATAGTTCCAGCCATGTGGATTCGAGATTCAACTAACCAAATCACTCCTTATTTACGATTTATAAAAGATGAACAGCTAAGAGATCTTATTTTTGGAGTTCTTCAAGTTCAGGCAAGTTTTTTAAATTATGATCCATATGCAAATGCCTTTTTGAGACCATGGTATGCGCCTAATAAAAAGCAGGATAAAAAAGGTTCTACCTCAGATCATGTTATACCTCCTTATGACCCAAAAATTGTCTGGGAATCAAAGGTAAGAAGAGCAATAATCATATATAAACTATGTATTAACATGATGGGTATAAAAAATAGTATGAATTGGATTCGATAGGTCATTTCTTTCAATTAACGAATGACTATATAGAAGCAACAGGTGATATTAAACGAGTACTTCAATCTAATGACTGGCTAAATGCAGTGCCACGTATATTTCAAGTATTAGAAGATCAAATGCAAGACACATGGCCAGCACGTCAATTACTGAAATGGAATAAGTCACCATTTTATAAAACTCAATCTACTACTAGTTCACCAGAGCCTGTTTCTCTAAATGATGGTTATAGATTTAGAAGAATGACGGACAGACCTACTGAAACATTAGGGGAATATGGTATTGGCGGCATTACAAAAAAATGTGGTCTAATTAGAAGTGCTTTTAGGCCAAGTGATGATTCAACTACATTTCCATACTTAGTAATGTATATATAATGCACTAAAAAGTCGAGCTTTATATTTATTTATTTATTTATTTATTTATTTATTGCTTATAAAATCTTTATTTAGATACCTTCTAATGCTCAACTTTCAGTTCAACTGATTAAACTTGGCCAACATATTGAAACTTATTTACTAGAAAATAATAATGATGATGATGCAGAATTGGTTAAATTACATAATCAAATTGGAGTTCATTCCAGAGAATTAGGAGAAATGGTACGACAAGCTATTTATGAACATGCTATTGTTACACATCCAGTATTTGGTCAAGTATTTGCTTATGAAGTAGATGGTTATGGATCACAATTGATGATGGATGACGCAAATACACCTTCATTATTGAGTTTACCTATTCTTGGTTTTATTGATAAAAATGATATGATTTATCAAAATACGCGATCTTTTGTACTATCAAAATGGAATCCATGGTATTTTGATGGAAGCTTTACGAAGGGTATTGGTGGTCCACATACAGGACAAGATATGATATGGCCAATGAGTTTATTAATGCAGATACAAACATCTACATCAGAGAAAGAAGTAGTAGAATTGATTGACACTTTGAAAAGAATAGCATTTATGACAGGTACAAACTTAATGTGTGAATCATTTAATGCAAGCAAACCAAGTTCATTTACAAGGCCTTGGTTTAGCTGGGCAAATGGATTAGCTGGAAATACAATTTTACAAATTATACATGATTTTCCTCATTTAGCTTAATTTTATTCTCAATTTTTTTTTTTTTCTTTTTTTAATTTAATTTAATTTATTTCTCTCTATTCATGTTTAATAAAAGACGTTCTTCTCCAGACAAACTGCCGAGTTATAAATATACAAAACGTTTACCTTCGAGGAAAAAACAGAAATGGGTTTTGAGAGTGGCATTTATAGTTTTCATCATTTTATTCATTTTATTCATTTTTGGAAAACAACGTCGTAATAATCTATCAACAACAACAACATTAAACGCATTTGACATGAATAGCCATTTACATGACTCTAATCGGGATCTCTTTGAAGTTCAACTTAATTCTCCAAATTTAAACACTGATAAAAACTTTGAAGAACTTACAATTGCTCGCAAAGCAAAACTGACAACAGTGGGTACCACGATTCCTAAAATCGTACATTTTATTTACGGTTTAAGAGATCCTCAACCAACACTTGAACTTATTCATTATATTGCTATTAAATCAGCTCATGATGTCTTGAAACCTGATAAGATCATGTTCCATTATCATTATTTACCTGTAGGCGAAAACTTTGAAAGAGCCCGTCCAATGTTAACTTTGAATCAAGTCCCTTTAATTGATAAAGTGTTTGATAGGCCAGTAACCCACTATGCACATAAAGCTGATGTTATTCGATTGCAAGTTTTAGAGGAAATTGGCGGCATCTATCTTGATCTTGATTTAATCTCTTTAAAACCTTTAGATCATTTGCTTGATCGTGAATTTATTATGGCTCAAGAAGGAATTGGTAAGATATTCTTAATAAGACCCCCCCCATTATTTCTTGTCTAATTTATTTATTTATTTATTTATAGATGGTTCAGTTGGGTTATGTAACGCTATGATAATGGCTAAACCTCATTCACGCTTTATTCAACGTTGGTATGCAACATATGCTTCATTTGATAATACAAATTGGAATTACCATTCAGTTATTTTACCTGGTAAATTAGCACCCTTTTTCCCTGAAGAAATTACGGTTTTGAATCATACTGCATTCTTTTGGCCATTATGGGATAGTCATGGTTTACGAACATTATATTTGGAAAAGAGTTATGATTTCTCTGGTAATCTTGGAACTCATATTTGGGAATCTGCTGCAAATAAAAACTTGATGAAAGATATAAATGAGCAAGTCATTATGGAAATAGATAACAGTCTTTATTGTCAATTAAGACCATTTTTGTTGGATGGGAAACCAGATCCTCGACCCAACTCTTGCCGTATCTTATCACACACGGAACGTTCTGATTACCTTATAGGGCATTGGGGACTAAACGAAAAGCCAGTATCTATCTATAATCCTATGCCTGCTAAAGATGATTCAGGTAATGATTTAACAGGTCTAATCAGAAATGGACACTATAATGAGGAAGGAGGTGTTTATCTGTCAGGAGAAGCAAGTTATATTTTCTTAACTGTACCTACAGAAACATCAGCTAAATCTCTTACTGTAAGTTGGTGGATGAAGAAAACAGCAGGTGAAAAATCAAATGGTCAAATGGCAATGGTTATCCAGACTTATAATGGTAGAATTTGTATTGAAACTTATTTACTTGAAAATGGTGCCCTTTCTGTTCAAATTAAGACGATTCATAGAACAAATGGACCGAAATGGGAACAAATTGAGGAGTTAAAGTTGAGGCCTTCACCCTATCCTATTGATGATAATAAGTATCATCATTATGTGCTTGTAATAGAAGATACAGAAATAGCACACAAGAAAGAGCAGCCAACCATTGTACTTTATATGGATGGTTATGTTGCTATAAGTAGTACCAATTGGTATCTCCCAGAATCTATTAATACCATTGTACGTGGTATTTGGTTTGGATCGATTGAACCTCTAAATGATAAATATCAAAATCCTTGGGATAATTCTGTAAACTTGGAGGCTCATTTTCGTGATATTTATGTTTGGGAAAAAAGCTTAAATTCAGATGATATCAAGCATATCTACGCTACCTCTGTATCTGCTATAGAAAATGTTGATAATAACAGAAATAAGGATAAGAACATTACGCTAAATCCAGTCAAATTTAAGAATAAAGACGTTGAACAGGTGAAAATAGAAGAGAATGAAGAAGAAGATTTATTATGGGAAACTGACGACCAATTGGATGATTGATGAAGTATTTCAATTAGTGCATTTTTTTTTCTTTTTCATTGTATAGCATCATTTAGTCTATTTTACTAGTTTTTTTTTTTTTATACATACAGATATATATATAACGAATAACAAATAATATATAATATAATAATGAAATGCACAAACTCTAGCCTTGGAATTTTTTGATCGTCATCATTTGATTTAACATTTCTTGAAGTTCAGGCATTTCAACTTTATTCTCCAGACTATTGAAATATGCAATTAGATGATTTATATTTACATGTGTATAAATGTACACATTTTACCTAGGAACAAGCGCTTTCGCTTCTTCTGCATCTTCACAACATAAATTAGCAAGTTGTGCTACTTCGTATTGTGACATATTATCTTTTGCAAGAACTCTAATCATTTTAAAATATAGATCAATATATAATTTATATATAAATCAATAGATTAAGTTTTACTGTCTAACTTCACGGACTGCTTCTATGTTGTTAAATTTACTAAAAGTGCGTACATAGTCTACTGTCTTTGACATGACACTAATACAAAAATAATGTAAATTTTTTTTTTTTGATCAAAATAAAATTCAATGTAAGCATTTTACTTTGTTCTAGGTCTAGTATCTGTTCCGTTTTCTTTAGAGTCTTCTTGAGCTTCTAAAATAATTCTTACTTCAGATATATATAAACATTGTGCCGTGGAAAATTCTAAACGTTTTTGTTTTTAAATGAATTAAATCTTGATTGATTTTTTATTTTTTTTTCTAAAAAAAAAAAAAGAAGAAAAATACCTTCACCTAATTTTAAAGTAGAAGCATCTTCTTGATCAGGCCCACCACGAATTATATGTCTCTTCTTGCCTGCCATTTATTGTTATTAATCAAGTAGAAGAAAAAGAAAAAAAGGATAGAATAAAAGACAGCGGCTACAATGTTAAATTGCGGTTTTTAGAAAAACTATTTCCTGAATTGAATTAAATTATTTTTTAAAAATTAAATTGCAGATTTTTTCTTTACTACAGTGCAATTATGCATTTTGACTGAAATAATTAGCATCTCCCAATATAGTTTTCTGCTTTAAGAGTACAATAAATAGTAAGTTTATTTTATAAAAAAAATAAGCTTTTTTCTTCATCTATTTTATTATTGACGTCCTTAGCTATGATAATGAAGTTTTTTTTTTTTCGTAATATTACGACGGATGTGCCTATACACTTGATAAACATATATTTTAATTAGTTACTTCACATATTGGAACTACTTTAAGGCCTTTGTTATAAATCATCCTTTTATTATTACAACTATACAAAATTAGAATTATTTATAGATTTAGTTTTGATGTACAAGAGTAGATCTACTCTTTACCGACTATAATAGGAGATATAAGAAGCAGAGATATATAATATATTTTGACGTGGTCTGTACAGTATTTCTACTTTAAAGTCGAACGATGTATGTTTTTTCTTTGGCCGAAACAAAATCAATGTTCAGATGCTTAGCTTATCCTTTTTTTTTTTTTTTTTTGGATGAAGAAGAAACGAAAACAGAAAAAAAAAAGAGGCACTTACAGACGAATGAAAAGTTAATGTTCAGACTTTTTACCTGTAAAAAATCTTAATTCCTTTAGAAGGAGAACAGTGTTCGATACGACGATGTAATAAAAATAAAAACGTTATTTCCTTTTTTTTCAAAAATGCTTGTGGACGATCATGGTCACTGATGATTTCTTTTGAAATCTTGAAAACATTCTTCGAAGCATTGGTATCGCATTGTCATAATCATTTCACAACTTTGGCAAGTGAAAACACTATTCAACCCAGATATACACTTCAGTGAAAGACATTTTGTTACATAAATGGCAGCCTTAGTATTGTGTCCAGTTTTATCTTTCTTGTTATGTTGGTATTAATTCCCAAGAGTCTTCTTGTTTAGTGAACTTGTAATTTGGACATTCTTTTGATCTTGAGCTTTTATGACCATCTTGGCGGCAACTTGAGTATACTAGTTCCACTCACTACTTGTTGAACCTCATTACTACATTGTTTCTGCTTTTTTGACTCAATTCTTTCATATTCCGTACTTCTTTTATGCTTTGTACTAACTATGTTATGTACGTAGATATTAGGTATTGCTGTTATATTTTCTATGTCATGTATATAAACAAATATGTATTTACCATGTGATGACATTGATGCAAAATATTTGCATTGACTACTTCTTTTTGCGTGATATCCAGGTTTGCTGCAGTCCTTGCATCTGACTTCAGCTAAACAAGATGATATAAAATGTATTAATTTTTGCAAGTATACACGTATAATATCGCCTATAAGTTTTATCTTGTTCTTCTTCTATCTCTTTTCTTCGATTCCAAGCCCCTTTTAGGATTTCACCAATTCTTTCTCAAAACATTTATTTTATAGGTATATTGCAAAAAAAAAAAAAAAAAAAAAAAAAAAAAAAAAAAAAGAGAGAGAGAGAGATAATGATGATGTATAATACCTGATCACAGGTGATAAAATTGATAATATATTGTGATTGATGGTTTTTTTCTTCTTTTTTTCTTTTCTTTTAAGTATGTATTGAAGAGAAGATGTATGAAAGTATACTTATTTGAAATGCTGAATAGTTAATATCATATATAAAATAATGTCAAGAGTTATTTCCTTACCACTGCTACTATGTATATACACGAAGGGCCTGAGTGTCCACAAACAGGTAATAGTACGCGTTTAGTCGGTATTTCCTGGCTTGAGATTAAAGAATGTTAGATGCTAAAGGCTATATTTTCATTTAATGAAACAACACCATGTAATTGTTCTCATATCTTAACATCAAACAATCAAAAGCGCATAAATAGAGATCCTTCGCTGACAGTATATCTTGAAAAATAACAATACTTCCATATACAAAAGTGCTAACGAGTTAATAATTGTTGCACAATCAATCGAATTGAATCAGAGAGACCCTTGAGTAAGTGGCACGTTATCTGAGCAAACACGATAAACTTCTTACAGATTATCAGACCAGTTTTCATGCAATTGATTTTAATACAAATAGAATGTATTATTTTGCAGTAATGTAGATAGTTCTTGGTCTTTCTTTTAGAGACATTAAATATTCTGATAGTCGTATCTCATTAGTTCTTTTGTCTGTTTTACATGAATATTACAGAGATATTAAACGTACACTCTTTCCATTTGATAATGAAAAGGTGACAAGTCAATGACTATGTATATTATAAATCACCATTGCTATTTTGAAAACAGCTCATCATTTATATGAACCAAAATTGGGACGTGATACACTATCTTAAATACAATACTGTTTTTTTTTTTCTCTCTCTGGGCAAGCTCAATAAATGGTTTAAAGTAGCATGAGTTTTTGAGTAGAAGAAAAGTATATGTACTATGTAATGAGCTAATTACGATACCACAAAACTTCTTCTTGGCAATAGTAGTGATCATACTAATGTAATATTTCAACCTGGACGTATACAAACCCCTTTCTTCATCCATCAACAACTAATAGCCAAAAGTAACAGACAGCAGCATTAAAACTTTTAAAAAAGAAAATGTTACCTCATTACAGCTTCTGGTGTACAGACACATGTGCTATTAGATGGATGAGCTGAATATCTAAACACTGCAGCAGTGGGCAGAGCCCTTTATTATATTTCAGGTTAAAAAGTCTGTACATTAACCTCTCATTTGTCTGAAACTAATTTTTTTTATCTTTGCTTCTTCTTTATCCAAAAAAGGTAAGTTGGATTTTTTGAAAATTAATTTTGATTCGCCCAAAAGAAAAAACTAACATCGTCTGAATTTAAAATAGAAATATTGTATTATGCCTCCAATTTGTGATATGTTTACGATTATTTTATTTTATTTTTTTTTTTTTTTTTATATTTTGACTAATTGTACTTAGAACATGGCAAAGCCTAGGATAATAAAAATCCTAATTGGTTTAGTCACCATAGGTTTAGTCTCACTTGAAACTAGTGCTGAATCACCTACTGTTGACTTGACATTGGTCGCGCCTTGGTCATCTCCTAATTTTATAGTTGAAATCGCGTAAGTTTTCAATTGTTTTTGTTACTTTATAGTTAACTATTTAACACTATTTCTTTATTTTGGTTGCGTATAATATATACATACACACATATATATATAGTGAAACTATAGCCACCTATAATGAAACAGCTTATTTTAACTTTATTCAGGACTTCATTGCACTTGAAGAAAAGTCATCAACGTTGACCCCTCAACAGTTATATAATGAAGCTCTTGAAGTGATTTCTTCAATGGGCATTGAAGAAACTAACTTTTTTAAACTTTCATTAGCTGTACACGAATCAGCTCCTCGTATAGAAGCCTATAATCAATATTATCGTGAAAGTGTAATACCAACACTGTCTAAATATGATGACGACTGTAATGTGTGGATTCAATTTAAAAACAGTCAGATATGTAATGTTCATCAATTTATTAATCGCTTTAATGATTTGCAACAGAATACCATTGAATCGTTGGATGTTTTACCTTTTGATCATGTTTTCAACCCCACTGGTGTCACAACACATTCTAAACCAATTTTGATATTGTATACAGACCGATTTTCTAACTTGTTCGCTGAATTTCACAGCTTCTTAACGACAGCAGCCAAGGAACAGGGATTTTCTTATATTATCCGTTATAGACCTCCAAAATCATCTATTTTTTCACCTTTATATCTGTCAGGCTATGGTGTCGAAATGGCTTTAAAAAAGACGGATTATCTAGTAATTGATGATAGATCTTCTGAAAGTAAGTAAATGGGGAAAGGGAGTTTTTTTTTTTTCTAAAATAGAAACATCCTAATTATATATGTATATATATATATACATATTCAAACATTAGAAGCGTCTAAAGATACTATCAAGAATAAAGTCTTAAATATGGGCAAAAAATTCGAACAATCCTTATTTCATACAACTCAAAAAGCTACTATCAGCCCTTTAACACCTAGTGAGATTCATAAACTCGGTTTTAAGGCTGCCCAATTTGTTGCAAAGTCTTCAAAACCCCTTGAAACATTAAATCAACTAATTCAAGATTTTCCTAAATATGCCAAAAGCATTAGTGATATAGAGTTAGATACTCAATTTGAGAAAGAGCTTTTGGACAATCAACTTGAAGTTCTTCGAGCTGGCATGAATGCAGTTTGGTTAAATGGAAGAGGTCTTGAATATAGTCAACTGGATCCTTTCTTGTAAGTAAAAGTTATATATTCTTATTTAATATTCGTAAATATTTAAACATATTTATCCTTTTTTTTTTCTTTTTTAGCCTTGTTCGTGCATTACGTTCTGAATATAAGCTGATGCAAACATTTAAAAATCTTGGATTTACTTCTAAACAAGCAATTAGTATTATCTCTAATCCATCATTGTCTAGCGCCAATGGTTTTGGAGAGCAAGTGAATAGTGAAATTTATGATGTTCGTGATACGCCTGAAGACCCATTTATAATTTGGTGGAATGATTTAGAAAAAGATAAAAGATATAGAGACTGGGCTTCTGATGTGACCGAAGTAAATTGTTTACCCTTTATCAGTTTGTTTAGATGTATATATGGCTAACTGTTTCTTTCAAATTTTTCTTTCTTAATATATATACATACTAGTATACTAGACCTATTTATCCCGGACAGTTGCATCAAGTGAGAAAGAATGTATTCAATCTACTTATGGTAGAAGACTTGGCTCAAGTTGAGTCTCTTTCTCGAATTGTTAATGAACTCTATGCTATGGTCAAGCGATCTGTTCCTATAAGGTTCGGTATTGTTCCAATTATAAAGAAAGATGGTAGTACATGTAGGTATAATATCCATTATGTTAAGTATCCGATTGATTGATTTGTTTTTTTTTTTCATAGCAACTATTATGGCTCAAGCATTGCATTATATGAATGAGGAATTTGGGAAAAGTTACGGCATGAAGTTTTTAACGGATGTAAATATTATCATCGTTCCTTTGATATGTTTTCTTTTTCTCTTATATTTTATTATATACAATAATAGGTTATGGAAGGCATTTATGCTAATGGAAAGAGACAGCCTGATCTAGAGGATATTGAAGCTAGTTTCACAAAAATATCCACTATGGCAAAACCTAAATCTGGTGCTAGAAAACCTTTTGAGGAAGCTATAAAAACTCAAGATATGTTTATTCAATCTAGTCATGCATTTTTAAAACGTTTAGGTATCAGTCATGTGGGGCCAGAAAATGGGATTATGTTTATGAACGGAAAGCTTCTTGAGCATAATGAAGAAAAAGTATGTTTTTTTTTGACATCTTAAGGTGTTTTTTTTATTAATATAATTTTGAATTGTAGATATGGACACAAGTCTTAGTGCCCTCTTTGATGGAAGTTAGTCGAACTATTAAAGGAATGGTTTTCACAGGAGATCTTACTAATGATCTCGATTTCTATGAATTTTCCATGTCTCTCCCTACTGTTCGTCGCACTCGTAATGAATACATTGCACCATCTAGCTCACATCCTCTTCGTATACAAGACTTTAATCATGTTGAAAAAATAAATGAATTAAAATATTTCCAAGCCGGTAAATATATAAATATTCACATATTCATTAATAGGAATCAAAAAGACTAAATCCTTTTTTACACTTATACTATAGATGAACAAATTGTGCCTAAAGCTAATATTTGGGTATTAGCTGATTTAAATACCATTTTTGGCCAGAAACTTGCATTTGAGGCGATTAATTTTGCAGTATGTTATTAAATATATGCATATATTGTTAATTTGCTAACGTTTATCTATTTATTTATGTTTATAGGAAAATAATCCCAATGTTAGAGTTGCATTGGCTCATACCTCTGCTAATCAATCTAAAATGGATGCTGAAGTTACTATTCCTGTAGTTGACGAACATAAAGAACCCAAATTTTCAGATTTACTTGGAAAAATAATTTTCAATAATGCGGATGTTAGTATTTCCTATTTAAAAGAGCTTCTTTCTCGAGCTATCGAAAACTATATACCAAATCAATCTTTTAAAGATAAATCTTCTATTGAAGCTATTATTCCTGGTTCTCCCATTATTGAAATGGTTTCAAGTGAACAATCTAAAAAATGGATAACTCTTGCTGAAGCATTTGAGAAAGATGGTATTGAAAAATCCTTTTTTGGTGTTATTATTAATGGAAGAGTAAATATATACATATACATATATTTATATATATGTGTGTGTGTGAAAGATATAATTTGTAGTCTAATTTTCTTTTCTTTTTTTTTTTAATATAAACAATTAGGTTGTTGGTCCCTTTTCCGAAGATACTGAATTTACAAAAGAAAATTTCGAAACACTTTACAGTTTCGAGTATTCCAAAAGAATTTCACCTATTGAAGAAGCTATATCGGAAGCAAACTACACTATATCTGTAGAGCATTCTAATGCTGATATGTTGGCCAAACTTTCTTATATTATTGAGTCAGATAAAATGAATACACCTAAAAGTTTGATTGAAAACAGTGAGCCAGATAATCGCAACAGAATTTATCAAAATATTCCTGGCACAAAGTATACACGTATTGTTATTGGTGATCTTGATAACTCCTTTTTAGAAATTGGCATGGTAATTGATCCGCTTAGTGAGATTGCTCAGAAATGGGTTCCCATCATTAACACGCTTGCTGAAATTGAAGGAGTCGCGGTAGTCATGTATCTTAATCCTGTAAACGGCTTGAATGAATTACCTTTGAAGCGTTTTTATCGATACGTGTTTGATAATGAGCCCCATTTCGATCCTACTACTGGTGTACAGACCGTTCCTACAGCCTATTTTGCAGATTTACCTGTTGAACCCCTTTATACATTAGGTGTTGATACGACTAATGCATGGCATGTTACAGTTCGAGAAGCCAATATGGATTTAGATAACATTCTTTTAACCTCTCTTAAAGAAGAGAATAGTGTCTCTGCTGTATATGAACTTGAAAATATCCTTTTAGAAGGCCACTGTCTTGACTCTGCAAACAGATCTCCTCCACGCGGCCTTGAAATTGAAATCACATCACCCTCAAACCAAACCCGCAAAGATACTTTAGTTATGGCCAATCTTGGTTATTTCCAATTGAAGGCCTTACCTGGAGTCTGGGATTTGGGTTTGCGTGAAGGACGTTCTTCTTCTATTTATACTATTGAAGATATTGGAACAAAGGGTAAATGGAATTGGGAAGCTGCTGGAAAAGGGGTTGCATATACTAGTTCTTTAGCTATAACTTCATTTGAAGGCTTGACAGTCATGCCTCTTGTTCATAAGAACCCTGGTATGGAATCTGAAGATATTCTCGAAAGTGGAGAACATAAAAAAAACAATGAAAATAATGGATTATGGTCATCCTTGTCCAATAAATTATTTGGAAAGAAAGGACATACAGATGATACAAATCTAGTTTCTCAGCCTAAGCAAGCGGAGATCAATATATTTTCTGTAGCTTCTGGAAAACTTTATGAACGTTTCTTATCGATTATGATTGCATCTGTTATGAAGCATACTAATAGTACAGTTAAATTTTGGTTCATTGAAAACTTTTTATCGCCTGAATTTAAAGTAAGTTCTTTGCTGCTGCTGCTGTTGTTGTTGTTATTGCCTTTATTTCATGAAATTCAATTTACTTAAATATATATGTATATATGTTTTCATAGGACTTTGTACCTTATATGGCTGAAGAATATGGTTTTGATTATGAAATGGTTACTTATAAATGGCCCGCCTGGCTTCGTGCCCAGCATGAAAAGCAACGTACCATTTGGGGATATAAAATTTTATTCCTGGATGTTCTTTTCCCATTGAGCTTGGATAAAGTTATTTTTGTCGATGCTGATCAGGTATACATTTATATACAAATATGTGTTGATTCCGAAATAACATTTCCTTTTCTTTTCTCTTTTCTTTCTTTCTCTCTCTCTCTTAAAGATTGTTAGAACTGACCTTAAAGAATTAGTAGATATGGACCTTCAAGGTGCACCTTATGGCTATACTCCTTTCTGTTCTGATCGTACTGAAATGGATGGTTTTAGATTCTGGACTGAAGGATATTGGAAGACACATTTAAGAGGCAAACCATATCATATTAGTGCACTTTATGTCGTTGATCTGGATCGATTCCGTCAATTAGCGGCTGGTGATCGTTTGCGTGCTCAATATCAACAACTTAGTGCTGATCCTAATTCATTAGCTAATCTTGATCAAGATTTACCCAACAACATGCAACATATTGTTCCTATTTTCTCTTTGCCACAAGAATGGTTATGGTGTGAAACTTGGTGTAGTGACGAAAGTTTGAAGACAGCAAAAACGATTGATTTGGTAAGAGATAGATGCATACTAATTCAAGTCCAAATATGTAGCTAACACTATTTGTTTATGTGTGTGTAGTGTAACAATCCATTAACAAAGGAGCCAAAATTAGATCGTGCACGTAGACAAGTCCCTGAATGGGAAATGTATGATAACGAAATTGACAAATTACGTAAAAGAGTTGCTGATGATATGACAGTGGTTGCTAAAAACACTGGAGATCAAATTATTCTTAACGATCGACAGCATGTAAAAGATGAATTATAATATTGAATAATTATTTATAATAAAAAAAAAAAAGAAAGAAAGAAGATATTTTGCTTATCTTTTAAATTCAACCAACTATAATAAATAATGAAGAATGTAAAATGTTTATTTTCATTCATACATTTATAAGCTTATTTTATTTTTTATTTTTTTTTTTTATTTTTTATTTTTTATTTTTTTTTTAGAAAGTATAATTTATTTCTCCCCCCCCTTTTTTTTAATTTATACAAAGAATGAAACTTTCTTCTGTGACACCCATTGTCCATAAATCAAGTTTTCAGGATGACAGCCATGAAAATATCTTGGACATTATAAAGCTTTACAACGATCGTCAAGACGCCACCACTACAACAATAATCAAAGAACCTATAACAAATAAACAACTGCATTTGTTAAATTATCGATCATCCAATTTTTATGTCATTGTGACGGCAGCCTTGGGTATCATTAGTAATGTAACGAAAAGAGCTCTTCAAACAGGGAGAATATGATACAAAAATATATATATGTATATATATATTGATTTTTTTTTATCTTTTATAGATTTATATGAATGTGACAATATCATTTATTGTACCGTACTTGATTGAATCTAAAGGCATACTTTCTTCTTTTAATATCTATATCTTGTCTGGATTTTATTTCTTGGGTCATTTAAGTAAGTTGAATACAACAAATAAACATATCAATTGTTTTTTTTTAATAAAAACATTATCCCTTCCCCACCATTTCCCTTTTCTTTTTCTTTTTTTTTGTTGGGTGGGGGTGGGATATAACAGGCAGCTTAATCTTATTTGGATGGCTATGTAATCATGAATCAGCAGAACAACGAAAAATGTCACTGTTATTTAGTTCACTTGCCTCAATTGTGATAGTTGGCGTTTTAATTATTGCATTCAATGAACATTGGATATTATTTCCTATAAATTTCTTACAAGGATTATCGAATGGGGCTATTTGGCTTACGTGTTCTATATCCATAGCAGATCGATGGTCACTTCATAAATTGGGATCTATGGTTGGGCTCATTGGTGGGCTTTACTCATTAGGTATGGCACTTGGTTTAACTGTAGGAGGTAAAAGCTAATTTATCTATTTATTTTTTTTATTTGATTTGTGAAATTAAGGATTCATATTAATACATTTACATATCATAGGAGGTAAAACGATATACTTTTGTATATAAATATGTATATATATGTGTGTGTGTTTTAGAACCAATATTAATGGAATTATACATGTATATATATATATGTATAGCATTGTATCAATATATAGGATTTAAAGCTTCTTTAATTAGCTCTTTAATAGTGAGCAGTCTAACCTTCTTTATGCAGCTTATGATCACTGAAAGGCCATCTGCCACTGAAACACCTGATTCAGGATCACTACGACATAAAGAGGAAACACATCATTTTAAAGAGGATACAGAAAAAGGGGATTCATGTTGTAGTCATATGTCCTCCATGTCTACAATCAATCTCTGGGACCCTTCTATGATCTCGGAAGAAGAAATGAATAGCAAAAATATGAAAAAGCAACTTTCAAATTCAGTTATTTTTAAATCCTTTATTTCTAAAGACTTTGCTACATTGATGTGTCAAATGATCCTCATATCTATTGTTTTAGGAGCATTGAAGGTAGATAATTCAAAAAAAAAAAAAAAAAAAAAGACTAGTTTCTTTATATCTATTTAATATAAAATCTTATGTTTAGGTAACTTTGTTGGAAAAATTAACATATCAAATGTATGTTATAAATCCCATTTACCAGAATATCATTATGAGCACTTTTCTACTTCCATTCTCAGTCTCATGTTTTATTCATGGATGGCTATGTGATCGCTTTGGTTCTAAATTAGTCAGCCTCATATCGCTCATTATTTCTATTCCATCTTTTGTTTGGGTTGGCATACCAAATCAAAATATTCAAAGCGTTGTAGCCGCTCTGACTGTCTCTGGTATGACGACAGCGGGTATCTGGGTTTCAATCATCTTTTGTATTATTCAATTTGCACAACAGCCTCATCCAATCTCATTATTGTTACTGATAAAGGAGGAGGAGTCTAATGTTAAACTTACTACCGTGCATCAAAGGCAATATAGGATCATTGTTTTATGTTTTATCAGTATGGTTTTTGAAATTGGATCCTTTGTAGGCGCCTCATTTTTATCAAGATTAAATGAATTAATTGGATTCTTTTGGTTGTGTTTTCTGTTTGCTGGACTATTTTTATTATGTATT